GGGAACCGCGTACTTTGCGCCGCTGGTGGAGAAGCTGGGAGTGACACTCTCGGAGGAGCAGGTTGGCTCGGTTGTGGTTGCTCATCTCCTCTCACATTGGCATCGCCAATATTCCGTCTCTTCTGGTCTCTGTACTTGGTACCGTACCCCAAGGCACCCAGCACACGCGCAAACCACGCCCATGGCCCATGACGCCCTATCGCCCACTGCACAGACCATGGTGGTGACTCTCACGTCTCCGGCATGACGGGACAGACGAGGCATTCTGGACAGCAAAGCAGGCGGGAATCCTCAGCCCCAGCCCAGCTCGACTCAGAGAAGTCGGTGTGACGGGGCGAAGGCAAAAGTGGCCTGGAGATGGACAGGCGCGTCGATGGTCTTCTTCGTATTGCAGCCATTGTGAGCGTGTCCCTCCGAGGTCTCGGAGTCGCAAAACCTGCATCCGGCCGCTCGGAGATAGCTACTTACAGAACGGTTACTGCAGAAAGTACATGCTGTTCGTGTATCAGAGGCTTGGGGTGTCTCACGAGCTGACAATCGCGGTGGGGTTGGCCGGGTTCGTCGGTCGTCGCACCCGCGCAACGTGGGGAGACATCTGCTCACTGTTTCTCGTGCTTGACTCTCAAGAAGTCAGGCGAGCAGGATGACCGAGAAGAACCCGGTTGAAGTCTCGGGAGCCACGATCCTCTCGGGCTGTTGATACATAGTAGACAGAGGGAGCCTCCGCCTCCTCCCCGCCTCACCCGACACGAGCCTGCGGCGGGCGGACGGCGCGCAAAGCGAATAATTGGATGAGAATTCACCTCGTACGAATTATCTGAGTGGTTCGAAACGTATCATTTCTGCAGCTGGCTAGTGGTCAGCTGCCTGATTCTCCAATTCGAGTGGATGGGAGTACATGACGCCTCCCACTCCTCTCCCACACAGACGCGCCGGACCAGTCTGAGAACGAGGCGACAAGGGGCTTGCCCAGCATCTGACAATTGGAAATTGCGGCACATCGCCAATGCCAACGCCTACCAGCTACAGACTGAGAATTACAATCACTGAGCCAGCTTTTGCAAGATGCCGAGCCTTCTGAGCATCGACTTTTCTGTCTTCACACGCCGCGTGTTGCTCCAACATCACCCATGTCCACGCTCATCTTCAGCGGTGTTCCAGGCCCTGGAGAACAGTGGGCGTCATTGCGGTCGAGACTCCCAAGCTGGAACACGGGCTTTGACACGGCTCACTTCTCATGTTGGCCTTTTTCCATCACCCAGACGGCGGTTAATGCGAGCAGCAAAAGCAACCGTCACTTTGATTATCCAGGGCAGCACTTCCAGATACGGGCGTGGTGTGTTTACATCTGGGCATTTGCCCGACTGCCCAAGATCTTATGGTTACCTAGCAATCTTGTCCAGCCTGCCTGATATGACCGCATGGCGCGGGATCTGCGCAGCTGAAGCTGACCGCCCGGCCAATATGAGCCTCAGTGCAGGACGCGATGTTGACCGTCACAGTCATCAGACGACAAGCCGCGCACGCACGCTTGCTCGACCAGCTGTTTATTGACCTTTGAAGTCTGCGCAACGGCGTCCATCACAAGCTCCCGCAGCCCAGCGCACGCCACGCCGTACCACAGAGCCTCCCTCTGCCGCACAGATGGCCGCCCATCAACAGCCATCCCGCGTCGCGTCGCGCCCACAAACCGTGTCACTTGATCCCGCCTTCTTCATGCTTCGCGCTCTTGGCTCGGTGGGGAATCTAACGATGGTGATACATCGACTCGCAGTCGCAAGACGCGGCTCGGGGTTATTTCTGGGCTGCCTTCTTTCTCCAGTTGCATTCTTCGTTTTTCCCATCATCTGCACTCTGCAGTGACGTTCCTGGGATGATTTCCACTTTCAGGGTCTCCGTCGCGTAGAGTTGCTCTCTGGACCGCCGGCCCCTGTCGCTCGCGAATCGCAAAGGTTCGGCTGCATTCTTGTCGCGACGAATGAGAGGCCCGTTTCCGACTTCCGATTTCCTATTCGGCGAGGTCCTCGAAGCTTGTTGAATGTGCCGTCGCAACGTCGTGATATCTTCGCGGCGGTCACTGAACCGCCGATTGTGAAATTGGATCTGATTACCCGCGCAGCGCGAACAAAAATTTCGCGCAAGGTGGGCAGGGAGGGCGTGAGATTCTCGCTGGAGTCTGCACAATGCTCCGGTAGGAAGAGCACAAATGAGGTCTCTCAAGCGCCGATCGCTGTTTCAATAGAGACTGGGCTCATCACAACCAACTCCATTGCTCTCCTTCGACCGTGATTCATTTCAGCTCCGGAGCGCGCGAGTGATTTCACAGATTACCGTCGCCCATCCTCAGCATCCTCAATATTCCTTCGAAATGGGACGCGCGCCATCTTGAAATCTGATTCCCTGTCAAGCTTTGTTTTTGGCACCTTAAATAACAAACCACAAGCCATCCCGTCCCTGACTGCGGTTCCTGGCGCTTACGGTGTCGAGAACATGACGGCGCGCGCGCGGGCGCGGTGAGACGATGATGCTGACGGCCAGTGGTAGTCCTCGACTCGTCTCCCGGACGCGCGGGAAGGATTCTGTGACGGCGGCCGCCGTCGCTGGGAGATACGCAAGCAGTCAGCACTTGCGATGGATGGATTCGAGATGCAGGGTCGCGTGGTCACGGGGTTTATGCTGCTGTTTAGATTGGGGTTTAGATAGGCGCGTAGGAAGGTGTGTGGGTGTTTGGGATGATTGCTTGAGTGTTGCGAGAAGTGTGCATCTGCCATCACGATTACTACGGCTATGCTAAAAACGTATTGCTATGTGAAATGGAAACATATGTGCTCAATATAAACGACAAACCTTCTAAAAATAAGGCGTCCGCGAAGCCAGGCAAAACCAAAAAGCAGTTGGAGATGATTTTCCAGCGAAAGCAAAAGTAAGTATTCCGAAACCGAGAATCGAACTCGGGGCTATGCCTAACCTCTCAAGTTCATGAGAGGGCATCATGTTGGCCACTACACCATATCGGATGTGATTCATGGGATGAGAGAAGCAGGAGTTGGATATGACTCGTCGAGAGGAGCGGGTCCGGATGGGTGCCGGGTGGAGATTGATTGTGGGTTGTTGCTGGTTTGCGGGCGACACCGTGTCGGTGCTTTATCTCTCTTCTAGCTTGATTGTATGGATGTTTTATAGAGGTATATGAGAGATTCCTAAGCTGGAAGCAAGTTGATAGAGGTTGAGAATAGAGAATTCGATATTAAGGCAACTTGAGAGCGTGATACGTCCAGGTCTGGTGCTGATTTTGTCAGCGCGACATGTTGAGTTTGAGAAGTGTTATCAAGTCATGAAACCCACTCGTCGTTTTGCTTTTTTGCTTTGTTACTGACACTGGAGCTCTTCAACCACGTAAGGACTAAGCTATTGTTGAAGTTAAGTGTGTTTGGTTGTTCTAAGGTGACGTTCAAATCGAGACGCGAGTGTGCTACATGCCGGACTGATGCCTGATCGAACTATTAACTCGACTGACTTGAAATCACAATTCTCAGAATTAAGAGATTAGACGTAAGTGTTCTATTTAAAGTTCACCCCCGACTTTCTGAGAACCTCAACACAGGTATATGCGAACATCAACATGGTTGTCAACACCATCACCAACTCGCTGGCAGCAGGTAGGCTATTAGTTGTGGTGTATCTCGACAGCATGGAAGTTTCGTTACAACTCTTATATCACAGAGTTCGAGTCTATCGCAAATGCTTCCGGTGCAGAGTTCAAGCAAGTAACGTCGTCTTGAACTGAACTTTTAAAAGAATATTTTCGTTTGGTTAGATAGGTCCTTCCTCCAGAAAGCCATATTAGAAGAATATCCACTGAACTACGAAGTTTGAGTCACCTACCTAAACTCGTTGTGTCTCTATTTTTAATGTCGAAAGCTCATAGTCATGGTGGTATACTCGCAACAGACAGTTGTTGTTCGTGCCTGTCTATGATCACTTGGATTTCTCCCAGCTGCTAGCTGAGTTCGCCTTGGGAGTTGTATTCAATAGTACTCGTTACCTTGACCACAGGGAGATCGGCTTTTCCCGGTCGTGTAGGCTGAGCATGTGATCCATCCCCGCAGCCCTTTGACAAGGCAAGATCTTTGCCCCAAATTTGTCGCGATCGCATTGCAGGACGGGACGCTCATATCAACTGCGAGATTTTGGCCGGCATGCTGCATCCACACTCAAACTGGTAGGAATCCCTCCCGCTAGATAGGGCTATGATTCCTTTGATCCTACCCTTCCTCGCTAGAGGACTTTTGATGTGTTTGCATCCTGCGGAGAATTCGGACCGGGGATTAAAGGCCGTCTAGGCAGCCGGCGTGGCGAAATTTGTAGTTGGTGATGCTGTGAAGCCGTGAAAATGGCGAGTTTTCGAGGTTCAGCTAGACTGCAGGCTCTAAACGAGAACGAGTCGGCGAGGTATCAACTCAAGAAACAACATAGGTCGCAAGGTGTCATTCGGTTCACGGGTTATGGAAGCAATTAAGGCCCCGTGGCCAGGCGAACCTGGAAGTTGAGTCGTTGAACTAAACTAATCAAAGCTTAAGAACCATAAGTGGAGCTCGATCTCACCCGACGGCGTCTTCGAGAATACAAGGTTTCCGATTTGATTAATACCAATTTCCAGCAACCACTCATCCGGTACTCCCGTGGTGCGGAAGACCTCAATTGGCATCTATGCGTCAATATCACGTCGATGGATCGCGCTTTACGATGGCGCAGGCGAATGTTACCATGCCGGGCATGCTTGTAAGAATGAGATCTTAGTCGCGGATGCGTCGGGTTGGTAGGACGTCGCAAGATTCATAAAGGGGCGCATCTCTCGCAATTCATACCATCGTCACCGCATCTTTGAGACGCCATAGAGCACATACTACTGCACTTAATACCTAATTCGATAGACTAAGCCCGACTCTTTTCATATCAGACACTCACCTTCATTTGTCTCTCATATCCAAAACTTCAAGATGAAGGTCTCCCGGCTTGCGTCGCCAGCCTGGGCGCTCCTCATCTCATCAGCCGTCGCAACTCCCTGCTCAGCAACGCCCGTTGATGTCGACGTCGCCATCATCGGCGGCGGCTCCTCCGGCATCCACGCCGCGATCAACCTCAGAGACGCCGGCGCAAAGGTTCTTGTCCTGGAGAAGAAGTCCCAGATCGGAGGCCACGCGGAGACCTACTTCAACCCCGAAACCGGTCTCCCCGCAAACATCGGCGTCGTGATCTTCGAGAACCGCGACATCGTGAGCAGCTACTTCGACCGGCTGAACGTCTCGACCGTCAAGACCAACCCGCTCAACCCCCAACCGGGCGCGGTGACGAAGAATTACGACTTCTCGCTCGGCATCCCCATCCCGGCGCAAAACGCCTCGGCCGCCGCGGCGCAGCAGCAGGCCGTCCAGGCCGCGGTGCAGGCGTACTCTACGAACGTGCTCGCCAAGTATCCCTGGATCGACCAGGGCTTCCTCGTCCCGGACCCCGTGCCCGAGGAGCTGACGGTGCCCTTCGCCGAGCTGGCGCAGAAGTACAACTTCACCGCGCTGCTCCCCGTGATCGCCCAGTTCGGCTGGTGGTCGGGCGAGATCACGAGCATCCCGGCCCTGTACGGCATCAACAACCTCGGACCTGCGCTGCTGAACAGCATCTTTGGCGAGTTCATCGTCCCGGCTTCGGGGGATTCCAGGAGTCTCTACTACGCGGCCGCGAAGGAGCTGGGCGACGACGTCCTCCTCAACGCGACCGTCGTGGACGTCAAACGCGAGGACTCGGGCGTTTCCGTCGTCGTCCACCAGCCGGACCAGGCCCCCAAGCTCGTGCGTGCTCGCAAGCTCCTGATCGCCGTGCCCCCTACCCTCGACAATGTCGGAACGTACGACCTGTCCGACGACGAGAAGACGCTCTTCTCCAACTTCTTCGCTCTGGGCTACTGGGCCAGCGTCGTCACCGTCCCGGGGCTGAACAACAGTCTGGCCAACGTCGGGATCCAGACTCCGCTCAACCAGCCGGTCATCCCAGGCACCAACGGCATCTTCGGCACCAGCTCGCCCGGCGACTTTCTGGTCGGCGTCGGCTTCAACGATACCAACTACACCGACGAGGACGGGAAGAACATCATCCGTGAGAACTTGGCGACTCTGGCTGCCCTTGGTGCGGTGCCGGAGGGCGCGGCGGAGAAGGTTACGTTCCCGTACTTCTCGAACCACGCACCGTACAACGTTCGCGTGCCTGCGGATGAGATTAAGAGCGGCTTCTACGGCAAGCTCCTGGCACTGGAGGGCGTGCGGAACACGTACTGGGCTGGAGCGGCTTTTGCGGGACAGAACAGCGCCATGGTCTGGTCATATAATGAGGCCAATGTTCTGCCTGGCTTGAAGAAGGATCTTGGTTTGTAGGCGATATGAGGAAGACGTCTCAGCGGGGACAGAAGGTCATTCACTTTCACAAATAAGACACCCATACGAGTTCCGATTGATTCATGGTGAAGTCTACCCAGTGTGGTTTCTGCCAACTCGAACCATTTTATCTTTCGTATGACGAACCAACATGATCTTTCTCAGTGTTTGTGATATGTGTCTCTCCGTCCTTGCTTATGATTTAGCAACATATCCGACCTGAACTCTCTCTGTATCAGCTCCTGGTGCAGGCAGTTGCTCGTTGGAATCGAAATCACTGTCAGAACTCAACTCCCCGGGAAGTCTGTCTTTGACGAGGAGAGCTGCCCAAGTGGTGGCAGGCACTGCGACGTAGAAAACCACGACAGACACGATCAAATTTGTCATCAGAGAGGCACTTCGGACTGATCCGACAGCATACGACAACGCCGATCCAACTGACTCTCCTGAACGAAGAACACCCATCGACAAGGCAATGGTATCAGCTTCGACATCAAAGGTGCCAAGCGTCCAGTATAGCCAGACACCGATGGTCTCGTACGCGATACTGGTGAAAAAAGTTGTCAGCAATCATTGATCCTGACTTATGTGAGATGTCTTCGTTAAAAGCCTACCGGTAAAGAATAAAGATCGCAACGCCTTCTCCAAAATTGGGGCTGCTCCAGTCGATCTCAACTGGGCTCTCGCGCGCCCACCGCTCTTGCACGACAATGTTCCAGATCCAGACGAGTGTGAACAATGCCAGGAGGAAGTACCAACTCCACCGCGCCTGCGTCGTCCTTCGTAGGTGCTTCGTGTCCAGCCACCAGCCAGCAAGGAGGTTGGAAATGGCACCGACGACGGCGATGAGAAACCCGGAGAGCGTGCGGGCGCGCACCGTGAAGTAGGCGGCCATGTAGTTGCCCTGGTAAGTCACGCCCCACTGGGCGGTGATGAAGGCTGGTATGAGCAGGAGGACCTCCTTGCGCTTGAACTGGGCAAGGAAACTCTTCAGTTGCGTCATGAAAGAACGTTGCGAGTTGGCGAAGACTGGCTTTTTCCCGTCCTTACGGACCAGCTTATCGGGAGGAGACAGCAAGAATGACAGCGGAAGACCGAGGCACTGTATGGCCACGAGAACGAGGTAGGTCGAGGGTGCGATGGCGCCGGTCGTGTCGCCGTCTTTGTTTAGAGCAAGCTGGATGGCAGTGGCGATTATTGAACCAAGCTTGCCGAGAGCCATCCAAATGCTGACTGGGTCAATGGTTAGAAATGATACAAAATGATATTCCCAGGCGTGTAATGACTCACTGCAGATGCCTCTTCTGGCAACTTCTGGATACCCAACAGCGATCGCCGCTTCACCAGGCCATAACGCAGCTGCCTACACGAACGTCAGGAACTGCTTTTTGATCAGAGCGTATCGGAGACTTACTGAAAACCCACAGGTAACAGCGCCAAAAATCAGGAACCATTGAGTGCCCCAGAGCGAGTTGCAATAAAGTGCAGCCGAGTAAGGCACGTAACCTAGAGTTCCGAAGACGACGATCCATTTGAGGCCTATCAAGTTTCCAACGATACTGGCCAAAGGAGAAAAGAAGACCATGATACTGTATGAGAGTTTAGTAGTGTCGTCTATTGAGAGCGACCATTGGGTGGTACTCCAACTTACACGAAAGTAATCACGTTGACAGCGTTGACGACGTACGGCTCAGCTTGTCCGCCAGCACCGAGATCTGCAAGGTGTTTAGCATTGACGGGAATGATTACGTTAACTTCGATTTATGCTCACTGTTCATGGCTGCCCATATTCCTGGTTGTGTGAAGCTGATGAGGCCTAGCAAGACGGCTTGAAAAATCGTTCCTCGGTACACATCGTGGGCTTTGCCCCAAAAGGAGGGCGTTTGGCTGGCAAGTTGTGACATATTTATGATTCATGTGGACTTGCACACCTCCACAAGTTAAAACAGGCAGAGAAGGGTGATAAACAAGAGCTTTGAGAGACATAGCTGCAATTTAAATCAATTTTGCGGTTTTCTCAAGCGAGCCGCCAGTGCGCGATAACGGCATTGCGCTATGGCAGGACGCGATGGTATCACTGAACCAAGTGGATGCCTGCTGTCGACCTGTTCGAGATTATTCTCGCATTTCTCCATCTGCTTTCCAAAGTGACAATCTTCAGGCAATAGAGTGGAAACTAAGGCGAAGAGCCGCCGAAGAAAGAAGGCTCAAGCAGTGCTATTTCCCCGGTATCTCTCCGGCCGTCAGTCACGCCATACCCCCAGTCAAATCACCAACTTCAAACCCTAGCCAACAGGTACTATTGGTTCATTGGAGAACAAAGTTATTCTCCGCTTGAGATAAGAGCTGTATTTAATAACTTTTGATATGTGAGCCTTCAGAAACATGCTCACGAACTATGTTTGTTGCGAAACCCAATCATGTTTTAAGGACGAAAGACAATTCCAAGATTTTGATAAGTAAACATTACCATTACTCAAATTCTATGCTGTTTCCGTTGCTATATTGAAGTCCGATGAACGTGAACCGTCATCTCACAAATAGACATAGCAAAAAGGCCCAGCGACGGTGCTCATGGCATCTCTGATCTTCAAGGGCTCACCTCCAACCCACCCGTATTCCAGATAGTCATCGAAGGTACCATTGGCACTGGGAGGCTGATCCAAGAAAGTGTTGGTACCGCTCAGCGCCGTCTCGCCGTATTGGCGTTCTTCAGGTGAGAGCATTTGCCACATCCACCAGACTCGGTCAATCATGGAATGATGTAAATAGAAGGCCGGGTCGCCAGGCGAGGTGAACACATCCCTTCCAGGGTCGCCGCCACTGTTTGATACAATTAGCATACACACCTAATTCGGATAGCATTGGCATGAGAAGTATGATGTACAGTGAATAGTGGCCGCCGCCGTGAATACCGATGTTGCCGGAGCCCGGGACGCCTTGCATTTGCATCTGAAAGTCGTTCACGTTTTGTGGTTTCAGGATGTTGGACAGAATAGCGGTGATGTTGGCGTAGGCAAGGTTGATGTCCGTTGTGAGATCACGCTTGAGGCAGCGGGGGTTGTGAGATAGAGGCCCTTCAGGATTAGCTTCAGAGATGCCTCCGGGGAGGTCAAGAGCAGCTGGGCCAAGATTGACCGTCATGTCTTTGAACGGACCAGAGGTGACACAACCTCCACCCGTGCCAACAGGAAGGACGATCGGAGGGAGATCGTTCTGTCCTGTGAGGATGATGTTCTCGCGATCAGGGATAAACTCGCCGTTTCCAGACATGGACGTGTCGCTGCCGTCAAATATGGGGGACTTCTCCATGCCGGTGACGGCGGTTTTGGCCCAGTCCCAATACTGCAGATAAGATTAGTTGATTCAGTACCGCAACACGCAGCAATATGAGCTCTCTTACAGGCTGAGTTCCCTTGTAGCCACACTCATTTCTTAAAGCTTCTTCATATTGCCACGTGAAGTATCTGTGCCAAGAGAGAAAGTTGGCGGTGTAGTGGATGGTCAAGGTCTGGTTGATGTGGGTGGCCACAAAGTCGTCGAAGCGAGTCTTCGCACCGGGGGCGTCTGAAGCAGGTGTAAGGGCCGGCTTGGACTGCAGACACTTGACTGCATTGATGTAGTCGAGCTTCTCTTGTCGGTTCAGAGAGCCCCTGCAATGTTACATGTCAGCGTTCCTAGCGTATCACAAGACTTCGCTACTTGGAATCGCTTACCACTCTCGGCGAACCCTGACATTGTACCACGCACAACTGCCGCCACGCTTCTGGATCTCTCCGCTCTCAACTTCCGACTTCGTCTTGTCAAAAGCAGACTGGGCGAGAGCTGCAAGCTTCTCAAACCCTTCAGCGGTGGCAGGCTCAGGAACTGGGCTGCCAAGCACAACGGAAGATGCCTGCAGGGCCAAAAGACCAATGAAAGATGAGCGCATGTTGGTTTCCGCTGAAGAGACTGTCTGAGGGATGGGAGGTGTCGAATCGAACGAGGCCAGGACCTGGGAACTGTACAAAACGTCGCTGAAGAAAGAAGGAAAAGAAAATGTCAAGCAGCAGCGTCTCGGCGAAGATATAGATGAACCCGAAAAGCGCTTTCGCGAGTCGGGCTACTGCGGCCCAGAAGGCATTGAAGACCGAGACTAACAACTAGCGACATGGTGTTGCTTATTCCACCTTGTCAAGGTGGAGATTCGACCCTAGCTGTGCAATCTAGACATGCAGTCAGACCTGGTAGATGCAGGCGCGTAGCATCGCCACCCAACAAATAACATGATGAATTCTCCCGGGAACTCGGCCCTCACATATCGCAGATACGGACAGCTCCGCCCCACAAGGATCGCGGAGCTGGGACGACGCCGAAGGAGATGTTTGCTCGTTCGTGCAGGGCAGAGCTTCACATTGCCAGTTGCGAACCTGGTTGCGGAGGCTCTCAACTCCTTTGGAAGCGAAGCCGATTGGAACAGACATGGTCCAACTCAGATGCATAGATTGGGTTTGAGACAACCAACAAATAGCACCAACAGCCAAGGAACTATCGGCCGATGGGTGACCGGTCAGAGTGTTCTCATTGGATCTGCCTATCACTACATCCACAGCACTGGTCTCGAGACATGGAATAAGGGTTCCATTCTCATCGTCTGTTGCCTCAAGCGAGTTCCGATATCACACCGGTGTCCACACCAAGCCAGATGCTCCATGGGCATCACGGCCCAGAACCAACGAACGTATACGAGTGGAAGTGGTACGGATAAAGCCCCGAGGGAAAATTCCGCAACTATTTCCAACTTGAGTGTCTTATCCGAGTTCCGGTGCAGTTGGTGTTATCACAACCAGCGTTAATTCTCATGGACAGATGAATTCAATCAAAATCAGGATGCTGAGTTCCGTCACGCAGTCAGCATTCTGCTCTGCTTTCCATGCTGATAATACAGTACGGACAAAGATACATCAACCGCAAACACCTTCGCCGGACTCTTGGTTGGCAACTTACCTGAAGCTTCCTCATTTTCAGACTCACGACAGCTACGCGGTATACCTGATCGATTTGATTCTTTCTCAATGGATCTCGTTTCCAATCCAAACGAAGATGATGGACCGAAGATCTTGGGCGTAACTTTACCGATTACTGCTGCGGCTCTGATGGCTGTGGCAGCAAGAGTTTACGTTCGCTCTCACCTGATTCGCAACTTCGGCATCGATGTTCGTTCATCTCTAATCCTACCATGTATACCACTCAACTGACATGTCGCTGGGGAAAAGGATGCATTGATGACTTTCTCGGTGTTAATCTCCGTCGCAGGAGGAGCCGTCATGATACCTCAAGTCCGCAATGGTGCAGGACGACACAGAGGCGACGTCGAAGAAGATGTTTTCGGACTGGGGGTCAAACTCAACTTTGTCACGCAATTGTTGTATTTGTGTGGCATCTGTAATGTCAAACTCTCGGTTGGATGTTCACTTCTTCGCATTGCGTCTAAGAACGTCTACAAACAGGTGATCATGTGCATCATGACGTTCATGACTCTCTACACGAGCGCTTGCTTCATAGTTAGTACAGCATTATCTGCAAGCCCACCCAGCACAAGCTAACAGTTGAAAAAATAGACGGTACTTGCACAGTGTACCGATATTCGAGTTCTTTGGGACAAGTCAGTTGATTCAGTCTGCTGGCCAGTTGAGGTTCTCCAAGGTCTCGGATACGCCAACGTTACGATCAACATCCTCACCGACCTCCTTTTCGCTACGATCCCTATACCGATGCTTTGGAGGCTCAATATCCATCGACGAGCTCGCATTTCTCTTGTTGTTATTCTGGGTCTTGGTGTCTTTGCTTGTGCAGCTGCGTGCGTCAAGTCTGTCTACATCGTCAACTACGGCAAGTTGGGCGACGTGCTGTGGGATTCACGCAACATAACAATATGGACAGTAGCCGAGATGAACATCGGAATTGTGGCGGGAAGCCTTCCCACTTTGAGACCACTGTTCAAGCGCTTTCTTGGCAGTACATACGGCAAAGCATCGAAGTCTCCTGCGGAAACCGGCTACTATGCTCACAGGGAGTTGCGAAGCAACAACTGGAGGGCTCTGAGCAGCAGTGAAGAAGCTCTCAATGCCCTGAAGGAGAATCACGAGCTCCAAAAGGTAAAGCCGACAATAATGGAAACAGAAAGTGATGCACCTGTTTCCGGACACGAAGCAGACGGCCGACAATCACATGATAGTCCGGGTGGGATTACCAAGACGACCGTGACGAAGGTCGTGTTTTTGCCGGCTCATGATACAAGAACTAGTTGAGGTCCGGCCACCGGAGTTGTCCATCTTTTTTGTTTGTTATCAATCATTTAGGATTCCCTCGAAATTTCAAACCAACAACTTCTGAAGGTTGTAAGATTTCCATTATACCATTTCTTCATATGATGTGCCGCATAAAGTTGTGTGACTGTATGTCAGCGTTGTGCACGTTGAATATACGAGTATTGAGCAGCATTTGACTTAAATGAGCCACGCCATATTCAAAGTCCCTCGCAATGATCTCATCAGACTGAAAGCATTGGTGCTAACTTGTTCTTATTGGCTCGTGTTGGTCACTGTAAACCAATGTTCTCTTCCGTTGGCATCCAATAGCACAACCTAGCTAGAAGACGCCATCTCCACCCCGATGCAGTGACTGAAACACAACAACGGCTTAAATTCTGTTCCCTCCTCGTGACCTGACTTCTGATCGTACTTATTCACAACTCAACAGCGCGGTGTTCCTACGCGTGCTATCACAATCCTCTCCTTTACGACATAGACACCTAGAAATTTCTCGGGCTCAACAATATTAACATAATCATGGTGTCTGCCCAGCAATCCCCCTTCTTTAGCGCTCCCTGGGAAGTTCGACACCATATTTTCCAGTCGCTTCTAGGATCGGAGACGCACTTGTTCATGTACAAGGGGCAGTTGCATCTTATGCCATGTCAGGGACCAGACGATGTCTCTTGGCGGCGACCACGAAGGGATACTGGGTTTTGGGACCCTCGATGGATTCGCCGAGTGGACTCCAGTTGGGGTTGTCATTGGAAATGCGAAGAGATTTTCCTTCGTGGGACCGAGGCGGTGAGACAGGCAGCTCATACGCCCCTGCTTCCACTTCTGCTGTCTTCTAAGGCGATGTAAGTGAATGTTCTTCTGCTCACATAATATATACGACATGAAGAACCAGGAGGTATTGACTGTAATTGCAGGGTTTCCGATGTCATTGCGTTCTTGTCCCAGTCGACGCAATGCATTCATCTAACCGACTTGGAAACTACCGATCACATACTCTCCTCTGCCATTTCAGGCAATTACTCGAGCTCTCCCATAACTGCGACTTCCCGGGAAAGCAAGCAATGGTCTCTTTTCAGATCAATTTCGAACATCAGTCTCACGTTGCGCCTTTCAATCCGCATGCTTAGCACACTTTATGTGCCTTGTTGGTCAAAGCCATCATTCTACCACCCATGGCTAGAAACACCGCCAGTGCCCCCGCCGAGACCTTTTGCAACCGTTGACGGAAGCGGGTGCAGATTGGCACATGAGCAGTGGATGCGCATCTGGCCAGCGCTATCGGAATTGCCCTGTTTGCAACGGTTCAGTCTCTGGCTTGACCACGACAACCAATATCATTGGGCTACAGTCGGTGAAAGGGACGTATTGAAGCATCTTTCAGACATCATGCCGACTTTGAAGAGTCGCAACATTCAAGTCGTCGTCAATCTCCCCCTTGTAGAAGGAGAACCTTACACAGACGATGAGTACTTCATCCATAAACCACCCGAATTCGAACTTCAACGACGCGTCCGCTTTCCGTTGGCCAAGTCTCGCATTTGGAGTCCCTATAGAAAACACGACTACGAAGTGCACTGGGTGTACAACGAGGAGAATGCGGACATACCCTCGGAATTTCCACGAAATAAAACGAAAATGGCTCTTTTAGACATGGGAGCATTTGAAGCCATGGGATATGACTTTCTTAGTCCGGAATGGGATGATCATCCAATTCTAGGTGAAATGTGATCTGGCTTTACATCGTTGTCTGTAGCCAAGAATAGAAATCGTTTCATCAATGATTCCCGTCGCGCTGCAATTGTTACCACCGAATACTGTTTTCGACTCAGCCCATTCTAAGCAAAGACCTTGAACAAGACAGATTGAGTGCGGACACTATCGTACCGTGTCTAAGGTTATATGGAAACCCCCAAAGCCTGGTAAATCTCCGCCACGTACTGTTGAATTGCATTATTTCCTGCAATCCCGGGGCCCATCTTGTTCATCGTATAACAAATCGTGACACCACGATCAACATCATTGATAACCATAGATCCACCCCAGCCTCCCCAGAAGCAGAGACGACCCTCCGGAAGCCAGTGATCAATGGCTGCATCACCATTACCTCGGAGGCCAAGTCCGACGCCAAAACGAACAGGCAGGCCGATGGCCAAATCCGGTCCATACGACTGCTCGGTGAAGATGAGGTCGATTGTCTGCTTGGATAACAGCCGCTTGCTCTCGTCACTTGTCGTGAGTGCGTTCGACCAGATCTTCGCGAGCGCTTTGGCGTTGGTGTGACCGTTGGCTGAACCAATCTCGGCCTTTCTCCACGTCGGGGTGTTGGCGAAGTTAGGATCGGGTATAGGGTTCAGCATCTTCGTTGGAATGGAGTCCGGCGGCAGATCTGCCAAGGGCGGGTGGAAAGGAGGAGGCGGGATCAACTCCGCAACACGAGGCCAATCTTCCTCTTTGGCGCCGATTTGAAAGTCTGCGCCGAGTGGACCAGCAATTTTCTGAGCCACGTATTCCTTGAGACTCAAGCCCGTCTTCCTGCGGATGAGCTCTCCGATCGGGTAGCCGTATGTCCAAGAGTGATATCCGGAGGCCGTGCCGGGCGTCCAGCGGGGAGCCTGCTGTTCGAGTCTCGATGTGCATAGCTTCACATCGCAGAGGTTCTCCATCGACCCCAAGGGTTCTTCAAAGATAGCCAAGCCGGAGGTGTGAGCCAACAGGTGGCGAACTTCAACGTCCTCCTTGCCGTTGACGGCGAATTCGGGCCAGTACTTCGAGACTTTGTCGTACGGCGAAATTTGCCCGTCGTTGATGAGGAGAAGAACGGAGAGAGCGCAGATAGTCTTAGTCGACGAAAATACGTTGACGATGGTATCCTCCTCCCAGGGCCGGGTGCGAGCCGCGTCTGCAAAGCCGCCCCAAAGGTTCACGACATCCTCGCCATCGATGGTGACAGTGAGAGAAGCGCCGACCTCCTCGCCGGAGTCGAGGAGTTCTTGAAGCTTGACTCGGACATTATCAAATTTGGGATCGCACTTTCCGAGTGTTGAAGTCATCGTGATGGACTGTTGGTTGCGTGACTTAGGGATACGGCGAGTAAGAAGGAGGCTGGGGGTATGAGACAAACGTGTAGCACGACAAACAGTTGCAGCTGCAGTTTTAATAACAGCTCGATGCGTACATATGTACAGATATTTGAAGAGAGGGGTTTTCGGGCGTCAAAAATCGCCGAAGACCCGCGGGTCACGCGGATCATCTCTTAGAGCCACTTCGACGTGTACCTCGGCGGCCGACTTCAGTGGTTTCAGAGTCAACCACACCAAAAACCCCATGTATCTGGACGTCATTTGTGGTTAGTTAACGTGGAGAGGTGGAGATGTCGAGAACGACACCCTGTTCAGCTGAGGGTCCGGTCTTGTAACCAGGGTTGACGATTCGCTAACCCTGGTCCCAGCTTTACAGGGCCTTGATTCGATCAACGACTTCGCATGCGACTTTGCATAGCCTCTGCTACGTTGGGTGACAGCGCCGCAGTAAAAGGGAGATATCTGACGCGGTCACTCGTTGTGTGTCGATGCCTTGAAGAGTGCGATTTGCTTCCAATACTCCAGTCTACATAACACCCCGGCGGAATTTTCATCTACTCCCAATAATCAAAACGGCACATCATGAGTTCCTAGAGTCAGCAAGCTTGATCTGCCTTAAGTCTCTTAACGATCACCATTAGAGATAGCTTATCGCTTGCTTCCCTGTGTTCAGAACTGTAGTAGATTCCGATAGGATTGGTAGCCCATCTTCTCTGTTCGTACTTTTAAAACAACCCCTCTCAAATAGCCAAATAGCTAAGTGGTTGATACTTAATACACGCATTAAGGATTCAGCTGAGAACCCGTTGACTTTCGGCCTAATGTTGTTGCAATATCAATGGAAGTTTTCGTGCACTTATCGATACCCATGGATTCATAGTATGCAGGGTAAAAGCTCTGATAGGTTGGCTGGCTAGCTTGTTGGGTCAAGTCTTTGTACCATGCAGCGGCCAACAAAGAAGGGACTAGTGCTTACGGGCACGAGATTGAGAAAACCCCATCTGAATCCGATTGATTGGCCATCTGATGATTCGTTGGCTGACAAATGGACAGGTACTTCTTTTTCTCAAGGTGGAAATTCCGCCATCTTAGAGACAGATCAACACAACATCTAATGTGGTAACATAGACAGCGGCTCGCCAACATACGGGTTTCTAACATGAGCATACATTCTTAGACTTGGACACTCCGCTTGTTGTTTTTCATCGCCAGTTTCTCCTCTAATGGATGTTGCGCGACAAGCGTGTGTCCATGTTCAAAATCCAAACCTGCGGGCCCCTGATCCATCATTCAAGGATGACCGAGAGTCTCGTCGGCCGCAAACGGAACATTCAATCTAAACTGAAGGTTAAAACTGGTTGTGCAACATGCAGGTGAGTCTGGAAAATCTTTCAAGAGCTTGAGATCATCTTTCCAGTGACCGATGAGAGTTGACCCAGTAATAGAATAAGAAAGGTCAAATGTGATGAGAGCAAGCCATCTTGCCAGAAGTGCACCAGTACGGGTCGCAAATGCGATGGGTATGAGTCTCCATTCCGACTCGTTCTTACCAAACCATCACTGAGTATCAACCATGTTGGCAATATCAAGTCATATGGCACTGGCCTGCTTTCCACCCGAACCATGGTACCTCAGATCGAAATCACCACTCAGGACATCGAACTCCTCGGACGTTACTTTTCAACCAAAACCATGTTTGATATCCAGCTTGGCTGCAATGAAGAAGCGAGAGAAATACTTCGAGCTAGCTTGACCGATGCGACAATCCGACAAGCAGTCTCGTCTCTAAGAGCTCTTCGCAAACACCTCGAGATGTCTCACTCAGTCTCAGCATCTGTGATTCAGCAGCCAAGTCGAGACCATGATCATGGCCTTCAGCAATACTGTAAAGCTCTAGGGGGTCTTGCGTCGAAGATATCAACGCCGAGCCCCAGTGGTCTGAGGTCGGCGCTACTTTGCTGTCAGGTCTTCATCAGCATCGAGCAAGCGCGAGGGAACTACGGTGCCATGGTCCAGCACATGATTCAGGGACTCGGCATCATGCACGACTACCGGGCAAGGCCACACTTTGTTGCCGAAAATGACTTCATGTTGGTACCAGCACATCATGAACAAATACCTTTGCTGGATGTTTTCATCATCAAGCTATTCATCGCGCCATGCAAGTTCGCGGACCCCCCTGCAGCAAGTCCAACAACCGATGTGAGTGGGACGACGGTAGCTCTGTGTCCTCTGTCACCCCATTCCAAGTCCGGTGGATCTCAGAAACCTCGCCCGATTGCACCAGACTTACGGGCAGGCCTCACAAGGATCGCTGAGATGACGCTTGCATTTCTCGACAAAGTGTCACATGTCGAACTGGTGGCAGATGCTCTTCAACTACTACTTGAAAAGACATCTCTGCTGGAATCGTTGGAATTGTGGTTCATCGATCTTGATATCTTTCTCATGGACATGAAACATCCGAGAACGGAGCCTCTTTCACTGTCTTTCCTGCGTTTCTTCCATCAAACACTCAAGATCGTTCTTCTAAGGGCGCTTTACTCCCATGATGCTGAGCTGCGGACCGAGATTCATCAACTACATCTCATAGCTAACAACATAGAGGACGGTGTGAAGGCTTACAGAATGTGGGGGTTCGCTATCTTAGATAATTGATTACTTCTCTACTCGCGCGGAATGAAGTTCTTATTCCTACTGTTCTAGGTTTTCTGGCTTAAGGAAATTGGATGCGCGACTTGACTGGCAGCTGGACGCTGAATGACTCAGAAAGAACAACACACCGGAATGGTCTCAGTGTGCTTTTCCCTTTGTGTCTAGGAGATTTCGCTATTTTTCTCGCAGACCTCTATTCGTGCCTCCACTCTCTGTGACGTAAATGTACTCTCACCATTATTTCTATCGTATAGATGATTGGTGCAATGGTGGCTGTGACTTTTCTTATTATCCTCAGCTTGATTTCGACCCTATTCTACAGTCTATTTGCGTGCGGCTGCCATAGCCTCTCTATCAGCAACCAACAGCTTCTGGATGGCAGGCCTGTTCACGATGCGGTCCCACCAAGCACTTACGGCTTTGCGACTGAGTATGATGTCTGCATATCCGCAGGCAAAGAGCCTTTGAATCGTCGGGATGTAGTAGATGTCCACGAGAGTGAAGTCCTTTCCACCCATGTAGTCCCTGTCTTGCAGGACACGTTCTGCCACGTCGAAAAACGTCTCAAGTGACCGCAGCGCACCCGAAACGGCTGCCTCGTCGGCGGGCTGCCCCATGAACTTCTTTACGAACTTTTCGTACCCGATCTTGCCCGCGGGGTCGGCGAAGTACTGCATTTCTTCTGACTGTGCCTGGTCGAAAAGAGCCTCGGCTTCGACATCAGATTCTCGGGGTAGAAGCGGGAACGAGTACTTCTTGGCGAGATATTTGCAGATCGCGCGGCTCTCATAGAGAGTGAAGCCGTCGGGGAAGTTGACGACCGGTACCTTTCCCCAAGGGTGACGTTTAATGTTTTCTTCGGACTGGAAGAAGCAGCGTCAGCGATCGATACAAACATAAATCGGCTTTTGAGTGTTTCTTGGCTGGAAGATGCCGCTCAATCCGTCTTCGCAGGACAGTTGGTCTACTCACCTTTTGCTCGCCCTTGTACAAGTTGACGAGCACGAATTCATAGTCCGTGAAGCCGCCTTCGGCGAGAGTCAGGCGCACACGATCCGTGTTTGTCGAGCCGCGAGCGCCATAGAGAGTGAAAGCTGGAGACATTTTCGAATGGTTCAGTAGGTTCGAGACGAGTCTGGGACTGTTGGTGATGAACTTCGACATGAGCTGAGCTTTGAAGCTTCGAGGCCATGATTCAAATTTGGGCCAGCAACTTGGGACTTTAAATCGATCCAGACAGCCTGGCCTGTCTCAATTATCGGCACGGAGCTAGCTACCAGGGTCAAGACAGAAAGCCTCTCGTCTAAGCCTCTCGTCCTTCATCAGGACGTCTGGTTGGTTCATTCGCTCCTGCTACTGAATCGGGTAAGCGCTGACCTGCGGCACCGTATGCCCCATATTTTCCGCTCCAGCCCGGGCGCGCGGCGTTTGGTGGGTCCTTTCCTATTTAGGCAGGCTTCCGGGGCGGCACCGGCCTTCCCTCAATACTCCGGCTTCCTTTTGCTTCCGAGCCTTGAATCTTCCTCCATTTCGTAGGGGCGGGGGGAGAAGCTCTTGATTTCTAGAGTATTAAAAGCCGCATTTCTAATCATGTCGATCCGCTACGGGCGATGCCGCCGCACGCACCGTCGACCGCCATGCGTGTAAGCGGCGCTGTTTAGTATGTAGTATGCATGTGCCTCTCTGGACCTTGACATCCATTTAGAGTATGCGGACCGAGCAAGCCAATCAGCAGCGATATTGACGCCAACTTAGGAGGTCGAGACATTGAACCCATTGCCCGCGGATTGCACAAGGCATCGGATCTTTTGATATTTCCACTATCGTTCAGGATGGCCAGCCGCAAGTCCGTCCGTGTTAAATACGTACGAGTTTGTCACCGTTGACGAAGTTTTCATCCTCTTCTTCTCTTCTGCAATTCAAACAAAGTCACAAAGTCAAAGACACAAGCGAACAATCAAGATTTCTTCTCATTGCTGGATATCATGCACGTCCTTCTCCTCGGCGCCACTGGGCGGACCGGCAGACACGCCGTCTCCGAATTGCTGTCTCAGGGCCACACGGCGACCGCCCTCGTCCGGACAGCCGGCAGCCTCACTCCCCGTCCTGGCCTCACACTCGTTACTGGTTCGCCACTATCAAAGTCGGACATAGAAGGGTCCCTCTCTGCGGCGCATTCCCTGACACCTTCTGCGGCCATCGTGACCTTGAGTACGGTCCGCGAGTCCGAGAGTCCTTTCGCACCCCAACTCTCCCCTCCTCGCTTCCTCGCCGACTCGTGCGCCAATGTGTGCGAGGTTCTGGTGAAAGCCGGCATTCGTCGCATCGTAGTAATGTCGACCGCGGGTGCCGGGGATTCCTGGGCGAACCTCCCGTGGCTGTCCAAGGCATTCATGGGGTGGACCAACATCAAGTATGCACTCGAGGACCATAACCTCGTAGACGAGGAGATTCGGTCGACGAGTATGGAATGGACTCTGGTAAGAGCCTCAAGGCTGGAATTCGACGATCCCAAGAAGCCGAAGCAGACGGGCGTCAAGGTGGATGTACAGACGCTGGACAGCACTGGTGTCGGAATGCGCATGGGCGACGGCGTGAGTGTTCAGAGTGCGGCGGAATTTTTGGTCAAGGCTGTGGTTGATGGACTTTTCATCAAAAGCGCAGTGGTAATAAGAGACTGATACCGCGGGATGTCGTGTGATAATCCGGCAATTCTCGAAACTGGGGTGTCCGGTTAAAGTGGGACTCTTCGGACCCGGATCCATGAATGGGCCCGCTTCTCCGGTTGATCGGCCCGTACAAGGTCAGACCGGAACCGGGATAAATCGTCTCAACCGCTTTCGGAAGGGACGTGCCAGATGTTTACATGCATATTCCAAGCATTACCAAGCAGAAAGACACTAGATACAGAATTTAATACAATTTCTTTGATGCGTGGGTGTGGTAGAAACACTGTAGCGAGTTGTGTTATACGCATTTTGCTCGAGAACCCAGCTAGTTTTGAGGATTCCTCTGCCATTAAACGTGAAAAATTGACCACATCATCCTTCTTATGCACACGAATTCGTTTTGAAGCTGGCTACACTCCGTATGCCCAGCAGGACATCGGGATAGTTTGATTGACACCACACTAGTCAAGCAAGAGGTTCAGGAGGGGAAATGGAACGACATGTTCCGGATTCTCAGCGCCAAGCTTTGTCCATTCGCATTCGGTGGAGTTTGTTGACGGCAAGTCGCATTATGCAGCTAAGCATGAATTCAGTCGGCCGGCATCATCGGGATTCAGTATTGCTCTGGCGAAAGGCACCTTCTGACGATTGATGCCAGTTTGTCGATTAAAACATTGATCATTACATAGCAGTTTGCTCGTCGGCGAACACCGTGCAATTGAAACATGCAATGCGACGACACGGGCTTGCGAGGAGTGAAGGGATGAAACAGTCCGCTAGAATGGCGCTGGTGGTGGTCAGATTTTCCCCTGGGGCTGCAGATCACGGGGCCGAATACCCTGCAACTCTCCGCGTTAAAAACCATATTGGACCCAATCCAGGCGGCTCAGCAGTCTGAGTAGAAAGCATATCGTGTATTTCGCCCAGTGATCATAGACTTTGAGTTAGTTTTGTCAGCTTATCTTTGGGTTATTGCTGACAGAAAGTCAAATGTCTCGGCACAATCATGCAGTTCACCCCAAGTTTCACGCCTCTGACATGTCGAAATTTCCAGACTACTACGACAATTTAACGGGGTAAATGCAGGAAACGAGTTGCTAGGCGCCCCTGTTCAATTTCCGGATCGCGTTTAGCAGAAGTCCTAGTGTTCCATTGCCCCTTACCCGCCAAGTGTCTTATAGCCCGGTTAAAAGCAAGAAAAGAGGATCTTCTCACTCTTTTAGTCAATGACTTTTTCTTACTTATCCAGCGTTTGCCCCTTTTACCACGTGGTGCTACGTTTCCCCGTGTTTCCTGTTAACAATCATCAAAAAGTCGATGGCGAACTTCTGTTGCTGATAGACCAGAGCGCTCTCGCTGCCGGTCCTGTTTCATTTCGCACGCTCTGATTCTGCTGTTTCATTCTTTGTACATCTGAACGCATCTTGTTTTTATTACGTTCCTTGTTTTCCGGCGCGACCATGAGTTCCGGACTAGTCCCGCGGGACGGGGCGCGGGAGCATGAACCCATGCTCGGGGGCAGGTCATCCACAGATTCCGACGTGGAGGGCCGACCGAGCGACACTCTGCTGGCCAGCTCGGCAGAATTCGATGAGAAGGCGGGCTATCGGCGTCCGGCCGGTCGAAGGTCTTTCAAGTGGATTTTGGGCCTCACCTGCCTTTCGATGCTCGCGCTCTTCGGCCTCATCTTCCTTCAGTTTTTCAACGTTCAAGCCAAGGCGGCACCGCCGGAAGAGGCTCACAACGACGGAGACGCCCATGCAGGCGAGCAGCAACAACAGGAACCCGCCCCTACACCAGAGCCGATTCCAGAGCCGATTTCAGAGGTGACCCCGACAGTCGCTACAAGCTTGGCCCCTACGCAAACGCCGGAGGTCAAGTTGACGCCTGAGCAGCAGTTCGACTTGAAGACTGGATTCGAGGTCTCAAACGCGACGACATTGCGCGAGTATGTTTTCAACATCACGCGACAGCTTCACTCCCCGGATGGCTACGAGAAGTCCATGATCCTGGTCAACGGCCAATCCCCCGGCCCTCTCATTGAGGCAAACACGGGAGACACCATCCGCGTAACCGTCAACAACCAGATGCTCCAGGAAAGCACCACTATCCATTGGCATGGAATCGACCAGAGGAATTCGGTGTTTATGGACGGCGTTCACGGTGTCACTCAATGCGCGATTCCGGCCGGTCAAGGATTCACTTATGAGTTCAATCTCACTGACCAGCGGGGAACGTTTTGGTGGCACGCTCATGTCACAGTTCAGGTCACTGATGGATTGTTTGGCCCATTGGTAAGCAACATCTTGGTCATGGCATCGCTTTCCTGGACTGCCTCATTTCTAACTCGGCTCCCAGATCATTCATGATCCGGATGAGAAAGTCCCACCTGTTGATGACGACAAGCTTGTCATGGTCGGCGACTTGTTCCATGAATATGGAGGAAATGTGAGTTTCATTTGGGTTTTTGCTACTTTGAAATGATCTAACCTGTGATGAAGCTTCTCAACCAATACTTGAGTGCTACTCCCCCTTGGGCTCCCAAGAAGCCAGGCAGAGAGCCTCCCCCGGACAACATCATCATCAACGGAAAGAACACATTCAACTGCTCCAGCTTAACCGAACATGACTCAAGCAACAGCAAGGCTTCCGGAGAGCACAACATGGCAGACATGACAGACATGAAGGACCACAAGGGTCATAACATGAAAGAGCACAACTCAGCGCGAGACCCATCGCCAAAGTGCACATGGGGCACTTTGTACAACACACGCGTCAAGAGCGGTTCAAAATCCCGCCTCCGGCTCATCAACCACGGCACCTCAACTCCCATCTTTGTGAGCGTCGACAACCACACCCTGGAAATCGTCGAAATCGACGGAGTCGAGGTGCGCCCGATTGCCACAACCCGAGTCTACATGAATCCAGGCCAGCGCTACTCCGTGATCGTCACCGCCAACCAGACCGCCGGCAACTACCTCATCCGCGCGGATGCCGCCGTGAGGTGCTTCCACATGTCGCACAAGAACCACAAATCCGGTATGCATGGCACGCCCTTCGGCGCAACTGCAATCCTGTCCTACGATGAGACGGACGTCGGCGCCCCGCCGATGGGCCAGGCCTGGAACTTGAAGAGCACGGCCAACCCTGGTATCGGCAAGGAGCCCTGGGGAGACCATTGCGAAGACCTGCCTTTCGGCTTGCCGAAGCCCATGAGGTCGAAGACGGCCTATCTCCCTGGCGACAGGAACTTCCACTACTTCACGTTCCGGCAAGACAAGGTCGGAGACGTGGTGCGCACGCATGTCAACGATGTAAGTAAAACTGAGAGTATAAAGATGGATGCGGACATGAGAAGCTGACCGTGATAGACGCTGTACACGCCGTTGAAGGATGATGCGACCTTGTGGAAGGTACTGGATCAGGACGTCTCGCCCGATAACCTGAATGCCGTGGTTCCGAAGTTGGATTTCGGCAAGGACCAATTCGTCCTCGTCTCAAAGGATGACAAGGCTGCTCAGATTGTCGTCAACTCAGACGCCATGATGGTCCACCCTTGGCACTTGCAGTGAGTCTCATTTCTTCTTCAAGCTCTGCGCAGACATGCTGATGATCCGATAGCGGACAAAACTTCCAAATCGTCGGTTGGGGCCCCGGCCTGTTTGGAAAGAGCAAGACGACGTGGAACTTCGACAACCCGATGCGTCGTGACACGGTCACGATTCCTGGATTCTCTCACGTTGTCATCCGTATCCTCGCTGACAACCCCGGTGTCTGGGCGTTCCACTGCCATTACCTCTGGCATGCTGAAGGTTCGTTCAGTCATTTCAGTATTACTTTTATCGTCTCTGCTGACTAACTTCAATCATAGCCGGCATGTTTGTCTCGATAGCCCAGAGAATGGGCGAGCTCTCAACGCTGCTTGGCTCACTCGACACCACGGGCAATGTCGAAAACATCAAGAAGAAATTCTGCCCGATCCCCAACGCCCAGGCAGCGCCGCCAGTTCCAGCTGAATCAGCCAAGCCGGTTCAAGTTGGCCGTGTGTAGCTGTGAAGCGATGTGTGAGTAGAGAATTGTAAAAAGAGAGACCTTATTAGAAGTACATACTTGATCAACAGCATAGCGGAGGTATATTCAAATCAAATCATTCACAATCACGGTGCTGTAGTGCGAGTGGTCCGTCATGTTCTCGGGCAAAGGACTTCGCAATGCTATCTCTATCTATTGAGTCTAAGACGAACAAAGCAACCAAGTTGAGGACAAGACGCCAAGTGACAGTCCGGCGAGATGGTCTATACCACGAGTGCCTGGGTGCTTATTTGTCCACTTAACCTCGTACAGCAAACCCCTCGAGTCCACCATCAGCCCATTCATCAACGGCCTTTTCGAATGCCACCGTTCCCAGACTCCAGCCCACAGTCGGCCCTTTGCTGCTGGGCTTAGAGGGGTCTCTGTAGTCGGTGAAGTAAGTCGGAGTGCAGTAGGGCACGGCAGCATACCAGGCCGCGTACTTCTGCAGTCCTTGCGTGTACTGCTGCTCCGCCTCTTTGCTGACTTCAACCTCGACCTTTTCGGCATTGGAAGCCTGCTGGACCGCCTTCTTTGCAATATGTGCCGCCGTCTTCGCAGCGATCGCCAACGGATACGTCGTGTTGGCCGAGCCCGTGGCACCCTTTGATGTGTAGAAGAGCAGGTTGGGGAAGTCGTGCGTAGCCACGCCGAAGAAGGTACCAAAGTCATCAGCCCCCCACTTCTCGGTCAAGCTTTGACCGCCACGGCCTCGAATGGGAATCCCGAGCACCTGAGAAGGGTCTCCGTCGACACCAGTTGTAGTCGCGAACCCAGTCGCCAGCACCAGCACGTCGACCTCGTACTCATTGGCAGCATCCCCCGTGCCGACGAGGATCCCATTCTCAGTATACCCCGAGATGCCCTGGCCGTCCGTGTCGACGAGGGAGACGTTGGGGCGGTTGAAGGACTTGAGATACTGCTGGTGGAAAGTCGGGCGCTTGCACCAGCCGGGATACCACGCCTTGAGCTTCTCCGCCAACTCCGGGTCGTCGATCTCATGGTCGACATGTTCGCGGAGTTTGGAAGAGATCTCCGCGTCTTGCTCCAGTAGGCGACCGATGTGGTCCTGGATGTTGGAGATGGTGACGTCCTTGGCACGTGGGCTGCCGATTAGTCCTGAGAACTGACGAGCGCGGCTCCATCCGTCTTGAAGGAGGTCATCGTCGGAAGTCACCTCCGGGTGATCGTTGAGGAATTTGTTCAGGTTCCTCATCCTCTCGTACTGCCAGCCGGCTTTTCCGGCAACCTTTGCCCAGCTCTCGGGGGTCGTCTGGACCTGTTCGCGAGGACCACAGTACGACGGAGTGCGTTGAAACACATAGAGGTGCTTCGACCACTTGGCGAGCTCTGGCACAGCTTGAACTGCAGTTGCTCCCGTGCCGATGATGCCGACTCTCTTGTCTTTCAAGTTGACCAAGTCGGGCTGAGATTGGGTGCCGCCAGTGTATTCGTAATTCCAACGAGCCGTGTGGAAGATTGTCTGATTCTTCATAAACGTCTCGAGACCTGGAACATCAGGGGCGCTGGGAGAGTAGAAGATGCCGCCGGTGGGGATGAGAAACTGGGCGTTCACGACGAATTCACCGTTCAAGTCGGCGTGCTTCGGACCTAGATTGCGTTCGAGTTTCACAGCCCATCGCTTCTTGTCGTCGTCCCAATCAGCACCCTTGGCTTTGGTGCAGAACATCCCCTGAATGCCGAACTTCTCGGCAATGCATTCGACATTTCGCCGGATTTCCTCGCCCTTGGAGTAGCGGTGCTGAGGAACGAATCCTGTTTCTTCGAGAAGTGGCAGGTAACAGTATCCCTCGACGTCGCAGGTCAAGCCCGGGTAGCGGTTCCAGTACCAGGTGCCGCCGAAGCCGCCAGCCACGTCGGCAACGACGATCTCCGAGGGCTTGAACCCAGCCGCGATCAAGTGGTAGGCGAAGAGAATTCCGCAATGACCGGCACCGAGGATCAGAAATTGGATCTCGGAACCGCCCTTCAAAGGCGCCGGCTGCTTGGCGAGTGCGTCGTAGTTGGCCCAGGGGTCTTGGTCCAGGTTGTCCAAGAGAGAGCTGTCTCTAAACTTGATACGTTCGCCTTTTCCGGTTGAGATGGCGACGTATCTCTTCGAGCGTTCCGCTTCGTATTTGTCCTTGATTGACTCGATGGCAGTCATTGTGAAATTGAAGATTGGTGGAGAGCAAGGGTAGTCGGGATGATGTGAAAGCTCTTAAGAAACGAGTGCCGTGAGACGTGATGTTGTTCGATGTGACTGAATGAGTATAATCTGGCCGAATTCTTCATCTTTATACTGGCCTTCCAGAAAAAACTGACGGAACCTCTCATCACGATTCACGACGACTCCCATGGTTACGGACGTCTCGGGGCCTTACTGTCACCGACTTCCCCATGTAGGAGGTTGGAACAAATCCACATAATCCAAAGCCACCCTCGTAGACGTACACAAAACATGCCTGAGTCTATTGAAAGACCGACGACGTCGGAAACACCCTGAAAACCCGAAGGCCCAAAAAACGAATTCATCTTGTCGGCATTTTGTCTTCTAGCTGGCCAATGAGATAAGACGAAACGCCGATCTAGGTATCCACTGACGCAAAAGCCGATGCCTGTGCATGATATCGGATTCCGCGAAGCATCACACTACCAAAATCAACAGATATATTTAAATAGAAAGTCTTGAAATCCATAACGAACCTTAAAGCTTAGGGAACATATAGTAAATTGTATGGTTTGAAGATCGTCGTTGTTGAGGTTTCTAGTTCTTCATTCCCAAGACGCCCTCCTTCACTAAATCATTCATCATTTTGGTTGTTGGGCAGGGTGATGTTCAATAGCTCAACCTGAACTCATCAATTCAGTCGTGGAATGCATTCTAATCCCGTTGACCAGCAAATATACTTGAATATCAGCTCTCCTTTACCCTTCGGAGTCGGTGAAGCAGAAACTGAAGGCCAGTTGACCCCGGGCAGACAGTTCGGACGAGCAGGGTGGTGATGTGACTTGTAATCCTAGCACATGACTCAGCAATCTAGTACTGCTCTTGGCTACATTTCAATTGGACAGTGAACCGACGCAGCCATCTTTTCCTCCCGTCCCCAAAGTGATCGACGGTTGCCGTCAACTCCCGTGCTGCCGAGACCAACTTGCCTTGATCCGAACATCTAGATGAACCAGTCCGACCGCTCTGGAAAGCTGAACCAGCGTACTCACTCAAATTATGCCGAACTTTCGTCGGAAGTCTTGCCATCAATGCAGATCCTCGAAATTAGCCTGCGACCGGAAGCAGCCACAGTGTTCTCGTTGTGAGCGTCGAAGTTGGCAATGCCGCTACTCCGCCATGTCAAAAGGTCCTTTATCAAGGGCCAACGAAAATCACCAAGCACCTGCATGTGCACCAGGGTCACCTGTGCTGGATATCCCAACCGTCACCTCAGCGACCGTGTCTGACGCAGAAGAGCTGGACCATACACGAGTGGGCAACTTATTCGATACCGCCGACATCAGCGATAGCCTCAAGAACACCTCTTGGCCTGCCGCCGAGTGTTGCGATAACAGCAACACAATATGGGCTGGCGGCAACTTCGACTTTTCAGCTCTCACGTCCACGGATTCGAGATTCGACGTGAGTCCAGACATCGTAATCGACATCATGGACGATATCAACCTTGAAATATCCAAACGAGCAAACTTCGAGCGATCCAGTCTGGTAGATCACAGCTTGTTACTGCGTCCGCGGCGGTCGAGAACCATGGAAGCGGCCATGACTTCAAAGATGATGTTGGGAACCATCCGAGGCTACCCGAAAATGCTTATCGACAGTTTGAATCTGCCTCCTTTCATTAGTCCCCCATGTTGTAACGATGAGCTCCGATGTCAAGAGTCAGGATTTCACCAGTGTCTTCCGCCACCTCTCGCTGCTTGTGCCAGCGTTGTCCGGATGTCGCAGGGAGATACCCCCGAAAACAGAGCTGTGATATGGCGTACTATTCACATGGAACAACAGAAGCTGTTTCACGAGGTAAGAGCATATTTTCCAGAGGCCTTCAGAGAAACACAGGCTTTTGAATTCTCTTTTGCTAAGTCTACCTACTGCAAAGCACGAGTCTTACGAGAAAGAGACACTGGTCGCCGCGGTTCAAGCTGCGATATTATACAACATCCTGCACATCACCGAAGTTGCATCGGTACCCAAAGACTATCTCAACTCAGTCGCCATCACTCTAGGTGTCCGTCTTTCTGTATACGCGCATGGTACTTGTGATTTCAATCTGACATCAAGTGATAGACAATGACCTATACAATGCTTGGTCTCATAGACCGACAGTATTGCGGGAAAACCGATGGGATCCATAGCCGTCCCGAGTGGATTTGTAACGAAAGCATGTGGAGGTGAGGCTTGCCCTGACTTTCAAGTCAGCTTATTTCTGACGCGTTTATGATCACAGAGCGGTGTGTTTCTGCTACACATTGAACGAACTTCTTCACATGGCTATTTCACCTTCCTCTGGCAACGGCGGCAGTTCATGCAGGAGACTACAGCTACCAAGCGTTCGCAGCGTTTGGTCGGCGAAGTCCAACATTGAATGGCAACGGCAGTATGCAAACCAGGCATCCAGACGACAAATGAGAGACTGCCTCAAAATCGCACATCTTCGGGAGTATGCCAAGAGCTCAGGAGAGAGTCTGATGAAGGAGGGTTGGATGACAGATGTCGAGGCTTGGTGTATGGATCATGATGATTTAGGGACATTGGTATGGATGGCGACAAAACTAGATCCTGTATAACATATCGTTAATAAGCTCACACTCTGAGATTGAATGTAAGACTTTATGAATCACGTTACGGCGTAGATGACGATGACCAATTTTTGCGCAACGGAACCATTATTTCCTAATTGAGTAATTCCGGATTCCGAGTTGGTCGCGTCGAAACGTCGTCGATGTAAGACAGATGATGAGACCCAATAACTCCAGCAAACCTTCATCGATATCTCAGATCACGCGTCGTAAGCGTATGTTTACTGTGCACGCAAATATAACTAGAAAAGCTTCTTGTTACAAATGCAACAAAGTGCACCACTGTCGCATCATGAACAATTAAAGTAGATAAGTAGGAACAGTGTCCGCGGGGTAATACGCGGAGTTTAGCGCTTCTTGGATCCGAACTGGCCGTTGTATGGTCGGACTCCGCGGACATGGACTTAAGCGATTCTCCAAATCCGAGTAAACTAAGGCGATGTTTTGGACAAGACTAGTCTCACGGCGAATGTTGAACTTCATTTCAAATGCACTTAAAAGTATAAGTATTCATAGATCTTCTTGAAAGTCTCATACAGGGCAAGAATCAAAATCACATCAATAACAAGCACGCATAAAGTTTGCATTGAACATCGTCTAGAGAGCAACATGGCATCCAAGAGAATCATTCTCATCACAGGTCAGATACCGGCGTATTTCTCGGATTCGAGAACTCGAGGAGGAATACAAGACTGACATGCATGTGTTCAGGAGCGAATCAAGGCATCGGATTCGAAAGCGCTTCAGCTCTCGCCGCTGCTTCCCCGGATCACCACATAATCCTCGGCTGCCGAAACCCGGACCGGGGCGCCCAAGCTCTCGAGGAGCTTCGAGCCCTCAACCCGGCCGGCACTCTCAGCGTACTGAACCTCGACATCACTTCCGATGATTCTATCCAAGCTGTGGCTGAGAAGATCACCACCGACTATGGTGTGCTTGACGTCCTCGTCAACAACGCGGGCATCATCGTTATGGATCCCAAAAGTCGTCGTTCGGAGCTAGTCGATACCTTCAACACCAACGCGGCTTCGCCGCTCATCCTGACCGAGGCCCTTGTGCCGTTACTCAAGAAGTCGAAGGACCCTCGCATTATCAATGTCTCGACAAGCTTAGCCTCCTTGTCAGAGCGGACCGACCCTAGTTCTGAGTATTACGGCGTCCAGAGCGAAGCATACCGCATTTCCAAAGCGGCGTTGAACATGGCGACTGCGCATATCATGTTCCACGGCAGAGATTGGGGAGCGAAAGTGTGGGCTTACTGCCCGGGATACGTAGTCACGAATCTTACGGGTGAACAAGATCGGTTGACTAGAAAGGAGCAAGGAGCGGATGACCCGAAGACTAGTGCTCAGGGGCTGCTCGACATTGTAATGGGTAAGAGAGATGAGGAGGTTTACAAATTTTTGGGAAGAAACGGAAAGCAACATCAGTGGTAAAGCATAACGTGATATAAGGGAATACTATCATTAGTTTGGCAAAATTGTCGTCGCTGGTCGACTGCTATTGTTCATCGTCGTATCGAAATCTCAGTGGTTCGTGTGATTCCTTGACCCTTGCCACCCCCCAGAATCATTTCTTCACTGCCAGACCCCGAGCCCCTACTCTCTTTCTTCTCGTAGACCGCGTTGGGAATATTACCAACAGCGGTGCGATGCGCATCCGGAGAACCAGCAAAAGGACCATCTTGCATCTCGTACTCTGCCTGGCTGTTATGTACCCTGTATCCTTGCCGACGCATCGAGTTGTCTGTTCCGTTCGGTCGTCGGTTCTCGTATAACTCGCCATGATATCGATCACTTGAAGAGATCTTGAGTGCGTGGCCGACCAAAGGTTTGAGGGATGGCGCGCATGCGGCAATGATTCCGAGGTTGAGCTGGAGACTGGAGGCAGCATAAGCAAAAGCCGGACAAAGGGTTAAATCATGCGTCAACTTACAACTCCCAGAACTGGATGCTTTGGTAACTACTTGGCGATTAGTGTGTTTGTTGTACTAGATGCAGTGAAATTGGAGTCTTACAAAGTCTTGTCCATGTCTTTCCCATAAGCAATCTGGTAAATCGACTTGATGATGCCCATGGCCACAGCACTGCACGCTTGTCAGCCAATGATACCAAAGTTTGTCGACACGCAGAGATAGTGGTGCTCACAAATAGCCAAGACTCAGTACAATGACTAGGTAGATTCTGGTTCGAAGCTTCATCTGAAGACTCCAAATGATGGTTACCGGAAGAGTTGCGAAACAAACGTCGGTGAATATGTTGAAAGCCGTGTTGATAAGGCCGAACTTGATGAAGAGCGTGATTGGGTAGCACTTAGGCTTGATGAGCTTGTTCCAGTATCCCTCCAGAGGTTGACAATAGAAGAAGAAGGTCATCCAAGCCATGATGCTGTAGGCTGATACAAACACTAAGGGACGTGTTAGCTACTCCAAAGATGACCATGGAGTTAAAAAACAACATACCGATCAATGCCCACAACGACCGAGAGTACCATACACTACGACTGAGTCGCAACAGAGAGAGGCCAATCGAGACCTTGAGAAGAGCTAGTCCTGCAATAGAGGAAATGATGGACTGGAAGAAACTCGATTTCCTCATGATGACCATATCATCTTCGGGGATGGTAAGAGTGTGTTTGCCGAGTCCATGGAAGGCCTGTACTGAGAATATGGTCATGCCTGCTACTGAACAAAGCTGACTGTGTCAACATAGTTCAACAGCAATTTGTTCAGTCGCATTTCTTACCACAGAAGCAACCATGACAAAGTCATCTCTTCCCATAACTTTGACAATCGACATGCGAGTGTAAACCCGGAGGGCAACGAAGAGCAAAGCAAGAGCATGGAATCCGCCAGTAACGCCGACGATCATGGCAGTGTTGCTCTCCGCGGCCCACTCGGGGTCGATCGGCTGTGCCGGTGCACCTGGTGGTGGGTTCGAAGACATGGTCGCCGAGACAAACGCAGGAAAAGGGTTAAACGATCAACATTGGCAGGCATTCATGAATTCAAGGAGGAAAGTCAGAATCAACAATAGGTAATGGGAATGGCACCAAGTGGACTGATTATATCCAAAAGGCTGACCACTCCTCGCCTAGGCGCAGGCACATCTGCGGAAAGCAATCAGGGCAAAAAAGAAACAAGGTTACGGAATAACTCTATCAGCCTCTCGCGAGCCGACTGGTGCGGGAAGTCGAGACCTAACCGGTGACAGGATGTGCTGCAAGATATTTCCTGCTGTCACAAACGTGCCGTTCCAGTCGCTTGCATCCGGCAGCCCAGTCTCTTCGCAGTTTCTGTAGGTGAGAAGCGTTTCAAGGTGCACCTTCCTCGAACGGAAGAAACGTATCAGTATCGGCATTAATAAATGGTGTGGCGAACTTCCCCGTTGAACATATGCATCCTGCGGCTGGCTCTTTCCAGAAGATTATGTCCGACTGGACGGGCTAGAAGACATCATTATTAGCCTGCATCTGCGGCACGGAAAGTGGGACGTGGCTCATCTATCGCTACCGGAGGTTTTTCCTTGCATGAAAAAGTGTGTATCGCGTGGGAGCCGAAGGCATCCTATGATCCTGTGGCGTAAAAGAACCAAAACACCACTTGAGAGAAATGTCTAGCTTGTATTCGACTCTGCTGTTTCTTGTTTCTATGTCCGTTCATATTCAACACCATGACAAAACATTTCGACGACACTCTCTGAACAACATCAATAGGAAGCACGAGAACCTTCATTCTCGCTTCTCATGTCTACGCCACGAGAAAAGGCAACAGAGGACGAACGCATGTAATTCATGTCTTTTGCAGCTTTCACAAGAGGAAGCCAGGGACTGATGAATTTCCTTCGCAACCTTCGCCTTCTTGGCTGCAGGACTTCATTTGTTAATCCCAACAGCACAAGCCTTCAATGTCACGGAGGCCAGTCACGCATTGTCACAAACACGAAGAAGCCAACGAAAGTTATACGGATCATGTGCTCCGAGTCTGTGGCGACCAATTGCGTACACAGACAGGCATAGCTCGGTCTCTCGGCCTTCTCCAAAAGGCGTTATACCATTTCCCATTAGGACGCCCGGTGAGGACGGTCAACTTGGCGTACAGGCAAAGGAACATGCCATTGCAACGGTCTCCGGTATCATGTCTTCACCAGGTAAATAAAACCGGGTTGTGTTGATCATTTGCCTCCTCTGTCTTCCCTGCAAGACTTACGTGCTTCCGGGTGTCCTGCCGATAATCAAGGTTAAACCATTTGAAGAGCGGGGAGGTCTTGGGGGCCAGGGGAAAACTAGGATAAAAAGCAAGAGGATTCGTCGGCATTCTTTAGCATCCAGGAGCCGCATCCGCTGCCAACATCGGCCCTGGCGCTCTCTTTGCTCAGATCCATGTTCTGGTGGCGTGAAGCGGGCCGAGATAGGGCATGTCCCGTCCTCCCCGTTGACACTAGTTGATATGAGGTGACAGTTGGTGGAGCTCCTGCATGGCTTAGCGGGATGGAACCAACACACTGTCACATTTCAACCGAGATGTCGACCGAGTTCGTCATGTTCGCTTCCCCTCATCAAATTTCCGGGGTGGTGCTCCCCGAGAGCTGTGCCGTAGAAAAGGTCGGGCAATACGTGGCCTGCGGCACCTCTCACACACACACATTCGAAAGACACGTGGAAAGCAGTCTCACGGCATTCTAGGTGCGGCGTAGAATGTTCGAAGCAGAATCCGGCACTCAATGATATCAGAGTGCCATGAGCAGTCATGTTCACGTTCGTCTGCCAGTCACTGGGACCTCGGATAAGACTACATATAAAGTTGCGGATACTCCAGATTTAGGGCTGAAAACAGATAACCTGAGTCGATAATCATGAATTTACTCTCGGAGACACTGAACTCCATGTTGTCCGAGCTTCCTAGGGATGCTCCTCTCAGTATCCATGACCGTCTCATCCGTCGAATGGTCATTCGATCGGATCTTGTCCTCAGTCTCCACCACTGTCGACCGCGCGAGTCCTCGGTCATGGGTCAGGGGTTCTCGAGGACTACTTTCCCCTCTAGGATGTCACCACCGAACGCCGAGACGGTCGAGTTCCTTCAACCCCCCCTAGTCTCTGCTCAATGGAAAGTTGACCAACAACTGAGTAACTCGTCAAAATATACTAAATGGTGGCAATGGATTCGTCCGCCAAGCTGATGGCAAGCAATAATATTGAAATTGGATTCGGCAGTGATGAAGCAGCATTCTCCTGACAAAGTTATTTTGATGTATATAGAGGTCTTCCGAAATACTCCATTGCCACGTTTCTGTGTTTCTTTTGCTCACCCTCCTTCCCCTCGCTGCACTCTGCCCTTGCAGATCTCTTCCCTTCTCCCCTCCTCTCGCAGCCGTGTCTGGTGCATTCGGAAACCCCTTTCATTAAAGTTGAACCAAAGCGTCAGGTCTTCTCTCCAAAGACACAATGCACGCCGTAAAGCTCTTGACTGTCCTCGGTCTGTCGGCCGCCGCTTCCGCCGCCCCGTTCGACGCGCCCCTCGAAACCCGAGATGCCGGGGACGTACTCACGGAGCTGCAAGCCAAGGCCATGGAGAGCCTCCAAGCTGCTGAGACCGACGGAAAACTGTCCAAGCGTCAGGGCTGCAACCTGTCTAATGCTCAGGTCCGCAGGGATTGGTAAGATATCGATGCTTTGGTTCTACACTACTATGCTCAATGTCCGCTGACAGTTTGGTCTTCAATTTTCAGGGCTGCCTTCTCTGCTGAAGAACGAAAGGGGTACATCAGTGCTGTGCAGTGCTTATTGACCTCCCCGTCCAAGTCGGATCCCTCTTTTGCTCCGGGCGCCCGCAACAGATATGACGACTTCGTTGCCGTCCATATCGATCAGACTCGCACCATTCATGGAACTGTATGTCTTCGGTCTTTGTGCGGCTAGTTTCGTCAGCTAACCCGGTCAGGGTAACTTCTTGACCTGGCACCGATACTTCACTTGGGCCTACGAGAATGCCTTGAAGACAGAATGTGGTTACAAGGGTGCTCAGCCCGTGAGTTATCTTCGAGATGATGGAGTGTCGAACTTGAACTGACTGATCACCTAGTACTGGAACTGGTTTGCCAACACTGATGACCCGCGAAAGTCTCCTGTGTATGACGGCAGCGAGACAAGCTTGAGTGGTGACGGCGAGTACTTCCCTCACAATGGCAGTGTCAGTCGTGCTCCCAACGGCAACATTGAGGTTCCGTCTGGAAACGGTGGTGGCTGCGTGATGAGTGGTCCTTTGGTCAAGTGAGTTTCCATCCCAACCTTCACCTGAATAGTCTGAATAGTCAAGCCTTGGGAATGTGATCTAACAACACAACAGCATGACCGTCAACCTGGGTCCTGTCTCACCCGGAATGGACGGCCTCGAGGCTAACCCCAACGGACCCATGGAGTACAACCCTCGTTGTCTTCGCCGCGATCTGAGTGCCTACTCGGCCTCAACCTGGATGACGACTCCCAACCTCGTGAACGTCACAATGGGTCAGGCATCCAAGAACGTCTCGACCTTCCAGAACGAGCTGCAGGGCCGCTTTGGGGACGGTTTCCTCGGTATGCATGCCGCCGGCCACTTCGTTGCCAACGGCGATGCCAGCGACCTCTACGCCTCACCCACCGATCCGTCCTTTTTCTTGCATCACGCCATGGTCGACCGCGTCTACTGGCTGTGGCAGGCTACACACCTGCGCCAGGCTTTTGAGATCGCTGGAACCATCACCATTCAGAACTTGCCTCCAAGCCGTGACGCTACCAAGGATGACTTGGTTCTTATGGGTGTACTTGCTCAGGACCGTCCCATCAAAGAGCTCCTGAACACGCTTGACGACTCTCCTTTCTGCTATATCTATGCATAGAGCGATCGCAATGAGGGGCTATAACGAGATGCAACTCAAAGGGTTGGTTTCCATAATCAGTAGTAAATTATTAGTAATAGTACACTCGTTCAGCAGCATGGTTCCTCAAATTTGAAAACATGAGCTTTGCGGTGATCATATACTTGTACTACCAACTCGTCCTTTTGTGAGCTAGGCTACAAGAGTCCTCGCGCCGATCTTACCCATTGAAGTCACTTCCTACCAACAACATTGTAATGAATCTCAAGCTCTCATCACACTGCAGGCGGCCAATAGGAACTTGGTGCAGCTCTTCAGCTTGCGGGATAAAACAGGGTCGGTGTCCAACATGCATTCGATGCTCCACACTCTCGCATCAGTCACCTAACACTACTACAGTAGAAGAAGAGGGCCACGCACAGTCACCCCTCTCCCTTGGCTTCCATAAGTTGCTCATCGTGCCAATTTGCTTGCGCCTGTTGATTCCATTCCCATACCAATACAGAAGCTCATCAAGAAGTCAAAATGGCCGAGCCAAAGACATACTTCATTCTTCGCAACACGGACTACAAGCCCGATGGACTCATCCAGCTCGGGCAGCTCATCTCTGACCCCCGCACGCCATATCGATGCATAGCCCCTCCCCTCAAACCCCTCCCAGCAGACCTCATCCACCATGCTTACAAGAAAGACTGGTCACTCGAGAAGTCCAAGGGCGCAGCTGGAGAGGTCGGCGTCTTCGCGCACTTCCTGACGGCGTTCACCGCGGAGACGTCGGCTAAGGCGTCACGGGATTTCAGCAACTCCTGGAAAGCTGCGACACTGGAGACGTCTTTTCTCGAACTTGGCGAAGATGTCGAATCTCCGTATGTCAAGGCCAGCGTCAAGGAAGCCGCGGTACAGAAGTGGCTCAAGCGCGATAAGTTCCTCAAGAAGGTCATCTACATGGTGACCGGAATCAGAGTAGCGAGGCAGCCTGGTGAGACCTCCTATGGTATGTCCAAGGGCAAAGGCGGCTCTGCAAAATTTGGTGCGGACCCGGGCACTGGAGGACTGGTTTCGGCTGGTGTGCAAGGGAGCCTCGAACGTACCAGAGGGATCACGGAAACCAGTACGCCTCCAGACGACTTTGTGTTTGCCTACAGACTGCGCAAAATTCACATCAGCTTGTTTAACAAGGTCACACTGGGCAAAGATCTATCGGGGGCTGAACTGCATAGGGGTGATTATGTGGGGGATGAGAGTGATGATTCTGACGAAGACGAGCTAGGGAAAGTGCCTGTAGTTGTCGGTGATATCGAGGAACTGTTGGTTGAGAAAAATGATTTCGGATCTTCTCTGCCTGCTCGGCATGAGAAAAAGAGTGGCGTTGACGAAATCGACGGCCGACGATGTTTGGTCATTCTTTCGGACTAGCAGTTGTAGCTTTCAGATTCAGATATATTTCACGTAGCAGCACAACCACCGACATTCGTGGTCTGCTTGGCGAACTCCCGGTGCTGAATCAAGACAAATATATTCTTTATGCTGCTCATGCAAAGCTATCCTAACTAGAGGTCATCCCAAGTTATGTCACTCAACTTGTCGGCAAAGAAGGAAAGCATCGGCTTGCCTCTTCCAGGTTGAAACTTGAAATGATTTTGCCTGCCCACAGTTGGCATCAACGTGTTGTAGCCGTTGATCCCCGGTAACAAGCTCATCCTCAACAGAACGGCTTTGACGGTCTCTGGTCTCTTCATCTCGACGCCTGGCTGGAAGTCCATACGAACTGTGTTTTCGTCATGAAACTGATACGTGATCGCCACGAGAGCAGCTGCGATCGGAGTTGCGAATGAAGTTCCGGACATTGTCGTCCAAAGACCACCAGGTTTGGGCTTCTCAACTATCTTGAGGCCTGTCTTCTCGCTCTCCTCCCTTAATTTCATAGGCCACGTAGACTCAATTTCGCAGCCGAGAATGCTGAAGCCGTAGTCTCTATTTGATGATAGTGGTTGTGGGTTCATCGTGGAAGCGTTGCCCTTGTGATCGCATGCGAATATTTTGAAGACACCATCCATTCTGGCTGGTAGGGAGACATTCGCCCTTGTGTTCCCGAAATTGCCTGCTGCACATAGCATGATGATGCGATTTGTTTGCAAAACATTTGATACTGCGGCTCTGATTTGTCCAGTCATGTCAAATTCGTATCCAATAGACATGGAGATAATGTCGGTTTTCCACGTCTCAATCGCATAAGATATTGCCTAGAAAACCATAAATGTCAGCTGCCGTTGCCTCCATCAGAGAAGCTGCTTAGACCATACCTCTGCTATTTTTCTCGCTCGATCACGATCATGGTTCATAGATGCCTGATTCCGGCATACCCGCGCCACTGAAACTTCTACGTCAGGAGCTAGACGCATTACCAGACCGACTATAAATGTCCCATGACCGTCTTCATCTACTGCAGCTTCAGAAGCGCCCTCGAAGTCTTTGAAAAGCGGTATGTCGGTGTCTTTGCGGTGCCGTCGCCATCGCTCGTTAATGTAAGGATGGGTCTCGTCGACCCCGGTATCGATAATAGTAAGACGAATGCGATCCATAGTCTCCTCATTGAACTCTTCTGGTAGGATTTTGTCACGAAACTTTAATGATCCATCCCTCACTAGGTATCAATAAAAGCGTCAGCAGCCGAATATTCAGCCCAAAAAGGAGAAAAGGAAGAGAAAACACCACAAGAAGAGGACCCTCCAAGATGTGCTTAATGCTGACTTACGAATTGTTTGCAGACTCTGATGTTGGTCTTGCATCGAAGAGAACAGGGCCCAAGTCGGAGTCTGTTGATGGAATCATCACATCAGTATCAGGTTTGTATTCGATTCTGCAAGCCTCCATCAACTTACCGGTCTCAGAGACCTCAGAAAGCCCAGTCCCTGCCCTGGATACACCCCGTTGAATAAATGTGTTGACTTGTTTCATACTCTCCATCGTCGTGGCTGACCTCCTCTTTTCTTCTTCATCTTGCTTCTGTTGTTGGGCCTTTCTTTCTTCGTCCTCTTTTCTTCGACGTTGCTCTTCGTCTGCCTTCTGCTTCTCAAGCTGAGCTCGCTCTTCGTCCTCCTTTCTTCTTCGTTCCTCTGCAATAGCCTTTTGCTTCTTAAGCATAGCTCTCTCTTCTTCTTTTCTCCTCTTCTCCTCAAGCCGTCTCTTTTCTTCCTGCTCATACTTCTAACGTTGTACTTCTCTCTCTTCCTCCTCTTTTCTCCTTTGTTCCTCTTTATCAGCTTTTCGTTTCATAAGTAGAGCCTTCTCTTCCTCTCTCTTCTTCTGAATCCGCTCCCTCAGCTTTTTTCTTTCCTCCATCTCTTTTATCTATTTTAGCCGCAGTTATTCAGCTTCCTTTCTTGCTTTCTCCTCCCTTTGGCGGTCTTCCAATATTTTCCTCTCTTTTCTTTCTTCAAGTAGCTTCTTCTCCATCTTCTGTCTTTCAAGCAGTTGCTGCGTCAAATTACACCATTTAACGATAGTCTTGTTTCGCCTCTCGATAATGAATCGTCTTACCCGTTGTCTGATTCTTATCAGGACCGTTTTCCATCTCTTTCGAGCCAGTAACCGCCGAGATAGTAGATACCACTCCTGCCGTATCTGTCTCTTACGAGGTAAATCCCGTCGAACTTGCGAGCGTACTTCTGCAAGACACCTCGCCCACCTCGCCCTCGCCGCCCTCGCGAACTGTTCTAGATACCCTTGCCAAACATGTCCAGCTTCGTTTTCGACAGTACAAGCGGCGTCTTTCTCATATGGTACAGCCGTTCGGAACGCCTCGATGCTGGACTGGACATTGGAGTAAACTTCATTTCCGCGCCTCTTGTCCTTAAGCTCCAAGACATAAAGGCCTGTTAGCCTCAGCCTCTCCAAGGTGAGTTCTCTCAGGTCATCAACGCTTTGGTCGCTGCCGGCTTTCTGTAATGCGCGGATCTTGATCTCGAGAAGCCTTGTTCGTTCTGTGGGTAGGCTGGACTCGTATTCGAGCAGCTCGTCGCAGAAATGTAGCACATCCAGTGCATCGTCGCTGACTTTGGTGTTTTCTTGGATATCCATGTTTCTGAGGGCCAGGTCTAGCGCTTCGTTATTCACTCGGGTGGCGTCTTCCAAATTGTTCCCTTCTTTGTGCTGCATGGCGATTTCAAGCAGGGTATGAACGAGCTTCTGTTGGGCGTCTCTGATAAGCAGCGGATCTGTCGGTTTTGTTGCCTTCCTTGCAGCTACGACTTCGCGACTGAAGTCCTCAGCACGTGAAAAGTCGCCGGATGCAAAAAGACAGCTGATCAAGTGCTCCTTGGCGAGTATGATATCTCGGTCGGATCTTGAAAGCTTGTTGATGCCTTCCCAGAGAAGAGCGTCCATGATCATTCGTGCTGCTTTTGATGCGTTGTCCTTGTTCTCCTTCAGCATGCCGGCTGCTGCGGTGACGACTCGTTGCAAGTCGTGTCTTTTGAGATTCCTGTGCTCCATTATACTCTGCTCGCTCCCATTCGATACGCCGGCCGCTTCGTCGACAGCTCGTCGAAAGCTGTGTCTCGTGGGATCCCCGCCCGTCCTTGGCTCCGGCTTTGATGTGCTCTTCCGGTCTGAACCATCAACTTTGACTGGGGATTGACGACTGCTCCTGGTCCTCTGAAGGTATATCTCCCTGGTCTTCTTGTCCTCTGCTGGCTCGCTGGCAGGTGAGAGGCCACGTTCGTTTTTCTTCGCCCCAGAATTGGGGCTTCTGCTATGTCTGCCTTGAAGTTTCTCTGAAAGAGAGAAATGAGAATCGATGTCCATCTCCTTGACCGAATCATTGGATTTGTTGACCTCGTCAATGCACCGCTCGCTGTGATCCCATGTGCTTTTCTGTGACTCGGACTTTGTGATGTCGACCTCGATGTCTGGCTCTCCTAGTCCCGGGGCTAAAAATAGGGAGATATCAATAAGATGATCTCTGACATGCCTTTCTAGAGCCTCCTGAGCTTCTTTGAGGTCTCGATCTGAGTAACTCTCCTCGATCTCTACTGGGAAACCTCCACAGAAAGGACACTCCTGTAAGGGGTGCTGGTCATGAAGCTTGCTGTGCTTAATCAGAGTTGGACGAAGTGTGTCTATGATTTGATCCTGGTGGCAATCTATGAGATGATTTTCCAGATCTTTTGGTGTCAAAAACACTTTCATAGAAGAAGTTGCGTTTTCGCAATGCCAGCAATGCCACTTTGGTGGAGAGTGCATCTCGCGCATGTGACTAAGCCAACCGGTATACGAGCCCGCACACGTAAATGGCAATGCACAGTCGTCGAATACACAGAAGAACGGCTCGAAATCGCAAATTAGATGATTTCTAGTTTTCATAAATATTAGCAGCTTATAGACCACACAGCCGTCGCAACTTACATCCATTGTTTCTGCCCGCTCACTTCGTGGGCTGGGTGAATAAGAAAACAGTATGGGCAAGTAAAAGAATTATTTCCAGGATCTAGCTTTGGTATTGGAGGCAACTTAGACAAAGAGACCTTAACAGATAAGACAGACTCTGGGCGTTTTGTGTAGCCTATTGCTGGAAGTCTTTTGAAGTCAAGCTTGGTTGCCACCGTACTCGACATTTTCTCACTTGGCTCGACGCCAAGCACATTGAAAGTGGTTGCAGACTGAGATGGCAGCTTGTCGGCTGGCGTGAGAGGTGGTAACGTAGAATCGTCTTTCTTCTCATTATCTGAGGCCTCGCTTTGAGGCAGATTGGGGGCCTTCTCTTGTAGCGTTGAACGCTTTTTTTGGTGCTGCTCGAGGTAAAGATGCCGAGCCCAACGTGTTGCTATTGACTCCGCCATGCGTTTGCGTAGAATCTCGCTCGCATGGCGAAATAGGTGGTCAAACTTCTCGCGTGCGCATCGTTCGAACAGTTGGTACACTTGTTCATTGGCCTTCAGGTTTTTGAAGCGCTCAATGCGTTCGTTCCGATGCTGTGTGCCTGCTGTGTACACAGTCCAAGCTAATTGATTGAGGCTGTTGATGCAGTTGTCAATCGACGACCATACTGGCGATGCATGTGTGAAGGCGTTGTCCTCGCTGGGTACTTGAGATTCCTGAAACGAAGGGTCATATGAGCGATCTGAGGAGTTATCTGAAGAATCGTCTGATGCGTTCTCTGCTGAGATTTCTTCTTGGCCTTGCATATAGCATAGAGCCTTATCTGGGATAGATTTGTCAGATTATAAATACCAAATTGTCTTCAGGCAGGATACACTTACCGGTATCGCGTTTGAGAATCACCAGTGATTGCCTGACTAGCTCGTAAATTTCGGGCACACTTTTCAGCCGAGAGACAAGCGAGTGATGACCTTCACGGAACACCCCTATATTTGCTGCCCAGATATTGAAGCTTGCCATCAACTCTGTTGCGTAGTCCTCGTTGACATCGTCAGACCAATTGTCAGCCGATAACTTGTGGAGAGATGTTCGGCATTCAATCGACAGCTCTCGAAGATCTGACATTGTCTCGGCCGAAGTGCGAGATCCAGGAGGGTCTTCACCATCGCCTTCCATCGTGGAGATGAACGGCGTCAAAGGCTCCGTAGCTTTTCTTGGATTGTGAGGTCAGAGTCAATTGCAATGCGCGGCGCAATGGAATTAAGCTGAAAAGGATTTCCCCTCAACTCAGCCGCGCTCGAAAAGCCAATGAGACCTTCCTGTTTGCGCGATTACTGACGTCCAATCATGTATCTCGGCATGCAGCTGGTTGGACCGCACAACCATAAATCATGCCACAGATTGCTGTGACTAAGCAGTTGTTCCAATGTTTTCCCCGCCCGAAAACACCGACAGCGTGATGATGGAACTTCTTCACTCCCTAATACAACGCCATGAGGGCCATGCGCCTGCCGTCGGCCGCCCTCTGGTTCGCGGCCCCGCCGATGTACGACACAGAAGAGATATATGACCTTCTTATCGCGATCATCCCTGCCTTCGATGTGCTGGCTGATAGTGTATGCACACGACTAGTGGCGTCCGACAGCAGCGAAACAATAAGGGATTTCTACCATCATTTCAAGACCAAGATCTTCATCATACGAAAGGTTCTTCGGGTCTGGAACCCAGCTGAGCGGATTGACAAGTCCTCTGGAGATGAGGATGAGTTTCGGAGGAAGTTCTCAAGGCTCTTGCAAGCGCTCGAGTATCGCTGCAAGTCATGGAAAAGTGACGAAGCCCAAACAACATGCGAAAAACTCCATCTCAAACCCAGGGAGAATGAGCTTTATCCTAAGCTGTGCGCCTTAAAGGGAATCCTGCCCGAACACGACGACCCCGATCGAAAGCTGGTCAAGCAGCTGAACGATCTTATTCGAATCGATAATAAAAGTGCGCATAAACGAAGTTTACTGCTGAAAAACCTCGATGAAGCATTTCACTATTTAAAAAGCCAGCACAAACCCGAAAGAGATTCCAGTTCACCATGCCCGATCAAATTTACGGAGTACCCCCTGAAAGAGGCGCGGGGTCTCAGCAAGATGCTCTTCAAATCGATTCAGAAAAATTGGTGTTGCCAGTGCCATGGTAGTCCACCTCACGCTAGACGCCAATTACGCTTGAATCTAACCGAAAACCAACGATTCGAGACGGCTCCAATTGAGGGGCAGTATGGACCTTACAGGAACGCCCTCTTCCGCGTGTTGTTTCCTACTTCCAGCTCACGTGGAAATGAGTGGCAAGACACAGAGATTGCGGTGAACGACATGAACCCAGAGTAAGTTGAGGACTTACTTGTCAACGGATACAACTAACTTTCATATAAGTCTGAAACGACTCGAGCACGCTACAGATCGCATTTGCCAGATTGTTCAAGAAGTGGGACACCGAATCCGGCCAAAGATGGCAGTGTTCAAACGCGGCTCGTTCGAACACGAATTGTGGCTGCTGGATCCCGACATTGAACGAAAAGGTCGACTATCACAGCTGCGAAACAATGACTTCAAATCCTTGAGAGAACTTCTTCGACCAAAGGAGGGACATCACCGCTCATTGCTGTCTACCGTAGGAACCAGAGATCGTCTTATTCTTTGCTTCGTTCTAGTTACATCTCTCGTGCACTTTGTCAGAGGGCCATGGCTTCGATCGAGTCTTGACGGCGATAATGTTTGTTTCTTGGTGTCCCAGTCACGAAAGGTGCCTGATATTACCAAGCCTTACCTCACAACAAGCTGTTCTTCTCCGAAACCGAGCGAGGCACAACGAAGGTTGAATGAACCACATCGATTTCCAGACATTCTCTCCGTGGGAATTCTACTTCTCGAAATCATGAGCGGGGCATCAATCAAATTCCAAGAACCATCAAACCGCTGCGTTGACGCACTCGATTACATGGACGAATGGATGGGGATTTCTAAGGCCGACCGGTCAAGGACCATTCCCAGCGGGGCCTACCAAGCCATTTCTGCATGCGTTGACCCAAAGGAGTTCAGAAATAATATGCTTGATAAGATGTCGGTAACCGATTTTGAGATCAGAAAGTATATTTTTGAGAGAATCTTGTACCCTCTGCAGGAGGCTCTTTCAACCGCCTATAACATTGAGACGGGCACTCTGCACAAGGAAATCTCTCAAATCAAAGCCGGTGTAACTGGTTCATTCGACCATCAGGATGAGAAGGGCAAAGAAAAGTAAGAATTAAGGGACCGCTATTTTTCCTCTGCTGACGAAGAATCGTAGGCGAGATGCAGCCACCGCATGGCGCACGCACCTGAATGATGTGTACGACGTGTTTGATAAGTGCGAAGAGAGATTGAATTCATGTCAAGGTTTATCAGACGCGGACAAAAAGGCAACTCGGGCCAAGATCGCGGTCCTTGATACCGGCCTCCAGCTTCCGGACATCCTGTGGGAGAACTACAAAGAGCGAATAAATGTCAAGCAATCAGAAGACTTCGTTCATTCCAAGGAATCAGAACCTAAGCCCTACTGGAGGGTTGATAATGACGGCCATGGCTCTCGCGTGGGGCAGATAATACTCGACTTCGCTCCTGCAGCCGACCTGCACGTTGCCAAGGTGTTCGATACTCGAGCCGATTTGTCAAATCACGACTTGGTCGATGAAGTTCACGAACGCATTGTCAAGGTAGGGTCTGTTGAAGCACTTGAGGAAGTCGCATATTAATGAGCCTAGGCAATCAATCGTGCGACCGACGAATGGCAGGTTGACATAATTATTATGTGCTTTGGATTCGACAAGCCAATACCTTTGATCCGTGAAGCGATTGATAAAGCTTCGAAAAGCATAAAACCACCCCTGTTTTTCGCAGCTACCCGTAACGATGGCGCTCATAAACGCATGGCATGGCCGGCTAGAGACCGCATGGTGATTGGTATCAGCTCGACTGATGGATATGGAACCGCATCTTCGTTCAACCCTTCAGCAGAAGGTGAAGAGTCTATACTCTACACTTTTGGCGAAGGTGTCCCTGTCGAAGTTGTTGCTCCCAATAGCCCCGACGAACTCATCACAAAGTACATCTCCGGGACCTCATACGCCACTCCTGTAGCAGCAGCACTGGCGTCAAGCCTTCTGGGTTGCGTCCGTATGACGTTTGCAACATGTTTGCCGGAAGACGAGTTCCAGCATATTCCACAGGACTTGCAGGGGCTGAGAGGTATGTTGGCCGTGTTGAGGCATCGTATGCAGAGGGAGCATAACGGCACAAGAACATGGAGTCTGCTCCCTTGGGATTTCCTAAATGTCGAGTGTTTCGTTGAAAAGAAGATTCTGCAGGACATAGCCGAGGTGCTGTCCTCGTATGGTTGATGACTGTATCTCTTATCCAGCTCTTTTGGCCCTCTGGCCTTGTCATACTATCTTCAAGTTCTAGTCTTATATCAAGATTTTCATAGCATTTTTTCCTTGTTGTAGATGGAGCTTTATGATGGAAACATGACAAATGGTGCGACGTATCGGTTGGAATAAACGACTTTGCAAGAGAATGTTTCTGTATAGACACAGGAAAAAGCAGCTAACTTGATCGTCTTTGCCAACTTACTCAACATTCTCCCACGTGTCCGCAAATCCTAGACTTCCATCGATTTCCTCGACATCAAACATGTCCCGAATGTTTGTCTCTACTTCATCAATCTCCCCCTTCTCAAATACCGCGCCTTTGACAAAAGTGCTGTTCGAGGAGGTCCCCGCACCCTTTTTGGGTTTCATCTTCAGCAGTTGGTAGGCGAAGATATAATCAGTCGAACCGCCGTACGAGATGCCTCTCATGTTCTTGGACTCCCAAGTCGCCTCATGTCCTACATCCACAGGCGCACCCGTACTCGTCCCATCCACCTTAATGTCAGCACGCGCTGACGTCTCGGTGCTGCTTGTAGTGGCGACGCTAGCTCCCCTCGCAATCTTGATGCCGGTGATCAGATAAATTGGTTTTCGCCAGTGGTGCACGAAAAGATAAGCTCGAACTCCGACATCCTCGAGTACTTTGGCAAGGTAGTCGTCATCTGGGACGAAGTACTTGGTCTCCAGACTAGCAAACTTGTGGTCCTCCATTGATTCTTTGAGCTGGCCGAAGTTCAAGCCCCCTTGGACAAGTTGGAGGCATTTTGCCCAGATACCAATACTGCCAGAGCGTAGCTTCTCCAAGGTAGTCTGCCAGTCGGTCTTCTCCCCCTCATAGACCTTGGGTGGCGGAATGGGATCAGCGCTGCTCTTGGGAATTCTGCTCTGAGGGTTCTTGGGGTCTTTGATCAGCCGCCCAAGAACAACTATGTCGGAGTCTGCGGGAATGTCCCAGTTGGGCGACGGCACGTAGGTCGGCGTGTTTGAAGACATGACGATGCTGTCAGTGGAAGTCGGCCGGGCGGGGTACACGCAGGAGTGGGACACTGTGAAGTCAGAGGATATTGGAGGGGCAACTCTTGAAGATGCGGGATTGGTTCTCTTAAATAGAAGTGCTGCGCCAGCATGCATATCTGTCTGAAATCACCTGACTTGGTATTCGGCCTCCGCTCACCCACCTTCTCTTGCATTGCTTACTGCATAAAGATTTCCAAGCAAGCGTAGATTCCATTGCGTGGGATAGACCTGTTGCTCTTCTACAAGATGATCTCCGATAGTTTGCTGTTGAAGTCGCCGTCCAGTCGTAAGAAATCGTCGTAAGAAGTGTGGTACATATCGATACTCTATGTCAGCCAGTGTACATGTGGCCTGCGATTTCGAAGCCGCTCAATAAAGCGCAGCAAAACTTTTCTTAAGCTCAGTTTCACTCTTACCAACGAAGAACACAGGCTGCGTTGGACGGTCATTCGCTTCTGAAGCCCAACTGGGGGCCCAGCATGTTATATGCAGCGAAGTGGAATCGACAGCGCAAGGGTTGTATCGCTACTAGCGACGATGCTCTGATTTCCAAGGTTTCATCTTGATCCCGCATATCATTACCTACTCGTTATTTCCAAGACACAATGGTATTCATGAGATGATGTATAACTATATCAATCATGGTGTTGAATACATCGACGCTATGGAAACCCAAATGTTAAGCCGGGACCCCTGTCTCGCTAATTCGACGGCGCTAAACACGACAGAACTCCCAGCGCAACATGTACATCACCCCGGAAGACTTTCACATCCTCGGATATCGATTATGGATGTATGGGTTGATGGTTGACAGTACTTCAACATATTGACTCTCAAATGTCCACCGGACAACTATTTCGACAGCAGGTTTTCGCGTCCAGTCCACTTTGTGAACACAGCAGCAGATTATGTCTAGGCATTTCTAGCTGGAACGTATGACCCGTAATGGCAATTCTACATTATGAATGATTAATTACATTATCTTACAGTTCATCCTTTCCGACACCTGTATCTAGTCATTTCGCAGGCTTGCACTCCCAATTATCCGCATTCTTCGGGCCCGAGCCGTTGTCCTTGAACGTATTACGCAACGGGTACCTGCAATGTTTGCGCTGGAACTCAACACCCTGATCCGCAGAGTCGTTAACGAACTTGGTCCCCTTGATCGTATCCGGAGCCGCACCGCTCTCAACCCAGTTCACGACGGCCGCGAGGACATTGTGCTCCGCGTCGAAGGGCAGATTATCCGCAATCGAAGCCGCGCCGCCTCCCTGGCCAATGACCCACGCGCCCGGCCCCGCGTTGCAGTGGAACATGCCCGAGATCTGGAAATACCGCGCGAACTCGTCCATGCCCGCGTTGTCCAGCTTCATCCCCTTGAGCAGGCGCTCGTAGAAGACGGGCGTGTGGAAGCTCGTGATCTGGTTGTCCTGCAGGCCGTGGTACATGAGCAGCTTGCCGCCCCTGTTCTTGAACGCCGACAGGTCGCTCGGGTTCGTGCGGACTCCGCCCGGGTTCTTCTGGTCGGCGAGGACGCCGTCCCGCTCGAGCCTGTACGTGGCCGGGTCCCACTTGGGGTCGTTGTGGACGGCGAAGCGGAACCAGTTCTGCGAGAGGGCGAAGGGCTTGCCGCTGTACAGGCCGTCGGCCGAGACGAGCTCGCTGCCGGGGTTCATGGCGGGCCAGAAGAAGGTGCCGTTGGGGTAGTTGGTGGGGCTGAAGATCTTCCTGACGATGTCGATCTGGGCGTTGGTGAGGCACTTGCTGCGGTCGGCGGTGCGGGAGTTGCACCTCAGCCGCTTGGGCTCGAACACGCAGCGCGAGGGGTCCTCGAGGATGCCGTCCTCGGCGCCGTCGAGCTTGTCGCACTGCTTGAGGATCTCGTTGTGGATCGTCGTCTTCCAGACCTCGGGCTTGATGAAGTTTGGGGAGCCGGCGGCCCCGGTCAAGGGGAAGAAGCCGGCTCGCCAGGAGTAGAGGTTGTTGAAGTCGACGGCGGGGGCGCCGGCTACGATGCCGTCAAAGTCCTCGGGGAACATGTCTGCGGCCTGGATGCCCTGGCGGCCGCCGAGGGAGCATCCCAGGTAGTACGACTTCTTGGTCTCCGTCTTGTACAGTGACTGGACGAGCTGCTTGCCCGCGACGACGCCCACGTGAAGCCTAAGAGTATTCTTGAGCAGGGTGACGGAAAAATTGGGCAAATAACATACGCTCTTGAGGCAAAGTCCAAGACCACCTCGTCGTTGTTGAGGAATTGAGACGCAGTAGTCCCGTCGTGTCCGTTGTTCGTGCCAACAGCCGCAAAGCCGTTTGCAGTGGCATATGCGAGATCCTCATGGTGAACGCCTAGTCATCAAGTCAGGTCAAACGGGTCGTCCAACTCACACCTCGACTAGGAAAAGACTAAGAAAAGACTTACATCCGTCAAGACCTCCACCACCGACAGTAACCAAACGACCGTTCCACTTCTCGGGCATCCAGACCTCGGTCACAACCTCCGACTTGCCCGAAGTGGTGACGTTCATGGCAACGCGACAGATGTTCGCTCTAACGACCTGGCTCGACCGGCCGCAGGACTCGCTCTGCTCGGGGAACTCGAGCTTGGTGCCGGACGACGCGAACTCCAAGACCCGGATCTTGGAGTTCTCGACCGTCGTCTGCGGGGTGAGAGCGAGGCAGTCATCCTGTACCGCCGCGAGCGAGGGCGCGGCGAGCGCGAGGACGGCGGCGAAGGCTACGAGAATCATCTTTTCAGCAGTGAACGCCAAGAAACAGTACTGAACTTCGACCTAGTCGAGGATCGAGAGAAGAGGATCAGGAGGAGAGAAAGACCGGGCTTAAGTAGTGCATTCTGGTTTTTTTTTTCTCGGCTCAACGGTGTAGTTCAATTAGACCGTAGCTCAAACTATCATGAGGGGAACCCGGTTCCGGGCGGGGTAGGTTGGAGAGAAGACCGCGAGGGGAACGGGAAATTGGAATCCATCCCATATTTACCGCGTCGCCCCATGTTCGGGCGATCCCCTAAAACAAGTAAGCCAGTGCAAGACTTTAGCTTCGCAGACCGTCAGGTACAGCATTTCGAGACACTCTGTGAGCTTTTTCCCAGCAACGGAACCATGTGAAAGTAGCCATCTGAATTTTTGAAGATGTAGGGAGTCCGTGATGAAAGCGCAGAGAGTGGGAGCACGGTTCCAGGGCTGAGGAGCTACGGGCCACAGTCTGGACGCTATTGCATGTGGATCAGCTGGGGTAGCTGTGAGCGAGCTAGGTTTATCCCCGCAGAGCCAGGTCGGTAGTTCGTTGGCTCGGCGCCTTCGATGCCGAGATCCTGGGACTTCAGGGTCTCTTCTGTGAAACAGCAAGATCCAATAGGGAGCGACGGAAACGAAACGCGCAGGCAGCGATCTGGTGGTGGTCGGGCGTCATAACGTGCATAGGGGACTTGGTGGGCGGTTGGTTGCTCGAGCAGCTATGTTTAGCTTGAGTTACCTCGGCACCCAGGAACCATTCGCTCCGCGATTCTTCATGGTGGTGTGATTGCGCGAATGACCACGAGGCGCTGCCTAGCGTTACAGCATATCCTCGGAGAGATAGTGTAGGCAAAGTTCATGTTATTCCAGCAAGTCATCGGCATAATCTAATTCAAACAACACCGAGAACGATAGTCGTGAAGGACCGAGTTCCAGGACATTCGCTCACGTGCTGTTCCGACTCAAGATCTCCGATTTTGAGTGCCTCTCAGACAAGCAATCGAATACCAAAACTTTCGGGTGAATGTCTTGATTGGCTGATTCTCCACGCTGTTCCCCGTTCAGGCAATCAACGCCCGAAAAGCTTTGCGCCAGAACGGAGGTACGGCGCCGGGCAGGCCCGGTCAAGACCCACAACCGGGTCCCGTGCTTCGGAGGGAGCACCGGACCCAGATGTTTGCTACGCAACTGCCTAAAATCTTCAGGCAGACCTTTGACGACGAAACGTCAAAATTCGCTGTTTCTGCGGGCATTCCTCCTTTTTCCAAATCACCAACCGCCAATTGACGTTGATTTTTTTCGTGTCCATGAGCCACAGTACCAGCCTCGAATCGACACTATCCGCCCACCAACAAACCAACACGGTTCATCCTAGGCATCCAGTAACATCCAATCCTCCCCTCTCCAACACCAACACCAACCCCCCCCCCAAAATGCCAGTCCAAATCCAAATCGTCTCCGACCTCCATCTCGAGGCCACAAAAGCCTACGACTACTTCGCCATCCCCCCCAAGGCCCCCGTCCTCGCCCTCCTCGGCGACATCGGCACCCCGGCGAAACCCCACGAGCCCGCCTTCCTGCACTTTCTCGCCCGCCAGCTCGCCGCCTTCCGCGCCGTCCTCTTCGTCCCCGGGAACCACGAGGCCTACCGCTCCAGCTGGCCCGAGACGCTCGCGATCCTCCGCGCCTTCGAGACGGAGGTCCGCGCGGGCGCGGGCGCGGCGCTGGGCGAGTTCGTGCTGCTCGACCGCGGTGTGTTCCGGGTTCCGGGTGAGGATGTCGTCGTTCTCGGGTGTAGTCTTTTTTCTCGCGTCCCGCCGGAGAGCCGTGAGGATGTGGGGTTCGGGTTGAATGATTTCTTTCAGACGGGGGATGGGTGGGATGTTGACGCGCATAATGAGGCGCATAAGAGGGATCTCGAGTGGTTGAATGCGCGGGTTGGGGAGCTCGAGGGTTCGGGGGTTGAGATTGTCGTGTTTACGCACTGGAGTCCTTCGAGGGACGGGAGGGCGGCGGATCCGAGGCACGCCGGGAGCGCGATTACGTCTGCGTTTTCGACGGATTTGTCTGGGGAGGTGTGCTTCCGGAGTAAAGATGTCAAGATCTGGGCTTTTGGGCACACGCATTTCAACTGCGATTTCACGGTTGAGAGGGAGGACGCGCCGGCGCTGAGGTTACTTGCGAATCAGAGGGGTTACTATGGCGAAGCTGGGGGATTCGACGTGGAGAAGGTTATTCAGCTGTGATAGCTTGCATGGAAGGCTCGGTAGATTTGAGAGTACATAAAATTTACAGGAATGCGTGCCCGAGAACACGACGAGGCCGAGGCGGTGGATCGCCGAGAGGCACCAACCGCAGCCCCCGAAACCCGGCGGTGTCCCACATGTCGTGCGACATCTCAGTCTCCTCGTAGCCCAGAGCGCGCAGGAAATAAACGACCCGGTATTCAGATCCCCCGTCGTCCCCCTGGGGTGCCCTGCGGGCATCGCTGCCCGCCCACTGGACGATGAGCGTCTCGGAATCCGGACGCCCCTGCGTCATGAGCTCAGATGGGTCCCCTATCATCGGGAACAAGGACCTCGGCACGGCGCCGTGTCTGAATCTCGCCAGCTCTCCGAGCTCGAAGGCGCCCGGAGCCCGCGCCGGGGTGGTTGCGTTGCTGAGATAGGCGTCCCTCCTCTTCAGGTCTTCTCAACATACGTTCCGCCCTGGGCCGCGTGGGGCCTCACCGCGGATCTTCTTCATGGCCTCTTGAGACTCTCTGCAGGCGAGGATGATGTGATGACGGGTCGGCACAGGAGCGACTCGTCGCGTGGCCAAGGGCTCTGTACCTTCTTTGGCAACGGCAGTCCAAACGTACGGCGACGTCGACAGCGCTGAGGTCCAGATCTGGAAGCGTAGTTCCGCAGGCAGGGCGCCGAAGCTTTTGAATTCCGTCGGTGTTGACATGCCGGGCGAAGAGCGTGTCTCCAGGTTTGAAGCAGCGTTCTTTTCTAGGCAGTGTTTCCAGGGACGAAGTGGCTGCCCAAACGCTGAGCGACTGATGCCATTCTTACCTTCTCCACTAACACGATGGATTTCGGCCAGGCTCACTGTATCGCCATTTCGCGATCCACGTCGACCCAGCTCTTCAGACTGTTGGTGTTGACAATCTCGCTCCGATCAAGGCGCGATAACGCCCTCGTAAAGTCGCGCATGTACTCAGCAGCCCGCCGCGCAGGACGCTCGTGGGCGTCGAAGGGGCAGTTAAGCAGCGTCACCGCCACGTCCCGGACTTTGTACGTCTGTTACTCCAGTAAGCTACCAACCAGCAGATACCAGCGCCTCGGTACAGTTGCAACATACCAGATACAAGCCGTTGGGCTCGAGATAGATGTACGGAATGCTATGCAACAAATGCAGCATCTGCCGACAAATGTCCTCCCTCTCGGCCCAGTTCGCCTTCAACGCCGCCGCGACGTCCTCGGCCCCCATGGCGGCGGCCGGCCCGATCGCGCTCTCCTGCAGCACGACGTCGACCTGCTCCAGCAGTATGCTCTGCAGCCACAGGTGCGTGACGTGGATGTTCGCGCGCATGATCTCCGACTGGCCGTGGACGATCTTGGAATGCTCCGACGCTCGGCCCTGTTGATCCACTGCCGCCGTCGCCGCCGCCGGGCTGTCGTAGCTCGACGACCCGGCCGGCTGGCTGTCCCCCGCGTCGTACCTCGGCGTCGCGACGGGCGCCGCCGCCGCCGCCTCGAAGCTCTCGGTCGACGCGGCCCACTGCCGCATCGGCCCGGGGGCGTCGTCGAGCATGTACCGCATCTCCTGCAGCAGGTCGCGCAGGCGGGCGAGGCGCACGGCGGGGCCGCGCCTGAGCTCGCACTCGCAGCCGGTGTTGGCCATAGCCTCCTGCAGGCCCTTGTGGAAGACGCGGGAGTGGAGGATGAAGGCGCTCGCGAGGGTGACGGGGGGCTCTTGCGCGCCGCCGGGGGTGCCGGGGGAGACCAGGGGGGGCACGGGGGGGATGACGCGGGTCTCGAAGATTTGCTCGTCGTCGACGGCGAGGGGCATCAGGGCTTCGAAGTTGACCTCGCGGATGTCCTTGGAGTTGAAGTAGGTGAGGTGCTCCGAACGCCCGCTCTGGACTTTGGTGTGTCTGAGATATGTTAGTCGTGAAGTAGCGAGGCGGGGTATCAGGATGGAAGTCTCACGCCCATGCATAGAACAACAACCAAAAGGCCTTCTTCCTCAGCTGTGTCTCGATGCAGTTCAGGCCTTCGTAGTCGGAAATCCGATGCAGCCCCAACAATTTGGCGAGTTGCATAAACTCGATATCGAACATGCGGCTCCGGTTTGCCTGCCCCGTCTGGAAGCACGCCACGGACAAGACGTACGAGACGGCCCATTTCCTCAGGTTGATGTGGTCCCAGTACCTGGCGTCCCTGTGACGGGTGGCGAGCTCGGTGCAGCAGCTGATGAAGGCGGTGCGTGTCTCGAAGCGGATGCCGGCCTCGGGGTCGACGGCGCGGTAGACGCGGAAGCGCGACGGCAGGAGGCCGACGGTGATGGCGACGAGGCTCATGAGCAGGGCGAAGAAGTCGCGGTCCGTCACGTCGCGGTTGTTGGCGAGGTCGTGACGGAAGGTGGGACGGTGGACGACGGGGACAAGGACGTAGACCAAGTCGAGGTAGTCTGCCATCATGATGTTGATGAGGGCCCTTGAGCAGAGCTCGTCTGTCGGAAAACCTTGACCGGATACCGATGGCGAGTCGGTGCTGGCGGTGACGGCTGTTGTGCGTGGTGACGGGCCACTGATGATAGGGTGTGAGGCTTCATATGGCGACCTTGCTTGCGAAGCTATTGGCAAGCAAGGTTCGTCTGGAGGTAAGACAAGGAGTGGCTCATGAGTCAAAGTTGTCTGTGAATCTGACCTCTCCGGTCGAGGAGTCTCGATCTCATTTGTCCGCTCACAGTCACTCAGATCCGACATTGACGGGAGACGTTTCCTGCAGGGTGTGTAAGCGTACATGCACAACATGGTAGCATCGTCAAACTAAACAGATAAAGTCCCCTGTTACCCCGGATCGCTCACCTTCGCTTCGGCCCCCGAGGCCTTGTGGGCACAAGGAAGCTGCATACGATTCCAAGCCGGAGGCAATCGCGGCACTGCGCCTGAGATCCGGCGACGGATGGAGACTGGGCGTCGTCAAAGTGGCATTTCCTCCTGCGGGCGCGACACGCATCGCATGCCCTGCTGGCTAAACTCGCCCTGGCATTGGCGGTAGCATCCGGCGTTTTACTGCTTCTTCTTCTCCTAGGCGATACTGATGGCTGAGGACTTGATCGACGCATGCTGTCGGCGACCCATGATGGGGTGGAAGAGAGGGCCCGAGAGAGTGGTTCGTTTCGGCGAAAACGCGGAGAGAAAATGAGGGGGAGAAATGGGTGAAGAATGCGGAGAAACCTCTCTCTTTTTTAGTGCGTGGGTGCTAGGATCCCGGAGGCGGGTACGGATTCCCCTGGCCGAGTATTTCCGGGGTCCCCAGCTGGATTTCCACTTTGCTGGTCATTTGACATGGGATGGCGGCCTTGTTGGAGATCGGGTGATGCTTAGGGGTTTGGGGGAGAATCGGACGAGTTCCGAGATGTTGCCGTGTTGTGCGGAAAGGAAAGGGGTGGTGGGACTAGACTTATCCGGAGTGAGAAAAAAGATCCGGTGTGGATTGAGCATCGTGGCTTTGGTTAACGAAGAGATTTTTACGGGTTTGGGTTTGGTTGTCTTGGGGACTCGTGAAAGTGGTTCATTACGTTTTACAGTCATTTCATCAGGCCGCCGCATGATATCTAATTTCCCAGCGGTTGCGGCCGCTTAGGCCCGCAGACCGGTCCATCTACTCGTCTTGTCAACGACGAAGGATGACTCCAAGAAGTCGCCGCGACTGCTGGTTCCCACCAGAATACCGTACTTGCCAGCATCACTACGCCAGCAGTCCTCAAGCTCGGCCCAGTAGCTAGTTGCGCGCAGCAAGTCCAGTGTGATCTCAGCCGTGGTGCTGGCACCGGCCTCAAGCGTGACCTTCGAGAAGCCCTTCAGCTCCTTGGCCGGGCGAGTGATGGTGTCGCGAATGGTGCATGTCAGAGGCGTGTTCGCCGCGGGCGTGACGTAAGCCTGGACGACCTCAGAACCGGAGCGCGAGCCGGTGTTGGTGACCTTGACGCGGATGGTGACCGTGTTGTCCGAGTCCCGAGAGACTTCAAGGTCGGAGACGTTGAAGGTTGTGTATGACAAGCCGTGGCCGAAGGGGAAGAGGGGTGTGATATCGAGTGTGTCGTACCAGCGGTAGCCGACGTAGACGTCTTCGCTGTAGAGCACGCGGCCGTTGTCGGAGCGGAAGTTGAGGGCGGCCGGGTTGTCGGCCACGCGGCGAGGCATCGTAACCGGGAGCTTTCCAGCCTGCGTGAAAGAAAGTCAGAAACTTGATCTCATCATCCAAGACCCAATAGGAGAGAACTTACCGGGTTGACTTCGCCGAAGAGCACATCGGCAATGCCGTTGCCGCACTCGTTACCACCGAACCAAGATTGAACCACCGCGCCGGCCTGGTCGATCCAAGGCATGGAAACGGGTGTTCCGCTCTGAATGACCACAGCAGTGTTGGGGTTGGCAGCCAACACGGCCGCGATCAAATCATCAGTGCCAGGGGGCAAGGCCATGTGAGTCCTGTCGAAGCCCTCAGACTCCCACTCGCCGCTGAGACCAGCGCAGATGACAACCTGGTCAACACTCTTAGCAACATCAACTGCCTCCTGGATCGCGGTCTTGGGCTCAAGCCTAGGGCATCCGCTGAAGCGGACACCACCCTGACCGAAGTCAACGGTGCCGGACGGCTTAATCTTGCTGGTCTTGGAGCAGCCGAAGCGCACGAGGACGCGGTAGCTCTTTCCAGCCTCGAGGTGCAGGCGTCCCAACTCCTCGACGGTTCCACAGCCGAGGAAGCTGCTGCCCAGACGCTGGTTCTCCACGTTGGAGACGACCAGCTTACCATCGATGTAGAGCTCGCCAGTTCCGTGGACCGAGAGACCAAAGTCCCACTCGCCGGATCTCTCCGGGGTGAGGACTCCCTCAGTCTCGGCCCACCAGAGCTCGTTGAGGTCGGGGTTCTCGTAGTCGACGAACCAGATGTTGGCGTCGTCGAGAACGCGCTCCTCGAGGGCCTTGCGAGAGTCGGCAGCGCCGTTGGGCGCCGGGGGGTCGTTGTAGATGCGAAGCACAAATCCCTTCTGCTTGCCATCTGGGGTGCGGAGGTTCTTGCCGAGGAGGGGTAGGGACTGGTGGCCATACGCGCCCTGTGAAAACACGACGTCCTTAGCGAGGCCCTTGATGCCCTCCAAAGGCGTCACAGTGTTGTATGCCCTGAGACCAGCGCTTCCACCGCCGCAGTATGTCGCGATCGTAGCGTTGGGTCCAATGACAGCAACCTTCTTGTTCTTGTCAAACGGCAAGATATTCCTCTCGTTCTTCAGCAGCACCTGTGACTTGGCAGCGGCTTCGCGCAGCAGAGCGATGTGCTCAGGGGTGTTGGCCTCGGTCTCCGGGGCGTTGGGCGGAATTTTGGTGTTCTCAAGGCCGTGCTTAACCAGCTTCAGGATGTTACGCACCGCCGAGTCCAGTACAGAGCGCTTAACCTTGTTTGCTGTCACCGCGTGGGCAAGGGTCTCGCCACGCCAACGGGTAGGTCCAGGCATCTCCAGGTCAAGGCCGGCATTGATGGCCTCGGACGTGCTGTAAGTGCCGAACCAGTCGGACATGACCAGACCATCCCATTTCCACTCGTCCCTCAGGATCTCTTGCAGAATGTGCTTGTTCTCGGCTGCGTGGTGACCGTTCAGCTGGCTGTAGGAAGTCATGACAGCCTTCGGCTTAGCCATCTCAATGGCGATCATGAAGGGGACCAAGTAAATCTCGCGCAGCGCGCGCTCTGTGACAATGGCGTTGACAGCCATGCGCTCGCTTTCCATGTCATTGCAGACATAGTGCTTGAGGGTAGCTGCGACGCCCGACTTTTGGACGCCGTTGATGTAGTGACCGGCGAGGATACCCGACAGCACAGGGTCTTCGGAGTATGACTCGAAGCCGCGTCCACCGAGAGGGCTTCGTTGGATGTTGACGGTAGGTCCGAGGAGAACATGGGCGCCCTTTGCGTGAGCCTCGTCCGAGAGGAGATTTCCTATGCGCTGGACAAGTTCTGTGTCGAATGTCGCGCCGATGGCAGTGCCGCATGGAAGGCAGGCGGAGGGAGTGCTGTCGAAGAAGTGAGTGCCGCGCACACCGTTGGGGCCATCGGAGAGGCGGATAGGGTTGATGCCCAGGCGCTCAATGGTTTGTGTATGCCACCAGCCGTTGCCTACAGTCTCATTAGAAATGAACGTTCAGTCGAGGTTGACGGGAAGCTCACCAGCTGTGAGGGCGACCTTTTCCTCCACAGTCAGCTGCTCAAGTAGTGCCTCGACATCCATTGTGGCACGATTTGTGGTAGGATCTCTGAGAAGATTCGTACAAGCGATTGAACAGGTGCGTTTCAAACCTCAACTCGAAGAAACACACAGAAGAACGTCTGGCACTTGAAGGAAGCGGAAAATGCGCAACTCCATGAGCGATCGTCTTTATTGCTGGAGCAGGCGCGGGGAGCTCCAAGTCTCCAAGATCCGCCTGGGTAAACCGCGGGGTTTTGGCCCACAGAGAGGGCCATCAAATCGAGCTGCGACAGGCATGACGTAGATCTATTCAAAGTCCATGGAAAATATCTGGGTCTGGCGTCCACATGCTTCAAGAGCGTCGCGTAGCAAGTGAGCGGTCGCGAGTCGCGACACTCACGGCGCAAGAGTTGGAGATGTTGGAGGCGGAGAAATGCGAGTCGGCCGGCAAGTCGGGCAGAAACCCGTCCTCGACCAATTTGGTATGTGGAGGCATGAGATGGTCCGAGCTTAACAGTTGGAGATCCCACCGGCGGCAGCCAAGAATTCATTTCTCCGCCTCGGTCTCGACTCCTTCAACTCAACACCATTATTCCCACCATCACGATACCCAACTGACTCAATTCTCCGCCTCCTTGTTGTGCTTCGCTCCCGCACAAACACGAACATCCCACTCTTCATTCTATACCATGTGGGTCGTATGGGCCCCCGCGAGAGCCTACATGGCGGAGTTCTTCTCCATGGGGGTCGCAGCATCAGACAGTTCTGGCCCCATGGGCCATGCATGACCCGATTCCCTCGCTCCGGAGCAACACGCGACGACCGGGGCATCGGGATGAAGGACTCCACACCTTCGTTTTTTTTCGTTTGCGTTTCCAAGAACACGCAGGAATGATTCCGTCCTCCCACGTGCAAGGGGATATTATATAGACCTACGCCTGTCCCTAAGGCCGTTCCGCGATGCTTCCCGGTGTCACGGTCCCTATAGACTCGATAGAGTCCAGACAATTCAACAACGACTTCATCAATCAGGTTGCCTCACCGTGAAGCTGCTGACCCCTTTCTTCGTTGCCTTTTGTTATCCACGGCTTTCGGGAGTTGACCGAACATCATCATCGTCACCATGGCGAAACCTGTCGAGGAGCTCAACAGCCTGCCGAGCGACGGCAAGTCGTGGTGGAAGCATGGCTACCTGATCAAGCTCAACTTCATCACCATGTCGATGGTTCTGTTTTGTACGTGGCCGGCTTTGCGACTCTATCCCAGCCTTGATCTCGACCCGACGACTAATATAGGACCATTCTAGCCTCCGCCAACGGTTACGATGGAGGAATCATGGGCGGTCTCCTCGCCCTGAACACATGGAACACCTTCATGGACTTTCCCACCGGAGCGTATCTCGGCTGGATCGGTGCCATCTACTGGCTCGGCAACGGCATCTCGTTCCCCGTCGCCGCCTGGGTGTCCAACCGCTGGGGCCGCAAGCCCGGTATCTACATCGGCTACGCCTTTCTCATCCTCGGTGTCGGCTTGCAGGCCGGGGCCCCGAACGAAAAGACCTTCACTTACTCCCGTCTCATCATCGGAGTCGCCGCCTCTTGGCTCGGTAACGCAGCTCCCTTGCTGATCAACGAGATCGCCCACCCGAAGCAGCGATCCGTCGCCAATGCTCTTTTCATGGTCGGCTGGTACTTTGGTGGTAAGTCCCGGACGAGCTCGAAGAAGACATCCAGAAATTGACCCGGTTGTGATTAGGTACTCTCTGCGGATGGGTCACCTTCGCCTGCAGAAACATTCCCTCCGACTGGTCGTGGAGAATTCCCGTCCTCTTGCAGATCGTCCTCCCCTTCGTGGCTCTGCCCGGTTTCCTCATGTCTCCCGAGAGTCCCCGCTGGCTCATCAGCGTCGGTCGTGTTGAGGAGGCTACCGAGGTGATTGCCAAGCACCACGCCGGAGGTGACCGATCGAACGCCCTCGTCCAGTACCAGGTCGTCGAGATCCAGGCCACAATCAACGCCGAGAAGGAAGCATCCTCCAGCGCCTCATACGCAGACATGGTCAAGACTCCCGGAAACCGCCACAGACTCTTCATCTCGGTGACTCTTGGTATTTTCGCTCAATGGGCAGGTATGTATCGGTCTATTAGTACACTTAGTTAGCACGCTGGACTCTAATTAACGACGTGGTACCCCAGGCAATGGCGTAGTTAGCTACTACTTGCCTTTGTATGTCTATCGCTCTTCTGTAACACACACACACACCTGCTGACCTGTCTAAAGGATTCTCAACTCCGTCGGAGTCACTTCGGTTACGAACCAGACTTTGATCTCGGCATGCCTGAACGTGTGGAACCTGCTCTGGGCCATCGCGGCCGCAACCAACGTCGACCGCCTCGGCCGCCGCTTCCTCTTCCTGACCTCGGCCAGCGTCATGTTGTCCAGTTTCATCGTCATCACCGGTCTCAGCGCCAAGTTCGCCGAGTCCGCCTCCGCCAGCGTCGGCCTCGCAGTCATCCCCTTCCTCTTCATCTTCTTCGCCGGCTACGACATCGCCATGTAAGTTCTCGCAAGCCGACATCATGTTAACTGTATTAACACGAACCGCAGGACCCCCTTCCTGACAGCCTACCCCTGCGAAATCTGGCAATTCTCGTTGAGATCTCGCGGCTTGACGGTCACGTGGTGCGCTTCGGTCACGGCTATCTTCATCAACACCTTCGTCAACCCCATCGCCCTCGAGTCCATCCACTGGAAGTACTACTTCGTCTTCATCGTCATGCTGGCCCTCCTCCTCGTCACCTCCTACTTCGCCTACCCCGAAACCCGCGGTCACACTCTGGAGCAGATCGCCGTCATCTTCGACGGAGACAGCGCGGCCGCGCCGCCGCCCGCGGTGACCAGCGAGAAGATGGAGATCATGGTCGCCCACGGCGACGAGCCGGAGAAGAAACAGGACGTTTGAAGGGAGGTGGAGCAGATGCCGTAGAGTATACTAGTATAATGGGCGTATTGTTTAATGTCATGGTCGATTTACCTCCTCCGCCAGGTCAAAGAACATCTGAATGGCCTCCTCTCTCCAAGTATCAGCCTGCAGAGACGCGCCCTTCACAGCGCTGAAGACGAATTCCATCGGCTCTTCGCGCGAGTACGGCGGCCATGTGACGTTACCTCCAAGCACTAGTCTCAAGATATCAGCCAGCTGCGCAATAGGTTCCAGGGGGTTCGGTGTGAACTTACGTCGATGGTGATTCGGCGACCCGTACACCACAAAACTGATCCACATCCGACTCATCACCTCCGCCAAATCCTCAAACCTCCTCCTCATCCCAGCGTCCTCCGGAAACGGGTCCACCTCCCACCCGGCCCCCTCCTTATTCCCAAACACGAACGGGATCTCCATGAAATGCGTCGCCCCCATCGTCTCCGCATCCACGTGCGCCGGCACCGTGTCGAAGAAGTAACTATAGCAATCCACCCCTCTCTCAGCCCACGCCCGCGCCGCGAACCTCTTCCCCGCGTTGAACATGGCGTCCCCGACGAACAACGCCGTCCTGCCGTACTCGGCCCCGAGCTCCGGCCCCGGGTGCGCCAGCACCGTACCCAGTCCCGCCGGGGAAGGGTGGTCGATCTCGTCACCGTAGAGCGCGAACCACCGCCTTACGAGCTCCTCCGGCAGCGGCTTGCCGCCGTTGGAGGCGGCCGCACCGATGCCCGCGAAGTCGGCGAAGGTGTTCAGCGGCCCCGGCATGGCGAATTGCAGGATGGAGGTGGCTTCGTTGCGGGTCGTGCCGATGAGGAGGGGGACCTTGACGAAGGCGCCCGCGCGGAGGAGGTTGTAGCTCGAGTTCGTGAGGATGTCGTCGGCGTCGATGGTGACCGCGTCGGAGTAGCCGAGCAGAAGGCCGGCGCGCTGGAGGAGCGATGCCGGGGTTGTTCGGAGACAGGACATGGCGGCGGCTCCGCGGGGACACCCGGTGATGTTGAGGATCGTGTCGAAGTGCGCCTCCTTCTCGGCGGGGGTCATGGGGGGTGTCGTGGAGAAGGGCGGGCCGCTTTGGGCGATGGCGCCGCTGAAGAGGGCGTCATCGCGGCCGGTGAGGTGGTGGCCGACTGAGAACCCGCCCGCGGACTGCCCCGCGATGGTCACGCGGGAGGGGTCCCCCCCGAAGTCGGCGATGTTCTCCCGGATCCACAGCAGGGCGCGGCGCTGGTCATGCAGGAGCAGGTTCGTGCCCGCCTCGGCCTCGACCGCCGCGCCGTACATCATGCCGAAGACGCCGAGGCGGTAGTTGATACTCACAAAGATGACGGGGGTCCCCATCGCGACGGACTCGCGGACGAGGAAGGAGCCGTTGTAGCGCGGGTCGACGGCGCTGCCGTCCTGGAAGCCGCCGCCGTGGATCCAGACGAGGACGGGCATCGGGACCGGGACCGGGACCGGGGCGGGGCCGGGGGAGGGGGAGGGGCGGATGATGTTGAGGTGGAGGCAGTCTTCGTCCTCGCGGTGCTTGGCGGGTTGTGTGAGGCCCGGGACGGGTAGGACGTTTCCGATGCACCACGGTCCATACTCGTCTGCGAGTCTCGTGAAGCCGGGCCATGGTTTGGAGGGGGCGGGGCGGCGGAGACGGAGGTCGGCGAGGGGAGGGGAGGCGAAGGGGATGCCTAGGAAGAAGTCTTGGTTGTAGGATGGGTTGTGGGCGCCGGCTAGAGTTCCGTTTTTGATGGTGACGAGGGGCGGTGTGTTTGGTGTTTGTGAGAATGGTGGCTGGGAGGAGAGGGCGGCTGCTGTGGTTTGGAGGAGGGTGAAGAGGAGCCATGGGATGAAAGTGGGAGATGCCATTTTTTCTCTCGTGGTTGAGTCTGGTCTCTACATAGCCTGAGGGGAGAAACGATACGATGAGAATACGGTCCAAGTAGAGTAGTATCAAGTGAGGTGAGCGGATATATTGCTAGTAATGTCTCACTCGATAGTGCCAGAGGCTTTTGAGTTGCGCTGGTCTTTCCGACCGCAAGCCGAAACAGACATGCCAACCCGAATCCGACATACTGAACCTCGAAATAATAGGTAATCTCTACCGTACGAGATCATCTCACAGTCTCTTCATTCGCCCGTCGCTCCGTATTCGATGGGGGGGGACCGGAAGTCCGTGGCTCGGCGGTGTAACACCAGGGCTTAGATGAGATCGGTTCTCGGGGGCGGATGACGCAGAGCTCAGCTCAGCTGCTTAAACATACAGCGATGATGGCTTGTATGCCTTCCTTCGCGCCTTTCTGCAACCGCTGCATTTGTCTCCGTGGGCTGTGGAGAGTATTCCTCCAGTAGACGGTCTTTTGGGTATGTATAACATGCACGAACCGCTGATCCGCTCCATGATACTTGCTCCCGGGGTAGAAAGCCATCTCTACGGGCAACGGTATCATTCGATGCGTGGATTTGCTTGAGCCGGGAGGATCATCTCTAGGCGACTCCACGACATAGCACGGCATGTCCTTCAAGCCATGTAGTAAATGTACGATGGTATGATGACCCGGCTGTTCATTTAGCTACAATCATCATATAAATCTCATCAGTGAACCTGAGGTCTTTTATTATCACCTCTAAGTGCAGCAATATCGTAAAACACACAAGCACGAACGGTCCGAAGCTCGTGTTCGAAGAAGTCAACATGCTTCAGGCCAACAGCCTTGAACCGCATCTCATCCACAGCGCCGCCATCATGATGAGCCCGGATCGACGCCAGACTCATAGTCGAAAATGCGGTGGAAACCACCCCGTGGGCATGCGGGCGTCACAACAACACATGATGTGGCGTCTTTCATGTCACCAACGCGAGCGAGCGAGGAACTGCATGGCATGCTAGGCACAGTCCTTTGCCAGCTTCCTCCTAGACCAGTGAAGGCCTCAAGGCATATTCGGTGAAGGATGCGTGTATGATTGGCTCTTCAAGAAGCAGGAGGGACCACTTCCGGCTGACCACGTTTCCCGGTCACTTCCAGTCTCAACAGGAGGAGTTCGCGTTCCTTGTCTCAGAAGCAACGCATCGTTTTGCGTGGACCAACACAAGCAGGCTGTGCCTTACCGCAGGTGTTGAAATAACGTGGCTGCATGGCATCGAGTGCAAAAGAAAAGAAAGAAAAAAAAAAGACGCATAGGGAGCAGCTGCGAATGCGCGTAGAGTGGTCAAATGAGATTGCAGGAAGCAAGGAAACAGGCGCGAAGGATCCGATGCCATTGACCAACGAATAGAGAGCGTCGGCAGACATGTACACGGCGCTTATTCAGAGGGCCGTCGGCTAGGAGAAGAGGAAGAAGGGGAAAAAAAGCAAAGATTCGGTAGTTGCTTGGCGGCTTCACGGAATCGAGTGAGGACGGCCAGGAAAGTCTGAGTCCAATAACCGTCATCTGTTCCCGGGTTCCCAAGACAAAAGTTGACGCGGGAGAAGGGCGGGAAGAGGTCTCTCGACCCGGCCGCGGCCCAACCTCGCACAGACACGCGCGCGCCGGGAGACGGAGCAGGGCAGACGCAGCGTACGGCCCGGACTTGGGTTATGGCGGGGAGCAAGCAGACTGTCGTGACATGGGGTGGGAAATGCTCCGAGTCGTCGACGGCCAACGACAGTGGTGGAGGCCGGATCCAATGGGTGGTCTGCATCACATGGCGCGCGTCTCTACCTCTGTTTCTCTCGCGACGGCCGGAGGAGCCTGTTGTCGGCTGGCCGGGTGGCTGGTGGACAGGACGGAGGGCCGTTTTGGATGGAGAGCGCTTCAGGGCAGAAGGAAAGATAGGCTCAAAACGATCGAGGAAGCGTCGAGGCTCGAGAGCCGCGCGCGGAGTGAAGCAGGAAAAGATGAAGATGGAGCAGAGTCGGAAATAGAGCAGACCGCCTGGGGAGGAGAAGAAGCCTGGATGTAAACAAGTCGAGAGAGATGGATAAATGATGGCAATTCCGATGTTGGGAAGGAGGAAAGTGAAGCTCGTGATCATCTCGTTTTCCTCACTCCCGTCGTACCCCGCGGCCTCCATCTTGGCACATATCCATCGCTCTGCATCCTTCTTTCCTTGCCCAGCTGTCGTATTCTGTTCCCGGCTTTTGGTTGCTGCCCCACATCGATCACGAGTCTGACGACGACAGAGTTTTCTCTCTCTTGCTTCCTCTTTGCCCAAAGGCATCATATCATCGATATTTTTTGAGCAGTTCGTCATCAACTGTCCTGCCACCGTTAGCTTCGGAACTTTGCTCCAGCCAACGGAATCTCGAATCTGCCTTGCCACTCGTCACTCGTCACTCGTCACTCGTCGGGGGCCGGCTCTCGACACATATTGCCGGTAGAGGAAGCATCTGCAAGATCTTGTGGACGAACGTTGGGATTTGTTGCAGGTGAGTAAAAAGCCGCCGGCGCCGGACAGCTGCCAATCAAAAGAAGTCAGCACTAAGAATAGTAAAGTGGAAAGATTCCCGCGGAACGCAGCCCGAAGACGGCGTCCCTGGTCCCTGGCACTCGCACTTGCTGTCATCTCGAGAGAGGGTTCCTACTGGCTACAGTGGACTCTTTCTAGCGCCTTCCCAGCGGCCTGCCCGTCCCCGTCGCTGCTGCTCTGCCTCCAGGTCTGCACGACACCTCACCTCAGCCTCTAACAGCGTCCAATCACGACTTCAATTCCAACTTGAGAGGTTCTTCTTACATCGAGCTTTCTGCGACTACCGGACTCGTCGAGTGGCTCTGCTATCCGTCTCTCCATTTCTGTCCACTTGGTTCTGCGGCTACTCGTTCGTCGTAGCGAATTCTCAACCGTCACTGGACAATTGCATTTCACAGGTGCCGGTAACCTGTCCCGGACGTCCAATCCCGTCACGACGCCTCCAAAACGAAACATCGCACATCATCGTCATCGTCACCGTCACCGTCCACAGGAACCAAGACTCGTGGGCTCCTTGCTACCCGACGGCGACCTTATACCGAGTCCGGCCAAGAAAGTCTCATCCTCCACACTTCCCGGGCGAGAGGCCACGAGGCATCCACGATCGCGCCACGGCACAAACGGTGATCCGCCTTCGCCGTCCGCCAACCGCTTTGCTAGTTTCGTGCTCCCACAGCACCAACAGCATCAACACCAACGCCGACGCCAACACCAACAAACCACCCGAAAGAGCACGCATCCCATCACAGTACAGGGCAACCAACAGCACACCAGACACCAGACACCATACACCAGACACCAAACACCAGGCACAGCGCATCATCACAACCATCACAGGCGTCAATCACAGACCCCAAATTTGCCCGCTTTCTTCTGGTGCGCAACGAACCGATTCGTCCAGAAGCGGAAATCCAATAGGCAAATTAGCCTCCCGTCACCAGCATCAGCACCAGCACCAGCATCAGCAGCTTCGAATCCCTGTCCCTCCCCGTCGCGCGCTGTCTCCGTTTCCTGCAGCAGGCTCAGCACGCACTAAGGCAGTGAACACCACACACCACACGCGCCCACTCCTCCAATCGAGTCGTCGCTTGTCCGGCCTCATCAACCAATCAAACCACTCCCGCCCACCGTCTTGTTGCCGCTTTAACGACATCCCGGCTTCACCTCTCTCGACTCCCGTCCCTTCTCTTTACTTCTCCCCCACCACCACGCTTCCTGTTCGTGTCTCCCGCTCTCAACCACGCTCCCGCCGCGCGCCACGCCTCGATTCTCGTTGGACCATCCTCCTCTGTTGTCACCAACGCATCACGACTCCTCTTCACCTCACAGGATCCTCCACGCGCTACGGATACAGCAGCCTCCTCGTGCAGCCTCTCTGAACAGTCACCCCCCCTCCTCTCGCGGGATTCTCATCACCACACCCCCCGGCGCACCCCTCCTTCTGCCCCTCTCATCGGCCGGCCTACGAACCAAAGACGCACTGCCAGCCTGTCTGTCTGCCTGCTGCGATTCTCTTCCGCCGCCCACCCGCGTCCAAACGCTTCCTTGACGAATAGCACTGCCCTGTCATTTCCCACCCGTTCACCCCCCCAGCAACCCCAGACCAGACTTCCGGGAAGGCACATCAGCTCTCTCGACTTGCCGCCGCCAGAGCTTAACCTCGCCCTGCGGCCCTCTTTCAACCTTAGCTGCCGCTCACTCACCACTTACACTACAACCATCCAAGCGCCCTCGACCTCGCCTCGCACGCATCTCCTCCAACTAATATAACGTCCTCCCACCCTCACAACTGCCGACCTTTCCTCTCTTTCTCTCCCACAGGCGACTTTGTCTCTGCGGCTTGTAGGCAGCTTCGACTTCCTCCCTCACCAAGTCAGAGTCATTCACTTGATTCGACACCTCTCTCCGGTATTCACTCGCTATTACCTCACGCTCACCCACCTCTCCCGCCTCAAGTCATCATGCCCGGCAACAAGCCCAAGTTGGCCCAACTGGCCACGCCTGTCACCAGTACCTTTCCCTCTGAGACCATCTTCTCCGCCTCGACGCCCATCTCAGCTAGGCCCGTGTCTTGCAAAGACCTCCCTATCAAGACACCCATCAGCCCGCCTACAGCCTACATGGACTTCCTCAAGGTCATGTCTCTCAACTCGCCTGCCGCCTTCAAGCCATCCACCTCCGGCGAGACCACGCCCGAGTCGACCCCGGAGTCCGCGCCATCAACCGCCGCCAGCGACGAGACCGATGTCTCTTGCAAGTGTGAGCTCCAACACAAGAGCCCGGCCACTGCTCCCGCGATCCCTCCCAGCCCATTCACCCAACTGCCAATGTCCGCGCCTGCCACCGGCGCAAACTGTTTCCCAAGCCTCAAGATTCCGCCCTCGCCAGCGGTATCCCATCTCGACTCTCCCATCAGCGGCAGCACCATCCGGTCACCATTCAGCGCCAGATCCGTCCAGTCAGTATTCGACTGGGACGCCGCCCTCAAGGCGAAGAGGTTAAACGACGCCAAGAAGCCTTCGAGGACAAGCGTGAAGCACATCCGTGAGGTCGTCACGCGAACAGTCACGTACACGCCGAGAATGAACCCGGCACCGAAGGGCAAGAGGAGGAAGGTGGAATGATTGCCAGATTACGAGCAAACGAACACATCACCAACACAATCAAATCACATCCCTGCATTTTCTTTGTCTAATTACATCCAACACCAACACACACCACACCACCAACATACATCACCTCACGACAGGCTCAGCGCCACCGGCACAAAAGGAAATGTGATGAAGCAGGCTCTTCCCACGCAGGGAGTTATTTCAATCGGCATGACTTTACGGAAAGCACACCAGCGCTCTTCACCAGCGCAAAAACAATTCAAACGTCAGGGCGGAGAGGCGGAAATCTATTCATGATTTGGGCGGGATTATCTTGCGCGCAAAGACAGGAGGAAAGCGACTCGATTTTTATTTTTCCATCATTTCATCCAATCTAACATTGGGGACAAACCGGAGTTCTTTGGCGTCATCTACACGATGCTCATGTTCGATACCAGGAACCATAGGGGTGGAAAGGGCTGGAATATGCCCTTGTCTTGTCTTTTTTGGCGGGTGGAAGATCCTAAGAGAACCAACGGTGGAGAGAGAAGGAGGAGGAAAGAAGCTCAACCGCGAGCAGGAGGAATACCTTACCTAGTACACAGCGAAGCCAGGTAGCCTAATCAGCATACTGTGTATATCTACTCCATCTACACTTGCCTGACCGCAACATCGTGTGTGTGTTTGTTTGTTTATCGTTTCACGGCCGACTCGGTCGTGCAGCCAGCGGCCGTCGATGCGGCCTGCGCGTCCGTTTATTTTGGTCCACTCCGCCCATGGCCCGCGGCCGACTGAGAGGCCGTTGATCGGAGGATGGAAAACAGCCACCACGAGTGTTGGATAAGTGTAGACTTCGTGTTGGCGCTTTTTGAAGGACAGGATACCAAACATGGTGAGATTACGATGCCAAACATATTCATCCCAGGTGCGTGGTTTGCCCGGGCTTGGACATGGTGTGGACTTCCCGGGTTGTTGGTGTTGGCGAGCTTTGACCTGAATGAGGCGCATTACACTGGGCATGGTGTTTTCCGATGAGCAAATATTCCCGATAGACGGGAACACAATCAGAGGAAGGATTACATTGTTAGAGAGATCACAACTCATAATCGGGAAAAGTCCACACAGCTCGTCAGCTTTTTTTGCCCACCTCCCGCCTCGATCTAAGTCGACACAGCGGCTGCTGTTGGAGGGTCATGGGGAACCATCCCGCCGCCGTCTCAGGGGAGGAGAAAACCGTATTAAGCAGGGAATCGGATGTAATAATTTGTCGGTCTTGTGCTCTCTATCTTCTTTGGATTGGGAGGTTATGTGGTGGGAAGAGTCCGGATTGCGGTGCATTCGAACTGGAGGGGGGCACGGAAGATGGTGCAGCGATCCCATCGCGCTACCTATCTTTCACTATGCATGCCTACTTCTACTAAGAGATTCATCCTGCTGATACCTGTTTGCTGCCGGCCCCTCTGGTGAACGACTGAATTGTAAAAAACACAGCCAAAAAGCCCCCGTGCAAACATATCCATCATCCCCCTCCAAAAGCCTTCCCATCACCTTTTTTTCGTGGGATCCGAAACGTCGTGTGTGTTACGCGCACGCCCCCCCTCCCCGCGTGTGGTGTGCTTTCTAAGAGATGTTTTGCAGCTGTTCGCGATTGAGATCCAAGGAGCGTCCCTCCAATCGTTGCCGGCCACACACGCACATCCACAGAAAAAAGATGGATGAGTAGAAAAGAAGGTGCGTAGGTCATACGGGGCGGGAACCGTTGACTGCGTCGCGTGGCCGCCAGAAGGGAAGAAAAAAGAGAGTCGAAAAGTACTGAGCATACAGGAATCTCGAAAGGACTGGACGCCCCCCCCCCGGCAAAAGCAGCCCGCGCGACCATGCCGGATCCAGCCATGGTACGACCCGGGATCCCGGGCGCTGCAGTGGTCGCTACGGAGGAACCACTGGTCCCCCCCAGTCACCTCACTTTGCTAAGCGCCTGTCTCTAGTCGGCGTCCGGGGTCGTGATTGGCTGGAGTCTGACAGGGGCGCCGCTCCGTGTCCCGGCCGTCACCAACGGACGGCGGGGGGACGGACGGGATTGGTCGAGGGGTTAAGCGCCCGGCTGGCTCTGGTGTGGGGATTCCCTCGCAGTTGAGGATGAGGGACGATGTTGTTTTTCCCTTTCGTTTTGATTGAGGAAGGGGGGAAAGGACTTTTAGAGTGCTTGCTGTATGCGAAGCGAGTCACTTTTTGAGGCGTGAGCCCGGTGAGGGTTGGTTCTGTGCGAAAATGTGAGATGACATTGAGTGAGTCTGAGTTGGATCATGCTGGTTGATTCTTGCACATCTAGACTCTTTCGACGACAGCCACCAGACTGGTTGGTTATCAACCAAGGCTTCCATCTGGCGGTGAAGGAAAGGCTCAAGCGAACTGTACGGCACTAGGACCGGTATCCTCGTTCCGCACACTAGCATCATGTCGAAAGCGCATGTCTGGACCACATTAGCCCACGTCCACAGACGACGAAACGACAGACCAACCGCGATTGTGACGAGTCCCCTCTCAGATGCAGCGTCGGCAGCGCGAGCGCGATAGCGAGCAACAACAAACACAGCAGCGTGTCTGCCCGCAGTCGTCATCCCGGTGAAGCGTTGTATGAGAGCTGTCATTCCCTGTGTTGTGTAGCCCTCACCGAAGACTATTTCGGCGTAACGCAGCGCATCCTTCCGCCCAACCTCCTCCTCAAACACTCAAACACATCTCGCAGACCCCGCGTGATTGGACGGCAGGGGGAGACAGAAAAATCTCCGATCCAAAACGAAGCGTCGTGGTGTCTGACTGGATGTCTCGAGAATCTGATACCGCATTTAGAACCCGTTGCCGCGGGCTCTTTCGGACCCTGGTTCTCGATGAAACAGAAGCCAAGATGCCCCTGACGGGTTCGTCAAATGAACATGTCGAAACAGGAGTGTCAATCTCAGCCGAGTGATTGGTTCTTCCCGTGATACGATTTCTTGACCGGTGATCTCAAAAGCTGAGGTGCAGCTTTGCAGGGGACGGCCCCGCCGTTTCAGAGTCTTCTTTCGTTCCTTCGATGCCTTCCAAGGGTCGGATGCGTGTGATGATCTCCGAAGATCACGTCCTATTTTTGGGTGTGCCATGCTCGTGTTCGTCACCCGCTTTCCATGCTCGTAAGTTGACCTCAGCTGAGCTCGTAGACTGGATTCAAATGAGTTCATTGTCGAGATGGCTCTGAAGGACCCATGGCGAGAAGCTGGCCATCGAATCACGCCGGTTGATCGACTGTTGCAATATGCCTCCCGTCCTCGAGGCGCCGGATCTCAGGGCAATTTCCGCTTCGGGTGGCACTAGGCAATATCCCGAGAAGTTCGCCGCCACGGCTCTGAATCAAGGCACTGAGGAAATGATTGAGAGGTTCAATACTTGATTTGGGTTCTCGGACTTGATGCGCCCTTAATCCACCAGCTTCACTTCCTTGGCCACAGCGTTGCAGAGCACCACCTTGACGCCCGCACCCGTGAGGACATGGATCCACAACCGCTGTGTGTCACTGAGCCGGTCGTTGGCGCTCTTGACTTCGGCGAACATGCACTCCCTCTCCGGCTCCGTCCGCCAGAGTATCAGGTCGGGCAGGCCTCCGCCCCGCTGCCGATACTCCTGCGCCATTACCTTGCAGACGGCAGCCAGAGCGCTTCCGTTGAAGCATCCGACCAGCTCCACGAGATCTTCAACGTCGTAGTCCCAGTTGAGCCCGATGACGCACGTCCTCCGCTCGCGTTCCCTCTCGTCGACCTCTCGGATGATGCGCTCCGCGCCGCCATTGGCAATGTCCACAAGGCGGTGGTTGATCTCCGACGCGCGAGTAGGGTAAAAGGAGTCGGTATGCAAATCCAAGGGACACGTCTGGTACGCTGTCTGGAATACATTGGGTATGTAGAGAAATAGGATGTCGTAGAAGAGGTACGCGAAGAGCGTGCGGACGATACCGCCTTCGGCGTGGAAGCCTTTGTATCCTTGGCTGCGGTACCAACTGAGACACATCTCCTCCACGCTGCATTCGCCATCGTCTTCCATCTCGTCAACCCACTTCGTTTTGGTGCTTGCCTGACGGCCATTCTTGCCTTGGGGGTCGTCTCGTTTGAGCTGAACGCCTTCCACCGTATGCTCGATCGGCTTCTGGAGGCGGACATGACCAAAGTCGTGCTGTAATCGACGAGGTATACGAAGCTGTTTCTCAAGCTTGATAAGTCGCTTCTGCAGGTCGTAATGGTAAATCAGATGACAGTCGTTGTCTTGGAGGCCAGCTTCGCAGGTTGTCGCTGCGATACGCTTCCAATGTTTCTTCTGTAGATCCATGTCTGCAGAAACCGGCTTGCTGTCGAGCGCGTGCATGTAATGCTCTTCCAGCAACGCCTTTCGCTGATACCAACTTCCTCGTCTTGCTGGATGGAAAAGGTGTTGATCTAGGAGCTCGGTGAGCAGTGAATGCTCCCGTTCATGATCTTTCAGCTTTCCAAACACGTAGGCCGCCTTGTGGATAATGCGAGTGTATGAATGAACGGGTGTAAACCTTCTCAGGTACGCACCCTCGCCCTCCTCGTAGACTCGCGCCTCTTTCTCCTGCTCTTCTCTCAACAAGTTCTGCCACCGGGGATACACTCGCTCGAAGATGTCAATAATCTTGCGAAATCCTGCTTCTCCTGGTGGTCCATTGAATTCCAAAACAGAGTCAACCTCAGCTTCAACCCGGATTGCAGACTCGAACTCGAGCACATGCCTCCGAGAGGCGAAGATATTTGTGCTTCGGCAGACAATGTACTCCGGGTAATTACGACGAGCAATGCTGGCAAGAATGATTGCCGTAAGAGACTTCTCAGTCCATTCAGCCGACCGATAAAAGACGAGATGAACTCTTTCGAAGAGCTTGTAAGTCAATGGCGACAACCTGATGCATGGGCCGGTGACAGCCCTGATCTTTTCCAAGAAGTGCCCCGTCTGGTTGGAGTCTTGTCTGCTGAGGGGTGGAGGCGTGTCTCTCCCCTCTCCCAACTGGACCCTAGCGTTTGGCGACTCTCCGCTGCCAGATCTCTGAAGACCATGGGCAAATAGCCCTGTCTGCTGATGACCCGTTCGGCAAAGCGCTTTCACCAAGTCCGCCTTATTCCTCCCATGAAACTTGGCTTCCTTGGCAAGATCCTTGAGTTCATCCAGGCTTAGTAGCGAAGCAGCTTCCTCAATAGTCGTAATGTGCTCTTCTGAGGCATCCGCGAAGGTGAACTTGTCGTCCAAGCTAAACTCCTCGAGATCAACACCCTCGACAGGATTGGTATCCGGCGGAAGTTCAGTTTCTGGGAGATCTCGGACTTCTTGGAGAGATCTTATGGCTGTTTCAGGGTCTGATATATCGCTGTAGTATCCCAATCTGTCCTGGCGATGCCAAGCAGACGTCTTGCGGAGAAACAGACGAACGTAGCTATTGAACCTGTTAGGCGATGAGTGAGGGCCAGCCGGTAACAACCACTCACAGATACTGCGCCTCGTAGTCCAGTTCTTTCCACTCTTTAAACACGTGACTTTCCTTCTCGTCGAACAAATGTGACTCGTCTGCCAAGACGGTATCCAGTGCAAGATTGAAAGCATCAACGTAAATGGAACTTTTGCCCCGAACCCATTTGCGATCCGGTTGAGATGAGTCCTGATGCTCGGCGGGCGCGCTGACTTGGGATCTGCGCATCATCTCGTACTCCTCAATCGCCTCCTTATCCGCCTGGATAGGCGGCAGCGCGCTCTCGATCGCAGTCTGGCGGACATGACGGTCCTTCTCATCCTCTGCGTCAGAAACTTCGTTCACAGTGAGGCCAGAAGTGTCAGCGTCTTCTTCGTCATCGTCGTCGTCGCGATCGCTATCGGCAATCTCGACCTTCATCTTCTTGGCAGGCCTCTCACCCAGTGGCGATGGCCTCGTTGGTGATCTGGACGGTGGCTGCGGCCTGGGCCGTGGCAGCCGTTGTACAAACGCATCCATCGTGCGATGCAGACTGGTTCGACATTGTCAGGCGAAAGATTTGACGGGAATGCGCGGGGCTTGCGGGATTGATCGTCCAGGATGGACGGTGCTGAGTGGCGTCGAACGAGGAAGACGCGCTGGAAACAGGCAGCCGAAGGAGGGAAAGTGCGACTCGCAACGCGACGTCAGGTGACTCCGCGTAAATGAGCTGCCGAGGGGCCGTCGAATCTTCTAATAATGGAATCCACCGCATGATGGCCTGTCCCACGAGCAGTGCTGCTGTCGCGGTCCATAATCATAGAAGAAAATCAGTTGCGATCGCACCACGGCTCAATCGCTCCAAAAAGGTGCAGGATTTGCATTTCTGTAGCTGCCGAAAGCTTGTTTCGCTTCGGCGCACTCCCCAACCTCCCCTCGCAGCTACTCAACGAACATTTCGATCTTGAAAACCGCCAATTACTCGCTTTCGCAGTGAAAGCAGCAGCTGTCCCGCTCAATTGACAATATCCACCTTGAAATAACCGACTTCTTCTCAACCGGTCCTCTTCTTTCGCGTTCCACAATGTCCAACCCACCAACGACAGAACCCGAGCTCCAAGCCCAAGCACCAGCGCCCGCGGATCCGGCTCCAGCTACAGCTCCTTCAACCGCAGAGCCCACAATGCCTCCTGCTCTCATCCCCAACGCGGCCGACGCCAGCGCAACTGCCGACGACACCTCCATGATCGATGCGCCCGAGGCGGCCTCTGTGAGACGCCGCAGCTCAACCCGTGATCATAAGCTTGCGCTGACTTAGGATCCCACAGTCTCCAGCTCCGATACCCCAAGCCGCGGCCGGCGCTCCCAGTCCAGTTCCTGCACGCACCGGAACACCCAGTCGCAACCTGAACAACGGTGAGACCAGCTCCCGCGCCGGCTCCGTCCACCCCGACACGAACGCCGTCAACCTCCCGACGCAGGCGACACCCCATGGCGACAGCGCTCGCATGTACATCAACTCGACAGTCACTGCGTCCCTGCTCGAGGGCATGAAGAAAATCGGCAGAGACCAGTAAGGCTCGGACAGCACTGCAATTTTAAAGAACTGTAACTGACGCATAGGTCACCAGACCTGCAAACCCCTTGAAAGTATTGGGGGAGTTCCTGCTCCAAAAGTCACGCGAACGCGGCGAGCCTGAGTCGAGCTAGTTGCCGGTCACGCATACACCATTCAGCATGGAATAACGCGAGAGACCTTGTGGACCAGCGGAAAGCATATCATGGCTACGAAGAACTTAATTGCAGGAATAGCTCGGCGTTCAGGAGGTATAAAAGAAGTTTATGGGGCTTTCAGCATTAGAGTCTCAGGTCATGTCGACACGGATGATACCACGTTCTCATAAACTTTTGATTAAATCATAGCAGCCCAGCACCGAAACCCGAGACATTGTATATGTTATGTCATGGAAGGAGGAAAACCCTCTTGTTCTTGGATTTTGTCTACTCTTTTTCAAGTTGACGTGTGGGGTGTAACTTTTGTTTTCATCCTTAGCGTAGACCACGCCGGAAGACGAGGGCCTAGCCCAGAGAGCTGTCGTGCATCAGAGCTCTAAATGCAACACATTTCCCTTAATACCCCAACTCCATGACCAGAATCCACCCCGCGCGCCGTTGTTGCGCGGTTATCATTCCGTTTTGTGCCAACCCATTTTTCCGTTTCACAGCGGGACGACGACGATTGTCAAGTGACAAGTACGACGAAGACTACGCTTAGGCGACGATGGTGGAGGCGGTGGCGGACTCGTATCTCCAGGTAGGGGGGAGGACACCGACGGTCTTGTAGTAGCGGGCGAGACGGTGGATACGGGACTCGATCAGAATGAGGCGGAACTTGGAGTCCTTGTCCTTGCGGTTGCGCTCGAGGTGCTTGCGGACGGCAACGGCCTAGGAAGTTACGAATGTCAATATCCCATCCCCCGACATATTTTCCAACAGCATAGACAGCGGGAGTCTTTGGCACGTACCTTCTTGATGAGCATGTACAGGTCCTCAGGGAGGTCGGGGGCAAGGCCTGTTCATCATCTCTCTGTCAGCCTAGACCAAACAGAGGCGCATATTCATGCGGTAAAGAGACAAGAGTGGTTTAAGCTCTCGCTCGCGGACGATTTGAATTCCAAATGCGTTCGGCAGATCGCATCGCCACTTTGGTTGTTCACTCGTATGGGGTCGTACCGTTGGACTTGAGGATGCGCAGAATGCGGTTACCTGAAAATTTACCAAATTAGCACTTCTGCCGCGAAAAAAAGGGTTTTCGTTCGGGGACGTTTCGACAACAACATACCGGTGACAACGCGGACCTGGGCAACACCGTGGGAGTCACGGAGAATGACACCGATCTGGGAAGGGGTAGCACCCTTCTTGGCCAGCTTGCAGATCTGGTCGACGACCTGCTCGGGGGTGGTCTTGAGCCACGAGGGGGGGTTGCGCGAGTAGGGGATCGCGCTGGAGGAGATACCCTTTCCCTTGGAGTGAAGACGGCCCATCTTGACGGTTTGGTTTTGGTGGTTGGTTGTCGGCTGGTGAGGGTCAGTCGGTCGGTCGGTCGCTGGTCGGATTTGAGAAGGGAAAAAAGTTCACGATCCAGACTTTCGAGAGGGTGGTGAGCGCTCGCTGGTGCCGGGGGAAGGTGGGCGGCGGATTGTGCGGGCGGGAAATCTTCGCTTAATTAGGGCAGTTTGTGCTGGCTGCCATCCAGTCCAGTCCGGGCAGGTGCGGGTCTGAAAATTTGGACGCGCCGAAACGGATCAGTAGGTCCGTGCCTGCTCACATGGTCCGTGCTTCAGTTTGCTTACCTCAAGCTTCGAGCTCACGATTTTTTCTTCAACTTCATCCCTCCGATGAACATCAGCAACTGCAGCAGGCTGCACATTGCGACAGCTCCGTTGTTATCTCACCTGGTAAGCATACTTTCCTTCACTCACTCGACACTACTTCTCCGCACCAAATGATGATCATCACCTATTTTACTTTTTTCTGGTACCTCTTATTTTAAAGCCTTCGGGCTTGATGAATGAACCGGACTTCTGAACATTCGCACCCATTTCTACACATTGTTTCGACCAGCTATCCATAGGACATTAAGCTAACGGTGTGTAAAGGCTGGTTTCCACTCTGAAGTGCTTGGATCGGATACCATCAGCAGATGCGTGTCATTGATTTGAATGTTAAGCAATTCTGGAATGGGTTCTCGTTGGGTAGCAGATAGCAAATCAATTTCAGTTTCAAATACCTTCCTCCTCACACCGACTTGTGAATGTTCCGTATAATGTGAATGGCATGTCTTGTCATGCTCCCAACATCGTTTCAGAAACATTCTTTGCACGAGGTACTACGAGAACCAAGATCCGCATGCATGCTTGAATTATATGTCTGGACCCAGACGATACCGTTTACAACCCAACGTATGAAAGCACCCAACCCCCTTATACTTGGCTCTGAGAACCGGTTTGCAACTTTTGCGACTTATTGAATGCTCCATGCCTGGCTCGACCGTGTCGCGGAAATATGATACAACAGTTTGGTTGGTTACAAGGCAGTCAGAATTTGACAAGCCTGAATATTTTCTCCCGCCTCGACACGCCGTCCCCCGTAACAAATATTCTCATCTCCTACTTGCCCCAATTACCAAGCGCCGACCTCAAAGTTCTCCTGTAAGACGAGGATGGTTAGCTTTGTACGCAGCTTGACACTATTGGGGCAGCTTACCTCAGGGAAATAGGTCGTGACGACGGTTCGATCCGCGAACTTGCGTCCTGCAAGTGCCTGCAACGCCTTCTTTGCCACCTCCGTTGTCTCGAACTTGACAAAGATCTTGCCAACGCCCGCAGATTGTCTGCTTCCGCCTACCGGCCGGGGCACCTTGACATCAAGAACCTTGCCGAATTTCGCGCACTCTTCCTCGACATCTTCCTTGATTTCTGCGATATGTTAGAAAATGCAAACAGACAGACGCGGTTTTAACTTGCCTTCGTAGTCATCGTTATCCATCAGCTCCTCAGGGGTAACCATGTTGAGCAGCTGCAAGACACGAGTCTCTCCAGAGTCCGTGGACGTGGTACCGGCGAGCATGGACATAGCAGCAACACCCATTTCCACTCCAGCGACCTGGGTGACTCCAACGCTAGCCTTCTGGACTCTGAGCTTCTTGTCGCCAAGGTCCATGCCGTTCAGACCTTGAATGGCGACGTCGGTCGCGGAGGGGTCGACGTATTCACAGAAGGCAATACCCCTGGACTCTTCGGTGCTCCTGTCTCTAACAAGCACAAATGCCTTCAGCTCTCCAAAAGAGACCAGCAGCTCGGTGACCTGTTCGTCGGAAAGGTACGGCGGCATGTTCGCGATACTAATCTTGTTCGGTGTGTCAATCACAATGTTGGAGACAACGCCCGGCTCATAGGGCACGTCATCCACGACGGCCGGAACAATGTAGTCCTTGGGACGGCGAATAACTAGACCATTGCTGCCAGCTGCGCCGTTTGCAGCATCATCAGGCTCCATGGAAATACCATCGAGCGCAAGAGCCACTGTGGCTTCGGAAGCATTTCTGAATTCGACAACTGCGAAGGAGTGATCCTTGGAAAGCTGACAGCTCGTGCAGGGATCCGTGCTCTCGATGACGTTCAGCCCGTTAAGCTGCAAGTTGAAGAAGCCGACGATGCTGTCCTCGGTGACAGAAGGGGGGAGGTTGTTGATGAGGAGTCGCTTGGCCTGGCGCGAGTTGCTCGGCTTCAGCGCGGCACTGTTGACCTGGCCACCGGGCTGGTTCATAATGGCCTGGAGCTTGCTCGGGTCCATGGGCTGCTGGCGGGGAGCACCGGGCAATGGGAACATGCCTGACAGCTTGGCTTGTTCAGCAGTGACATTCTCATAACCGGGGGGTTTGATGTCCCACTGAGTCAAACGTCGCTTGCGCTCCAGAACCGACGTGACGTTGGTCAGGTCGGGTGTCGGTTCTCGCTTCTTAGGAGGCGGTGTCGCGCTGCGTTGGCGCTCGCCGCGGCGGCCACCAGGTCCACCGTCTTCCTGTCTGTCTCGTCCGCCTCGGCGTCGATCGTCGTAGGGGTCGCGGTCTCTGCGTCGGTGATCGTCGTCGTCTCTTCTAGCATCGCGTCTGGAAGACCCGCGGTCGCGATCCCATTCTCTGTCGCCGCGTCTGTCGCGGCCGGAATATCTGTCCTCGCGCTCGCGCTCGCGGTGGCTGCGGCTAGTCGCATAGCTGTCCTCGTCGTCGCGACGTCTCGAGCTTCGGTCGTAGGGTGAACGGGAGCGTCTGCGGTCACGGTGCCTATCTCTGTCACCGCGTCGATCATCGCGATCCCTCTGCAATCAATCAATTAGAGTCGAACAGGAAGGAAGATGGACGGCCGCGCTTACCGGGTAGTCGCGAGATCCCTTTCCCCGTCCGTCTTCAAAAGAGACTGTTTGTTAGAATCATGTAAAAAAGTCAGGCGCGTCAGTCACCAGCTACACTTACCGCGAGAGTAGCCGTCGCCGTTCATGATTGCGACGACGCGTGGCGTGGCAAGGCTAGTAGTGGATGATGGGCAATCGAGGATGGAAAGGGTGATTGAAGATGGAGTTGAAGACTACCGGTTGAGGCAAAGGCGCTGGCGTCCTCGGCGCGAGGCTGGAACTTTTTTCCCTGAGAGGTCAAGTTCTGAAACTGGCCTTTTATTGGTCAGAAGCTCTGTGGAGAGTGGATCATTTCAGACCTCTGGGCCCGCCTGTTGCGAGGCGCCAAGATCTTTCGGGTTAGCTTGAGCTTAGTCATCATGAGGAAGAACAACTACCTACCTACCTTACCTATCACCCAATGCTCTGGTTGACATCCCCTTGACACTCCCGGGGCCTTTCCGGATGCCACCATCTCATTGTTTTCAAGTCGAAGTCTTCTGTCATGGTACTAACAATAGGAGCGTCACCACAACGGCTTTCGTTGTCGAACCTAGGCAGCCAACTCAATCAGTCTCACTCTCACTGCCTAGGTAGAGGTTTGGTTGTCTCTATGGCCAAAAGGAAATCAAAATCTCGACTTAGACTTCATTTTCGAGGGTTCCGCCGTCAATTCAAGTTCTTGAGTTACACTATCTCACGGACCGATCCTTGCTGTTGGAACTGTCCCTGTGGCCTCAACTAAGCACCACTCCATCACCCGACGCCGGCCGCCGTTGAAACCGAGGAGCTCTCGACTTCCTTCACCTGCTTCCTCGCGCGTGTCTCATTCCAGACCGTTTCATACCGGATTCCGATTGCGTTCTCGCGTCGGTTCTTGCCTTCCGAATCCTCGTTCCATCCAGATCCCGTCAAGCCACCGCACGATCGGTTTTGGTCCGTGCAGACGCAATGTTCAGGCCGTCTCCCGGACTCCCAGGCGCAAACTTGCATCCTTTCACTATGCCTCATGCATCTTATGTCCAGTTCTCTGTTGCCAGCCCCAGGCGAAGTCCGGTGCGGCTTGGGTCGTCTGCCACAAGGCTTGTCGGCTTTTGTTGCCTGATGGCCGCAACCACTCATACTGGGCAGTAATGAGTCTATTCTTGACCATCCCAATACTCAAACTATAGGCATTGGGGCCGTTGAGGGGCCAGAGTGGCCTGCTTCTGAATGTTGGAAGGTGATGACACCAGCAAACTCAAATAAGAGTCGTGATTGCCCGCTGGGTTGGATTACTCTCTCGAGGTTGCCGTGTTCCGGCATTGCGCAGTAGGTTCGTCTTAGTTCGTCTGGAGACCACGAAACACCAGAACAAATGGTGTCCATCTCAAGGGAGGACGATTCGCTTGTCTAAATAATGTCTCACCTCAGCTCTGGGTACTCCGCCTTACCACTAGCGCGACACCAAAAACATTGACAATGCTCTAGCGTCCCTATTGTCCGAATCCGGCTCATTCTGAACACAACATCCACACGTTTCTTGATGTTTAGCATAGAACTTGGATCTCGAACACGAAAGACCTTAACCAAATGCCACTGGTCTTGGCTGCGTGATCTAGGGTAGCCGTCCGGCAGCTTTAATATAGCGCGTACTCTACTGCGCTCCTTTCAACCTTTGGACTTCATGACCGGCATTTAAACTACGGCGTCTGTCGTGTCTAGTGCCCCTCCAGATCTCGAGGGTCCGTTGACAGTCTGAGGACTGCTCCGGAACCGGACTCTCAGCTGATACAGTGGTCAAGTCTTGAATCTTGATGGCATCGACGCCATGAAAGCTTCTTCTACTTAAAAGTCACTAAGAAATATTTGGGAAATCCGAAGTAGAACAAGATCGGCGAACAAGACTTATTTATCCACATAAACCAGTCTTCTTCCATTATTCAGGAGATACAAACCCTGAGGCGAGATGTTACAAGGTTAGAAGGATGACGAACCCAGGGGCTTTTCGTCCCATCTCATCGATCCTACAAGTTTCCATGGGTGGCGGGAGGTTCGTTCTACCGCACGAGCGTCCTTACAAGTATCAAACCAGTTCGCCTGGTCTTCCTCTGGTGATGGTGATGCTCACATATGTCTATCTCTCCAAGGATGAACATCGTATCGGTCCGACTTGTGCAGGAATGGTTGGCATACGAATCAACATGAACACATTTTCTGCTTCCTGCTCTCAGTAAGCGCTCGGCTTTCGACTTGATGTTGTTCGAATGTGAGAGTATGCTTCTGTAGGATAGAAACAGCATGCTCGACTCGACCATCGCATACTAAACAAAGAAGCGCCACACTTGTCCGGGACGAGCACGACTATACGGCTGGCATAAACCTTACTTTCTTCGCAAAACTGACAGTAGACGACAAACTTGGGGGGCACTGGACGTTCTGTCGAAAGCTGACTTGCATACAGCCCCTTCGACGGCGTGGTCGAAGAGCCAGCAGCTGCATGCCATATCGTCTCAGCCCCGCGCGCGCGGGACCGAGTCCCAGCCCCCGTTCGCTTTGTCTGGCGCATCGCACGACCCGTGACGCTGTCAGCGATAAGTATTCCTTCATTCCCCAGGATTTCAAGCTTTGTCCGGTTTCTGCGAGTTTCTTCAACACCTCTTGCCGAGTTCCCCCCTTGCTTTGGTACGACCTCGGTCTCCCGTTGAAGAAACATCATCTGCCCGGCATGGTTTCGTCGTCGATCATGGGCATCGCCGCCTTGGCTGCGGCTGTGGTGGTGGAGGCTCAGTCAACGACGGCAGCGGTTACGCCGTCTCCCATCTTCAGCACCATCACTACTACCCGTTCCAAGACGACGAAGGCGAAGGCGCAGGCCACCGCGGCTGATGTTGCGGGGGCTACTCATACTGTTGCTGTCGGTGCTGTAAGTCAATACCGTTGGTAGTGATATGTTATCCTCATAACTGATGTGCATGATAGTCGGGCTTCCAATTCTCGCCTTCGAAAGTAACGGCGAATGTTGGCGATACGATAGGTTAGTAGACTCTATGTGTGCTTCCACATGGCAATAGCTCATCCGTTGAACAGAATGGATCTTTTATCCCGATGGACACTCTGTTATTCGGGCTGAGTACGGGTTTCCGTGTACACCCTACGAATACATCGACATAGGTCGACAAGGTTTCTACAGTGGCCCTGAGCCTGTCAAAGCAATTACAAATGACGTGAGTCTTGTTCATGGAAATGAAGTATCTCGCCTTCTGACTTTGATAAGATGCCTCGATACCGAGTCCGAGTCAATGACACCGATCCGATATTCTTCTACTGCGGTGCCCCAGGTTCATGTTACAAAGAGAAAATGATTGGAGTCATCAATGAAGTAAGACACGCTCCCTCTGATTCTTCAACATTATCCAGATCTAACAAGACCAAGAATTCAACAGCAACTCTCGACGGACAGCTCGACGCAGCACTTCCCTTGACAACCCAGATTCTCCCCGGCGAGCCCTTCCCAACCGAATCGGACGGCCGCGGCTCCAACGGCCAAGTCATCAACAACTACCATCACACCCTCAGCGGCGGCGCGATCGCCGGCGTCGTCATCGGGTGCCTCGCCTTCGTACTCTTCGGAGGTGTCCTGGTCTACCTCTGCGGCCGGCGCGGCGGTCTCAACCGCGCGTACCGCCGGGCGTCGACACATCCCCAAGGACCCTCGGCAGCGCAGGCTCCGCCTGTTACGGAGATCAACTACACCGCGCAGCCCAAGAGCCCCGCGACACAGGGGTGGAGGAACAGCCATTATAGTCAGTTCAGCAACGTGTACGCGGATCAGCATACGCCGCTTGGCCAGTTTAGTCCTCCTGTCAGCCCTCAGCCTACCGGTTTCATGCAGCACGGCTACTAGTATGCATCTACCCTCTATATTCTAGTATTAAAACTGACATGTGCACAGCGATCACCGCGTATCCTCAATAGCGCCAAGCATCGCCGTAGAGGCTCCCAACAACGAGGCCGTGCCGCCACCTGCACCGGAAGCGCCGCCTGTCGAGCTTCCGGCGTCTGAGGACCCGGGTAACGGGGCGCTGCCGGCTTACCAAGCGCGGTTTTCGTTTGCCGGGCAGGAAGCTGACTACCGCCCAAGCAAAGAGTGAGCATAAAGAAGAGTATATGAGGGAACTCTCGTTGATTTAATGAATAATGAAATGGGATGTAGAAAAGGGGTGAGCTTAAGGCGTGGCGTTGAGTGGACGGCCTACGGTTTGGGCCGGGTTCTGGGTTTGGCTCTGCATTCTTAAGTTTTGTGCAGAGAGCTCTGATAATAGCTAGTATGAACTCATATTCTGTGCCTCCGGCCTGTATTCTTTCCTCAGCACGGAATACTTCTTTCTACTGCGTCAATGATGGTGTTGTCATGAGTACGTGAGATTGATCATATGTGACATTGAAAGTCGGTTGAAAATGTTGATTTCGATAAGCTGATAGATGTCGGTCTTCCCTCTAAACACACGGACCTTATTTCCAATCAATTGCGACATCATGAAATGTTTACAAACTCTAGTTCGATTTAGGCCCAAATAATTGAGCTGAGGCCTCATAAAATGAATTGAGATGCAACTTAGTATCAACACACTGCATTAAATTTCCGGAGATTGTTCCCATGTTACAACAACCTTGGAAGAAGTTGACCGGCGACACCTTAGACATCCGGACGCCCGGTAATCTAAAGGTTGTCTTGGTACCGGCGATTCGGCCCCACTTCGGGGCCGATGCCTTTGCCAAGCCGGGAGACAGAAGACCGGGAGAACTCGGCGATTCCGACGCAACTCACGAGACTGAATCTCGGATTTTACCCTGGCAATTGGAAACAGGCTGTATGGGGAACAGTTGAGGTTGATCAACTGCATTTTTGGGCAAGGCTGACAGATAGGAGCATGAAAGGTCGGCTGTGCAATTCAGCGCTGAGAGAAACACTCTACTCTATTTTTAGGTGACCCGCAGACACAACCGATGCCGAGGTTACTCTCCGTCTGAACACGAGCATGTAAATGACGATGTTCCATTTATTGACAATCGTGAGGGCTTCAATGAGATCGAGCCTCATAGGGCGACGTTCAAAGTATGAAGCGGAATATTATCCAGAGGCCAGATGGAAAGAGAATGCTGAAGAAAGGTTGAAGCCGCTGCAAGGGACTGCTTGCTAATTGACGGGAGGGGAAGCTCTAAGCTTCAGGGTAAGTCGCCTGAGCCAGTTCAACACTGGCAAGCTACCTTGTATGACGGTTTTACCAGTCTTCTGGGACACTGGACATTTGAGATGGCATGTTTGAACTGCCCGTGGTCCAACTCCGACTGCCCGTCATTTCAGTATTTGTGACCGGAGACATACATCGGGAATTGAGCTTCCGTGGTGAATTAAGCATTTAAAGGACAGCTTGATGCAAAAAAAAAAGCGTTCGTGCCGAGTCCAGGGACTGAGCGCGCACGAGCCATCGCCCACCAGAGGAAGCAACCGGCAGGCGCTCAGTGGCCAAAACCACTGAAAGCAGCCCACCAAGAGCGGATACGTACCTTAACCGTAACCCGTGGGCACCTCTCAGAGCTTTAGGTTGCTGGGCTCCCGGTACTTCTCCCCTCGGGAGTACATCAGTGGGGGCGGGAGCGACGGCAGTTTCCCAAGTACCTCCCAATCGGCGAGATACTTCCCAGGCTGAACCAGCGACCTACCCGTTCTGGGTGTCCTGTCCTAAAAAGTGGACACCTCGGACCTCTGAGCATCCATCGCGGGTGCAGTGTGGTTCGAAAGGACACATTGTACCAAATCTTGACCAGAAGACACCATTTTGGACAGCTTGCCCTCCTTTCTCCGACACCTTCCCTTCGACATTCAAAGTCGCTCCTCGTTCCCAGCCCACGGCCTTGTTTCCCTTCCAACGCCAACGGGTCATCCGCCAATTCTCTATTTTCTTCCCTCGTCGCAACTCTACGGCTCAGCCCAACGCTGCCGAAACGTCAAAGGCTAGCCCTCGGATACTAAGCTACGATTCGAACTCTCTTTTTTATTTTCTCGGTCTCGAACCCTGATCTCTATCTCCACCAACATCAATTCCAGCATCGATTGACGAGAGCGAAACAGCTGGTCTGTCTGTACCTTTTCGTGCAACAGCCACGTCAACCAAACCTTCCGAACCTTTCCCCCGCCGATCTTCCACCTCGCGATGGCTCAGCAAAGAGGCCCTTCCTACGGCCTGGGCGCCGGCGGTCCCCCGTCCTTCGGCGGCTCCAGCAACGACAACTCCGAGTCCAGCCCTCTGGACATGATCAGACAACAGACGAGCAAGATTGAGGACATGTTGGACACTTTGAGCGAGCCCATCAAGCCGTGAGTTACAACCTTGGGTCTTGGCAGGGAGCACGCCGAAAACTCGTGTGATTCTGGGGAGCTTCGCTGACCGCGTATCGCGACAGTTACCTGCCCGCCATTGGACGTTTCCTGATTGTTGTCACTTTCCTCGAGGATGCCCTCAGAATTATGACGCAGTGGAGCGACCAGCTCCTCTACCTTCACGACTACCGACACAGTATGTCCCCGAATCACGATCCCGCGAGCACGCGAGCACACGCTAATTTTCTGCAGTTCCCAGCGGTATCACGCATCTGTTCCTCATCGTTAACGTCGTCGCCATGACCGCCTGCTCAGTTCTCGTCATCATCCGCAAGTACTCCGACTACGCTGTCGCCGGCCTCATGGCGGTTGTCATCACGCAGGCTCTGGGATACGGCCTGATCTTCGACCTCAACTTCTTCCTGCGCAACCTGTCCGTCATTGGTGGTCTTCTCATGGTTCTCTCCGACTCTTGGGTTCGCAAGACCAAGGCCTTCGCTGGCCTGCCCACTCTCGACGAGAAGGACCGCAAGATGTACTTCCAGCTTGCTGGTCGCGTTCTGCTCATCTTCCTCTTCGTCGGTTTCGTCTTCAGCGGCTCGTGGTCCGTCTGGCGCATTGTCACCTCCCTCATTGGTTTCGTCGCCTGCGTCATGGTTGTCGTCGGATTCAAGGCCAAGTTCAGCGCCACCCTGCTGGTGCTGATTCTCAGCGTTTTCAACATCCTCGTCAACAACTTCTGGACTGTAGGTTTTTGCCCTCCCAGACGCGCCGCTTCGTTTGCTAACAGACTCCCAGCTCCACGAGCACCACCCCCACAAGGACTTCGCCAAGTACGACTTCTTCCAGATCCTGTCCATCGTCGGTGGTCTCCTGTTGCTCGTCAACAGCGGTCCCGGCCAGTTCTCCATCGACGAGAAGAAGAAGGTCTACTAAGGAAAAGCACCAAAGCCCGGCTCCGGACGGGCAAAGGATATTTTGGAGATGGCGACGACCGGGGACGTCTGGTCGGTTTCTTGGCATTACGAACGGCATTCAAAAGGTGGCAATCACCGCGCTGCGACTACGGTTGGCGGGTTTTATGGGATCACATCGTGGCATATATGAATTGTAGACAGGAAGGCAATAGTTGATACGCGCAAAGCTGCCCGCTTGGAATGGAGAAGACAAAGTTCAAACAAAATGCTGCAGCCCCAACGGTTCCTAGAGGTAGTGGATTGGAGGAGGTGCGCCCCCCTCCAGCAACTAATTCCTCGGCAGAAGATATCGCCAAGCCTCCCGGCCGGTGACCTGCATTCGCGGCGGCTCTACCCATCCGGAGGGGGAAACGCAGCAACCCTCTCGCCGCCCGCTATTGGGTGAGAGTCCAAGTGGATCGTATGCAGGTCTAGCGACCCTTCGGCTGAGGGAGGAACACATGCAGCATCGAAATCATGCATAAACCGCCCCTCCAAAGTGCTTGTTTTCAACTTTTTACGCAATACGCAAAACAAAACGTCTTTTGATCTTCTTCATGTCATAGACCCGTGTTTTTGGTTCCTTTGGTTGTTCTTCATTTGGAGTAGACTCAAGTGAGTCGGGTCACCAACTTGGCGGTGTAATCCCACTTCCCAAACTCAAGAGAAGGAATACCTAGAGAGCCTTTTTTTTTTCCGCGATAACGGAACAAGAAGAAGCAAAGAAATCCCTTATGACGAACGCAAAAAAGAAAACAGAAAGAATGGCAGAGGCGAAAGGCACGGCGATAGATCGTCGTCGGCTTCCCGAGCCAGCTCTTCGACGGCCGCGTCAAGGCCTACTACGCCTAACTTCTCCGCCGCCGCCTCCATCCTCGACGCCGACTCGGGCCCGGCTCCTCTGCAAGGTCCATCCGCATTGAGGAGATGCGCCTCGTCGTCTGGGGGGGCCGCGAGGCGCACCTCCTCGGGAGAGCAGCGCGGGGAACCCGCAGATGGCGAGGTTGGCGGGGGGGGGGGGGATCATGCGGGAGGTACACGCCTCGGTCACGGATTTTAGGAGGTTGAGGGAGAGGTATGGGGTTGTTGACGAGGACGGGGTTGGGATTGGGAAGGGGGAGAAGGAGGAGGAGCGAGGAGTGAGGAGTGAGGAGGGCGAAGTGGGTTATTGCCGGTATATATTCTACTATCACTTGAGTTTATAGGTTGATACTAATGATGGGAATAGATAAGGAGAAGTTCTTAACCCCCTTGAAGGATTTGAAAGGTGACGATTCCCAACCGCGAGCACCCTCACTCAAACCTCACGACCACAAATCTCCAGCACGGCAAAAGCCAACTGACCCATATCCCAAAACAAAAGACTTCAACGACGGCCTCGAACAACTCTTCCCCCCTCCCTCCACCGCGCCTGGCGCCACTCCCCTCCTCGACTCGGCCCGGCGCGACGTCTCCCCAGCTCGCCCTCCTCCGAGGGGCCTCTACCCGCAGCTGACCTGCCTCCGCGATTCTCAAGAAGCTGAGGATCAACTTCGACGCCTCTCTCGCCCCGGGCCGGCTTCCGTCCGACGTTGCGCGTTCAGAGTGCCCCGTCACCATCTCGACCTCGGCGCCGAGAACAGTAGCAGCAGCAAGTCGTCGTCGTCGTCGTCGTCAGCTAACAAGTTCTAGAACGGATGAGGAGGGCCAACAGCATCCAAGGACGACGACGCAACCTCCACGCGAACCCCCGCCTCCCACAAAACCCACGACGCCGTCCTCGTGGAATGGGGTCCAATACGGCCCCCCCAACGACACCGAAGAACCGCTTCCCTCCACCTCCGCCGCCTCGACGACCTCGCGAGCATGAATGCGCTCCGTCTCCGAACGGCCACACGGACCCGCACACGATCGACTGCGTCGGCTACACCGACGACGTCCCCAACGCGCGCTACGGCCTGGTTTACCGCCGTGCCCCCATCACCTCCCCCGACCTCGATGCCCGCGTCGCCCTGGCGTGCACCCTCTCCGGCGCGCTCTGGTCTCTGCACTCGCTCGGCACGGGTCTGAGCCAGAGGCCGTACTGCAAGAGCTACGACGTCCACAACCTGGGTCTTGCTGGAGATCGGGCTGTGGAAGGCGCTGCAGACGTATTCTAAGCCGCACTACTCGGCGGAGAGGTGGAGGGACAAGATCATCCCGCCGGTTCTGGTCTCTGGGCTCGGAAGCAAAACGGGGAAGCTGTATAGGCAGGTCGTGGAAAGATGTTTGACAGCCACGGAGGACATGTCTGGAAGCGAGGCTGGACAGCTTATGGAATGGGTTGTGACTACGTTGGAAGGTATACGCACATGACCTTGCAAGGCCAGGTATCAGCAAAACAGAGATGTTAGCGCTGAGCAACTGAGGCTTAAGCACAAGGTGTCAGCAAGACGATCACAAGAGCCAAGAGAGGGGAATGCGAGGCTATGACCTCGCGTGATATGCATTCTCTGAAGATAGCGACTTGCAGTGAAGAACGTCGAAGGAAGGTATTCTCCACAGGCAAAGGTCTTGATGTTGGTACGCCCATCCGTTCCCGAAAGCAAGTAAAAAAAGAGGATAAAAATATAAAGACACTGCCGGCCCGGATCGCTGCCATTATCAACAGTCCGGGTTGCGCGGCTCAACCCCAAATTCCTGATTTCCCTAATTGCCCCTTCCATCGCACAAGATTCGTATCAGGTCATGATAGTCTCCAGAGGAGGTTGAGTGAGTTTTCGGGCGTTTTCTCAAAAGCCAGAACCGTAGCGACGACAATAAAAAAAAGCTGATTGTTGTGCGTTGCATTGTGAGAGATTCCCCGACCAGAACATTGCGAAAAGCTTTGGCTAGTGGCGGGTCATGTTTTACAACGACTCCACCGTTTCCTCTAAGCGCAAGTCTGGGCCTGGAGCGAGTTGGGTCGCACTCCGTCGGCGAATCGGACACCGGAGCGAGGGGAGTGTCCGGTGATGGTCGGCTTGCCCTTTCGTAGGATCGCCTTCTTCGAGTCAGGGGGAGACGAAGAAAGCGTCGGTTTCGTGGGTGAAGACGTAGACGGGCCTGCAGACGCGGAAGATGTCTGGAGGCGGGCCGCAGACCCGTCGGATTGTCAATCGATACCGTGCTGCTGCTTGAGCTGAGCTAAACGAGCCTGACGGGCCTCGAGGTCCTCTTTTGAGTGGCGCATCTTCTCTGGCTGGTGGTAGAGAACTGATGACAATTAGCTTCTGGTGTAGGAACATTGACGAGGCGACGTACCGATTAGGTATCGGTTCTGGAAGTTGAAGCCGTTGAGCTTGTCGCAGGCTTGCTTCGCATCCATTACGTCTTCATAGACAACGAAGGCTGTGCCCTTGGTGCCGGAGGCAATGCCCTGGCGCACCTGTCTGTCGGCGAGTTAGCAAACCGCGTCGAAGTGTACGATCGTAGGCAGGTAATAGATGCGTACCGGATTGGGCCAAATTTTCCGAACAGGTCGAACAACTCCTCTGGAGTTACGTTGTAGCTATCGTCGGGTTAGTCATCGCGGTCGTCGTGGTGATGGTCGATGTCGATCGGCATCGACGGGATCGATGTGGCATACCTCAAGTTCTTCACGAACAGAGCTCTACAAGAAACAGTCAGCCATGTCTGTCATCAAGCAAGTCAAGGGAGATGATATGGATCGGAGCCCGGAGTAGGAGTCGAGATGCAAGGCCGGATGACATGGGCCGTGGGGTGACCTCGCCCGGCTCCGGGTCTCGTGGCAGGGAAGAAGGCGTTCTGGCGGAAAACAAGGCCAAGGCCGGGCGTGGCCTTCGCCGTTGGCGGTTGGCAATTGAAGAGGAATTCGGACTCACCGGTTGACTTCTGGGGCTAATTTTCCGCCGCGACTACTCATCTCTCGATGCTCGGCGACACTGGGAGTGCTCGTTTCGGGTTGGTGACGCTCGTAAAAGGACAAGGACGCGCTGGTTGATGGGGATGGGCGGGAAGATTGAGATAGGATCTGAAAGTTCCAGGAGCAGCGAAAATGGGGAGCAGGCAGGTAAATGAGGCGACGGGTTGGCGGCAGTGCAGGGATTGGCCGTAGGTGCCCACGTGACACGCATGACCCCACACGCCGTCACGCGGTGGACCACTCATCATGCGTCCCGTCATCAAGACTGAGGTACGTACCGCCCAGCTCGCACCTTCCAACAGTTGAACTCTAAGGTCGTGACTGCCTGCGGTCGAGGTACGTATCCGCTTCGGCCTTCCGTAGACGTGTCACCGAACGCCTATCTCCGCCCGCGCCGTGTCCGTCGTACTAGGTATTACTATTCCATTGGATCTTACCTCGGGCATTTCACTTCGCCGTGGACTAAAACAAAACAGAAGGCTGGCGGAAATGTCACTGCCGCTACGGATGCACTGGAACCAAACTGGCTGTACGGACACGTCTCCGGGCTCGACTAGACTTGCCGTGTTTCGTGGATGGGTAAGGTACCTTCACGTATCAGATCAAGGTTCTCAGAGACAGAAGAACCGAAAGGTGCTGAGACGAAAAAACACCTCGAATAAAGTTGAAGAGCTTGAGCACGCCATGTTCCTGCTGCAATCAATGCAACTTACCGTGGAACACGCTCGAGCAGACGATTCTCATGCGCTGGTTCCTGAGGCTCGCGTTCCTCACTTCCAGCTGTACAATGAACGAATGCAAGATTGATGAGGAGTGGACCTGTACAAGTCACACGATCCGGCTCAAGATTGCGTAACTTGGCTTAATGCGATAGGAGCCTACCAACCGGCATCTTATCCCTATCAGCGAAATCGCATAATCCGGGGTACCTTGGAGAGGCTCTGGTGAGCCACCCTGGACGCTGTTGGAGAAGCTGGCTTGGAAGTTGGAACATGTTGGCAGCAGTTGTACCTGGCTAAGGTATCCGTAGTGTTTTCCGCCGTGACTGCAGGCGTCTTGGCTGTTTTTCTCGGGGTTCTGAGGGAGATAAAAGATAAGGATCTCCAATGAATTGGGCCATCGTGGTTCATCACCACACGCCATTGCGGCAGCTCCTCATATTTGTATTCGTACCTATCCGTATGGAGACCACTGCTGCGAGTCTTGTACACCCAAAAACCGCCGATCACCCTGATCAGCAACATCAAGCCACCACGATGCGATGGCTGCCCGTCCCGTCGCCGTTTTTGTCCACCTCCAGAACCCTTTGCTGTCGTGTTTCACTTCAGCCCTGTCCCAACGTCCAGCTTCTATTTTCTCACTGGACCAGATTTACAAAGCTCAAAGAACCGGAAGAAAACCCCTAAGGCGGTGTGGCTGACTCCTGCCGATGACGCTGCTGAAAGGGAAAAAAAAGGGGACCTGACAGCTGGAAGCCAGGGGTCGTACGGATGAGGCTAAACAACGACACTGCAGCAGGTTTTCCTTGCTGAGGTGCTGCTGAATAGCAACGTGGACGTCTCCTGCTGAAAACAGACCTTCACCACTGGCAGCACCTTTCAACGTTCCCCCAAAACTTTCCCCTGCATTGATACCTCTTTGAACGCCGTGAATGAATGCCATTGGCCGCCCGCAACAGACAATGGCGCCTCAACGGCCCTCGCGACCGCTAATTGAAGAACTCTACCAACCCTTTCGCCGTACCTGTTGACGTCGGACCTTCAATCTCTGAGTGTACTGGTCCAACGGCTCTGCCACCTCACTTCATACCTCTCCGGAACATCACACTTCCTACCCTTATATCTCTGCCGCCGTCGAAAATTTTTCGACTGTTTTCAGTTCTTCACACCATCAATTCTCACCACAGCTGCGCTTGCAACCGCGCCAGCGCCAACGTCTTACACACCAACGTACCGCACACATATCATCAGCAGCAATGGCGCGTCCATTAGCACAGGATTTCTTCGTGGGCTTCGACGTATCCGACCATGATAAAGCTTTCCTTCTCGAGATCCTCACCAACCCCGGCACTCCCTTGGAGGAGAAGGTCGCCATCTACGAAACATGCCTGTTTTCCGGCTTCCAGGACTGGCAACTGATGCTAGAACGTGCGGCCTCCATCAGGAAGAACAACCCACCGCCAGCATCGGAGCTCGATGCACGAGATGTCCTGGCCTACGTCCAACGACCCAGTGAGGACACGCTAGCCGACGAGAGGGTGCGCGAGGCCTGGGCCGCCACCGACCAGTCCATCAAGAAGCTCGCGGCCATGGTCCCGGCTCGTGAACCAGTCACCACTCAGCCCCCGGCCGACGTCCCACGACCCAGCAACGCCACACCAGCCGATGAGGGGACGCGCGAGCCCTGGGCCGCCACAAACGAGTCCATCAGGAAACTCGTGGCCCTGCTCCAAGAGCCTGCCATCGTCAACCACGAGGACCATCAGATCATTAAGCGAGAGGGTGTCGCCAAACGCGAACGTGAGGATGACGCCCAAGACAAACGGGTCAAGCGACGGAGAACTGCCTCCTCCAAGGCCACATCTCACTACTTTGCGCAACCGGCGGATGAGCAGCCGTCTCAGCAACCAGCATCTCCGGCCGCGGGCAATGTGCAAGCCGGTGGCACCTCGGCGGTCCTTCGCAACGGCATCGCTACGCCGCGCAGCTCCTCCCACAAGTCCACCGAGATCGAGGCCGCGGGGGATGGTCCCTCCGACCCGCTGCAAGCCAGAAACGCCGCTAATATAGCCGGCTCAAGCAACGGCGGCAATGACGACATCGCCGGCGATTTAAAAGTCAACGGCCCGCGGACAGCCAGGGCTCTGCGGGCAAATGTGCCAACCCGGCGTTCCACCCGCCTGGCCCCATCTCCCTCTCTGACGCCCTCATCCGTCCTCTCGTCCCCCTTGGATTCGACCCAAGTAAAATCGGAACGCTAGAAGGTTCCTCAAAACCAAAGGGCGCCATCACGTCGCCATTCTTCGCTTCGGCCCCGGCACAGTCTCCCGTGAAACAGTCACCCAAGAAACGAAATGGCGGCCTCGTCTCAACAATCCCCTTCCCGCCGTTGTCAGCCCCCAAGTTTGGTCTCATCCAAGAGGAGTTCGCTCACGATCCCTTTTGGCTCATGACCGTCGTGACCTTTCTCGTCAAGACAGCCGGCACGGTTGCTATCCCAACATTCTATAAAGTGAAGGAGACCTATCCCACGCCAGCTCACTTGGCCGACCCAGACCCAGCGACGGCCAGCTCGATTACAAGTATGATACATCATTTGGGTCTCTCAGTCGTCCGGACAGCCTCGATACAGCGTTATGCACGACTCTGGTTGGAGAAACCACCTACGGCGGGTGTTCTTTATAGAGTAAAGAACTACGACAAACGAGACGTCCAACCAAGACCCCTTCAACCTCGCAACCAGGAAGGATCCGACGCAGAGCCGCATCCCACCGAGACAACTGCCGCAGACGACGCGTGGGAGATGGGCCACTTCACCCAGGGTAAATACGCCCTCGACAGCTGGCGCATCTTCTGCCGCGACGAACTCCTCGGCAGGGCTCGGGACTGGAACGGCGCTGGTGCCGCCCCCAACTTCCAGCCCGAGTGGATGAGGGTTCGGCCCGACGATAAGGAGCTCCGGGCGTGCCTGCGGTGGATGTGGATGCGGGAGGGCTGGGAGTGGGATCCCGCCACGGGGGAGAGGACGGTCCTGCGCGAGGAGATGCGGAGGGCCGTCGAGGAGAAGCGGGTGACATATGACGAGGTCGGCGGGCTGAGGATCCTGAGCGAGCCGCGTCCGGAGTAAGGTGGTCGGCAACTTTGGTTACTACTGTTTTTCTCTCATGCATTTGTTATCAAAAAGAAGACCTCTATCATGGTTTCTGGGACAGAGGCTGGATGCGGAAAAAGATGGGAGATACCCGCACCCGCCTGGGTGCATTGCGTCTAAGGTAGACATGAGCGAATTTCATAGATGAGCTGCTTGCTCACAGCGGTATGAATTCAGAATATGATATCATGAGATATCTTCGCACTCTCGGTGAGGTTCTCGTCGACCTTGAGAGGGTGAGGCCGTTGTCAGGCGCCACCACGGATGGATGCCTGAAAGCTTCCAGATTATTGGCAGAGAGAGATGAAAAAAAAACCCTTTCTGAAAATCGTATTACAACTCTGCGTACGCTAGGTATCAAGTAAGAAAACGGATGTTGTACTGCCTTGCTGATATTGTGTAATTGAAGAAGCAGTGAGCTGCTTACTCAGTCCCACCAACAGCCAATCTGCAGGTGCTCCGGAGGATGGTGCGCTCACACCCAAAGTTAACCCCACATCCAACTCCCACAGCCAAACCACCACCCCCAACCAACCAAACTCACCTCCAAAAAAGATCACGACCTCACGATTATAAAAATGAAGTGCGTATCTCTCGAACATGCCAAAAGAATTGGACGAACAGGGAATCGAACCCTGGACCACTCACATGCTAAGCGAGTATTATACCACTAAACCATTCGCCCCGCTTCTGATGGTAATGCAAACGGTAGACCGACTCATGACTGTACGCGAGGGGGGGCGAGGGGAGAGAATGCAGGCGGTCGAGGGCGCGCGGGAACGTTGTGGCGTTTTTTTGGGCGTTTTTTGGGGCTGCATCTTTGTCGATTCGGTCTGCATGTAGGTGAACTAGCCGTGTCGACTTTGTTCTCGGAAACTGCCGAGGTGAGTTGTGTGTGATCCGCGGTATCGTGAACTTCGTAACGTGATGCCATTCATTACCTCTTAACTCGTTTCCCGTCCCCGCCACCAAACATGAGCGCAATGCGATATGTGACCGAACCCCCTCCCTCTCCCGCAATGAACATATTTCCCCTCCAAAAAGAACTCTCAAATGACAAAAACATGCCGCTGAAATAACCCAACCCCCAGATGCTTTCCGTGATGCCAGACGTCCCCCCCGCCCTCACACGCGCAGCTCGACGGCGATCTTATCCGTCTCGTCAACCTGACCCTCCTCGGCCTTCTCCCTGCGCTTCGCGAGCTCGCTCTCGGCGATGGAGCGGATGAGCTGGATCGTCAGCTCCGTGCCGGTGGCGACGGCCTCCTCGGAGGCGTCGGAGGGGACGTGCAGGAAGACGACCCTGCGGTGCTCGTGCTGCTTCCAGAGGTGCGCCAGGCTCGAGAAGTAGATGAAGTCGCAGAGGTAGTGGCCCGCGTCCTCGGATATGCGTAGGTCGGAACGGTCCTGTTCTTCAGTATTAGTTTGCCTCCTCAAGCCCGTGTGTCTTCAAGCAAAGGGGACGGAAAACGTACCGGGCTGTGCGACTTCCACCGCCCCAACACGTCCTCCACGTCCAGGTGCGTGAGGATCTCGTCGGGGCAGCCGTGCCAGACCCAGTCCTCGCCCTCCAGCTTCCGGCGCTCGTCGTCCTCGAGCCGGTTCCCGTCGACGTCCGGGAAGGCGTAGCCGTCGCGGTGGCCGCGGCGCTCGATGGAGTAGAAGAGGCGGGGGCCGGCCATGCCGATGTGCACGGCGGCGTCGATGCGCGGGTGCGCGGCGGGGTCCCAGAGCCGGGGGACGAGGGCGCGGACGGTCTGGTAGTTTACGCGGACGGCTTCCGGGTGGACGAGGATGCGGACGGGGGGCAGCGGGCGGGATTGCGAGGTTGTCGTCGTCGTCGTCGTCGTCGTCGTCGTCGTCGTCGAGTGGTGGTCTTTGGGGTTCTTGGCGCGGAGGGGCGGGAGGTAGGAGGGCAGCGAGTGGGCGATTTCCCACGAGGGGTTCACGGGGTATTGGACCTTGAAGGGCTACATGATCAAGAAGCGTTAGCACAGGTTAGGAGGAGGTGAGATATGTGAGTTTCGGAGGGCGAGGAATGGCGATTGAGGTAGATCGCGTGCCTGACGATCGATGACATGTCGTCGTCGTCGCAGTCGCATGGCGGGGCAAAAGCCGACAAGGTGACGTGAGGGGCAGTTGTTCGAGTCGGGGGGACCGCGGGCAGTGGGGAAAATCAGAACGTACGCCGAAGCCGGTGACGAGCACCGTGAACTCGTCTTGCGAGTCGATTTGCGACCCCATTTTGTGACGGTCCTTTGTGGAAGTGAGAGGTCGTGTGGGAAGACGAGTTCGTTCTCTTTACGACGGGGGAGGACCTTACGATTTCTCTATTCTCAATGCAGGAGGGGGACGGACGGGACGGGGAGGGCTTTTTGTCTCGCGATTATGTACCTATCCCGGGGGGCGGGCGGGATTGTTTGCGCGCGACGCTGTAAGGGTGGGGTCGCAGCGCTAAAAGATGGGATGCTCCTGCAGCCGACAGTGGGGGACAGGGGGTGGCCTCGGGGGGGCTCCACGCCGTAAAGCACCGAAGACGGCCTGAAGCGGGGCAGACCAGTCCGACTCGCCTGCCCTTTTCAGCTCTGTCTGCTTCAAGCTATTCTAAAGTCTTGCTTTTTATCTCAATTCATATTTGACATGCACCTTTTGAAGTGGAACTATGTCAATAGGTGCCAGGTGGTTAGATGGACGGAAGGCTACTGATCCAGCAACGTGGCTTCCCGTCAATTGCGCATGGCATGGTGTCACTAAGATACCTTGCAACCCCAACACAGAGTGTGAGGCGACATTTTGGCTTTACGAGGTGACCAACCATGAGCAACGAGGGACGCTGAAGCACAGATGGAAATCAATGGGCGGTGAATGCCAAAGTCAACTACCGAGCTGGGAGTAAGGATGGCGGACGTAAATCATGGCTTTTGCTTGAGGGAAACCTTGCAAGCCAGCACCTTCAAACGTGTTGGACAGCTGAGGGCCGTTGTAAGAAGATGTAAGGAAACGGAGTCAGTCAATTGCCATCTCATGAGTTTCGATGCAAGTGTATGAATTATCTCGAAAAAGTCAGGGAACTTGTTTGTTTTGAAGGCTTGCGCGTACGTTAGGCTCGTAATTATCAATGCAGACAATGATTTGATAAACAAACTGAGACTTGACACCAAGCACATGCAGAGAACACAATGGCTAAGAAAGACATCACTATTGACGTGCTAGCTATGTTGTGTTACACCACAAGCCAAGCTAAGCCTTTAGGGATGCTTATCCATGGCTCGCCATGGCCTTCTAATCTACAATTTCTATACTTCGCCAGTCGGAATCGCAGAAGAACCTTGGAAGCTCGCGCAAGACATGCATTTACTCCACAACCCTTGACATACCCGTCTCAATACTCTCAATCCTCCTGACCGAATATTCTCCCGGTTGCCCTGAGACACCAGCCACCTGCTTCCTCTCGTGCAGCCCCGACCCAGGTAATCGGTGACCGCCTCAAAACATGGAAGTTTATTGAAATTAAGGCCAGCTCAGACCTATTTTAAACACCATCTTCTAGCCAATCTGCTTGGCATCGCACATCTTGATACCCGAAGCCGAACACATGGACACCCGGCCTGCACGGCGACGATCTCCCGAGATAAGCGCGTGAATCCGCAGGGGCAGATTCAATATTATCAACCATACACAGACCGCGAAGGACGCCACTTGAGACCGCCGCGACTGCTGGGGCTGACCTCCATATGGAGGTCAATCCGCGCGGCCCCCATACTCACGATGCAGGCGTTGTCTCGGTGAGAAATACGAAGTCGGAGTCGATCTCCTCGCCATCACATCCTCACGTCCCTCCGCCACGTCGCCCGCGCCTGCAGGTGACGGCTGATGATGGATCACCCTCGCCCTCGTAGCTCGATGTTCGTGAGAACTTATAAGCCATGGAGCCCGCCACGAAGAAACCCTCGTGTGGTTCCATCACCATCAACCATCTTCACACGACTCTCACCAGACACTTGAGGATTTCGACGAGGTCTGAGCGACAGTAAACACCATGAGACTCCAGAGCCTAGTCCTCGCGCCCCTCGGCGTCGCTGCCGCGGCAACCAACGCAACCATCAACACAAACACCAACTCGACATCCGCAAAAGCGTGCCCGGCACGCCCCGCGACGGCCACGATCTCCTCCGGAGTCATCAACGGCGTAGCCACATCCCTCCCCAACGCGCTCTCAGCCGTGAACAAGTTCCTCGGCATCCCCTACGCCGCACCACCGGCCCGGTTCGCCCTTCCTCAACCGCCGGCGCCATGGACGAACGCGCTCAACACCACGGCGTTCGGTCCCTCATGCTACCAAAACTTCGTCGATAACCGTATGATGATATGCTCCATCTGTCCCCTGAAATACCTTTGAACATTGGACTGACAATCATCCAGCCGTCGCCACTCGCCCCGAAGTCACCGAGGCCCTCTACAACAACCCGCCGGCCCCCGAGAGCGAGGACTGCCTGACCATCAACGTCTTCGCCCCGGCCAAGAAGCCCCGCGCCAAACGCGCCGTCATCGTCTTCATCCCCGGCGGCGCCTTCCAGATCGGAAACGGCAGGGCGGACCTCTCCGCCTTCGCGGCCTACGAGGACATCGTCGCCGTCGACTTCAACTACAGAAACAACAGTCCGTCGCCACAAATCACTCACTCACATCCCCCCACCAAACACTAACACCTCAAACAGTCTTCGGCTTCCCCTCCTCCCCCCAGATCCCCATCACGGAACGCAACCTCGGCCTCTACGACCAGCGCCTCGCCCTCCAGTGGGTCCAGGAGAACATCGCCTCCTTCGGCGGCGACCCGGACAAGGTCACCATCTGGGGCCACTCCGCCGGCGCCACCTCGGTCGACTACCTCCTCCGCGCCTACGGCCGCGACGATGCCCCTCCCGCCCCCTTCCGCGCCGCCGTCATGCTCAGCGGCCAGAGCACCTACGGCCTCGCCGCCGCCAGCTACCCGACCAACGGCACCATGTGGCAGGGCATCGCCGCCGAGGTCGGCTGCTCCAACGCGACCGACGTGCTGGAGTGCGTGCGGCGCGTGCCCGCCGCGGACCTGATCGACGCCCAGCGCTCCACGGGCATCCTGACGGGGCCGGAGCGCGACAACGTCACCTTCCTCCCGGACCCCGTCGACAGCTGGGAGAGCGGGGACGTCGCCAAGGTGCCGCTCCTCATGGGCACCGTCGCGCAAGAGGGCCGCGGGCTCGTCAACGACCGCATCACGCTTGACCTGTTCTTCAGCACGTACCTGCCGGCCACGCTGGTCCCCGCCGCGGCGAGGGAGTTGATCGTCGCGACGTACCGCGCCACCGGCTTGACTACGGACTTCGACATCGCCGCCGCCATCTACACGGACTACGTCTTCCAATGCGTGAGTTAAGCCCCCCCTCCACAATCTCCTCTCCCGTACTGACCCAGACCGCGCAGCCGGCCGCTCTCCTCGCGGAAACGGCCACCTCGATCGACATCCCGACGTGGCGCTACTACTTCAACACCTCCATCCTGACCATGGTGCCCCCCGAGCTGAGCTTCCTGGGCGTCTTCCACGGCTCGGACCTCTTCCTGCTCCTGACGAACCCGGCCACCACAAAGTACACCGTCGAGCAGTACGAGGTCTACGAGTACCTCCGGGGCGGCATCGCGCGGTTCGTCAAGGACCCCGCGGGCGGCCCGGGCTGGGCGGCCGTCGGGTCCGGGCCCGATGACGTCGTCGTCCTGGGCGACGTCGGTAGCACGCCGACCGCCGCGGCGCCGTTCAACGCCACGCTGCTCGATGCGAAGTGTGCGCTGTATGCTCCGCTGTATCCTATCCTGCAGGCTGTGCTTGGTTGAGAGATGTGTGTGTGTGTGTGTGTGTGTGTGTGTCGCTTTGGGATCATTCTGTATATAATTAAGGGTGTGAGGTCGACGTGTTTCTGCTAGTTGTTTCAATCGCATATGAAGTCTGGCCGCTCGCCAGGCACGAGATCTCGCAAACCAATTGATTCATATCCTGCTGACGAGATGACCAAATTTGAGAGAAGATACCAATTCAGAAGTCCCTTGAACATCTTATGTCTTGCGTTCTTGCACACCTGTACGGGGGCATTGGAGACAACCACACGTAGAGGTATCTTAAGCTTCGTGAAGCATGGCATTAACGATGTGCTCATGGAAGATGCCGATATTATTGTCGCGTCTTCAGTACACAACAACGTTGTGTGCAAGAGGATGATAAACTTTGGACGTGACCCTTCCAATCACCTCATCATCGATTATCCAAAGCCCTCCCTGCCTTCGAATTGAGATACCGATTTCTAATGTATTCATGACATATTAGCCAAACAACCATCACGAAACCGGCATCAAGGACGCTTTTCCGACTCACCTCCGGTCAGCCCAGAACATCACATACCACGCGGCTGCCATGGGCGGTGCGACGTACCAGAATTGGCTAGAGCACCGCCTCCAGACGTTGAAGATGGCGTTATGAGCAGCACCGGCCAACGGGTTCAGACGATTGGGAGCTATCCCGTACGTGATGATGCCCCTCTGCTTTTGCCCACCTGGGGGCATCTTAGCTACTCATCAGCGCTGTCTTTGAAAGGGGATCATACCGATATTTCCCCACCAACCTTTCCACCTACGTTATGGGGCATCAGGAGTTAGATAACTTAAGAAAGGTGTAGGTGCCTTAGGTATGGACCGGGAGAACAAGCGACTTACATGCCATATCTTCCCACCGGAACATGGGGTCCGGACTGGAGACCTTGCGTCGGTTTCATGCTTGTTATCTGGATACCCTGCCTCGATGGAGAATGCTACAAATAGGATGGCTAGATGTCTGTTGAATCAAGCGGGCCATCGTTCTTGTTATAGACGAGCTCCAAACTCTGGGTTCGGAGTCGATTCTCGGACTCGGACTTCATGGCCGGGCCAACGTTCAAGTCCCGAAGACACGGACACTCAGCCGGCTGCAAACGCGTTCCGCGCACAAACTATAGTGGATTTCACGAAGTAAGTCACATTTGACTTTGAGACGCGGAGTCTATCCAGCCCAAGTCCGGAAAATCGTCGCCCCAAAAAGCTCCCATAACATCCAGCTCCTCCTGGTCGACATCAAAAGACAAGCCGGTGTCTTGCGCCACAGCTTGATCTCCGATCATTTCCGTCAACACTGCAACGGCATGATTAACTGCTTCTAACCCTCCTTTCTCCATTGCGTCTCCTAGGGTTTTCCCGTTCATCTTGGCCTCGATCTCTGCTAGGTTCACAGCAAAATAAACGTAGTCCTTTACATTATCCTGCCCAGCACGTATACGCTTCTCAGACCATTCCACACCGGCACGGAGTAGCATGTGCAGTTCTGCAGTACGAACCACGAAGGCCGGTCTGTTTATACCATCATTTCCCACCATGAGATTCAGCTCTGTGGCGATGACGCTCGTCGCGAGGTGTTGAGCTGTTCTGAACGAGCCGGAGCCGCAGAGAGACAGACGAGTAAAGTCCGAGCACTGGTCCTTGATCCCTGAAGTTGTGTGGATGATCTCCAACAGAGGATCGTTGATGTGAGAGATGGGAAGCGTCATGTAGGACATCTCCAAGGCGGCTTCGGTGCATATTTTATGAGAGTGGCAGAATAAGGGGCTGGAAAGGGGTATATAAGGTAGGTGCAGAGTGAAAATGCACCTTATGAACACTGCATCGCAGTATTGATACTGAAACTGCGACACCTTTGGATACATCAAGCGGAGAGCCTCGTCCAGAGACCGGCGGGCGGCAGAAAGCTGCGAGCTGAGCTGCAGAATCGCCGCGTAGCTAGTCTCCGGCTTGATCTTGCTCCAGTGCTTCGAAAGCCGCAGCCTAAGCGGAATCGAGCGGCCCAGAGATATCTGAACAGATGTATCCGTGAGCAACCCCATGTCCTTGGCAGATGGGACGGTCTCGATGTCGGGGCCGATCTGATCATCGTCGACGTTCAACGGCAGCTCGGTGTCATAATCATCGGAAGACAGCAGAGACGGCTGACCGGAGTCGAGACTCGCATCAAGTACGAGCTCTAAAATCGTCGTCCACAGCCGCCGCCGCATCTCGGCTTGGTAGATCGACATGCGCGGCAACCTGGCCGGGTCCCGGTGCAGCCCGAGGCACATCGCGGATCGTAGCAGGGTCCCGCTGAGGATCCATACCCGGTCGCCGTAGAGAGACTCCGTCGCCTGCAGAGACAAGTGCAGAAGACACATCACCTGGATACCGGCGATGGTTGATCTTCGGTTCTCTGACGACTCGAGCCATTCTTGTGCTTCGTGGATCCATTGGAGGGCGCAGGGCCGCAGGGAGAATGTGTCGTCGTGCATGCAGGCTCCTAGTGCCATGCACAACTGGAATCTGATGATGAAGTCTGACGGGAGCATGTCTGGGTGCTCCCGAAATGTTTCTTGTTCTTTTTGGAATGTTGGGACGTGGATGATGCGGTAGATGTGTTCGAAAGTGCGAAGGTATATAGCAAGTAACTCGTCCATCAGGGCTTTGTCTGGTAAGTGCCTGCCATATTGCCCAGGCAGGCGTAGTAGAAGTCTCTGTGTCTTGAGACTACTGATCAGAGCTTTACAATGTTGAAGTCCCCTCCAGCATTCACCTTGCTTGGATACTTCTCGATCTAGCCATTTCAAAGTCGGCAAGTTCTGGGGCTTGTGAGAAAGAAGGATGTGTCGGAGGAATGGTGGACATACATACCAGAATAGCCGAATATAACCAGTGACCCGGAGATATGTACCTAAATTTGACCAGGAATAGGGTGGGAGGGGCTGGAAGTTCGGTTAAGGAGCTGATAGTAGGCGACGCCCGGCTTGATTCAGCTCGAATGTTCTCGGTTGCGTTCGCGGGTGACTCTGCCACAATAGTTTCGCTACCCCATGTCGGTACAGGTGTTTTCGAGACCAAGACGCTGCCGAGCGATGATGAGTGCCATACCCCGGTGTCCGACGGTGACCTCCTTGCTTCTGCGTGCGCCGTGGTGACTCCGGCCCGCGAGGGGAGCGCCGTGAGCCCGGAGTCGGCCTCCGTCAGCGCGGCGGGCACCGGGCTGACTTGAGATTCTCTGGATTCTTGCGGTTGTGCGGCGACGAAGGGCTCGGGGTATGTACAGACCCTGTTCCTGGAGCGCTGGCAGCTGGTGCAGGGCCGTTCGTGATCGCACCTGAGTTTCCTTTTTCGGCATTCAGTGCAGGCTAGGGCGCGTCTGCGTCGCACGCGAGCCTTGCTTTGAGGAGTTGATTCCATTCTTGGCTGCCGGTATCATCGCATACCTTTCCTGTAGAGAAAGATTGGGCGATGACGGACTTTGGAGGAGATGTTGACTTAAACCACGGGGTGGGGTCCGGGCTTCGGACTCGGGCTCGGACTCGGAGTCCGGGTATGTGGGTTCCTGTACTATCTTTTGTCGAGTCTTTACCCCGAACGAGTGTTCTCGCCGATTTTCTGATCTTTGTTATGAAACGTTCAGATCAATCTATGGAAAGCGAGTTCGCCGAGAATATTGGCGGAACAGCTGGATATACCTCAGTATTGTGACCAGAGTTGCATGGCTCCCTATCCGAGCCTCCAACATACTATTAGGAAGTAATGATCATTCTTGCATTGCGTGAGTGGAGATTTACGTATCTAGTATCGAAGTCTACATGGAAGTTCTATTCAAATCGGAAAGATGAAGTGTCAAAATACAGGCCAAATCTAATTCTACCAGAGGAATAATCCTTGATTCCTCACAAAGACGCTTTGCTCAACCTGACATAACACTGCCTGGGTTTGACCGTCAGACCATCGTAGCCACTATAGCTAGAAAGCTCCGATGGGCACGGCAAGAACTCAAAGTTCCAGATCAAGAGCGCAGTAAACATGCGCAGTTCAAGATAAGCCAGCCGGCGCCCGAAACAGGCCCTAGGTCCCAAGCCAAACGCCATCTGCGGTCCAGCTGTGGCATCGAAGACCGTCTCGTCACTTCCGTCTTTGGCCGACACGAGCCAGCGTTCCGGCCGGAACTCAGTGACGGGATATGGCGACGCTTTCCAGGTGCGGATGCGGTTCGCGACGTCCAGGGCGGACTTTGTACGCTTCGATTCGGGAATCTCGAACTCGGGCTTCATGATGCTCTCTCCGATGGTTACCATGACCACATTTGTGTCCTTTGGGATGTGATGGCCTAGGATGGTGGTATTCTGAAGAGCTTGGCGATCCGTGACTGAAGTTGTGCCCGCGCAGCGAAGGATCTCTTCCAATGTCGCGTCGAGGTACGGGATGCTCGTCCTGGTGATCTCCTCGCAGGTCGGTTGGCGTTTCTCAGCCACTACCGTCGAAAGATACTTGTGAAGCTGACCTCTCAGGTTTCTTTGGGCGTTCTGGTTGTCCGTCAAGAACTTCAGGCCCCATCCGAACGTGGTGGCGCTGGTTTCATGACCTGCCATGAGAAAACCGAAGACCTGTTCTCGTCGACAACAGTCAGTCAACAATCATGAGGTTATAGATGCCAGTCTTGAGACAGCAATGGGCCTACATACCTCGCTGTGCATTCCGATGGACTTGTAAGCTGGTATCCTTCCTTCTTTCTCGGCGAAAAGCTGTTCTCGGTGTATCATGTGCTCTACGGCCGAGGTCACTGGCTCATCGGCTTCGAGCCTCCTCACGGCAACGTCGATTTCGTGGTTTATGAACTGATCGCGGATTCTTTTAGCCTCTTTGATCCGTGATGTCCGATGCATATACCACGACCGAATCTTTGGGAACACCGCCCTCCTTGCCTCCTCGACGCTTTCAGCCAAGGTCAAGACGGCCTCGACAAACTCATTCCTAGGCTCTTCGGGAAAGATCACAGGATAGTTGGCCGAAGTTGGTTTCTCGATGTCCGGCAGAGATGAGATCATCTCAAGACGAGCCGGAACGGCTGTGTAAGCGAAGCTGCCTCCAAAGGAGAACGACAGGACGGCATCGAGAGCACCGTAATAGATGTCTTCAAAGGCTTCGAAAGGGCGTTGCTCGGCAAGCCGAGCCTTGTGCTCCCAGAGCTCGACCACCTTGAGGACATTCTGGTAGATAGGCTCGGCGGCGACGTTGTGGAGGAAGGCCGGTGTCATCAGATCCTGCAACCATTTTCGCTGCCTTTTGTAGAGAGGATCGCCGGTCTTCATGAGCATGTGGAACTGCGGGAAGATGGGGCCGAAGATTGAGTCCAGGCTGTCTGCCCGGTCGAACTCTTTGGCTCGTCGCATGCTGATATCTTCCGCCTCGCGAAAGTCTGCGACGATAACCAGAGGCCGTGAGAAGGGGCGCAGCCACAGCTGGATGATGGGAGACTGGAGCTTTTCGCACTGGGAAGCGACCCATCGCCAAAGAGAGATGTCCTGCTTCTGGCTTTCCAGGAGAGATGGGATGTCTCCCATGACAATTCTGCCGGCTTCTTCGTTGTACGGTATGCCTGGGATTGGCTTCGGCAAAAGCCATAGGTATATGGTGTAAGAAGACAACGCGGCAACTGCAATCAGCAGAGTCGTAGGCGTGATAGTGGCGATGACGGGCGACATGTTCATGCGACTTGGTGGCTGGCGGCAGGAGGAATCAAGTTGTTTGAGCAATTGGAACACTCTAAGACTGAGTAATCTATTATCCGTCGAAGCTGGCCTATTACCTGTAACATAAATACTGTTCCGATGCGGCTTAGAGACGGGTCGTTGTCCGTGGTATGTGGTCGTTTTCGGAGTCCGAGCCCGAATCTACAATCCGCAAATCCGGAGATCGATCTGTGTTATGGCTGCACTCTCCCGGCTCTTCCACCTTGCGCGTGAATTTGCACGAGATTAGTTGCCAGGGGCTTGAGCCGCTTCTTCCTCATTGGGCTTTCTACCCCAGACAGAATAGCTAGGAATTGTCAGCCTATCCGAACTTCGCCAACGCCAAAACTCGAACTTACATTGGCCAGTAGGCATGGATGTGTCGGTTCTTGAGGTCCTTCCGAACATCGACCAAGAAGACGATAACCTCCTCCTTCGTCCACCCATGTATCCTGGTGAAGGGCGCCATGGCCCAGGCCTCGCAACCGGCACACACATTCTCGTTGTTCCAAATGCCAATCTCCTTGTACTTAGGGTCCTTAGGCCACGAGTTGGTGGGCCACTTGTATCGGTTCAGGGTCACGTCGCGGAATCCGATCTCGACCATCATGTCCCTCAGAGCTGGGATGCTCTGGAAAGCGCGGCCGGACTTCTCCAGGGCGCCGAAGACCAGCTCGAGGTATTTGTGAAGCGCATGCTCTTCTTTGAGAGAGCCGTCGTCGGAGGTGGGCTTGTCCATCTCGTCCAGTTCGAGGTAGCCGCCCGGTGCGAGGCCGCTGATTGAATGAGCATGGTGATTTTGTATATGGAAAGCCTAGGGCGGTTCTTACTCGTAGCATCTCTGCAAGTAGGTCTTCCACTCCGAGAGACTTGATGTCATCATTCTGCTGTGAATGTAGTCAAAGGGACGGGAGAATGTCCACGATTCCTCGATGTCGTCGATTTCGAACTTAACGTTGGGGGGCGTGCTGAACAAGTCAGCTGGTTATTCCAGAGTTACATCGCGGTCAATGTTTCGCGAGTTGGGGGCCCTACAAGCCAGGTTGAATAGCGGAAAGATCAACGCCGAGTACCTGTGCAAGTTCTTAGTTACTTCACTTCGACTTACAAAGAGCGATCTCACCTCAGCTTCGGGGTGCTCGTCGCCGAACTCGACAGCCCATATTCCGGTTCCAGTGCCGACATCAAGCACGCGCTTCACCTTCACGCCAGAGGACTTGTCGTTCGGCGGAGCTGTCCCCAGCTTGTTGTCGTACGTGAGTAAGAACAGGTTGTGTTGCAGGTCTGAGAAGGTCAGCATGAGATACCAAGTTTGGGTTTCAATTCAAAATACCTAGCCGGTCGTTCTCAGTCTCGTCATTGGGGTAACTGTATTCTGGGCTCGTCAGGACTGGCAGAGCTCAATGGCATAGGGGAAAGCCCACTTCCATCCTTGTACCGATGGTACGTCCTGCCGTTCTCATTTCTGTAGTCGAGAATGGAGCTGCTCACACTCTCACTTGACGAAGCAATACTCTAGTCGAATCAGTGTCTGAAAGACTTGTCCTCCTAAGCAAAATCGCCATGAAAGCCTTACACTGAGTGCTGACACGCCGTCATCCGTAACCTGTGGCCAATATCAGTTCTCTTGGTGTGACGCCGGAAGGGACTTGATGCAATACCTCATCAGCGACCAGAACGACGTCGTTGTTAGGCACAGTAGACCCAGTCATATTGACAGAAGCTTAGGATGGAAATCTATAGACCAAGTTGAAAACCCCAACGGCGTCAAAAACTAGAACTCGAAAGTTCCGAGGAATTAATTAATTCTGCAGCACTGAACATTTTATCTCTTTTCGCCCAGTCAATAATGCTTTGGCATTGTCTTTACCCCTCTTCTTGGCTGGAGACAACCATGCAATGTGATGAATGCTGCATACCTAAGCGACGAAAACCCACGATTTCCGACATGCTGTTGGTCCTCGAGTCGCAATGAACGACCGGGGCCCTGCTCTGTTGGAGCTCTCGCTCAGGCTGCGGTGGGAAGGAAGTATTTGGACCCTTGATGTTAGCCCCAGATTCGACAAATTAGCGTGCGCTTCCCGCGATTTTAAGTCCCGGCCCGGCAGCCCCGATGCAGCAACCATGCAACGTGAAGGAAACACCCATGCCAGTCGAACAGGTACCGCTGTCATTCGTTGGATTGACGAGCATCTAGCACAGGCCGAAAGCAGAGGTTTCTATTCGTACTTACTTCGGTCGAAAAGTCCCATCAATTCACCGGATCTTAGTGCTGCACAAACTTTCGACAAATTCCAGCTGGCGTTTGACTTCCGGGCACCGTCGGAGAGCCTACGCGGTTTAGCGCCGGGAAAGGTGGGGACGGTGCCGAAGGGAGCCCGGAGCTTCGCGATTTGATCTGCAACTTAAGCGGCTCAGCTTACGTTTAACTTTCATAGTTAGTCAGGAAGTCTTGGGTTTCTATTGAGTTGCGATTGATGAAATTGGGCATTTCTACGCTTAGTATGATCTGTTACGCTCACCTGAATCTCCCTACGACTTATACGATACTGTCGGCTTCGAGAACTCACAGAGTATCTTTCTGATCAGATGAGGTTTGTGCCATATCTTTATCTATATTTGTAATACACTGACAGGGTTATGCAAGACCTAGAACTTCGCAATTGTCGTGCCGACCTTGTGCTTCCCAGCCAATTCGAGAATGACCTTTCCAAGCGACAAATCCATGATTCCAATGCCAACGCTCTTGTAAATAATGAGACCATTCTCAAGCCACTCGCGCAACGCCTTCTCCTCGCCCTCATCTGCCTTTCTCAACCTATCAGTGAATTCGCCAACCTCTGTAATCTTCTCCGCCGGGATCTTGGCCTCCACGAGCTCTCCCGCCTCCAGGAAGCAGGCCTCCCTGCTATCCACAAAGATGACGCCTTCCTTCTTCTCCCCTCCGGAAGTCTTGAACGCACCAAGCGGCGTGTCGACGATGGCGCGCAGGAAGTCGGGGTCGATCTCCTTCATGTTGAGCTTATACGACCCGATGGCCGCAATGTACCGCGTCTTCGCCGTCGCCCGGTCCGAGGTCAGCCACTCGGAGGGGAACAGGCGCTCGGTAGACGGCGTCGTGCAGAAGATGACGTCGCTCTCCTCGACAGCGGAGCGCAGTGACCCCTCGTCGGCGGGCGTCGTCCCCGGCGCGGCCTCGATGATGGAGAACTTCACCCCGGAGCAATCTCCCACCCCGCTGGCCGAGCCCATGCTTCGCAACCGCTCGATGAGCTGGCTCGCGCGGGGCTCGGATCGGTTCACGATGGTGACGCTCTTGATATCCTTCCCGCGCAACACCAAAGCCAGACGAAGATGCCAGAGGGCCTGCTTTCCGGCGCCGAAGACCACGATGTTCGCCGTCTGCTTGCGGTAGCGGTACAGCAGGATGGAACCTAGCGAGGTGCGGAAGGCCGTCAGCTCCTCGGCGTTGATGATGCCGATGGCCCTGCCGGTGCCGTCGCAGACGGTGAGGACGCAGCGGAGACCGCTGGAAGCGGCCTCTGGCGGCGGGAGGCTGACGACCTTGACGGACATGCCGCCCTCCATGGTCGCGGGCATGAAGAGGCCGGTGGTGCCGTCGGGGCGGACGACGGCGGCGCGGTGGGGTTGGTATTGGGCTTCCTGGCCGACGGAGTAGGAGAGGAAGGCGTCGGTGAGGACGTTTGACATGTGCGAGACGTCTTCGGGGCCGAAGTTTTGGAAGAGCTGCTTCACATCATCGTCGGACAGGACCGTGAAGGCCATGGTGTCGGCGGGGGTTGGTGAGGATGAAGCGGGTGATCAGGAGCTTGCAGCTGCGCGAAGGTGGCCCAATGAGCCTGGTTTGCGAGATGAAGTACAGAGCTAGGTATTTCTCTTCATGTGCTTAGATTTGTGTGTTCAGATTGAGTGTGTTGAAGAATGATCTGAGGTTTGTTGAAGATGCGCCGATGTAAGCCGGTGCCCCTCCGAGGATTCGTCTACAGTGGAGAACCGGTCGGGCCCCTGCCCCCGAGGCCCGAGATCGGAGCCCTCGGCTTGACCTTCCGGTTCCGTCGAGATCACTTCTCCTTTGGGCGAATATATCGGCAGATCACGGCCGTGTAGAACAAGAATCTATCGGAGGCTCAAACCGGCTTTCCTGTTATGAGTCTGGTCTATCTTGCGGCACTGCTGCTTCGATGAAGCCAATTATTGTAATTTACATGTGCTTTCCAGAACATCATCACAGCGAGAACCATGAAAGGGTGCCGTAGAACGTCATAGTCGGCACGACTAGTATCGTGGGTGCGATTCCGATTGCTCGATTCCGTGTAAGTGCCGACCGAGTGGGTGTGCAATATCGACCTAGTCGGGCCATCACTACCGATGCAAGATGGGCGATCGCCGGCTGACCTCCTCTCTTTGAGGTCGACTTCGCCTTTTTCGTGATGCCGCATGCTTGGTGTTTTGGAATCCAATATTTCGACGTGGCTTTGCGTTGCGATGGGATGCAATTCCTACCCGAACACATGAGGCGCACTGCCCAGATGAGCGACCGGTGAATTCGACACCACATCTCCTGCGATATCTACCTCGTGACAGAGCCTAAAAGGAGACCCATTCGGTAGCGTTAATGGACTTGGCGTTGTCTCCATTCCAATGAAGCCATAGTCACCTCAGCTTGTAAACTGTCCATGTCGCAAGCCACGAGAAAAAGGTGTTCCGACAAGTTCTTTCCAGCTTTTCTCTCCTCTGAAGTCTTGTCGCAGTCTTGAGGTGTCGAATGGAGAGACGTCGGTCGGGATCAAACGCGGTAGCTTTTTTCGTCGATCAGGGAGTTCAACCGAGAATGACGTGCAGTAGTGCTACGAAGGAGGCGGCGATGAACGAAATTCTCGACGGATGAGGATTTCACATACCTTGGCTGCGGCATTGACTTGTCTGTTAGGTGGTGCATTAGAAATCAACTCTGCGTTCAAGACAAGTCGTCGGTGCGAAAGGACGAAATGCCCATCTGCACACCCTCAACTCTGTCCAAGCCCCCAAATTGTCTCCGCGGCACACTGGACAAGTTCAGCCGAAATCCGTGAAATTGTCGCTCGGATCTCGAGTATTCCGCCGGTTCGGACGAGATGCCAATAAGCAGGTTCATCACATCAACAGAGAGATCACCACTGCCGTCCGAACAAGACGGAGCAAGTTGTCAGCAACCAACAAACCGGAGCGGCGCCGTCGTCCGGCGGCGCAGCAGAATAAACGGCGGAGTAGAGGTGAACATCCAACCCCAAAAAGTCGGGGGGATCGAAGGGTCTTCGGCAGAAATTAGCGCAGAAATGGACTCCAACCCCGTCCGTGGGCTCGCGTGGACTCCGTGGTTCAGACATGAAGCCCCCGCCCCCAAAGTCCGCCAGATCGCGGCCAAGCATGCGGCCCTGCCCCCATGGCGGGGATGCCACAGGGAGCTGTTCAACTGTACCGTAAGGTAGGTAGGCCCAGATGGAGGCGGACTTTCGGGCCCGGGTTGGTCACCGGAGACTTGCTCGCTTTCGGGATGTGATGCCCCGTTTCCTGAGACCAGTCTAGAGGCTGCGGTGTCACCTTGTCACATATTTCACGCATTTGACAAGAGAAACGCAAACGAACGGACAGGAAGAATAATCAGCGTGGACGTTGAGGTCGACGCTAAACATGCGAAACCAGACGCAAGGCGTGCCGTATGCCGTACCGTACCGCCTCTGCATCTCCACGGACCCCGGAACCCTACCCAGTCTAAGTCTGGCCCAATACCACAACCCGGCTTTTGACGTCCACACAACATCGCAACATGCCCTCATGCGCCCAGTGCCACTCCGACATCATATCGACTATCGAGCAAGAAATCGTAAATACCCACATCCCCAACCCTACCTCGGACCCGAGCTGCCACATCCAGTAATCCTACATAGATCAAGGATGGACGGGCGGGAAGGCAAGGCAAGGCGTAAACGGGAAGGATTGCGCCTACCCGTTCCACACCCCTCCGTATCCTGCACGATGAGACTGCCGACAGCTCATATTTTCTTTGATTTGCTTGATATGTCACGAAAAAAGGCACCTTGATCTAAGGTTTGGCGAGCTTGTCCCAGACGGTGATAGGTCCGTAGATCCATCCGTGGCGGGAACCCATGACGCGCGGCGGGCCGTTGGGGCACGATTTTCCCGTCCCTCTAGGCTCTGGGCGGAGGTCGAGTCTAGACGGAGAGGCGAGGTAGGTAGGTCATCGACTCATGCACGACGGCGTCCGTATGGCCTCCGGGGTCGCGAAAGGATACCCGAGTTGCATCACCGGTAGGTAAGGTAAGGTAAGGTAGTTCGGGCAAGGCCCGCTGGCGGGGTCCTCGACGAATGGATGTCGGGTGAATTGTAAACGGCTGTGACGTTGTCGTTCTCTGGAGAGTTGTCGAGGGCATCGTTGCTAATCAGGTTGTCCCTGCGGTCAAGGGTATGTCGAGGTCTGCGGATGGACGGTTTATAAGATGAAACTCTCGCCCGCGTAGGTGTTGATGTGAACTCCAACATCAGATCATCTTCTTGGTACGATCAAACTGAATCTTATAAGCCATCAACTAATCGAAGTTGGGCTTGAGAACTCACGACCATCTTGTCGTAACCATCAACAAAAGATAGTCCTGAGAAACTCCAAGATGTCGATGATAATCCAAACATCGAGCCCACGGCTCTCCCCCTTCATACTCTGGCCAGCAGTGGCCGCCTGCTTGGTAAGTCTTTCATCAACTTACACGCGCAACCATCACAACCCCATCACCAGAAACTAACACCCCCTCAGACCGTCCTCTACTTCCTCCTCACGGCAATCTACAACATCACCCTCCACCCCCTCCGCAAATACCCGGGCCCGCGCCTCTGGGCCGCCTCCCGCCTCCCCTACTCCCTCATGCTCCTCCGCGGCGACCCCCACAAGACCATCCTCGACCTGCACGCCCGCTACGGCGACACCGTCCGCGTCTCCCCCTCGGAGCTCTCCTTCCAGTCCCCGGACGCCTGGAAGGAGATCATGGGCCACCGCAAGGGCGCCAAGCTCGAGGAGAACGCCAAACACCCGGACTTCATCGACGAGAACCACGCCGACCTCATCTCCGCCAACCGCGAGGACCACGCCCGCTACCGCCGCATCCTCTCCCACGGCTTCTCCGCCAAGAGCATGCAGGACCAGCAGCCCATCATCAAGTCCTACATCGACCTCCTCATCGAGCGTCTGCATGGTGTCTCCTCCAAGGGGCCCCTCGACCTCGTCGCCTGGTACAACTTCACGACCTTCGACATCATCGGCGACCTCGCCTTCGGCGAGTCCTTCGGCTGCCTGGAGAACTCGGACTACCACCCCTGGGTCAAGCTCATCTTCGACGACATCAAGCTCGGCTCCTACCTGTTCGTCCTGAAGAGCTATAAGGCCGTCGAGCCGCTGCTCAAGAAGTTCCTCCCGCAGAAGCTCGTCGACAAGCGCAGGTCGCACTACGAGCTCATCGAGGAGAAGCTCGACAGACGCATCGCGCTGGGCACGCCGAGGCCCGACTTTGCGGAGTCCATGCTGCGAAAGACGGGCGACGAAGTACGTCCTCTCCTCCCTTTTCTTCCTACCCCCTTTCCGAAGCAAAGACTAACCTCTCCCCCTCCCTCGAAACCAGGCCCTCACAAGGACGGAACTCATCATGCACGCCCGCCTCCTCATCATCGCCGGCTCCGAGACCACGGCCACCGCCCTCTCCGGCGCCACCTACCTCCTCTGCTCGAACCCCTCGACCCTGGCCAGGCTCAACGACGAGGTCCGCGCCGCCTTCTCCTCCGACGACGACATCGACATCATCACCTCCGCCAAGCTCGAGTACCTCCAGGCCGTCCTCGAGGAGGCCCTCCGCATGTACCCGCCCGTGCCCAGCGCCCTGCCGCGCATCTCGCCGCCCAAGGGCCAGGAGATCCTGGGCGAATGGGTCCCCGGAAACGTACGTATTTTGCTCTGATTATTCTCTGACGGTGGTCTTTCTTTGTTAGGAGAACCGAATGCTGACGTCGAGTCTTGAACACAGACGACCCTGAGCGTCTGGCACTGGGCCATGTACCACAACGAGAGGAATTTCACCAAGCCCTTCGAGTTCCACCCCGAGCGCTGGATGGGCAACGATCCCCGGTTCGCCAACGACCAGCTCGAGGCCCTGAAGCCCTTCCACATCGGTCCCAGGAACTGTCTTGGCATGAAGTACGTTCACTTTCTCAGTCGCCTCAGTCACCTCCTCAACCCCAATAATATCTTCAAACACACAAACTGACACATCCAAAAACAGCCTCGCCTACGCCGAGATGAGAATGATCCTCGCAAAGGTCATCTGGAACTTCGACCTCCAGCTCGCCGAGGAGAGCAGGGACTGGCTCGACTGCGAGCGGCACCAGGTCTACACCCTCTGGGACAAGCCGCCTCTCAAGGTCCACCTGACCCCGAGGAAGACGAACTGAATAAAAAGAGACGGGATGGTTAAGATTTCGACTGCAGAATGGCATCTAGGTTGCGGGGTTCATATGACTTGACGACTCGCTCTATATGCCGTTTCTCTATTCGATTTGAATAAGGCGATAGATTTAAGGAGATTAGATAGAGGTTAGGGAGATTGGACCGTGTGTTTACATCGATATAGGTTTCATAGCGTCATAGCATTATTTGATCTTTCATTTCTACCTTTTCAACCTGTCATCCACACGTCGTCACGTCAAGCTTCCGCGCTGATGTCAGCACCTCATCGTCCCTGCTGGTGAAGCTGACCACCCGACTCTAACTCATTTATATCTTTCTCTAACTCTACCGCCCCTCTCTTCACTCTTCTCTTCTTTCATCTTCATAAAGTCGTAAACCGTCTACTCGCTTCTTCAAAGCTTAGAAGCATCAGCCTTTTTCCGGCCATGTAGTCAATGCTTCCTCCTCGGCGCCCGGTGGTACTGGTTGCTCCACCTGATCGGCGTACCGATCTCGTCCGCGAGCTTGTACACGAAGTTCGGCTCCCGCAGGAACTGCCTCGCCACCAGCACCGCGTCCGCCTGCGTCACCTGCCCGTGCTCCTCGTCCACCTCCAGCGTGGCCCCGTTGCCCTGGTCGGTCCCCAGGTGCCCGTTCGCCTCCCGGCCCTTGCCCTCGCCCCCGCCCTGCTGCCGCTTCTGCGCCTGCACGATGCTCCGCGCCATCTCGCCGCTCGAGATCATGCCCACGGCGCCGATCAGCAGCTCCTTCCCCTCGGCCTCGAGCGCCGCGCGGATCTTGCCCGCGATGCTGACCTGGTAGTACGGCGAGATCTCGATCTTCTGCTTCTCGTGGTTGCCGGCGGACGAGACGTCCAGCAGGTCGACGCCGGCCTCCGGGAGGAGCTTGGCGAGGCGGATGGAGTCGTCGACGGTCCAGGAGGGCTCGCCGGCGTACTCCATCCACTCCGTCGCCGAGATGCGGAGGAAGAGGGGCATGCCGGCGGGGATGACGTCGCGCACCGCCTTGACGGTCTCGAAGAGGAAGCGCGTGCGGTTCTCGAAGCTGCCGCCATATTGGTCGGTGCGTTTCTGTCGTTTCGTGTCAGCTTTTTCACGGTCCCATTCCTGATCGGGGAGTGGGGGATAACCTACGTTGGTCAGGGGCGAGAGGAACTCGGTCAGGAGATACCCGTGCGCGCCGTGGATCTCAATGACATCGACGCCCGCCTCGACGGCCCTCTTCGCGCTCTCGGCGAACTTGGCCACCAGCCCCTGAACCTCCTCTGTGCTCAGCTCCTTCGGCACAGCCCAGCCCTCCGAGTACGGAATCGCGCTCGGCCCGACGACATCGTCAGGCCACCCGCCCTCGCTCTCCAGCGCCAGCGCCTTGCCCTTCGTCTCGGTGATCCACGGCGCGAGCGTGCTCGCCTTGCGCCCGGCGTGCGCGAGCTGAATACCCGCGAGCTGGCCCTGGGAGTGAATAAAGTCCACGGCACGCCTCAGCGGCGCAATCTGCGAGTCCTGCCATAGCCCGACGTCCTCAGGCGAAATTCGCCCGCGGGCCTCGACGGCGGTGGCCTCGACGATGGTCAGCGCGGCGCCGTGGAGGGCGAACTGGCCCAGGTGGACGAGGTGGTAGTCCGTCATGTGGCCATCCTGGGCCGAGTACTGGCACATGGGGGAGACCCAGACGCGGTTGTTGATGCGCAGGTCGCGGATGCGGAGGGGCTGGAAGAGGGTCGGCGCCGTCGCGGCGTCGAGGGGGGTGCCGGCGGGGGGTTCCTGGGCCGGGGTGTAGAACGGCACGTTGGGGGCCGGCTTGTTGGCGGTTTTGGTCATGGTGGCTGGCTGGCTGGCGGAATCAACCTGGAGACGAGGGACGTGCGACTGCGGAGTGATGATGCTGGACGGTTGCAAGGTCTGTCGTGCCAGCGGTTTCGAGTTGATGAGGTTTTGTGTGTTGAAGCGTTGACGTGAACCGAATCTGGAGGGGGAAAGGGTGGGAAGCGAGGGGTTTATCAAGCAAGGTCGAAAACACCGGCAGGCGGAATCTAGATCCCGCAAAGACGGGGTAAGGCACGATGGCAATTGGTTTCTGAGTGGAATTCGCCGATTTGTCAAACCAGGGCGCTTCTTTGGTGGGCACGAAAGACGTCGAGATAGGAAAGAAGCTCGTCGGTGGTTGGTTTCCGTAACACGTTTCTCTCTTCGCTTCAGGAATTAACAACCCAGATGGTGGGGCTCTCGATTTATCAGCTCGGGGTGAAAGCACGCCGTCTAACCAGCTTTGCCAAGTTGTCTGCAAAACGCCCTTGGTTTTTCACGCCCTAGAACCATTCCTACCGCGGCACATATCCATATCATGAAGCCATATCCCGCCAGTCTGCTGAGTAATTGCAGAATCGCCTGCGTCAGTGATGTGGCGTCATTCCGAGTTATTCCCCGTGTGGCGCCGATCCGGAGCCGATGATCCAGGTTCGAACGGCAACGCCTTTCTACGCGCGACACTAGCTTCGTTTCTCGCTAAAGAGTTCCCCGAGTTTCTTCTAAATGAAGTCGGGTCGCATTGTTTGCAAAAGACGTTTCGCAGGCTTTGTTGATCTTAGCCGGGGTCTTGTTTGACTAACATCATTCCAGACTGAGACCAGCCACGAATCATGGATGGGCACGTCCCACTGACGACGAATAAGCTCTGTAGCCAAAACCAACGACTCCTTAGGTACTCACACAGACCGAGGTAACACAGCACAACAACTCATCAACCGTTCCAAGTCACACATCATGTTCAAAAGACGTAATTGCTGAACCAAGATCATGAATTCATGAACGTACTAACTACATTAGACCTCTGCCCGTTAAGGGGCTTTTGTGTCTACCTAGGGACCCTTCCCTGAAAGCGGTATCTGTTGAATGCCTTACTTTTCCCCGAGTCCCAAACCCGCTTGCAAAACGCCAAAGGGATATGTTGAAAAAAGAACGCCTATGTTGAATGTGCCGAAGCCTTTCCCCTGATTTTTTCCGGTTATCCCCGCGGGTATTGCCACTTCATGTCTGTTGAAAAGACCATCATTTCCCACCCAACACCTAAATCACACTCATGTACACCGCATCATCCGCTTAAGCCTTGTCCGCGTACTTGGTGCGGAAGAACTTGGCAGCGTTGACCATGTTGGTCAGCGCGGCCTTGGTCTCGGCCCACTGGCGGGTCTTCAGACCGCAGTCGGGGTTGATCCAGAGCTGCTCAGGGCGAAGACCGTTGTTAAGCATCTCCTCGATGCGGGTCTTGATCTCCTCCTCGGACGGGACACGGGGGGAGTGGATGTCGTAGACACCAGGGCCGATGTGACGGGGGTAGGCCTTCTCCTCGAAGACACGGAGGAGCTTGGCGTCAGACTTGCTGTTCTCGATGGACAGGACATCGGCATCGAGGGCGGCGATGGCGTGGAAGAAGTCCTGGAACTCGGAGTAGCAGAAGTGAGAGTGGATCTGGGTGGAGTCCTGGACGCCGGCGGTGGACAGCTTGAAGGAGTCGACGGCCCACTTGAGGTAGGCCTCACGCTCCTTGCCGGAGCGGAGAGGGAGACCCTCACGGAGAGCGGGCTCATCGACCTGGATGACGTAGATGCCAGCGGCCTCGAGGTCGACGACCTCGTCGCGGAGGGCCAGAGCAAGCTGCTGGGCCTGGACGGACTGGTGAACGTCGTCACGGGGGAAAGACCAGCGCAAGCAGGTGATGGGACCAGTGAGCATGCCCTTCATGACGCGCTTGGAGTGAGCAGCGGCGTACTTGGACTCCTTGACGGTCATGGGCTCGTTGTTGCGGCGGGAGATGTCACCGACAACGATGGGGGGACGGACGCAGCGAGAGCCGTAAGACTGAACCCAGGCGTGGGTGGTGAAGACGTAACCGTCCATGCGCTCACCGAAGTACTGGACCATGTCGTTACGCTCGGGCTCACCGTGGACGAGGACGTCCAGGTCAAGCTCGTTCTGGATGGAGATGACCTCCTCGATCTCCTTCTCGATGAACTTCTCGTACTGCTCAGCGGTGATCTCACCCTTGGTGAACTTGTTGCGCTGGATACGGATCTCCTTGGTCTGGGGGAAGGAGCCGATGGTGGTGGTGGGGAAGAGAGGGAGGTTCAGGTGCTTCTTCTGAGCGGCAATACGAGTGGGGAACTCGGACTTGCGGTTGTGCATCTCAGCAGTAACGTCAGACTGGCGCTTCTTGACGTTGGGGTCGTTGGTGCGGGCAGAGGTGGCACGGGACTGGATGTCCTTGGCGTTGGCATCAAGCTGGGCCTGGACGGAGGCGGCATCGGTGATGGCCTTGGCGATGGTGGCAACCTCAACGGCCTTCTCAGAGGCGAAAGAGAACCAGGCGTAGACCTCCTCGGGGAGCTTCTTCTCGGAAGCAAGGGTGTGGGGAGTGTGGAGGAGGGAAGAGGAGGTGGCAACGATGACACGGTCCTGGCCGACCTTGGCAATGGCCTGCTTGACGGTGTCAATGGCACGGGCGAAGTTGGTCTTCCAGATGTTACGGCCGTCAACGACACCGGCGGAGAGGACCTGGTTGGGGCCGAGCTTCTCGAGAACGGGGCCGAGCTGCTCGGGGTTGCGGACAAGGTCGACGTGGAGACCGTAAAGGTTGTTGATGGCGGGGAGGACATCGAAGTTGTGGACGATGTCACCGAAGTAGGTGGCCAGGACCAGCTTGGGGAGGCCGGCGGCGGAGAGAGCCTCGTAGGCGGGCTTGAAGGCGTCCTTGGACTTCTGGGGAAGGTCGAAGACGAGGATGGGCTCGTCAATCTGGACAGTCTCGGCACCAGCGGCCTTGAGCTGCTTCAGGAGCTCGACGTAGACGGGCAGGAGCTTGTCGAGCAGGGAGATGGGGTCAACAGACTGGCCACGGTCGGGCTTGCCGAGGTGGAGGAAAGAGACGGGTCCGAGAAGGACGGGGCGGGTGACGATGCCGGCCTCCTTGGCCTCGTTGAACTGGACAACAGGCTTAGGGTTGGCGTTCAGCTTGAAGGTCTGGCCATCCTGGAAGGTAGGCTTGACGTAGTGGTAGTTGGAGTCGAACCACTTGACCATTTCCTGTTGATGGATCCGTCAGCAATTATTTTACGTTATGGTATTTTTTTTTATCGCTCGTGCTTGAGCGGGGGCGGGGGCGGGGCTTACCAGAGAGGGGACGTCGATGCCGTCCTTCTGGTGACCACGGCCCATGGCGAAGTACTCGTCAATGGGCTCGAGCTTGGTCTCGGCATAACGGGGAGGAATGGCCTAATGGAATTGTCAGCTGGGTGATGTTTTTCGAGTGATGTTGGTGGCAGTGAAAAGACTCACGTTGAAGAGCTGGATGTGGTCGAGGACCTGGTCGTAGAAAGCAAAGTCGTTGCTGGGGATGATGTCGACACCGGCATCCTTCTGGATCTTCCAGTGAGCGAGACGAAGTCTCTTACCCTCAGCGAGGAGCTCCTCGCGAGAGAGCTTGCCACCCCAGTAAGCCTCGTTGGCCTTCTTGAGGTCACGGTTCACACCCATACGGGGGAAACCAAGAACCGAGGACTGAACCATCTTGAATGCTGTTGCTGAACGACGCAAAAGATTCAAGTGTGATGAAATGATGTTTGTGAATTACCCCGCCGACAAGTAGCAAGGTAAAGAGAAGAGAATTTGAGGGCGGTTGAGGAGGGGAAGAAGGAGAAGAAGAGGAAGGATGGAAGTGGGAGGAGGGGTTAGATGAAGTAGTCTTCTCAGCTCAGGCCAAGTGGTCGACGTGTTGGAAAAAACTCTAGCGGCCCGCGAGTCGGTGTATTGGGCAATTGCGTGCGAGGGGCAGAGACTGGAGAGAGGCTGGGTTGGGTCCCCGGCCGGGTTGGATGAGAGCGAAGTCGGACGGTCACTGGTACGGTACAGTACGGAGTATCTTTTTTTCTGGTGTCTATGGACTTGCGCCTAAGTATTTTTCTCACTATGCGACTTTCATAATTCATGTGGAAAAAAAAAATGAGGTGAGAATTCCTCCCGGTAGCGTTGAGGTGGGGTACTTTGGAAGGGAAGGAGGGGTTGTCGCAGATTGCCCTCTGGCAAAGCAGCCTCTGACACGGCGTGAGGATGCAGCGTGGCGGCTGGCGGGGGACTCAATTGGGGATGTTTGCTTGAGGTGTCCACTGTTGGCTGGACATCTCATGGCGGGGTATCCGTAAGAAGCACTATCGCAAGCTGCTAGGGAGGCCTAGCGAGATGCAGCAAGCCGCCCATTGTTTTCTGTTAGTGCCCCTCTGTCCCTGCTCAAGCTCTTCCAAGCTGTTTCCTATTGTTTCCTTCTCTTGCCTCCTGCGCTCGACTCCTCACTCTGATGCTCTGTGTCTCGAAGTATGTCGCCGGGTCTGTGCCTCAATTTCTAACACACACAAACACAATTAATAGAACGGCGAATACTTTGACTGCAGAGTCAGACTTTGCATGAGGCACCAAGGTCAGGCCAGCCAGGCCTGAGGTTCGTACCGACAATGCAGGGCAAACAATGGCCGGGAGCCTGAGGCGAGAATGGAGGGCATGGAGGGGCACGAGGAACCTGATTGGCTCAATTGGCCTAAGGGTCGGCAGGAACGCAAGGGACCTGCCTCGATATGGAAGGGCGGTGTGCACAAATGGTGGGAATCAGATTTTGCCTTATCGGAAAGTCAGATAGCTTCGGGGTACGTACCTGAGCTGCCTGAGGTCTTAGGTAGGTACCTCAGGAAAGAAGGTGGCCTACCCACCTGAGCTTAAGGCATCTTTGGTGGGTGCGTGGGCAAGCGCGGAAGCCAATGGAGCTTCCGTCTCCAACACAGCTTGGAAGCTCACCAAGCTCAGGGAGGCATCGACGGCATCTCGAGCGCCCCTCCACGCCTCTTTCTCCTCGTGTTGACATTTGGCGAGCCATCATTTTGTCTCGTTTGTTTGGAAGGTAAGGCATGTTGAGTCCCTCGACCGCCTCGAGCAGCAAGCCATGTCTTATTCTCACGCGCCCTTCGTGTCTCTCAATTGGACAGAATCTCACCGTTCAATTCAGGCAAGACACTGACGTCGCAACCGCCATCTCGAAGCCAGTCTAGCCCTCGCCAGATCCCTTTAACTCGCCAACGGTATCCAATGACACCCGGTCCGCCACATGTCACCGCTCAACGGCGACTTTGGTACACTAAGATGACCCAATTCGAGTCTCGACCGCCGCTTGATCGACCTGGAAGCTTCCGACGTCAACCGCCATCTTCTGAAGATCACCAATGCCCCTCGTTCTGTCAACAAAACATCTTGGGACAATCACTCAACGGCGATGGACATGGCCACGACGGCGGGTTTTGTTTCTGGGGCAATCTGCGATGGCGTGATCGACCTGAGGACCCAGATTTGACCCAGAACCGACCCTGAGCCAGTCAGAGTCAGACGCGACGATTGGCGATGGAGTGCAGAGGGCCGGTCGGAGGGTTCTCGTCTTCAAGTCTCCAGCATGAGAAAAAAAAAATCCGCGCAAAACCGAGGAGACCCTTGCTCCCGGTTCTTCCTCTTGTTACGCTTGACGGGTCGCGGGTCGGGGTCGGTTGTCGGGGGACGTCGGGGGGTTTTCAATCTTGAATCTTGAGACTAAAATCCCCCCTCAACTCCACATCTTCATGCAGCTACATCGGAGCAAGCTGTCGCCGATATTGCAGGTCTCCCCCGACCGGGCTCCTCAATGGGCACCGCCTTGAATTCTGCCGCCCGGCCCGACAATCGCCCTGTGCTGCGCTCTCCCAAACCCCTTCTGACTTCTGGAAGCAGGCCCAACTCCGCAGTTCGATGCTGGGTTTCACAATGCTGCAGGCGAATACGGGCCTTCGATTCTTCCCAAGACCCCAACTCCACGACTGAAACCAAACGTCCCATGGTTGCGATATAGGTGCCTGGCCATTAGCATCCGGTCTTTGCTGCGTCTAGCTGCACGAAAATCCTGCGAGCGTTGCACTGCCTCGGCGATCCAAGCAACTTCGGACGGCCGCAAGAGACGAACAAAGCAGCGCGGCGCAGTCGAAGAGATCGAGAACGAACTCAATGCTGCTTACCGTCATTGGAGCTGTCTAGGCATTGAATTGTCCCCTTCGCAATGACTCCTGTCATGGCCTGAGCCAAAATGTCGGGTCCTTCTACCAAGCAACCTCCGTTCGAACGAGGCTAGCCACGATGCCCTCGCGAGTTGAAGCGGACTTATCGACACTCGCGGCGAATCTGCTCCGTCACAGCCGGGGTTCAAGCTAACACAATCCTTCCCACGGCTTGCTTAGCTTGTTTATTGGCCACAACTGGCAAGGAAACAACGATTCAAGACGCCTCATATTTCCCGTCCAAAACATTTCGAGCCATGAGTTTATAAAAAAACAACGCCACCAAAAATAGGAGTCGCGATGCCATCTTTGCACCGTCCGTGGGCGAGATTGACAGGCAAAAAGTCTGGGACGCTACACCTCGCGCTTGGCAATCTCGCAGGAAATGTCTGGATGCTACTCCAAGACGGACTGGTCTGGTAAGAGATCGTCTGCACAGACGAGACGGACAGTTCTTGACAAGGGCCCAGCGGGAACGTCAAGACTGCACCCAAGCACCGGACCCCGGTCCTATATCAGCCACAGCTAAGCTTCTCGGCTGCCCCAAGCTTCCGCTACAGCCGTGTGCCCGCGAGCAACAACAGCCCGCAACCCTGTCACCTGAAGCAGTCGAGCCTGGTCGAGGGTACACTTCGCGCGGCACGACTCCCACACCACTGCACTCAGCGTGTTTGAAAATGACGTTTGAAACCGCGACCCCTGCCCGTTCCAAGCGACGACATCTCGACTTTTACGTGAACCGCTACCCATATCAGCCTTCTCTTAAGGCCAACATCCAGGAACCCTCCGACCAGAACCCCGGCACGAGCCCCAGGCAAGCCCCAAGCCAGCCACGGCTTTACCCTCCTTTCTGAAACCGACTTAACGTCGATTATCACGTATAAGCTTATTCGCACACTGCCCTTGGCAGACGACAAAGGGGGTTTCGTGCTAGGCCGTGTTAGCGGAGCTTGTGTGCGCCATGCCGCTCTCCCATGCTCCTACCATGCTCCTCCCAAGCTGCTCCCATGCTATCCCCGTGCTTGGTCTTGCTGCCATGCCCTGCTGGAGTCGCATCGGGGGAACTTGAGGCAATTCATAACGGGAGAGCTTTCCTCGGTTCTGGGACGGGAGCTCGCGTGGTCTCTCCTCTTTCCTCTTAAGCTCTCTGGGAGAGTCATCGCAACGCCATCACGTCTCACGGCCTTTCCATTTGTGTGAACTCGGGTTTCCTTGACTAGTATCTTTATTCTTGTGTCTGTTTTCTATTCTCAAAGAGCTGAGCTCGAATCCTTGGTGCTGAGCACTACCACAATCATCACAATGGCTCCTATCTCAAGACCAAAGGCAATCTTCTCAACCCCTTCAATGGGAGTGTAAGTGACATTCCCTCCGCCGGACGATAACACAGCTGACAAGCTCTCTTCCAGATCAAACGAAAACGAAAATGTAGCTCACGTGTTTGTCGGAAGAGGGGAGAAGATGAAGGAGTTCCGCGTCAACAAGAGGATGCTCAGCAACGTCGCCCCTTTCTTCGAGGACCAACTCGACGCCACACCGGCCGGCATCGTCAAGACCTCCGGCAAGCCCGTCGCGGTATGGCTGCCCCAGCAGAACTCGTCCATCCGTCTGCCCAACGAGTCCGCCTCCATGTTCGAGCTCTTCGTCGTCTGGCTTCACCAGCGTGACGGCTTCCGCCGCCACCTCGACGAGATGATCACCCTCGTCAGCGACGCACCCGGCGTTCCCTGCCAGCGCCTCCACTGGGCCCTCGTCCGCCTTCACATCTTCGCCGCCCGCCTCGACCTCCACCACCTTCAAGACCTCGCCATCGATGCTCTCCAAGACATCTACCTCCGCTGCGATTGGGATGTCACTCCGAGGTTCGTCGAGTACGTCTACGACCAGTGCGACTCGGCCGCCGCGATGCGCATTCGTAGGTGGACGGTGGCCATGGTAGCGTGGTCCGTTGCCGGCGGTTCGACCTCCAACATCAACAACGAGGGCAGCCTCGAACGGTTCCAGGAGATGTTCGAGCGCTTCCCTGACTTCGCCACCGACTACACCTCCCACCTCCGCAAGATGAAGTCCAGCAAGCTCGACACGAGCATCAAGAACCCGCAGCTCCGCATCCCGGCGAACAAGCTTCGCAACGAGGAACGCCAGTTCGGGTTCCGGCAGTGCTCGTTCCACAGCCACCGCGCGGCCGTCGGCGAGCGTAGGTGTCCTCACACAACCGCCAGCAGGGAGCTGGACAACTTCCTCCTGGTGCCCTTGGTGATGGAGGTCGAGCCGACGGCACGCATCCCTTCCCGTCGGGACGTGCCACAACACCTTCGCCGACAGAGGATGGCGCACACGGCGCAGGCGTGCTAGGAGGTCCGTCGTACCGTGGATCGTTCCCAGGTGGACGTCCACTCAGTCCGGCAAATAAATACCAAAAAAACCGAACCCCCCATCCCCCCAAACCCTTTTTTAATCTTTAAGCTCCGTCGCTCTCCCACCCAACCCTACTACAAGTCCTCGGGGACTTCTCTCTTACGCGCCGCACAGCCGCTGCCCATAAACACACCAAACCCGTCCTCGGGCTTCGAGGCCTGGCGGAACGCGACGCGACTCCGTCCTCCGTCCGCCAGCTCGAACACGAAGCTGCCGCCGCCGTCGCACCGTCCGAGGTCGATCGTCTGCGTGCCGGGCTTCACCTTGACGGCGCCCAGAAGGTTCCGCTTCTGACGGACGACGTCGTCGTCCATGTCGGTGGCGTCCGCGGGGACCCGGAACACCCGCAAGTCCGCGGCGCCCTCGCGCTGGATCAGTTCCCAGCTCTCCGCGTCCTCGGGCATGGCGAAGAGCAGCTTGCACTCGGTCGGCTCGGCGCCGAGGGACGAGCCAAAGGTCACGAGCTGCGCCACGCGGTTGGCCTTGATTCCTGCGGCAAGAGGATGAGCACATCAATGCGGGGCACGGCAAACATATAAGTGTCTCGTCATACCTGCGGCGTCGATATCTTGGTTGACGTAGAAGAACGAGGACGGGTCCTCCTGCTCAAAGGGCTGATCCTGCAAAAGCCAGGTCAAGGACGTCGGCGCCTCGACGCGCGCGCAGTCGGTCGAGTGTTGTCGCTGCGGCGGCGACATCGTTGTGGTCGTGGTCGTCGCCCTTGAGACGGCTGCTCCGGCGACCGACAGGAGTTGGGTGAGGACAATGCTCAGACGAGCCATTTTTGCAAAAATGTATATAGTTAAGATTACCGGGGAACACCTTTTTTTCCCTTCGAAAGAGACACTATATGTTGCTTGGGACGTTTTCGGTTTTGATCGCTTTTCTGGCAGTGATGATGATGATGATGTACGTTGCCGCTTTCGCCGTGAGATCTGTTTGGGTTTGTCTAATTACACGAGACGTGGAAAGCCGTGATGGTGACCCGTGTAGGTTTTTAAGTGGCAGTAGAGTAGACGGTGAGATAGTAAATGGATTAGAAGACTGAGAGGTTGACCGGTAATAACACGCGTGTCATTCGAAAACTCACGAAGGACACGAGAAAAGTCAAAAGAGCGAAGGGTGGTGGTGGTGGTGCGGTCTGACACGATATTATAAACCCAAAGGGTACCGTACCGTACCGGTGTAAGCAACGGAAAGCCGGGCGTTCGGCTGGAGCCAAAAAAGCATATGCACGAGGTGGTGTGTGACCACACCGGACGGCGGACTACCACCACTGCGCACTTCGACTGCACTGCGCGCGCGCGCGCTCGTTGTACGTACAGCAAAACCCGAGCGAGCTACCTACCCTACGACGAAAAAGCTTGGACTCCGTTTCGTTTCCTTTTTTCTTTCCCTCGTCTGTCCACTACGCCAATCCCTACCTTGTTTCCCATTCAGCTAGGTTGGGCTGACTGACTCTGAGGTAGAGGAAGTCAATTCGAGGGCCCGCCCGCTGATGGACCCCCCATTGGTACCCTCTTTAGAGCATTCCTTATTCTACCTTAGGTACGATACTCTGAGGAAAACCCAATTGCTACGAGGTATGGATTGTAAGACAAGACAAGGGAGGAGGGAAGCGCAGCGTCAAAGCCGTGCGCCAAGGGACCGGAACCGAATTGGACTGTGGGGCACCGGGGTGCTGCTGCTGCTGCTGCGGATAGGCAGCAATTAGTTCGAGCCCGGATTGCTCAAGTGGCTTATGCCTCTTCCCATCCGCTCAACGTTTTTTGGCTTTTACGATTTTACCTCTCTGGGCTTAGGCACGTCAGGGGCGCTCGTTTCTTGACCACAATCTGGAAGGAATCAAGGTCGTCAATCCCCTTTACACGCGGAGCCGAATGCATGTTCACGATGATCAGACAAGAACGCCGTCGGGTGGGAAGGGGAGAGAGAGGCTCAGCGCATCCCGCCACGAACCTCTATTCTCCGCCCCATGCTGCTGCTGTTGTTCCTGTACCCCGGTTTTTCCCTTGACCGAAGTAGGCTAGAAAAAACGTCAAAAAGGGAGAGAGGGTAATTTAAAATGAGAGGCCGCTTTGCTGCTAATCATGGCGTCCGGGTCCGTTTCTTTTGTGCTGGGCCTTGCCCGGCTCTGGTGTCGACGATGACGGAACCCCAGTATCCTGCCCTGGCCTTTGTTGTCGCCTGTGGACTTAGACGCTTTCTCGATTGTCTCTTAACATCCTCCGGATTGGAGTCTCGGCGGTACAATGGTCTCTGTTGGACATCCCTTTCGTCAAGTAAGGAATCGATGATACCTGAGACCCTTTGATCTCTAAAGTGCTTACAATCCCTCCCATCTCCCTCCCTCCCTCCCTCACTAACATCACAGGAAAAAGGAAAACACATGGGACCCCGCTGAAGTTGCTGTCAAGACCGGGGGGCTGTCCAATTCCCTGGGTCCAACCCTACGAGAGCTGAAGGAGGCCACTCGCACGCTCGCTCCCAGAACGGAAAGCCCAGGGGCCCAGGCAAGGGACCAAATTTAAACGCGGGTGCCTATACGAACGAACGGGATGGAGAAAGAGAAGACGGCCGTCGATCTTGTGTCTAAATTTACGCTTCTGTGGAATTTCGTATTCCCCAGATTTCCCAATTTCAATCAGGGTCCCCTCCCATATCCGTATCGTGAACGACGCTCAGAATTTCAGAGTAGTCTCGGCCGGGTATGTCGGCACCAGCCCCGTCCGTGGTTGTTCATAGTACATAAGGTCTGCTGAGACTTCAAACTTCCTATCTTCTTTCAACCCCGCAGAGTAGAGTCCAATTGTCTCACTCCCATTTCCTTTTCGCAAAGGAGAAGAATGTCTTTGGAGTTGTGCGGTCTCAGATCTCAATATCGGGAAAATCGCAGGCGACGTGACGTGACGTGACGCCCAGGTCCGCAGGGCAGAAAGACACAACGCACACACGCACACACGCCAGCGAAGCCGGGCGAGAGTGGTAGCACCCGGAACGGGAAAACAGCTCAGCTGAGACGGTACCTCATGTTAGGTTCCAATTGGAGGAGGGAGAGATGGAAAGCTGGCGACGCGGCGCGGCGCGGCGCAGCCCAGCTCATTGGCTCCGAACCCCTGTCTTTAAGCCCGAACACAGAGCGTCGTTCAATCGCAGTCGTTCTGCTGTGAAATATTCATGCGGTATCGGAATGGTGATGTAATCAAGACGAAGATCCAACGCGCTATTCCAATCCTCTGGGATCGATCGACTCCGGGGAAAGATAGGCAGCAATTAGGTAGAATAAACCTGGACTAAGAAGCATGGCAAACCATTGAGGAACCGCCTCATCGACGCGCGCCAGACTGGCGTAAAAACACCACCCAAGCTCCCTCGTATGACAGCGCCAGTAATTTACACAATTCCAGCGGCGCCCAAACGGCAAAAGCCTCTCCGGCCGGTGAATCGCTCCGCCGGCCTTGAAGCTTAAAAAAACTAGACTTTAATCAAGCCACTAGAAACGGGAAACGGGAGGGGGAAGAGAGATCAGATGACGGAGTTCGCGCGCTTGAGGCATGGTTCGGATCTTTCGGGTCCCGAATTCAGAGAGGTGTAGTTCCCGCCAGGACCCCATCAGATCGCAGCATTCCTTAAACATGAACGATTTCCTATCCTCGACGCTCCATGCGAGACCGAAGACCAAGAAACACGTTTCCGTCCCGGATCGAAAACATTCCAGCATCGGAGGGCCGAACGCGTGGGGCTTTTTTTTTTCGCCCACGACGAAAACGCCATCGCTAGGCTAACTTCTAACTAACCTGAACGTTTCTTTGGCGTGTCGTGGCTTTCAATGTCGCGAGACGGAAATGGTCCGGATTCCCTTCCCCATTGACCGACTTATTATGATCCATATATGTCCTTGGCCCCCTCGCCGGATATCCGACTTGGGAGAAGCATCGTCGCTTCCTTTCACGGAGAGGAGCTCATCGGACAAGTTGGGGGTTCGGCATGTCTCGTCGTCCGAGCTGCGGAATGACCTCCGAGCGAAGGTCGTCAAGGTGCCGCCGCTCCTTCTCCCTTTCTTTTCGACTCCATGTTCCTCGAGGTCGTTGGTATGGATATATCACTCTCGGCCGAGCAATGGGCCCGAAGACGACTCTCACATTGCACATTCTCCAGAGTATGCGAGGTTAGGTATGCCATGGACGAGGTCGAGGGATTCCCTCGTCTTGGAGAAGCAGAACAGACAGCGCGAACTGGACGCGTGGAGTATTCGGCCATTTCGTCATCCTATCTGACCTCCAGGCATGCCAATGATTTTCACCTCAGCGCACAACATCGACAGCGACACTCCAATCCACTTCAGTCCTTTCGCAAAACAAATCCGAGAAGAGTGCGATCATACTGGCCAAAGACACACGCAGTGTATCATCGACCACTCCTCATCGCGTCGGCTGCACGCACCAAACCGAGGTCAGCATCATCACACCTACCCGTCTTGGCGACCCGTGATAGGTTCGGCCTCTACCTGCAACATTCTCTCTCGTCAAATCATTCCATCTTGACATCTCTCACCATAAACGGCGAAACTGGTTTGCTGTGGGCTGGGGACGCGTCAATTGTTGACGACGACCTGCGTCGACTGACATCAGAAGACCTCACAAAGACCTGTTGCATTTGGGCTGCAGTGTGCCTAAAGATCGTATCCATTCGTCTAGCGATGCCGGTTCTGATTCCCGGCTCCGAGGTTTTTTCTTCTTTTCTTTTTTCGACTTCCTTTTGCAAGGAATTTTTCCTCTCTCACACTTGACAGCAATGCCGGGACCTTAGATTCCGCCAATGCGTCAGTAATTACAAACAAGAAAATGTCCGACGTCCTCGTCGAGTGTCGTTTCATCATGTCCTTCGTCATGGTTTTCATAACAGGAAGTTGGGCTGCAAATGCGAGCCGAGAAAAACGAGGGTAACGTCCAAATCGCACACTTTCTCAAGCAAAGTGGAAATTAGTCCTCCAAGCCAAGAGGGTTCCGTCCCCTCGATATGTGAAGCAAATGTGTCCATGAGAAGTGAAGTAAAGGAAAACATCGTCAAAACATGCTGTCGTCTATGTACCGTTGAGGGGTATGTCCCTGCAAGAGTCTGTCCACATGGGTATCAGGCAAACTCGCATGAACTCATAAAGTCGTCAGATAATATCGGGCGTAGCGGGTGTACAAAAGAAATGGTCACTAGAAGGGAGATTCAGACCGGCGACGGTTGCTGTCGCGGCGTCTGAATTCCCTGAGACGGTCGTCAATGTAGGCCAGGCGGTTGGCCAGGTTGCGAGGCGGAGCAGATCCGCCGTCGACGGATTGTTGAATCGTCGCGAATGGGCGGATAGTTCCGTGGTCGAACTCCTCTGGCTGACTGAGCCGGTTGGGAAATGAGAAGCTCGTGTTGGATCCAGGGAACGGCGATCCCAGACGTGGCAAAGGCGCGCTGGGAGGCGCCAGAGATGCCCCGGCAGTCTCTGGTCGAGTCGAAGGAATTGGCATCGGAGCGGTAAAGAGCCCAGCAAGATTGGTTCGAGGGACAAACAGATCGTCATGGATGTTGCCGTTTGTCGAGCTGAACTCCGTGTCTGGAAGCAGAGGTGTCCTTGGGAGGTCGTCAAAAGAAGACGGCTCATTCCACAGATCAGAGCCAAGACTGGGCCGCTTGGTCTTTTTCGGTTCGTGTGTCGCCAGTCTTGGTCTTCCAATCCGCTTCTGAGTGTTGGACCTGCTCCTGGTCAAGCGGGCTGGAGGCTGAAGAGTGCGACGATGGCCGAGACTTTGATTCTGTCTCTGGGGCATGGAAGATATCGCGGCCGAGAGTGCGCCGGTTGAGCTGGGTCCGTAGCTGTTGGCCATAAAAGGGGATCCAAGTCGTGGACGTTCGGCAGGGACGTCGAGGCAGGAGAAATCTACCGGGAGCGGAGGGAAAGGTTCCGTCATGGGTTCTTCGACGGGTTCCGGGCTCGACTTCGTGAGCTGTGCAAGAGGTCCTTGAGGCTGCATGGCCTCAGACGTGCTGAGGGTAAGAGACATTGACATGTCGTGGGCCGAGAAGACGGATGGCGACCGAGCCGGCGTGGATCTCCGGTTCCAGAACCTCGTCGCCGTCCGGCCGAAAGGTGTTGGGCTGTGAGCGAGAAATTGAGTTTTCCGAGCCGATGAAGAAGCCGCCTTGATTTTGCAGAGTTCCCTAAGATGCGCTCGAGTAGCTGCGCAGGTGTGTGGCCACTGCAAAAAGGTGCTTGGTGCTTCCACAGTAGGGGTATTGCTTCCGCTCTTCGGGTTCAGCGACTTTCTAGCGCCCTTGGGGCCTCTCCAACTCCTTTTCGCTTCCCTCGCAACACGGAGACAGACTCCGTGAGGAGGGATGCAACTTTTCCCAGTGCGGAAAGGGGTGACTTTGGGGTCCTGAAGGTACATGAGGTAGGTCATCCAGAGGTGGTCGCTCATGGCCTTGGTCCAGGGGGCCTTCCTCCTCTTTACATTTGCGTTGGTTGGCTTTTCGACGATCTCATCAACATCGTCCGCGAAATGGAGGAAGTGATCCGAAGCTTCGGTCTCGGGACTGATGCATTGCAGGTCCTCCGACGTCAGGGAGAAGCGACTGAATAGAGACGCGCTGGTTTGGGTGGATCGTGCCGTTGATGGTCGGCTGGATTCGCATTCCGGGGTTGACTCGCCGCTGCTGAAAGCAGAGTCAATGGACCAGTTGGGATATCGTTTGGGGGAAAGCGATGGCGCGGCGCCGGGTGCTGGCGTTTTGGGTGGAGAAAAACGTCTGCCGCGAACTTTATGTAACCCGAGATCTTCCAAGTCTTTGAGGTTGTGGATAACCGGGTAAGTCATGCTGGATATCTGCATGTTTGCGCGAGATGCTTCGGGTTCTTCGATGCTTGGAATCGGCACATCAGCGGCGGCGACTGACGCGAGAAACTGACTTGTCGGAGCGGCCAAGTTGGAGGCGACGCGCCTTTTCAGTTTGAAGCGTGGACGCGGCGGCGAAGGTGGCTGCAATTCCTCACCCACGGCGGATGGCTCCGGTGTTTTGGGGTTCACATCTGGATCATGGAAACGGAAGCCCTTTGGCAGCGTCGCCGCTCCGGAATGCTGGGAGTCCATCTTGCTTGACGATCAACGGGCAACTGGCATGCGAAAGCCCCTCGAAAGAATGCAAACGGGTGCGAAACTCCACGAGGCGGAGTAAGATGATAGGCGCCAAACGGGGAACAAAGGCGACACGTTCCTGGAACTTGACTGTTGTGGCTGTAGTTTGAGACACGTTGGAATTCAACCTCCCAAAAGCTCGCGTAAGAGCGCGTGGTACAGTCGTAAACCAATGCGACCTCGATGAAATCCTATACCAACTTGTCGCAAAATTTGCGCGCGGAAAGATGTGCGCGCGGAATAGCCAATTCGCGCAGCACGTTTGCTCTGAACGCTTCGTCTCTAATTGACTGGGCGAGGCAATTCCGAAGATTGGCACAAAGCAAGTACAGGGCAAAGACCTCGTCTGGGTTCGAGGTTGTTCGACAGTAAAGCCGTACGCTTCCAAGCAATTATCGTGATGAAAAGAGAAAAAGAAAGCGTCGCGTCGTTGTCGTCGTTTCGTAGTGAGGTCGTAGATAGTTCGTAGATAATATCGGGGTTCGCAAGCGCGACACTGGCGCAGTGCTGTAGGATAAGGAAATGAGATATGGCGGCGAGCCGTACAGACGTATTATCGTCGTCGTCGTTGTTTGAGGTGGTGGTTGGCTTGAGATCGTAAACTTGTCGGGAATCGCAGCGCGCCCCCACCACCGAGGACGGCTGATAGTTTGCGAAAGGAACGACTGTGGTGAAGAGAGGGTGGGAGGAGGAAGATCGGGGCGGCTTGGGTTGAGGCGGACCGGTGTAGTATGTATGGCAGCTCTCGACGGTGGGCGGGGTGGAGAAGAGAGTGAGCGGGTGGCGCGAACCTCTGCGCTGGGGGAGTCGGGGCAGGGCGGGACGCAGGATACGAATGGGAAGACACCTGTGCCTGCGCTTGAGCCCGAAGCCTGTGCCCAAGGGTTGCAGTGAGAGGCCCTTGAACACCGAACGAGGTACCTCCAAGTTCGCACACTGCTCGCTTGAACTCCCGTGTAGTGTAGGTAGTCAACAGCAAAGCGTGCCCTGGTGGCCGGGGGGGCGTTGTACAGCGGTTGAGCACGCTAGAATCCCCCACTCGGCTAAGCCCAAGGGAACCTAGTCGTGCCGTTCGAGGTGAGTGACAGTGGAGAGTCTGTGAGTGACGGACCAGCGATGGCGCCGCGAGACAGGCCCAGAAGCTCACCAGCGCATGTGGCAGAGTGGAGTCCCGGGTGAACGTAGTGATGGGTATTCGTGGTCTCGTAGGTTGTCTGTCAGGTATGGTATCCGCAGAGAGGACCCTGAAGATGTGCGGTGAGGTGCGCGAGTTGGAAGCGCCGTGGAAGGACTGATCGTCTGCTCTTGGGACGGGGTCTGGTTGGAGTCGTGGCTCGTCCAAGAATCCCCTCTTCGCAGGGGTGGCAGAGGTCCTTCAAGGGAACAGGGCAGCAGCGGCGGGATGAGTGTCGGTGATTGCAGTAGGTGCATGCACTCCGTATGCACTGTTGTGTATGGTGTAGCTACCTTAGTCGACGGACACGACAGGAGTGCATGTGCAGCGGATCATGGAGCAGCGGACGACGAGGGTCTGCTCCGGATGAGAGAGCAAAGCAAAGCTCCGAGCCCTCGTTGGTCGATTTCTTCGTTCGCAGGCGCAAGGCAAGGTACGAGGCGCGTCAAGTCTGAGAAGCGCGCCGAACCAAGGGTCGGGTTGGTTGAGGCAATGCAGCTCCCCGCGGTGCTGATGACAGAGCTACCAGCAACAGCAAAGGCGATGCAGCAGACGTAGCAGAAACCAAGCTATTTCGGCAACTAGCTGGACTCGATCAGACGGCTGATCCAACAGACAAAAAGACAGACCACCCACCAACAAGCTGATCTGGGAGTCGGGATAGACCGTGACAACTAGAGCAGTGGAGGTTTCGCGATGGATAGGCCAGGTTGCTTGGCTTGTGGGGGCGGTGAGACAATTAACCAGATGATGCTGGCAGCTGGATGTGCGTGCAGGTTCGTGGTCTCTTCCTGGACTCGGATAGGGCGCGTTTGCCCTCTGGTGATTGATTGCTCTCGAAGGTAGTTCTCTGGTTCCTGGTTCGCAGCTTGTGCGGTGGTGTGGTATGGTGTGCGCTCGGCCGCTTGGGACCGGGGGCCGGGAAACGCAAGAGGCTGGTTTCTGCGTATGCAACCGATAGGTCTATTCGTGCCGGCCGTTCGTTCTTGGGACGAACAGAGTCTCGAAGCACAGAGCGAGCGGCTAGCAAGCCACAAAATGGATGATCGGGTGGGCCGTGGTGCTAATGGTGGTTGATGTCGGGAAGCTACCTATCTTGCCGTGGGCGAGACAGTCTCAAGAGAGCGTGGTTGAGTGATTCAGAATGTGCCGATGGCGCCGGCAATATGGACTTGAAGTAGAAATTAGAACAAACAAAAGAGCGGCGTAGCAAGTAGTTGTTTATCTCGAGGCCTGAGTATTTTCCAGCAGGCTCGCGGAATTGAGTTGAGTTGAGTTGAGCGAAAGCGGGTGAGCGCTAGGTGAAGCGTTCGATGAGCCCGGTGAGGTTTAAGGTGAGCGCGGAGAGGCGGGCAGCGGTTCATGGCATCACAAATGTGGGCAGTGACGTCCGTTCAAGTGAGGTGCTTGGAGCGTTCGGCGGGGTCACTCAAGGAAGGGAAGATGGATGAAACTGAATCGATGTGATCCGTGCGAGCGGTGGGAAAATTCTGACGCCTGAACGGCATCCAACAAGCATGTTCACTGCCCAGTTGTGAAGTGGAAAATCGCGACTTGTACGCGACTTAGACGCGTCGAAGCGCGTTGAAGTGGAGTTTTCGATTTGTGGGTCGCGTTCGCGTTTCCCGGGTCTTGATTGGGACGATGAAGCCCAGACTGTGTGTGCTTTGCGGCAGGTCCAGGCCGGCCGTCATTACACCACAACGCTTTCCGTATTAGAATTGGGATAGAAGCAGGAAGGCACCTCCCCGCAGCTGCCATTGCCCTTTCGATGTGATCCAATGTGAAGATCCAATGCACCTGGCAGGAACGGTTGCGCTTAGGCCGGCGAGGAAACGACCACCAGAGAACTTTCTCACCTCAACTCTGAACTGCCTGGCTACCTCATTTGACTCCAACCACTCTTGGTGCAAACACCATTTTCACGGCGACTGATTCATGAGAAAGGCCCGAGTTTTCTACTCCCCTGTTGCCAGGAGCAATTAACAGTCTTCAACCAACCCAAATCCAGATGTGCCTCTGCGCAAAGCACAATGCGACCAAGGGAAGGACACCTTCTCAATCCTGGCCGGCACTAACACCAGGTCTACCTACCGTTCCTACAGGTCACTTTGCCTGGAGGCTGGGAGACAGGGAGGGCCATAAACCATACCAATACGAGTCTCGCGGCTCGCGCGAAACACACAAACGGTTCTACACGCTGCGAAGACGAGTGAGAATTCTGCGGTGCGTTGCGTCGTGCCGCTTCTGCTGCCCTTGTCCTTACCTCTGTCATTCGCACCAAGGTCGCTGGACGTCGAACCAATCGAAGCACAACATGCCGCACTCGCCGGCTTCCATGCCTGCTTCGGTCTGCACGACGATGGGGTCACGATGCGGTGAGCCCTTCCTGGACTTGCCATCCACCTTATCAGCTGCTCCAAATCCCTCCAGACCTCAGAGACCTAAGAACCCTTCCTAACTCAGCAAGTGGGTTGGTTGACATACCTACCGCAACCACGCCGGCAAGAACAGGGGCGCCGCCTGATTCTACCATCCCACTCTACGTGGGCTTGCCTGCCAACCCGAACCAGGTCGAGAATGGCCTTTGCAGTCGGAAAAAAGTGACAAGCCTTCGACGGTGATCAGCACGTCTATTGCGACGCTGCAGCTGAAGCATCGAGATCCGCCCACATGCAAGGACTGTGGACTTCATGCGGAAGCAATGTCTCTTGCCGTTCTGCGTCTGGAGCACCTGGGTTTCGACCACGAGATCCATCCAGCAGCACTATCCCGCAGCAGCTTTCCTCCATCTCCAGATGAGGCATCGTGTCAAATTTCGACGCCCTCACTTTCGTTCTTCCAGGCTTGTTTCAAACAGCGAATCAGCATGGTCAACGCTGCGGAACACATCCAAGTCAAATGAGAAATGAACCACAACGGCTACATCAGAACGGCGACGACCAATGAGAGCGTATGTTGCCATTTGTCGGACCGCATGGTTCTCAACGCCGCTGAGATCCAGAAAGTATGGAATCGAAGATGCTGTAACGCCGTGTGCCCCACAGCACATACCGGGTGCCGTTGCGCATGCATGGCCAGCTACCGGCAACACTCAACGACCACCTGCTCAGATACCTTAGCTTCCCGCAACGAGTTCGCGGGCTCATACTATGGAAAGCACGATGATAGTTGCCCTGTCCGTCATCTCAACATTGAGAGCGATATAATCAGACTATAACTGCATCGCCTTCGCGGTGGTATGCTCTGGGGGGAGAGCCGTTGCTGTTTGCTCGATTTTGAACCTCTCGTCCAGACAATCACAGTCAGGTCCCAGATTAACAGAATCAGTATGCCGAGGGATGGTTCCCGTTGGACTTACATTCCTACACTCACGCAAGACAAGGGCCGTCTTAGTCGAGCCGGAGAGTCCCCGCGGGCTTTCGGCTTTGTCTAAGTCGACATCATGACAAGAGCCGCAACCGGTACATCCCAAGTTACCTAAGCTACTATAGTGTTCGTCTCTTTTCTACCAAGCGGTTCATCAGAGGTCCTGTCAGAGGGAAAGCTGTTGTGGCAGCTTGAGAAACGCCAAAAAAACTCCAAATACAGACTAGCAGTCTATCGGCGGCCGCGCTATCACCAATCTCATCCCTTCAATATCTGTCGATTCACGCCATGCCATTCCAAGAACAACAGCGTACGCCACATTTCTCTCGCCTTGAGCCATGGCGAGCCACTTCATTCCAGCCATCTCGCCCTCGATGAGCTGGGAGTTTTCTTTGACGCTCTCCTCCTCGTCAGACAGGTGTCGTCTTCATACTTTCCCGTTGCAATAGCACGACTACGTCGTCCAGAGGCTCATCATGCTCGCCTCGTCGTCCATTAGCCAGTTCGCGAAGGTCGTAGGGCCGATCGTTTTGATTGTTTGGTCGGTCTGGTACTTGGGGATTTCCCGCCAGCAAGTCGAAGAGGCGACTCGGAGGTTCCGCAGTCAAAGAAAGCTATTTATCGCCGACTTTCTCGAACACGAAATCGACGGCAAATTCGACGGCAACGCTATCAACAATCTCTGCACGAGCAAGAAATGGACACCTGGCTTGGTCATGAGCTGCGATACCGTGCATGCAGGCATTGGCGTCGTTCGTAATGCCTACCTACACTGCATTCGATTCGCCATTGAGGCAGGGGGTAAGCAGTCGCTGGCTATGAAGAAGATTACGGTCTCTGACAATTGATAGCTGAGTTGGTTTTGCCCGACATCATACCTCGCTCCGAAGAGAATATCCAGGATATTGTATCACAGCGTGGTAAGCCACTCGACTACCTCTTCGATACTGAGCACCTCCACCACATCCTATCGGCCCACTGTCCTCAACTCAAATTGTACAACTCGTTCAACGATCTCTATAATGTTCCAAGCGTCGCCAACGCCATTGAATTCGCAATATCGGATACGAATGGCGAATTTGTCAACGGGACGGTCCTCGAGAATCCGAAGGGTTGGAGCAAGCAGTTCCGGGCATTTCTAGACCAGAAGTCGCCTCCTGAAACAAGAGAGTACCCTCTGCGCGTTCATCTCAGACATACGCGCTGGACATGGCCGACAGCGAATGATACCGCGGCGGTGGCCTCGTCATTCGGGCGGATTCTGCGCATACGCCAGGATGCCCGACGGCTTGCTGCATCGGCACTCTTCACGCTCGCTCTTCGGTTCAGACTAAACCTCGATCCGCGAACACGGTATCACCCTGAGAGCTTTGTTGGAATTCACTTACGGACGGAGGAGGACGTGAATGAGAGGTTCCCGGACTACGTCACACAGGCTGCCGATTACTTCCATTTCCTGTCGGACTCGAGGTCACATGTGGCCTTCCTTGCGTCTGGAGCAACACCGAAGAACATCACGGCTTTTGCGGAACGTGCCGAGGACTTCAACGTCACCGTCGTGACCAAAAGGGATATTCTAGACAAGAAGGAGCTGGAAATTCTGGACGCATTCACCTGGGACCAACGCAGTCTGGTCGACTATGAGATAATGCTGAGGGCCGGGCTGGTAGCAGGCGTGGGCGCGAGCAGCTTTGGGTGGAATCTTGCACTGCGGCGTTCGTACGCGTTCGGGTCGGGCCCAGAGGCAGTGCCACATCCTCCAGGAGACACGATTGCGTGGAAAGACGACTTCACGACTCTCTACGGAAAGCATGAGGCGTACGAAGACGCGATGAGGGCGACAATATGGCCATGATGCAACACGAAACGGGTGACTTTTTTTTCGAATGATTTTCTTTTCGGGTCGTATGCAACATGTCAACCCACATGTAGGCGTTGGGTCTAGGCAATTGGGCTAGTTGCTTACGTTGGTTCATCGGCGTCTGTCACGTACCATCTGCATGCAAGGGATATCATATCAGGCCGTCTCATGTCAGCCAGAACAAGACCGTCGCTCGCCCTGAACTCTGTTGCGTGAAACCCGGGCCCAGGCGGCTCAAGCTCTTGATGTTCACTGACGTCTGACTTGTCATTGACAACGTCGTGATGACTGAAGCACAAAACCCCTCACTTCGGTGAAATTCTCGTTTCTTCGGGGCAGACCCAGCCAGCTCATGCCGGACGGACGAGTCCGCTCGGCCGCCGGAGCACGTCGTCGCGGGGGTGGCAATCGGGTGCCCATTGGCCGCCTTGTCGCCGTCGGTTCGGTCCAAGGAGGGCGGGCTATGATTGTGTAACCGAAGAGCAGGGAAGAAGATGACCAAGCCGATACAAGCGAGCTAGACAGACCAACAACATGTCATTGCCTGAAGCGGCAGACTCTGGTCCAGTCAGCAGCATCACCATCCGGCAAACGAGCGGTGGCAGGCGGCGACCGTGGCTGACCCGCATGAAGAGATGCGTCCAACTGCAGTCGTGCGTCTTGTGTAGCCCAGGCGTCAGTCAGTGGTCCCGTCACGCGACCCCTCATCCCTACGTCGCAGCGGCTCCGGGCGGGCATCCCTGGGATGATACGGACCAACCTCGTGGAGGGGATGATTCACATTTTCGCACGAGAGGACGGTAGGCCAAGGACGGAGCTGGAGGGACGGGGAGTGAGACGATGCGGTTGAACCGAGTCTGACAGGCTTGTCTGTCGTGTCTCTCTTGAGCGCCCTGAAAAGAGGAGGAGGGGTTCTGGTGTGTGAGTGTGAATGTGAAGGACGGAGTGATGTGAGAGGTGAAAAGGTGGTTCTCCAAGTGGGGGAATTTCGTGCGCCTGGTCAGTCAACATGTGCTAGCCGGGCCCCCAGTCCCAGTGAGTGAGTGTCCAAGGGAAAGCGGCCCAGGGTTTCTGTGATGTGCATCATTGTTTGCGTCTACTAGCGGCCTTCGTCCTCGCTGTACTTTCCTGACCTGGACTTGGTTTACTTCAGATGCGGCCTTTTTCTGATTGTTTTTTCCCTCTACTAATTAACAACAGATGAAGGGACCTTGCCTCACTTCACATGGCCGTCTCAACTACCTCACCTTACTTCAAGGTACCTAGCGTGGTCCGTTCCAGCTGGGCATGTATTAGGTTACCAGGCAGTAAGGTAAGGTAGGTCGGTCAGGTTGTTTTCCAACTGCACCAGAGGCAAAGGAGACAGATATTTAGACGGGACGGGAACGCATAAGAGATGGTGGGTTCTGGCTCTGGTTCTGGGCCATCTGTCTCTCTCCCTCTCTCTCTCTCTTTCTTGCTGATAATCCACCAACAGTTGCCCCATATCTAAGGGACTTCCCGTCGTCTCCTCACTTCCACTTCTGACTCTCCAAACACCAGTCACGCATCTCGTCGGTCTGCCCTACACTGCCAACACGCACACATATATATCACGCCGCGCAGAGACCGGACGTAGACAAGACACACCTCCGGAAAACCCAGATGTCGGCTGCCGAAACCCTTGGAAACAAGCCCTCTGCAGAACCGCTTTGAGCATCAGATCACTTCCCGAAACCCGAAATACTACCCCAAAGAATCAAAACCCCTCCCTTCCTTGCCTGGTCGCCATGGCTTCCAGCACTGACATCATAACGCTCGACAACTTCGAGCAGCGGCTGCCAAGATGGGACCCCGCAGGCCCCAATCACCTGTACGCTCTGGTTGATATGGGCAGGTCAGTCGATATTTCCAGAATCTGAGGTTTTGGTTTTCTTTCTTTTCTCGCTCGCTCCGCCGCGGCGGCAGCGATTCTTCAGCCTCTGTGCGCACATCGCCTCGCAGCGCAGCGGGCGGGATCTTCCCGTTCATGTTTGCTTTTTCCTGCTGCTTGCCTTGCCTGCCTTTCGATCTGGGGGGATTTGCCCTCGATCGATGCTACCCTCCACAATGCCCAAAAAAGACGCAACTTTCAATCAACCGCCTGGCCAATCCTTCTCTGTCCACCTAATAAATCTAGCTCCCGCTGACTAGGCGGCCGCCCGTGGCCCCCGCAGCAATGGAATCCGCTTCTCCATCTCGGACCTCACCCCGCCACAGACCCGTCTCCTCCGCCCGATCTACCGCGAACGAGCCGGCATCTCCCTCTTCGACGCCCTCAACTCCTCCTCCACCGCCGCCTCCGAACCCCTGACCTTCCCACCCGAGACCATCACAAAGGTCGCCGAGACCCTCGCCCGCTTCCGCCGCATCGCCGTCTCCTATGGCGTGCCCCCGGCCCACTTCTCCGTCCTGGCCACCGAGGCCATGCGCCGCGCCGCCAACGCCGGCGACATGCTCAAGGCCATCCGCGAGGCCGCCGACATTGGCGTCCACGTCCTCGCCCCCGAGGTCGAGACCCTCTTCGGCGCCGTCATGGGCTCCCGCTCCGCCTTTGTCGACGTCGCCCGCGGCGGTCTGTTCCTCGACCTCGGCGGCGGCTCCGTGCAGATGACCTGGGTCGACACCCGCCTCCCAGACTACGAGATCGCCGCCGCGCTCGCCGGCGAGAGCTTGCCCTTTGGCGCCGCGCGCTTGATCCGCATCCTCGAGGGCCAGTCGGAGGAGGTCCAGACGATGGAGAAGCAGAAGCTCAACGCGAGCATGCAGAGCGCCTTTGCCAAGCTCTGCGACAAGTTCCCCGCCCTGGCAAAGTCCAAAGATGAGTGGAACGCCGCGGGAGGCGAGGCGAACGGGGTCGTCCCGGGCGGCATCGACGCCTATCTCTGCGGCGGCGGCTTCAGGGGCTACGGGTGCATGCTGCAGCACAACGACCCGATCCAGCCGTACCCGATCCCGTCGGTCGGCACGTACACGGTGTCGGGCGAGTTCTTCAAGCAGACGAAAAAGATGCGCCGCGTCAACCGCGAGCACGAGGGCAAGATCTACGGCATGTCGAAGCGCCGGCGGCAGCAGTTCCCCGCCATCATCGAGGTCGTCGAGGCCTTCATCCGCACCGTCCCCCACCTGCGCACCGTCACCTTCTGCGGCGGCTCCAACCGCGACGGCGCCCTGCTGATGAAGCTCCCCAAGAGCGTCCGCGAGAGCAACCCCCTCGAGGCCCTCGCCGGCTACGCCCTCGCCCAGCCCTCCGTCGAGGACTCGGAGCTGGCCGTCGCCCAGGCCGTGCTGAGGACCCTCTACGGCGCCGTGCCCAAGAACGTCGACGTCTCGCGCACCCCCACCGTCTTCTCGCTCGGCCTCGGTCCGCTGTTCGCCAAGCAGATCTGGATCCACCAGGGCGAGGACGACGACGCCAACGCCTCGTACGCCCTGCACGAGACCGTCACGCGGGACCCCAGCGCCCCGGGGCTGACGCACCTCGCGAGGGCCGTCTTGGGCCTGACGGTCTGCGCGAGGTGGGGGTCGAATCTGGGGCCGATCGACGCGCAGTTGTACGGGAACCTGAAGAGCATGGTGGCGGCGGCGAAGCTGGAGAGCGTGTTCTGGGCGGAGTATCTAGGTGCGGTCGCGGCGGTCATTGTGGACCTGGTGCCGGCGTGGCCCAAGACCGTGGACGAGCTGCAATCGACTTTGAGGTATGTTGAGAAACATCATGGGAGGACGGACTTATGAACGTGAAGCTGACGACGTTGAGCAGATTTGAGGCCACGCAGACGATAGATCCGGACAAGAAGAGGGCGCGGATCGACCTCATCGTCCACGCCGCGCCCGGCGCCGCCGTGGGCATAGATCCGGAGGACATCCTGGCGCGTCTGGCGAACGTGGGGAAGAAGCGCAAGGACGGGACGAAGCCGGAGAAGAGGGTCACGGTCAGGATCCAGGAGATGAAGTAGTTGATGAACTTTTTGATGAAATATACCCCTCCTTACTAGACGTCCCTACGCTCAATCCTGTTTGTTTTGAAGAAGTCTGGCGTTCCGATCAAAGCTACGAGTTACCGGTCGGGAAGTCTTATTTGACTACATCCACAGGCTAACTCCACGATACTAAGTACAGGTCCGGCCAAAGCGGTACGTGATCAAGACCCGCAAACACAAGTTGCTCTCAGCTTTGAAAAACATGCTTACTCAATTGAAGAACCGCGTCGAAGAGGATTTTGTTGCATTGCATATACCGACCCCGCGCGGGGTAAGTAGATCCCAGATCTTCGAAGAAACATCACCGGTCGTCTTCACGGACCTCGGCGCCGAACGCCGAAGACGAGAGCACCGGCTTCAAGACGTCGTTATTCCCAGGGTAAGATGCCAGGCCGATGAGTTTTGGGTATATGTGGAAAGGTAGATGCGTCTTCCTCGACTTCACGCATATCTGGGACCCTTGTGCTTCTTCGATTCGGTAAACGCAGTCTCAATAGCCTCCAAAATGAAACTACACTCGATAATCACTCTCTCATCCCTCATTGGCATCGCCTCCGCGGCAGCCACCTGCAAACCCTCAACCTTCACAATCCCAAACGCAACAGTCATCACAGCCGAGCACCGCAACGGCAACGAGCCCATCCCCCTCCCCAACACAGTCCCCTCCTGCGGCGGCGGCCCTTCCTTCAACGTAACTCCCCCCGTCCCCATCTGCCGCCTCGTCCTCGACGTCCCGACATCCCCCTCCAGCTCCGTCCGCGTCGAGGCCTGGCTCCCCGACCCGGCGACCTGGAACTCGCGCCTCCTGGCCTCGGGCACGGGCGGCATCGGCGGCTGCGTGGACTACCCCGTCCTCCAGAGCGGCACCCGCCTCTCCTTCGCCGCCTTCGGGACGAACGCGGGCCACGACGGGGCCGCGGGGCACGAGCTCTTCCTGGGCAAGGAGGGCGTGATCGAGGACTTTGGACACCGCGCGATCCACGTCGAGGCGGCGGTCGCGAGGGATGTCGTGAGGACGTACTACGGCTGCGAGGCGACGAAGAGGTATTACCAGGGCTGCAGCACCGGCGGGCGACAGGGCCTGCAGGAGGCCGCGCTGTACCCGGACGACTTTGACGGGGTGCTCGTGGGCGCGCCGGGGGTGGACTGGTTGCGGATCGTGGCGTCCAAGGGGATTCTTGCCAGGCGGGTGGGGTGGCCGGACATCGGCTCGCCCGCGTACGTGAGGCCGGAGCAGTGGAGGGCGGTGGTGGCGGCGCAGGTTGCGATGTTGGACGGGCTCGACGGGGTTGTGGATGGGGTTATTGACGAGCCGGCGAGGCATCGGTTCGATCCGCAGGTTCTGGCTTGCGGGACGGGGGTGCTGGGGGAGGATGTGTGTTTGGGGGCGGCGCAGGTCGGGTCTGTGAGGAGGGCGTATGAGCCGGTTGCGGATGAGGGGGGGAGGATCGTGTATCCTGCTTTTGAGATCGGGAGTGATACGGGCGTGTTTTCGGATAATGTTGTGGATGGACGGCCGGAGTTGGAGTATACCATTCTTCAGGTACGAAATCATCTTCGTTATTCCAGTGAGTTGTCACTGACGTTACATGTTTCGGCAGGACTTCTGGAGGGGCGCCGTGTACAACGACACCACCTGGACCCCCCACGCCTTCGACACTTCCCAGATGGAATTCGCCGTCTCCCTGAACCCGGGCGGCGTCAACTCCGACTTCACGAACCTCTCCGCCTTCCGCGCCCGGGGCGGCAAGGTCCTCGCGTACCACGGTCGGGCGGACCAGACCGTCACCTCGGCTTTGTCGTCCGAGTTCTTCGGCAAAGTACAGACGACCTCGAACCTGACGCTGGATGAGATGGACGAGTTTTACAGGTTATTTTTCATTCCGGGGATGAGGCATTGCAGCGGGGGCCGGGGCGCGTGGAGTATCGGGCAGACGTGGCCGTTGGACGGGGAGAGGCTGGATGGGAGAGGGAACGCGTTGATGGCGCTTGTTGCGTGGGTTGAGAATGGGACGAGGGTTGATGAGATTGTGGGGGCGGGGTATGAGGGTGGTGATGTTGGTGGTGGGGAGGTTGTGGCTGAGAGGAGTGAGTGTATTCCCTTCCCCCCTTTCTTTGGACTGGGTTTGCTAACTTGTTGCAGAATATTGTCCGTATCCTCTTGAGAGTCGGTGGGATGGGTTGACGAACTCGAATTTGTCGACGGCGTGGGAGTGTGTGTTGCCGATCGACTAGAGCTTATTTCTGTCTGGTTGAATGAGTTGAATGGGTTTGGAAGTGATGAGGAGAGGATGGTTGGATGTCACTGGTTAATATGGGAGTGCATCAGAGTCTCAGGGTCTGTGATGTAGTGCATGGTGTTTGCGCAGGGGATCGTGGGCATGGTATAAGAACTCGCGATTACTTTGAGAATCTAAGAAATCAAGTCTCAACATGCATATAACTTATCGGCATATCTTGAAGCTTCCACCACCTTTTCTCTACGCCCAACATAACGCCCAACACCCTTCCCCTTTCCTCTTCTTCCCTGCCTCAACTTGTCCTTCTCCCCTATACCAAACTTTTCTTCACGCGTTCTCGGACTCTGCAAATAGCTCGAAGAACTCATGGCTCGCAAACCTCCCGTGAAAGAGTTAACCTCTTCGCAGGCTCCAGCATCGGCTCCGCCAGACCGTCCGATTCACCCTAAACCAAGATATCCACAGCGAGTCGTGAATCATCGACTTGACGCGGACGGCGACACAATAATGTCGGGAACCGAAGAGTATGACGGAGGTACTGAGTATCGTAAGAGGTTTAGTAGCAATGTGGGTAGATGTGACCTTGTTGGTGAGGTCGCGTGGGAGGTTGACGCGGACGGAGATGTGATTATGACGGACGTCCTGGACATGGAGTATGCAGAACAGTCTTTTCGAACAAGGTAGGCAGGTCTCGGTGGAACTTCTTTACTGGTGTTGACGGGAATCTCGAAGAATCTTGAAGTCGTCTGAGAATTGGCGGTTGGTGATGTGGTAGTCGTTGTCAGGCTTGTTGATCCCTTCCGTGATTGAAGGCCGTGACGTCGAAGTTGTATCCCCTACATAGGGCTCGGGGTCTCGTCTAGGCTTCATGTTCTTTTCGGTCCTCGCCAGTACCAGACGGTGTCCACACCAGCAAGGTATTTCGTCACCTCCAGGCAGTAGGCGACCCCTTCAGGTTTTTAGGTAAACCGTCTCTGCATCCGGGTGCTTGAAGGGATTTCACTCTACTGCCTAGAGACAGATTGAGTGACAAAAGAGTTCCGTCGAAGGCTTGTCGTATTGTCTGCGATGAGAAAGTTGATGGATCTGGACTGACATTACAGATTCCCAGTCCATCCTCTGATCGGATACTCCTCCTCGTCGTACTTCTTCTGAAGGGAGTGGTGCAAGATTCCCAATACAGAGGAGGGAGGTGGAGGTGGAAGCCCGCCAGTCTTGTTTATCGCGATAGCGATCCCGAGGACGACGAGGGGGGCGAACTTCACCCTGTGCGGCAGGGGCATGCGCCGGAGTTTGGATATGGCGGTTTGAAATCTATTCATGATTGAAGATGTGTTGATTTTTGTATGTGTTGGTGGTGCCTCTGGGAATGAATCTGGGGCTTAAGAAGACCGCTTATGTATTCTTCCTCAGAACTTTCTCCGTGGCGAAGCATCGGAGTTGTATTTGTTGGAACTCGGGGTTGAGGTGAGCTTGATGTCTTCGGATCCATGGTTTAGGTTAACTCAAATGGCTCAGTCCTTCCAAGCGAACTTACTTACCAAATACTATCGGAATTGCCTCCAACCTAGTTGGCCCATACTTCTTATACACATTTTCTCCGACTGTTATTTGTATCCATTTGTTGTATTTAGAGATGACACGGGTTGAAGTGCTAGTATTGCATTAAAGAACTGCGAAACTCGTATTGGTAAACCGCTGTAAAGCTCATTCAGATCCAGACACCAGTTCGGAATCATACACATTTACTCTCATTTGTCTCCGCGTCTCATCCAGATAGCTCCCAGTCCGTGCCGGCCTTCGCCGTGTTCGGGGCCCGCATCGGCCCCGGGCCCGGTAGAAACTCGCCGAGGTACCGGACGAGTATAAGAGATCCAGGCCAGCGAGAACAAACCCAGTCTTTCTGCTTCAAATAACTTCTAGCTTATGGGTTACTAATAACACGGAGGCCCGACTCGACATCTATACTAGATTATGTAGAACGGACGCTGCTCCAACCCTCCTCGCAGAACGTTGAATCCATACCAATAGCCTTCCATAACTTCATCTACATAGCACTCGCCGACGAGAACCCATGTAGACTTATCATCGTCTTCGTGTTCTTTCATCTTTCTCAGCACCACTGGAACTGAGCATCCTATGAGAACACAAATCACATCTCCAGGTTTGGCTATCCGGGGTAAGAAACCCATCGACTTTTTGGTAACAGCGAACCTCCTCTCTCCTGATAGCATAAACTCGGCAGATACTAGTACGTCCTCGTCCGTCTGGCACGTCAAGTCGGGCCTGGTCTCCTCGGCATGGCTCGCAATCGGGAGAAGCCTCCTGGCCGTCTCGATCCAGTCTTGCGGCACGGGGTCGATATCAGTGAACCACTCAGATCCTTTTCGTATGATCCGTCTCATGCCCGTCAGCGTGCGGTAGAAAGCGTCCGGAAGACCTTCAACATCAGCCTTTTCTAGCCCGGGCACGCGGATCCAAGCATCGCCTCCGCCGAGAACGGTGACTTGAACGCTGTTATGCCGACGACTTATCAGCAGCTCAGGCCCGAAGGCTTCAAATGTGTCGACGATGAAGCCGTTGAGAACCATCAGGCCCCCGAGCGTAGTGAAGTCACTACCGATGCCGATCGTGGAACCTCCGGACGCGCGGTACACGGCGCTTGGGAACTTGCGGAAGCTGTGATCCGGCGCATGTCTGGACTTGGATTCCCGCAAGCAGACGGAGCAGTAGTCAAACCCGCGACAGTCGACGCAGCGATACCGAGCGCCCCTTATCTTCTCATCGCAGCCATCACAAGCGTACCCCAGAAAAGGCCCGTGATTCCCCGCAGAAAGCGGCTGTCCGAACGTCGTCAGCGACTTTGTGTTGTATCCCAAAGCCAGGCCTGGGTGCCTGGGGTCCGCGGACTCCAGCGTTCCGTACCACGGGACCCAACTGGTGTGGTTGAATTTGCGCTGGCTCAAGGTTGGCATGGCTCGGCAGATGATGTCCGCGCTGTTTGAGGTTCTCATGATTTGCCATGTCGCTCTGGCGTAGACGTCGCCGACGGTGCTCTTGTCGGAGTAGTCGGGGATCCAGTCTTGAGCGTCACTCGCCATGGACAAGAAAGCGTAGATGCCATCGCGAGGGTCGAATGACTCGAAGCTGACGAAGCCATCTATGAGCATTTCAAGGGTCAGGTTCTCGCCTCGTCCTACTGCTGTGGAGATTCCGATCAGATGGTTGAGAGATTCGAGCCGATCAGGGGTCACTCCGGTGATCACAGGCGTCCTTGAGTCTAGCGAAGAGTCGCCGAGTCTAAGCCTGTTGTCTTTCGTGAGACCACCCTCGAGATGGCGACTGAAACGGTCCATCTGCGCGATAAACGGCATCATATTGTCGCTGCAGAAGTCGCGGTTGCCGAGGTACATATGCTTATGCTTCGCCAACACAAACTCTTGAACGATCCATCGGCGCGAAAACCAAGGGCGCCGGATGAGATCCCATAGAGCTTGCCAAGACTTAGTCCGGTTGGAGTTGCTCTTGAAGAAGTCGCCGGACTGTCCAGCGTCCCAATTCTTCCACTCCTCGATGAAGTCTATAGCTTCGTCGCTGGTCTCCGACTTGTCACCCAGCCAGACGCGAAGCCATCTGCCGCGATAGACTTGGTCCATGTGCCGCACCTGATACGCCTTTTCGTGGTTGTCTCCTTGGTTTATACAGATCGCATCGACCCATAAAAGCAAGATCTGTTCTCGGTCGCGGAATCTCCTGAGCATGGTTTCCAGGTTTGGGCGTATGGCAAAGTGTCGGAAGCCTTTACCGTCGGAAGCACCGCCAAGACCGATGAGCCACATATCGGACGTTGGTTGTTGTTGACCCCAGGTGTATGAGACGGGCTGGAAAGTCGGAGCATTGCGCCGTTGAACATGGAGTAAGCCGGCTTGAATAGGCGCTTTCTCATCTTCTGTTGGGAGAAGCAACAAAAGACGCAAGCAGTCGGCCGGGTCATCTAGAGTTTTGTAGGAATATTCTTCGGAGCTCATCGGTATCTCTCTTATATCGTTGACCTCTTCGTGCCAAACGGTGTAAGCCTCTTGAGGTGGACCACCCACGATCTTGCTGTCTTCCGCCATATTGTTTCGCTGGCTGTATTGATATTGTCAAAGAGAAAAGAAATCCGTCTTCTTCACCAATTCGCTTACTCAGGTTTGCGATGCCTGCAGCCTGCAGGTAAGCTTCGCTTTAGTGTCTAATTGGTCGACGAGGCCAACATGTAGCCACCTTCTCGGCTCAGAGATACGCACGTGGTGGACAACGGTGGATCCTCTCTATCGAACTCTTCATCAACACCTACATTACACTCAGGCCGGTCAACGCATAGTAGTCTTGACATCCCGCGCTAGGGTGCCGGCTCCGAGACCCACTCCGGCCCCGTTCCGGAAGCTCAGGCACGGAGAGCCGGGGCTTGGCCAGTGGCGAAGCGAACATACACCGCATCATTTCACCTTTAAAGATGGGGAGCGGTTTAACAGAAGAATTTAGAACGCATGAATGACCATCCAATTTCTAATGATTGGCTCCGGGGCGTTTTGTCTTTCCGTAAACCGGAGCACACGGTCTCGGCATTCGAGCATGATGTTATGCATTGATTATGTAGCTATATTTTTAAGACAATGCTGGTATGGCTGCCTATCTAGACAAGACACTCATTGTCGACATCAATAGACGTACTGTATCGTGTTAGCAGTGCTTCTCACCAAGCGCTTGCAATGACTCACCTTGAAGAACTTGTTCTCCAAGTCCGTCTGATCAAGGAGACCTCTCTCATAAGCCTGATGCTCGTTATCCTCAGACTCTGCATGCTCAGCCTTTCTCGAGCGGTTACGAGTCCAAAGGAGAACCCAGATGCCACACAAACACACGATCTGCAGGCCGACGCAGAAGATCATCATCGCGACACCGAGAGTGTACGTCGGCGCTTGCTCCGCCTTGAAGAAGAAGGGGCCGACAAAATTTCCGAGACAGTATCCGATCAGAAGCATGGCGTTCGTCGTGATCTTCTTGGTGTGGCCGGCGGTGTTGGCTGTGGCAACGGACATGGAGAGCGTCCAGGCGGCGGTGTAGGCGAAGGAGATCCAGAGGCAGGCGAGGCGGCCGTAAGGGTTGGATTGCTCGCTGAGCCAGAGGCCCAGAATACCCGCCAGGAATGGGACAAGGCACATGAGCATGATGGCGATTCGGGCGTTGGGGTAGTACGAGGCGAAGAAGCTACGGACTGTGAGTGGGATGGCATCAAACAAACTTCAGAGGCTACTCACCACGCCAAGGGGCAGAGAATGAGTTGAACTCCGCCAGAGGGCATCTGAATCAGCGTCGTTTGCAGAGTTGAGAAGCCCATACCCTTGATGACAAGACCCTGGAACTACTAAGGGTCAGCATTTGTGCATGTTGAGAGCTGCTGTGAACTTACGGTAGTCAAGCCGCCATTGGGCGAGTTGCTTGCAACGGCAAACATGAAGAGCAACCAGGTCTTGAGATCCGTCATCGCCTCCCTGAACTGGGGCCACTTGAACTTCTTGTTCTCAACACCCGTACCGTTGTTTTTGACGCGGTCTACAACCATCGCCTTCTCCTTTTCGCTCAGGAACTTCGTCGTCAGGGGCGAACCGGGGAGGAAGATCAGCATCAGAGCACCCCAAGCGACCGTAACCGCGCCCCAGAAGAGAAACAAGATTCTCCAGCTGGCAATCGATCCCGTCACATGCCCGATGCCGAAAGACACGATACCGGCAATGATGTAGCCCAGTCCGGCCGATCCAACCCAGATGCCCATCCGCAGAGGCTGCTCCTTGCGTTCGTAGTACATGGAAAACAGCAACATCGTACCGGGGTTAATCGAAGCCTCCAGCGCACCCAAGAATGTCCTCGTCGCCGCGAGTCCGGAGAAGTTGTGCGATGCCGCATGGCACATCAGAACCGCCCCCCACAAGACCACGGTCGAAGCCATGAAGGTGTTGATGGGTAGCTTCTGCAGCATCACGTTCGTCGGGAACTCCCAAAAGAGGTAGCCGATGTACAGGAGGGCGCCCGCCCAGGAGAACTCGGACCCGGTCAGGCCGAGGTCTTCACGGACGCCGAACACGGCGGCATAGCTGAGAGTCGTGCGGTCGATCGATTGGAGGGCGTAGGTGATGCAGAGAAGGGGCATCAACCGGAAATCGAGCTTGCGGAGAAGGGAAGAGTGCTCCTTGGGATCGACGATTTCGCCCTCGGCGGTGTCGAGGAGGTCGAGGGCCTTGGTTGGCTCCGATTCCATGAGCTCCTTCTTGGTCGCCATGATTGCCTTCCCAGGTCCCCGGCCAGAAGAATGAGTATGTGAGATTCGGGGTGGTTACAGCGTAAATCGGCCATCTTGGGCGCCGCTCAAGGAACGCATGACTTTATACGGGCATTCGGCAGTGTAAGTGACTGACCGAAATGCCCCGCATTAGCGTACGATAAAACGGCCAGGGAACATGCGAGATGGAGTTGATAAGAGTGGTGGGAATGACTAGGTCGTGGGTGATTGTCCGCGGGGAACTCTTATCGCCTAAGCTCAACCGCGGGGACAAGTTAAGACTCCGCGGTTGACGCTGCGGATGCGGCTGGCTGCTTAGAGACCGATTGATTTCATTCGCAAGTTCATGATTCCTTCTGACGGAGGTCATCCAGACATGACGTTTTGACTACATTTCAGTGTCTAAGCTCAAGTACTGTTATCCGAGGGAGCAATTGCCAGATCCAGCCCCAGTCGCTGGGGAGAGGGCGAGGTCTGAAAACACCACACTTTGCTTTTCTCGTTACTTCTCCTACTTAAAATTTCGTCTCTGTTATTTCAAACCGTTCATCCTAGAATAATTAATCAATAAGATCATGTTCAAGGAGAAGAGTGGAAAAGTTGCGAAGACTCTGAAATGGAGCGTTCCTATTGGCTGAACTCATTCCCGGCCGGTGTGGGGCCGATCGGCCGGTGAGGTCCGGTCGGTTCACGAAGGGGCGCGTGCAGCAGCGCAAGATGCCAGCTTTTATCAACACGGGCATGACAAGAAGAACAAAAGTTCCCCGCAGAGGTAATCACTTTAAGTCGCCCTTCAATTTCATCTAGTACGCAATTTGTAGCTCCGCGTATGCAGCCGCACCTAGTCAACCGACTTAGATCAACCGATGGCTTGCGCTGGACAATAATGACTTATCTGATTACTCGAAGTAGTAGTTAGCGGACTTTTTCAACAAAATAATGGGCGCCTGTCACGGGTGGATACCCGGCACACTCAGAATATCAGAACACATGAATCAGTCTCGCATCAGATTGCCTATTTATCATCGAGATACAAGCCTTCTTCTGGAGGCGGAACACCATACCAATCGTATCCTCTCTCTTCCATGTAAGGCTCATCCTTCATCTGATAGTAGCCGTCGTACCTCCACCATTCCCTTCCCTCCCAAACATCCTCCACAGGCAGGACACCCTCAGCCTTCATCTCATCTCTAACCTTCTCAACTCCGCGCCAAACCCTTAGGATATTCTCCCCAGCAACCTTGGCAAGCTGTTCCTCAGTCGCGCCTCGGTCGAGGATAGCCTTCAGCAGATTGGGATAGCACTTCACGTCCTCAAGGCCGGGGATCACAGACGCGATGCCGTCAAAGTCGGAGCCCAACCCGACGTGGTCCCAGCCGATGCGCTCGGCGACGTAGAACAGATGGTCGAGAACCATCTCCATCTTGGCGTCCCTTCGACGGGTGGTGACGTGTTCCGGGACGAAGGTGACCATGACGATGCCGTTGTTGGCGGGGACCATGTCGAGGATGTGGTCGGGGACGTTGCGGGCGCAGTCAAAGACGCCCTTGACGTTGGAGTGGGAGAACATGACTGGTGCGCGGGAGAGCTCGAGGACTTGCTTGGCACAGTCTTCTGAGACGTGTGAGATATCTACGATCATACCTGGGCGATATTAGTCATCATTGCTCTTTGGCATACTGAGAGATATATGTAATCACCTATTCTGTTCATCTCCACTATGGCTGAGCGACCTAGCTTGGACAGTCCGCCGTGAACAGCTCCGACTTTTGATGTTGAGCTGTCGGCGAAGGCGTTGTTGCAAACATGAGTGAGAGTGCACTAAGAAGTCAGCATCGGGAGCTTGGAAGTACGTCACACATTTCCTTTTGACTTACATATCGAACTCCGAGACGATAGAAGGCCCGGATAATGCCAATGCTGTTACCAGCCATATGTAACCTAACCCACTGTGTTAGCATTCTCGGTTGTCACTTACACGAGGGGACCCGGTTACATACCCTTCGATACCAATGGAGCAAGCAATTCTACCGGACTCGTAAATGTTCTTGACATCATCTGGGCCGTTCACCAACTCAAAAGTCTCAGGATACGACTCGACAAGCCTCAGAGTCAGATCAATCTGCTCGATGGCATCGCGAGCCATGTCCGAGTACTCGGCGGTGGAGAAGTTCTCCGCGGACCTCAGACAGGGGACGCAGATGGACCAGAATTGACCTCCGACGGCACCTTGTAACGCCGTGTTAGCCAGTTTTCTCAAGTAAATCGCCAAAGCCATGAGCCGCTCACCTTCCCTCAGACGAGGAATGTCCGTCATCCCCCTCTCGAAGCCATTCGCGAAGTCGAATTTTGGGTTGTTGTGAATCTTGCCGTGGAAGCATGCCCGCGGCTGTTGCGGCAGGTCGTTGTGGCCGTCGATGAGCGGAGTGTTGAGCAGGACTCTCTTCACACGCTCATCGATGTCGAGTTGCTGGTATGGATGTGTTGACGCCATGATTCGATACTGAGTACTGGAAATTCCTGACGAATCGGTCTGCTCTCGAATCAAGAAATTTGAATAAGCCTTTTCGCAAGATATCTTCCGGCATGAAGTATGAGATGGTGTTAGTTCGGTCACGAGTGAGACGGGTTGATGAGGGGTCCTTTCCGCGGTTGCTGTTTCCCCTCGGTCAAAGTGGGTTCGTGTTTCCCGCGCAAAAAGAGGCGACCCCATAGATACGGCCCCGAATCCTGATTTGGCCACCTACCATCTCATCTTTAATCGTCGAAAGATGTCCGGATGTCAAGATCCAGGGTGCATCCTTGACCCCGCATGTTCACTGTTGATAAGAGGATTGACGACCCTGGACGGACCACGCCAAGGGGGGAGCTATCTACACCCAATTCCGACAACCCGGTTGCACGCGTGGCAATCGTCTTTCACAATGAACTTGACAACAAACATGAATAATGCTAACAAGTCAGATGTAAGGAAGCCTCGAGGAATGGGAATTCACCCAGTCGTCGTTTTCCTCGGAACCTAGAGTGATGTGAATTTGAGCCATCGACTTGATTGATGAATAGAGGCATTCTATGCTGGGCGCCGCTCGCGACTATATTAAGTGACTTCTGAATTTTCATTAACTGCTCCAAAAGAAAGTTATGATATCTCATTGCGGTATGATATTTTAAAGTCAACTAATAAAGAGCATCACAAAACGGCTATCCTAGAAAAGTATTGAAGACCGCCAAGGAAGCAATTCTTAGCATGGGATCGAAGGACAGCATGAACCGTCAAGCTAAGCAATGCTTCTCATGAAGGTGAATTTTTCCTATTCCCCTGCACTCACATAATTCCCCTATTACATTGAGAATCTGGGTATCCAACAAAACATAACCGAAACATTCAATCTTAATACATGGCTGCACAAAAACCAGACAACTTAACATTCAACGTTCTTACAGTGCTTGACGCCACAGAACATCCTTGTGAAACGGGTTGTTTCTATCATCATCCTCCCATAACTAAATCGTCATCATGGCTAAGGGCAGAACTCTGCTGTCCAGCAGCAGCCTTCTTATGCAGCCGCCGGTTGAGTACCTTGATCTCCCGGCGCACAACGAGATCATTGAGACGCTGGTCAACCTCTGCGTCACCAGCACCAATGCTTTTGTCTGTTTTGAATGTTATCAAGTGTTGCAAGCGAGGCGGCAGGCGATCGAACTTACAGAAAATGTCGCGCAGGCTCAAGGCAAAGTTGAACGCGCCAGCGACTGCTGGGTTTTGGAGTTTGATGCTGTCCAGGGACAACTTGAGCGAGGCCGACGTCCTGAATAAACTTGCGTAAAAGACCGCCACGGCGTTGAGGAGAGGCTCAGCGTTGTTACACCAGGGCTTCGTGTTGCGGAGCAGGCCCCGATAGGTGAGCATGAGTTGCCACAGAACGGCCCAGACGATTGCCCTCTCCACCTCATTGAACTTATGTGCCTTGAAGAACCTGTCGAGTTCCGCGAAGATGTCTCGCTCGGAGGACTCAATAGCCGACTTTGCAACACCTCGGATTTCTGCCTGGGCGGGGCTGGGAAGTTGCTGAGGCTCCTCGACATTGGCCTGGAGGAAGAATAGGTCTCGGCAATAGAGGATATTAAACATGCATCTGAAGACGTGCGCCTTCTGAAGCAATGTTCTGATCTAGGCCTTGTTAGCTTCCCAACAGTACAGGTAGTAGAGATTGCTAGCTTTTACCTGAGGGCGAAGACTAGCGGGGAGCAAGGATGTAGAACAGATCTTGATGAAGTATCCAATACCGCCTTCGAATGTGATGAGCTCCAACGAAGACGTGGACTGCTCGACCCAATTTTGTAGTGATTTTATTGTGAGAGCCTGGTTGTCATGATCCTTTGAGAAGGTGCAACCGCGATGTAGGATGGTGCGGTCGTCTGCTGAGCATTCATAGTTCCTGAGGATCACTTCAAGGCCAAACTTGGTAGGGTCGCGATCAAGGAAAATTCGGCCCACGAAGAGACTGTCGTGAAACTTTAGCTGCGCTGTTCTGCAAATCTTCTTGATAGCAATGTCCTCATTTCTGTCAAAGCAGTCGACTGATGGTTGGTCAGTACGTATCCTTCGAGCTAGGGACTGACGGTGGACCCGAGAAAAGAGTGACAGGAACTTACATCGTCTGAAAGCAATCTCTTGGGCGACGACGCTCAACTCGTGCCGAATGCAGCAGACCTCGGGCTTCTGAGGGTAGGCCTTCTTGCAATACTCGCATGGGTAGGCGGCCGAGCAGGTCACCTTTTGGAGACGGCATGTGATGCATGCTCCGGCGCTTCTGACTTGGTTGGTCTTGTTGGCCTTCGTGTGCTGAGGTTCCTGGGCGTCACCCATAGAGATGTCTTCAGTTGAAGAAGGGGTTTCGCAAACAATCTTCTCAGGCGTGGTCGGATATCCGAAAGGAACATTGGGGTCAGAGATTTGGCTTTGCATTATCTGGTGTGGAGTGCCAACATCAAGTGATATGCTCCCGCTCTCCGTTTCGAATGCAGTTGAAGTAGCACCGTGCGATTCGTGATCGGTCAATGGATCAGAAATACCGCTAGGCATCTGTGAATTTAACCGTAAACCAGGAAGAATCATGCTGGGGTGCTGGCTATCGAAGACCGCGTCGAGGAAGTATGTGGCGTATATTTCTTCTGTATTGAGCATTCTGTTTTTGGGCGAACTCCAGTCGCCATGGATTGATTCCCCTTCGTCCAGTAACTCTTCGTTGTCGATAAGTTCTTGGTCACTGATTGCGTCTGTGTCCCCTACGGATTTTAAGTCATCTTCATCTTTGTCCCAAGGAAGACAGCTCAGAGCAAACTGATGCAAATGCCAGAGAATATGATCGTCGTCACCGGCTATATGTGCGTCTGTACTTTGCGTGCAAAGAGGGCATGTTACCGAATGTGGTATCGTTTCCTGGCATGCATCAGCTAAAAGCGCAAGCTCTGCTGACGTCGGGACTTTGCTGTGATTCTGACACGTGTGGGCCTCCCACGACGATAAATCGGTGAAGGTGAGGCTGTCAGTCCCCATGCTTTCTGTGGTGCACTGCGTACAAACCCATAGAAGTTGCGAATGACACCGGTTCACATGCTTCATCAACTCTTCGGAGCTGGCGTACATAAGATCCGGGGTCTCGCATTGTTCGTAAAAACATATATAGGGGAGTATGTCTTGGGCTACGTGTTTCCTTCAGCGTGTCAGAATTCTATCAAAGAGGAATTTGTATTTAATAACTTGCCTCCAAGACGTAGACCTTTTGTTGTACTCACTTGGGAGCAGATCGGCACAGTATGGACAGACCAGCGATGCTCCATCCGTTTGTGGCTTTGGGCATTTCGGATACTCCAAGTCGCCACGCCTACCGATTCGAGTGGCACGAGACACAATCGAAGGTTCCATCAGGCGTGTAAAGCTAGGAGCAGCTATTGTAGATCCCACATCAGTAGCTGTATATTGAACAGAGGGTGCGATGGTATTCTTCTGCTGCTGCTGCTGTTGTTGTTGTTGCGGTTGTAGCTCATGTTGGTCTTTCGTCGAGATGGGGTCAGTAGTGGAAGGATCCTCTTGTTTGAGATCCATGTTGGGCTGCTGTTGTAGTAGTTGCTGTTGATTGGCTGAATATGTTGGTTGGTAGATTTGTCTCCTTTTCCTGACGAACTCAATCCTGTTCAAGCGAAGAAGGTTGGCTTTGACGAGGCGTTTTTGAACGGTACTGAGCATACTTTCGTCAAGATATTCGGAACCCGTCGTGATCTCAGGAAACCCTGCAGAATTATCTGGCCTAATTCGACGACCGAGAATGTCATTGATCCAGAATCGAGTAGGCTCTTCAAAATCTCTCTCATTGAGCGCGGCGTCAGCTTTGAGATACCGATACTTGGCTCCTGACTCTCTAATCTTCGTCGAGAGTCTTGCAAGTTGTGCAATGGTGGTCGTGACGTAGAACTTTTGGATATCAACAGAATCTTCTCTGGATTGGTTTTCAGGAGAAAGGTCCATAGTGCTCTCGGTGCCATCTTCGCTTTCACTTAAGAAGTCTTCGCTGTGAATGGACGCCATTTCCACGTCCGACTCGACATCAGAGCCTGCGTTTTCTGGTGACCCGTCTGATGGAGACTCCGAACGGTCTATCAAATTGAGAATCATAGACCATAACGAGATGAACATGGATGTGACTTACTGAGCTTGAAAACATCATCTAGCGCCTCTACCAGTCCATCTAGAAGGTTGCATACCAACTGACGCAACTCGTCATGGTACCGCAAACGATAGTCTAGTGACGACTTGCCTTGCGAAGCGGCGCTCAGGGTTCTCGACCACAAATTGAATTCTGCTTGCCGAAACTCGAACCACTCTGTACCGACGATATCAGTTGCGGCTGGCACAGAGTCGATGAAACGCTGCTTGCATTTCATCGTGCGTTCAAGGACATCCGTCCCATAATAGGGCATGTAAGCGTCGTCAGCTTCCATGGCAACAGCAACAGTCAGAATATCGTTCCAATATCAAATTCTTCTTGCCTCTTCAGCGCAACTTTTGGAAGTGCCGTCCATACTCGGTTTTTGGCTGCAGATGAACAGGTCGGATGCGCAAAATGAGCAGTCGTTCGATCTGCGGAACCAAGAGGGGTTGGCCTCAACACGTGCATGATACGTCTCGCTAAGTGAACGAATGGTAACTCAGTGATATGCAGCTCGTTGGGCGGGTTATCGTGAGCAAGACTGCGGCTGGCGCTGCTGCCTTACTACTCCATCATCTCGGTGTTCAGTTGAGCTTCATCAACTGACACTTCAACTATGACTTCCAAATGTTGGTTCGTTCTCTCACAAACCCACTACCCTCCGCCCATCATCCCCGAGCACGGCTTGGGCTCAAGTTCCGGGCCAATCTGCCTCGGACACTTGATACCAGATCTGAGGCATCTCGACAATGTCATCAATCGGAATGGGCCTTTGGAGACCCCTCCGAGCATGCCAATTCATCCCACCAAGGCCTGGGAGCTCAAGTGGCAGCGTGAGACTTCCAGCGGGGTAGACCTGTCAGCTACTGCAGGGGTCCCGATTGCTGCCGCGGCCGGACTAACCATGAAGCTGGACGCCGGTATCGCCTTTCAAACAACTGTCAGTAACTACTGGGAATTTGAGTCGCTCGACACGTTCATTATTCAACCGACGAATTCGTACGTCGAAGACAGTCTCGAGCCTACAGAGGTTGGAGACTACCTCAAGGGGAGGGGCTGGACCAAATCATCAACCATGTTCATGATTACCGGGATTATCGTGGCGCGCGGGGCATCGTTCAGCGCCTCTAAAAGTCGCAGCCATGACGTTCATGGCGGGCCTGGAGCGTAGGTATGCTACTGACATAGATTGAACCAAGAAACTGACTGTTCCTAGTGAGTTCCCTTTGATTGCTGAAGCTGGAGGACAGGTTGTTGTTTCTCAAGGCAACAACATCTCTTCCGCGGCCCCAAAGATCACAGACTTCGTGTGGGCTGTCCGGTTGGCGAAGATATCAAAGGGATTTATCGACCGAAAATGGTCCTTCGAGACTTTCTCAAGCGGTGCGACATTTGGTTTGAATGACAAGGCAGACATCGGACAGGAAGTAGCTGAGGCTTTGAAGGGTGAAGGTTTGGAAATCAGAGAGTGCCAAATCGCCGCTGACAGCGACGTATTTGTATTTGGATCCGGCGCTAAGTAGTGAGGAAAGGCGCATTCTGGTTGATATCTTGTATCTTATTATCACACAGCCCGACCACGGAAAGTTCGTCAATGTAGCGAACTTGAGACTGACTGAACTTGTCACTTTATGAAGCATCTCTTTCAGCGATTGACACTCTGCACTGCTCGCGGGGATCTCATTTGCTGTGTAGCGCACCAATTAAATTCAATCTTCTCAACACATACGCCTGCAGCCCTGGAACGGCGCGCGGAGGCAGGTGGGCACTGAGCTGATGCGGGGAGTCCTGCGGTAACTGTTCGCGGAGCCTGGCGGGTAAGAAAGTTCCTCAAACATGTCTTTGGAAAGTAGTCCCTGAATCGCTGGAAGTCTCCCATCCACGCTTCGTCTTCGTTCAGAATGGCCGCGTCCACCCGTGACGTAGCCTCATTCGCGAGGCGATCAGCTCTGACGATTCGAGAAATAATCGCGAAGACACCAATCAGCAAAGATGATAAGAGCTCACGGAAGTTTACGAGCAACCTCGATGTCTACTTGGTGCAAGCATCTGATCATTTGAAGGCGCTGGAGGACGCGACTGACGGAGGGTGTCTGGAACGTGTACTAAAACTACTCATTCTGCTGGAGAGAATGTGTAATGTAAGTCAAATCAGCAACAACGGCACTCCCAGGCGAAGATCCAAAAGCTAACCTTCGTCAACGCCAGTTTCCCTCATCAGTCGCTGCGCCCACCGAACCTACCGATCTTGATCAGTACCAGACTCTCCGCCGTTATGGGCATCGCAAGCTCACCAGAAAATGGCTACAGCAACTGAGCAGAAGTAAACATGGGAGAAGACAACGCGAATTCCTTAGCGGCCTTGAACGTTTCCTACCGGCCGTTCATACTCAAGACGTCGTCGATCTCGACTCTAATAAGACACAGATGCGGCGATGGGACTGTCAAATTTACATCAGGGCGCTGTATGGCACACTTTCTCCGCTGTGCTTATGTTCAATAGAAGACGGAGAGGAGAGGATCACGGCAAACCTTCAGCTTCGGCAGTGCTGTTCTCGAAATGAGCCTCCAGACGCCATGGATTTCAGGCTTTTCCTTCTGAAGCACCCGCACCGTCATAACCAATTATGCCCGCCAGAGTGGCAAGACATCCAGATATGCATTCCGCGAGAGAGGTGAGTCGGACGCTGTAACAAGTCAGCAACAGATTAACAGTAGTTGATCATTCTTCATTTTTCACAGGCGGGTAGGTTTGAAGGGCAAGAAGAAGACGGCGGGCAAAGGTGCAGACTTACCCGGGGGAAGCAGCGTCGTTTCGAGCGACACTTTCTGTGGTTTCATCACGCAACGATTTCAATCGCAGTTGACACTGGCCGTTCTTAGTGACGGCCGGGTAATCTCGCGGCAGCAACGCCCATGCTTGGATGATTTCATGGTCCATGGGTCCAGCGTCTCACTCAGTGAGCTTCTCAAATTCTTCAACGATCACCTGAGACTTTCACATAAGATCCTCCTATCATACATCATCGCGAAATCCTTCTGGCAGTTTTACGATTCTGACTGGATGCGCCACCCGTGGACCAAGAAGGACGTCCACTTCATGTTCGAGAGCGACCCGTCCAGAATATACATTAGCGAGCCCTTCCTGTCTACTCAGTTCAGCTGCAACGCCGATGATCCCGACAATGGGATGCATCCTTTTCCAAAGATTCTCGCCCTGGGTATCATGTTTCTTGAGATCGGTCTTGGACATGGCTTAGAGGACCATTGGAGAGCAAATAACCTTGATTCCAACGGCCAGCCGAACGCAACCACGAATTTCTACACTGCCCAGAGAGTCTTCAACGAGACGAGGGAAGTCGATGGATATGTCGTCCGACTTGGCCAGCTGATTAAGCGTTGCATTAATCATACGTACTTTCTCAAGTATAAGGGCGATGTCGAGGGACTTCGCGAGGCAATTCAGAAGGACATTGTTAACGTTCTCTATTCGTGCTATCAAGACTTCGACAAAGACCCAGACGACGACAAGACGGGATCTATCATTCTACCCAGTCATCAAATGCAAGCCTCTACAACAAGGGATACATTTCACCGCGTATCATCCCCGCCGTCGTCCGAATTGACGAGGCTACAATTCCACTCGGAGTCGATCTACGCTCCCTCACGGGAAGCGGGCTTTGCACCGATGAGCTGGCAGCGTGGCCCGGTAATGCCAACACCATCCTCCGCGACATTGATGTTCCAAGGTCAACAGGGACATGCCATGATGCTGCCACACATGAGCTGCCACGTCGGCACGTGAGTCTCAGAGCAAACTTCTGAGCCTTCAAAGCTGACTTCAGCGATCTAGGTTCACGCCTCCAGGGCACTTGCCCGACGGCACGATGTCCAGGTAAGCCTTCTCTCGCTTTGGGCGAACAATACCTAACAAACATGTCGCAGAGGAACCATCTCCTCAGATGACTGGTTTCGGCACTTCGAAATACTCAGAAGAGTCATTCGGCGTCCTCAACCAAAAGATGCCTCATACTCGCCCGTCAAGATCGCCATCCTGGACACAGGGGTTTCTCCAGGTTCTGGCGGTTTTGTAACAGACTATAAGGATTTCGTCTCAAATGACCATCTCCACTATCAGGATCGAACTGGACACGGTACCGAGGCAGTGTCTCTCATAAGGAGGGTGTATGAGAATGCCGAGGTATACGTCGGCAGGATTTTCAAGGAACGAAATGCATCCGAGAACACCATCGATCTGATGACCAAGGTACGGCCCCAATCAACTGCTCATGATGATTCCCCGCTGATCAACAGGCTATATACCATGCCATGAGTGAATGGAAAGCAGACATCATAGTCCTGGCCTCCGGGTTCGAGTGCATTAACCCCGACCTAGAAACCGCAATCAAGAAAGCCCGCCAGGCCAAGATCCTCATCTTCGCGGCCGCTTCAAACTACGGCAACATTACAGATATCGCGTTCCCGGCCCGTATGTACGTCTTCCGCATGCTCTTCTGTATGTTCTCGACGACACCGGACGTCCGGGCCAGCCAATACCTCAACCCGTCGCCTCCGAAAAGGCCCAACAATTTCGCCATAATCGGAGAGGACATCAAATTCGTTAATCTTCCTGACGTGGGCCGTCTCCGATCCGGGACATCCTACTCGGCGATGATAGGAGCTGCCGTCGCTGGCCTGGTTCTCGAGTTTGCGCGGCATGACGATGTTCGAGAACGGGACGCTCAGCTCGCGGAGAATCTGCGCACGGTCGAGGGCATGTCTGCCGTGTTTACGGCAATGGCGAGGGATACGGATAATAAATACCAGTGCGTCGCGCCTTGGAAAATTCTGTCTGAGGAGCTGCGGAACGATCGGGTTGATAAGGTCGTCGCGAGGAGAGATGTTATGGAGAGAATCATAACGGCGTGGAAGGGGCGATATCAATAGAATTAGATGATTTGATGATACCCAAAACTGTTTTGTTTCTTCAAGACGTTTCCCGACTCTCTTTAGCATCAATGAGACAAGCGTCCAAGCAAAAGTTCTCTGATATCGAACGACTAGGGTATATTATGATGTGACATGCATGATCATCGTAACTCATTAAAGTTGCGCAACTGATAACTCCTCGCTGAAGAAAAATGAGAACAAGAAAAACTCGAGACATTCTCCCAACGTCAATTGGCTTACTTCTTCGGTTGCCGTCGGTTCAACACCTTCATCTCAGGGTCGACGACCAAGAGCTTGAGACGTTGATCAATGTCATCGACACCAGCGGCAATACTTTGAACTAAGAGACACCGGGTTAAGATCAACACAAACGACCGTCTCATAACGAAGAAACTTACGATGAGTACCACGCAGACTCAAAGCATGCTCAAAAGCCCTCTCGAGCCCCGACGCCTTCGTTTCGCAGCCGACCTTATCCATTGACAGCTTAAGCGAAGCCGACGTCCGGAAGTGCGCGGCGTAGAACACACCCAACGCGCTCAGCAGACTCTCGGCGTCGGCGTCGTTGTTCGGGAGCCTCCGGCCCATGTTGCGGAGCAGGCTCCGGTAGACGAACATGAGCTGCCACAGCGCGGCCCACACGGCGGGCCGTTCGCCGTCGCCGATGGACTTGGGCCGGAAGAGCTTGTCGAGCTCGAGGAGGATGTCGCGCTCGGCGGACTCCATGGCCTTGCGGGCGATGGTGCGCAGCTCGGCCTGGGCCGGGAGGGGCAGCGGGCGCACGGTGTTGGTGGTGTCCCAGACGAAGTCGAACTTGTCCTCGCAGCAGATCTTGTACATGCACTTCATCGTGTGGACCTTGTTTAGGAGGGTCATCTTGAGGACGAGTTAGTCGTGCTTTGGCTTGGGTTTTGGGTTGGTTAAGGGACATACCATCGGCCGTGCTTGGTACCCGTACTGAGAACGGCAGGGCTCGGAGTAGATCTTGATGAAGTTCTCGATGGCACCTTCGAAGGTCCTCGTGTCTTCCTCCGAGACCATCGCCTCAGCCCATTTGATTAGTTGAAAGTGCTGGGGCACGCCATTGTGTACCCTCGCGATGACACAGCCCTGAGGAGAAGGTTGCTTTTCATCTCTGGTCATGCAGAAATAGTTTTGCAGAGTAATGGGTAGTCTGATCGCAGGGTAACCGGGGAAGACCACACCTCCCTTATGAAGAGAAGGCAGGAAGTTTGGGCACGAGGTCTCTACGGAGTACTTTGCACGAGACTCCAATGTCCTGTCGAGCCCAACGACTGGTATGAGTTAGTCCCTGGTCTGAGTTACGGCAACGGAGGGGAGTGGGTGAGACATACAGCGCCGATATGAGAAGCCGTCGGCCGTGCTGCTCAGGTCCCTGCGGAAGCAAGCGCATTCTGGTGCTTTGGGGTAGGCTTTGGTGCACGTCTCGCAGATACCATCGACTGTGCACTCGATCTTCTGAATGCGGCACTTGGTGCATGACTTGTTGGCCCTGACTTGGTTGGTCTTGTGGACGTTCTTGACGGTGCGCGTGGTCCCAGGGGGGCTGCTGGATCTGGACCTCTTCTTGGAGGCAGAAATGTGAGTAGAAGGGATGTGAAGGACCTTGTGGATGTGAGGCGCCGGCTTGTCCTTGAGGTTCGGGAAGATGTTGGGGTCCGTATCGAAGCCGGGAGGGGCTGGCTGCTCGGTCCCGAAGAGACGTGCGTCCGGGGACTGGAACCCATCATCTACGATGGGGGAGTCCTGGTGGGACGTGACAGACCCCGGGGTCTTGATGGAAGAAGTTTCGGCCGAGCTCCTGGAGTCAATGTCGAGAGGTGGTAGGACGTCAGACATGTTGTGAGGAGCTTGGTCGTGAGGAGCTTGGATGTCAGGTGGAACGCTTCCAGAGTAATAACGGTCGAGGTCAAAGAACTCGAATAAAACATCATCCGACTGCAGACCGCCTCTTGAGGCCGGCCTAGAGGCCTGATAAGACATTCGGCCGGGCCGTCTTGCATTAACATCCTCAAGGAAGTTGTGGATATCCTTGTCGATGTCCATCTCGGTCGTGTAAGTCGCCATGAGTGGTCTAGACAGGGGGAACACGAAAGGCAAATGTCAGGGGGGCCAGAGTTATGACAAAATTTACGGAAAATTGTGCTTTGTTTGCTGATGGCCGTGGTATGTATGGTAGAGAATAAATGAGGGGCTCAGGATCTCAGTCTATCCGCAAAGTTATACCAACTCGGGCTGCTGAGGCTCTTCAACTTCCCACCTTCATGATGCAGCGGGTGCAATACTCGGTGACAGCTGTATCTCCCATTGGTCAATGGTAAGCTGCGCCTTAGACTATGGAGTCTTCCAATCAAAAGCCCTTGCATCACCGAAAATTGCTTAAATGCCATGTGCCATGTGCAGTTGTCGAACGGTTCCTGAGCGGTTTACATAAGCGCAGCTAAACCCGACCTGAAGCTGGATATCATGTGCCGGGGTTGATGTTCCGGGCGTGGCCCGGGTACATAAGAGGCTTCTACAACCCGCTTGGGCTGACCGGAATGCTTCTTTCTCTCCCGTTTTGCTGTGAGAATGATATGAGGTCAAATCGAGGTGCTTGGGTAAGTCAGTCTCATCTTTTCCAGAGTTGCTTATCTCATTCATTGTACCTTGTCAAGTCAATTCTCAGCTCTGGGCGGCTTTTGTGCCTGGGACACTGTTCGCGCTTCGTTTATAGCATTCTACGCACCGTTGAGGTTGGGCGGAACAGGTGACAGACGTAGACTTTGAGAAAATCAGGCGTGAAGGCTTGAACTGGAGGTCTCAGTCCTCGCTGTGCAACCGTGGGTTCGGCCGACGGACCGCTGCATCGTAGCCTCCGTATCCGCGTGGGCGGGAGTTGGATCCATTATTTGTTGAGATCCGTTGACCCGGGGTCCAGATCCTGTGGGTAGCCGTGACTGCTGTTCGACTACCACCTTGTGGTAGCTATCACGGGCACTCGTAATCTCGTTCCAGTGTCTCTGCATGTCAGGAAGAAGAGAGAGTAGGTAGATGGTGTTGCATAACAAAGAGAAGAAGACATTGTCTAATTCTTTTTGTTGGCGCCGAAGTCTCCGGACATTCGATAGCGGGGCACAAACGGCGGGGTTGGGCTTGCCAACGCTCAGGGCCTTAGCGGGAAGGTCCCTGCAAAAAGGGGCGTGCGCACCCTGCATTCATGTACCCCACTCACTCAAACCCATCAACCACGTCACTTTTCGTCCCAACGCTTCTCTCACGTCGCGCCATGTCGTCCGCAATATTTTGCGACTGGCGATCGCAGCTTTCTTCCCCTTTGAATCCTTCCGTTACGGAAACATAACGAAAATCCAAGAAGTAACACGAAGTAATCAACATGTCCGGAATCCTGTCATACGTCCCAATCGTCAACAGACTCCTCGGAGACGACGACTCGCAAGCCATCAACATCCCTCCCGTCAAAGTCCACAATGTCGAGACCGACCCCGAGAAGCGCGCGCGCTGCCTCAAGCACCTGCTGAGGGCCAATCACGCCAACTACGCCATTCTATTCCACAACCTCGAATTCCACAACCATGCGCCGCATATCCTCGGTTCTGCCTACCTCCTTGGCGCCAACGACAAGCAGCTTCAAGACCTCTACGAGATCGAGACCAAGGAGCTGGAGCCGTGGACCGAGTCGCCGGCCGAGGTTACCGAGGACGATTGGCGCGACTTCCTGGGCAACCGAAAGTACCAGAGGGCATACGTTGACTTCTTTGAGGACGAGTTGGCGCTGCGCTGCGGTTACGACTGGAAGAAAGTCGTCCATAAGTTCATGTTCGAAGGAAAAGACCCTTTGATCAACGGGCTCATCGGCGGCCGTATGTATACCCCTTAGAGGAGCTGTTTGGTGATGTAGCTGACCCCTCACGAAGTTGGCCACCCCCTCATCCACCTCGGATACGCATACGAAATCGACAACAAGGAGGTCGCCATCGAGGCGCTCGGTCTAGCAGCGACGAACTACAACTTTTTCCACAAGTACCTCGACCAGAAGAAGTACTCGAAACCCGCACCCTTTAGCTCCAAGTCGACGTTCGAGCTCATAGACAAGCTGGCGAACGATAAACGGTTCGACGGACTCTTGAAAGAGCCCAACGTGGACAATATCGAGGACATATTCGAGAAGCACGAGAGCCTGGTGTTGGAATACTGGAATGCTTGGACAATCACTGATCCAGTGAAGCAGTTTGAGGAGTCTCAGGAGCTGGCCGTGGCGCTTTTGGTGGCTACCATCGCGCCGGGTACTCACGCGTACAACTTCTTCACAGTGCACCTGCTCACGACGAGCCACGCCGTCCGAATCCTAATCCCGTTCGTGCCTACCAAGTTCCACGTGAGCTTGGTGCGCCAGTGGTGGCTGTTCACCCTCGGGGTGTACATCTCGCTCCTACGGCCGAAGATCGATCCCGACAACGTCGATACGGACTTGAAGCAGCGCCACTGGGGCTACGTCGAGCAGGCGGCGCTGAATTCGCAGTGGGCCAAGGACGCTCACTTCGTCAAAGGTATCCCTTCAGATGGTAGAGTGAGGGACGCACATCTAATGGTCACAGCCGTTCGTGCCATGCAAGAAGCGGCGAGGACGTGGGGCGATGTCCACGAGCGGTATCTCGCGTCTGCGCTTACATTCGTCGATAACTTCCGCGGATGGACCTTCTAGGACGGCGAAAGCGGTGCCGGTAGCTAAACAAAACAACAGTAGTCGACGACTCGACCTCAATCGCCTCGAACCGGACTGGTTCAGTAATCTGCTTTAAGAGTGTATATCAGAGTGTCTTTGATGAGAATGAAATGGAATATGCGATGACTGGAGAGTATTGTTCCTGTGTCAAATGTTGTGAGACCAGCTACATTTTGGGCATCCAAAGCTAGTCAGTCACTTCCAAGTTGCTTTTCACGTCATTAAGGCCGTTTTGGAGCCTAAATAGTAGATACGCAACTATGCGTGTTAGGAAAATGGAATAAATAATCACACAATTCATTCTCGCGTTTTCTCATCTAATCAGAATGATTTATATTCAATTTGTATGAAAATATTAACATATTGTCAATGTTTCACGAACGTGAGAATGTGAAGCAGGTACATCAAGGTACCCGCCGCGATTTTAGCACCCGGGAGGGGACGAAGCTCGCCGGCCAGGTACCGGCAAGCCGGTGGATTTAGCGACCGATTAGTGTCCACCCTCTGTAAAGTGCCAGTCAAAGTGGGGGCTCGATTCGGAGGCTGCAGATGACGAGCAAGGTGCTTAGCCGCCCAGCACTTGCATCTTTCCATGCTTGCAACTTTTTCTCTTCGTCAACGTCACCAGTAAAGACGCGTCGACCTGCACCTCAACTGATAACATGCGCTCATGTTGAGTCTGCCAAATAACATCCTCACCAATGGCCCCGCCCGCCAAAAGAAGGAGGCGCAATGTCGTCGTCGAGTCGGACGATGAAGTAGACGAGAAGCCCAAGACGAACACCCTGGCGAACTACCTCTTTTCGTCGCCAGACTCGAAATCAGCGAGCAGAAACGCGACCGACTCGCCCAGCCCGACGAAAACGCGCTCTCGCGCCGCCGAACCGAAGAAATCAGCACCTGCGCCGAATGTCCTGCAGGCACGAAACGGACAGTCGAACAAAGCCACCAAAAGCCCCAGCACGAGCCCAGAGAAGCCAAAGGCCAAGGGCCAGAAGCGCGTGAAGATCGAGGAGAAGGGGAGGAATGGCGACTTAAAGACTTTGTTCTCGAAGCAGGCGCAACGAACGACTGCGAGGCCAACCTCTTCGTCGAGAACGATTCCTCTAGACGACATCGTCAGCGACCCGATATCCGACGACGACTTTGCGGACCAGAAGGCGAGCACATCGAGCATCGTGGGTCAGAATGCACGAAAGCGGTTCCGGGACAACACACCAACCTCCACGGCATCCTTCGGCTCGAGCCAGAAGTTCCTCAAACCTGCACGCCCGACAGCACCGGTGGCCTTCGATGACGATCTCCGACCGTGGTCAGAGCGCTTCGGGCCCGTCAACCTGGATGAGCTCGCCGTACACAAGAGAAAGGTGGCGGATGTGCGGAAGTGGCTGGACGATGTTGTGGGCGGGCGCTTGCGCCAGCGACTGCTGCTGTTGAAAGGCGCGGCAGGTTCGGGAAAGACAACAACGATGAGACTGCTGGCGAAGGACATGGGCGCTGAGCTGCTGGAATGGAGGAATCCTACCAGTGCGAACGGTGCGAACCTCGGATACTCGTCTGCGTCGTCTCAGTTTCAAGAGTTCCTCGGCAGGGGCGGGAAGTTTGGGCAGCTTGATCTCGATCTGACGGCAGAAGCACCCCGTCCAAAGAGCGAAGTCCCCGATCCTTCGTCGCAGAAGATCATCCTCGTTGAGGAGTTTCCGAACACCTTTTCAAAATCTTCAACGGCTTTGACCTCGTTCAGAAAGTCCCTCCTAGAGTACCTCGCGGCAAACACGCCATCCCTCACAGCATTCGGACGCCGTTCTTCGAATGAGCCTATCACTCCGGTCGTTCTAGTCATCTCGGAAACGTTACTGACCACGACATCGGCATCCGCAGACAGCTTCACTGCGCACCGTCTACTTGGTCCGGAGATTCTGCGACATCCCGGTACGCGGATCATCGAGTTCAATCCCATCGCGCCCACGATCCTCGCGAAAGCCCTGGAGGGTGTGGTGCTCAAGGAAGCTCGCAAATCTGGTCGGAAACGCACGCCTGGACCTCAAGTATTGAAGCGACTAGGCGAGATTGGAGACATCCGCAGCGCTATCTCGTCATTGGAGTGGATGTGCTTGAAAGGCGATCAGGACGCCGACTGGGGCGCCAAAGTCGCCCTGAAGCAGACGAAAGCAGCCAAGGCAGGCATCGCCTTAACGAGGGGGGAGCAAGATACCCTGGAGCTGATCTCCCAGCGCGAGGCGAGTCTCGGTATCTTCCATGCCGTGGGCAAGGTGGTTTACAACAAAAGAGAGGAGGCACCGGCAACCAATGCGGCTGAGGAGCTGCCTAGCTATCTAGAGCATTACTCGCGGCCGAAGCCGTCAGAAGTCAAGGTCGACACTTTGATAGACGAGACGGGGACGGACACGCAGACTTTCATCTCCGCCCTCCACGAGAACTACATGTTTTCTTGCGAGACCGTTCCACCGATGGACGCGTCGACGCCACTGGACTATGTCAACGGCTGCATAGAGTACATCTCAGAGAGCGACCTTCTGTGCCCCTCGTCGGACATTTTCTTCGGTGGAAGAGGTGCTTATGCTGGTTTCAGCAGAGACACCGGCAGTCATGTGCTGCGGCAAGATGAAATCGCTTTCCAGGTCGCCGTCAGAGGAATGCTCTTTTCGCTACCGTCGCCCGTCAAGCGGAAGGCCTCGACTGGCGCCAAGGGCGGAGACCAGTTTAAGATGTTCTACCCGACCAGCATCAAACTGTGGCGACAAAAGGAGGAGTTCGAGAGTCTGGTAGACTTCTGGTCCACGAAACTGATGAAAGGTGAGGAGACAGCACCGCGGAAGGGACTCTTGGAAAACGCCAACGCTTTCCGACGGCCGAAGCAGACGGACGTGGGCAGTTGGATGGCTAAGCGCCAGTCGAAGCCCGCACCCACGATCGAAACGAAACCCGAGACCGACTCGACGCCGCTTCTTTCGCTGGGCAGCTCGGCTCGCAGAGAGATGTTGCTCGAGCGTCTACCGTATATGGCCGCCATCGTCCGCGGACGCAAGTCGACGTTACACTCGTTCAAGCTTAGGGATCTCGAAAAGGTGGTTTCTTTCCAGGGCATCGGGCCGCCGACCGCGGACGATGACGAAGCGGAGGAGGCACCGGAGGACGATGTCATGACGGGCGACGCGTGGGCGACGGATAAGCCGTCGGAGGAGATGACGCCGCGGAAAAAGGGGGCGTCGATCGAGCATCGGGGCGATGGGTCGGTTGCGGGGTTGCAGGTGCAGGATTTGGTGATTAGTGACGATGATATTGAGGATGATTGAGGCGGTTTACTGAGAGGAGAGAGTTCGAGATGTATAGATTGAGAGGTCTGGGACGGAATTTGCTTGGGATTGGGATGCACGGCGTGGAGTACGGCGGGATCCGGAGTTGGGGTTCATGTTGCATGCCTTTGAGCAGCCAGGTCTTCGGCGACTGTGTAGACGGACGATTTGCTTTGACGAATACATGTTGATACACCATATAGATGTGATGTGGTCTTGGTAACGTGAGGGCCAGCCAGTTTTGTGACTGTGTGCATCTAATCTCTACTTGCGAATCATCTGGACCTATTGAAAGGATATCAAGCTATATAAACGACCACTGAGTGTAATTTACGACGAGCAACCAAACTTCCGTGACAACATGGGGTGTGTGTTGGGCAGCCACCTCACATGTTTTGTCCCATTCAGCCTAGACTCATCGCTCACTTCTGCAGCCGGCTGTGAACCGACAGAGTCCTGAGGGCCTGGTGAACTGTAGATCACCAGTCACAGTCTCGTATTCTCAACGGGATAATGGGGTAGAAGTAGTGACGACTTACAGCGCAACCTCGCCTACCTTTTCGAAAGTCACGTCAGGCGTGGGCTGCTTCTGGGTGGTGACCACTGAGGGAATACCAGACACAACCGTGGGAAGCATCGCCGCCACGGCCGCCACATCGGCGCTGTGGATTTCTAATCTTGTTGATGGACGGCGTATTTATCATTTTATCCGTCCCCGCGCGCGGGGGGACTGGATTTCTGGGCTAGAACTCGCAGATTTGAACCGGGTCTCTCGTGTGATCCGTCCGTCTCGCTCGTTACGTGTTGGCTTCGGCTGTCGATGGGTTTGTATATAAGATGCTTCCGGATCATGGTGAATCTACAACTCAGGGATCGGATCGCCCTAAGAGCAGTTTCGAGTTTTCTGGAACTCTTTCCGGGTTATCTTGGATTGTGCAACGACGGTCGTGGATGGGATTCGTGTATGACACAAGCTGGTCCGATATCTGCCCGACGAGACGTCTCGGTCATCATCATTGTTTGTCGTCTCTGTCCTTCATATATTCGTTCAGGGTAATGGGGTGAGGCGAGGCGAGGTGGCGGCGAATGTTGAGCTTGCTGTTATGAATTGGGAAGGGTCACTTGAGTCGCTGTCTGCTCTCTGAAGACCACAACCTCCCTTATTCTTAGCAGCGACGTCACTGTCGTACTTTCTGGCTCTGGGTTGTAGTATCCAGCAGCCGTCACTTCGGCTATTTTATATGCAACAGCTAGCTAGGTGTATTGTAGTTTATACTACGGTGAAGAGGCTTTGGACACCAGGGAAACTTATTGAAAATATGCATGGGTTCCTGATGATTAGATTTCTTTATGAAACGCTGAATAATGTGTATTCATTTCGTCGATCAGACCTATGTTGTCGACACCCTCTCGGCCATCGTTACCGCGTCTTCGATAGCCATGCTCATAAGGACATTTTCGCGATGCTTCCGTTGTCTGTATGTGGCATTATTCAAGCCTTTATGTTATTTCAGAAGACTTAGGGTAACGGTCGGGTTGCCGTCCCCCGTTGCTCGGCATTCTTTCCGGGAATCTATAACAATAGACTACAGCCAAGCTTATCACTGGATGGGGTTCACAACCGGCAGTAAGGGTGAATCGGTGAATATATAAGCGTTCTGAGGCTATCACTGAACGTTCGTTCCCTAATACTTCTTCGGACACATGAGAATCACCAGAAGGCAGTCCTGAACCCGATTCTTCTGAAAGCTATTCAGTAGATGATATACCTAGCCGCCGTGGGAGGGAATCTTCTTCAGAAGCACGTTCGATTCCGCTCGAGGGTTCTTTACGTTTCATTGGTTCTGTCTTTTATTGGCGTCGTCTTATTCGTGACGTCTACTTCTGCGACGAATGACGTTGATGCTTCAACAGGGTAATGAAGATTCTCTCATGAGGGTGGTACTGAGAAATGGTCTGCACATTTATGTCAACCCCCGTGAAGACTATTTTCGCGACCTTGAAACTTGCCCCAAAGGAGTCCCATCAATAGGTACGCATCGCAGTGTTAAATACCAACGTGGGGATAGCCAATATGAGGAGATCGCAGATCACGTTAACTGACTACGCATCAGTTGAACAGTTCAGCTTTGGGAGTTGAGGCATTCTGGGTATATTTGAACTGATTGTTGTGTTAATATCTTCTGAAATATAGCCATTGATACCTTGTGCGACTACTTCAGTGGGCATTAACGAGATGTGAGGAGGCTCCATTAGCAGATCTATTGAACGCGGACGCTCCATCCTCAGATCTGAAGTACCTCAACTATGTAATCCCACGCTCGCAACTCACATACACGTTGTAACCTTCCGTCATCTTCTTCGTCTTTCAAGTATACATCCTCCTTCGTCGCGGATGAAGGGGAGCCACATTCGCCATGAAGACAGCATCATTGCCGGCACCACTAACACGCCCTTCAGCCCACACCCACCGGTCAAAAAGCAACCTATGAAGATTGATTCTCGAGGCCGTCTTTCTTGAACATCCTAGAAAAGAATCCGCGCTCGCGATCCTTGGCTTCTACTCTTGGTTCTCCCTGGCGTCAGTCAGACTTATATACGGCCTTGACAAAAGGCGAAGCAGCATCAGCGGGCTCCGGACTAATCGAGTTCGAGTTGTAATCGAGAATACCGACACGGTTATCATCAATTATCTGGGTATATGTGTAGTGATTTTCTCTTTCGAGGTCAGTATATAAGATAGAATTGACGACTATCTCAGCATCAGAGAAGCCTTCACGATGGTGCCCACGCTCGACGGCTACCCCATTGTTCCGAGCCTTCTTCGGGTTGACAGCATCAATGAGAAAAGCTATTAGACGTGAAGACGAAAAGACTCCTTCAAGCATACCATCTACTCAGTCTCTTCCTGTCATCTGTGTTGTCCTCGGTGTATACTGACCATGCAGTATCTCGATGCTTTGACATTCCCCCACACCCCTCCATCGTCTGTCGATGGACTTTGTGAAATGGAGCGTGAATTGTTTCCCCGGGAGCCACGAAAGAAAATGGTTTCAAAACTCACATCATCGGCCTCATTGGGAATAGATAAACGGGATACTTTTAAAGCAGACCATGAACGTCTACGCGGATGGAATGCTGAGGTGTGCGGAAATGCGGATGATTCATCCGAGCATCACGATGTCCACGGCGCGTTCGATGGCATGACTTCGCCGGATGAACGCAAGAAAGTGGTTCGTCCAGCGTCCCTCAGGAACTACAGCCCCTTGGTCTGGAAATACAGCCACGTGGCCTTACATCAACAGCCTGGTCTTGCAGCATACCTATATAAGGGCCTGCCGGAGCAGCCAAGGCAGTGAAAAGCACAACGCATGAGCCCCCTCCCAAGAATCGTCTCGCACGGAGATTAATCTGACTGCTACAAGTGAATCTACAAGCAGAGACTTGTCGGCCCTTTGCGCCGTCTCAACCTGTTTGCGCGTGAGATACGACTTGCTGACCGGTGTCCGTCTTCATCCCTCTCATCTTGTCATTATTCATATCTGTATCAACATGTTGACGCACGTCAGCAAACGTACCTTGCCTAGACTGATAGATCAGCAAAGCAAAAGATCTTGATCTTCTTTGAGTTCCGAGATCTAACGGGCTCTATTGGTGTCCGTGATTGTTGCTTCTAGAGTCTGCCTTTTTTGCAGTTTAGCTCTTGTTTTATACCAGATCCTCACTCTCCTTGGTTCAAGTCACGACGCACTCGTAAGAACAGGTGACTTTAATAAGACACGCAGTGACAAGCCACCGAGTTGCTCAGGGTTAGTCGGTCCCAGCCATCATCGCACAGCCAAACAGAAAAAAGCATCTATTTATACGGGTTTTCCCCAATTTTTTTCAAGTCTTCTTGTCACCATAAGTTGGGAGCTCGCAGGCTCGATCTGAATATTCTTTCATGAGGAGATTACCCTCTGCGATTGTCAATCTAATCCACAAGAACCAAGCCGCCTTTACCAATAACTTCATCCCGCAATCCTCCACTCTTGTCCGTCGTCATCCTTCCCATCTTATTCACCAGGTATTCCAAGGACGCGGTGGTCCTTGATCCAGCCCCAGAACTGGAATAGATTGAACCTCGTGTCAGCCAACAGAGTTCCAAACAACTGACAGATCGCTCTGCCGGCTTTTCAAGTTTCCAGTACAACTTCGGAATGAACTATGCGCTGTTGTCGGAGAACATTACAGAATCCCGCCAATTTATACTCTTCCAGGCCTTCCGGTGGAAGAACGGCTGCAGGTCGCGATGTGCGATGGCCGCGTCTGGTCTCTGCATTGGAAGGTCTGAAGCAAGCGACTTGCTTCAGATCTCGTGATCGCTCGTCGAGTGTCCCAAATATGCGACCAGCAGCCGCTACCACGGTCGTCCGTGGAGCTCACCTCAAGATAGGCAACACACAGCAGCTGCTACGCCTACAATCCTTTACATCGAGCAATCCAGTGCCGACTAGAGGTGTAGATATCTCGGACACAGGGCCTTGAGAATGAGCTGATGTTTGACCACAAGCTCATAGACGCAGGAGAAGACCAGACGCACCAGTGAGATGACGAACCCACCTTAGTATCTATACAAATCTCCTGGGCGGTAGAACATAGTCGTAGCTTATATTTATATTACATAGGACGAATACGCCGGGAACAAAAGGGATGACTGGAGCGGACGACATGATACCAAGACTTACGATACGGCATCATAGGGAGGAGTCAACCCTGCCGATACTGCGGTCAATTTCACGTCTACCGCGAGCATGATGAGCTAGCTGGAGAGAGCCCGATTCGCTGGTGAGGGAATGGATGATATGGCGAAGGGGGTTCTTTAACGAGAGAAGAATCATGACGATCAAGCACAAAACCTAGCTAGCTGGCGTCAAGAAGGACGGGAGACTGACCACATGGTCATGCACACCATGGAGACATGTTCCACCCCGTACCTGGCGAAAACAGCACGAACCTGCACCCTCCCCTCGATTCATCTGATACGGGGATATCAAATAACCTAAATCTCAGTATAAATCCCACATCTTACCGAGTTCTCTTTGCCTCTAACAGAAGCAACAATGTACTCTCCAGTGACATTGATCCTAATCTTCCAGCTTGGAACGGGCGTCGTCTATCCCCTTCATCGACACATCAACACCGAGTATATCCAAGCTCCTCTCCATATTACCTCCAAGATCACCACTCCATCCGTCTTGCTCTTATACAACACCCGAATACAACAGAGACGAAGACGAAAGAGATGCAGGCCGATGTGCCGGCAAATAACACGTGGGGTTACATAGACGTCAACATGGATGCTTCGAGCCGTGACTTGTGTAGTTAAGTCATGCCACAGACACAAATGGAGCACCCCGGAATACCTATGTCGGCGTCTAATCTCACTCAGGGGACTACCCGTTCCCTAATATATCCCGCTGCCCCCGGTCGAGTTCTCGAATCCCAGCTTGAGTCAATCAAGGAATCGAGCATATCCGGACTAGGCCGTGGTTTCCTCGTACCCAGCAAACAAACGAACGAACCTGAGTTGGTTCTACACAACTTCTGTATAAATATCAAATGATGTAGCATGTGTCATACGTCTTGAGCAGGCGCGTCACCGGAGGGAAGGACCGTGACCACAGGATGAGTCCAATGCGAATGAGATTGTTATCTTGGCCTTCCTCCGGGGCATGATTCCCGTATACATGTATCAGTTTCAAACGGAGGAAGTTGAGATCGATGTGTCATGCAAGATGCGTATTCGTGGATGAATCACCCACAAACGAAGATGAAGACGGACGGTACTTCTCATCTCTCACTTGGTCCTCACCTCGAACCAGTTTACCGCCCATGAGATTCCATTCACAAGAATTCTTTCACAGAGAAACACCCCAACTATTCATCTCAACGAGGTAATCGACGATAACAAGTATGCACAGATTCATCAGCGCCAGTGAGTAAGACGACCTTTCATTGTGCTAAGGTCTCGAGATCGCGGTGGATTCCTCATATCTCCAAGACCCTTCTATCTTCCCCTGTGGGGCTTGAAGATGCCGATACCCAACGACCCAAGTATTCCGCTGGGCGCTTTGTAGTGGGTGAGAAACTTCCACCTAAGAATGTGGCCATCTTCTCCAGGCTCAGCCATGCCCAGATCTCCTCGTGCTTCGGCAGAACCCTCCTCGACTCTTCGGCAAATCACTCGCTCTTAACCCGTTCCTCTTCACCGACGCCTCGCTTCTGCTCACTGCCGCCACCAAACGACCGTGTTCTCGTCATCCTCATCCTGATCATCATCAAGCTCGCCAGCGCACCCCTCACAATCGCAATCCTCGACTTGACGCCCCTCCCGCCGCATGAGCATGTGTCTGAAAGGCTCGAAAACTCCGTTCTGCAGCACAAAGTATTCCTCTTCGTCCATGAGAGGTCTCATCGCTGTTATAATGCGTCCTACCTAGAACTGAGTGTGAGAAAACGATTTGGTGACGAAAAGAAGTGAACCGGTTGGAGAGCGTGTCTTCTTACCCTGGTGGCCGCCCACTCAGCAAAATATCTGAGGTCGGCGAACAGCGCACGCCACAGCTTGTCCTCGGCGGTCATCTTTCTCTTTCTCTTCTTCTTCTTCCTGTCCTTCTTGTTCTTCTTCTCTTGATACTGAGTCTGCTCTTTCCCGTTCTCATGTGAGTTCTCGGTGGCAGTTGGCTTCTCAGTGGACTTCTCGTGGGACTCCTGAGTGAGGTTCTTGTCGTTGTCCTCGTTGGTCTTCTCGTTGGACTTCTCGTCACTGTCCTCGTCGGTCTTCTCGTCAGTCTTCTCACCCGCCGCAACCTGAGAAGCCTCCTCCGCCATCCGAGCGTCCATCTCATCGAAGGCCTCACTGATCTGCAACCCATCGTCAGAAACCGTCTCCAAAAATCAACCACCACCAGACAAGAACAAGAAAAAGCCGGAATGCTCTCTTACCGCCTTGACAATATCCAACCGCAGCTCCTCGAGACGGATCGCAGCCATCAACTTGGCCTGAGCGTAGTCTCTCCGCGATCTCTTCTCCTCTTCCGACTTCTCATCAGACTTCTCCGTCTCGCTGCCATCCGCCTTCTCGTCCACGCCATCCTCTCCTTCGAACTCGACCGCCAAAGCGGCCATATCGGCCTCGAGATCCCGGTCGTTCACCTCACGACCTTGCATCGCTGCCTGTGCAGTCTTGAAAGAAGAGTGGATTCTCTTGCACGCCTCTAAAGCGGCCATATCGGCCTCAAGATCCTGGTTCTTCATCTCGTGACGCCGTGCCGTGTGATTAGCCTCAAGATCCCGGTTGTTCGACCTGTGAAGCCGTGTCGTTGTGTGTGTAAGGGTAAAGAAGAGACAACCCAAACCAGACCACTTGGTAGCAATTTATAGACTTCATCGAGGTGATAAACGGGTGGTGTATTCACCTGATGCCCATTCAGGCAGGACCTACCCATGCCAGAGGAGGTAGGATCGTACCTGCCTCGATTCAAACGGCAGGATCATACCTGCCAAGGACAGATGAGGTAGGATCGCACCTGCCGCAATTCAAACGGCAGCTACGTACACGTTAGATAGGTAGTCGCAACTGAACAGATCCCAAAAGGGCCAGAGAATGGCCCTCAAGAACCTGGTTCATGGCCTCACACGATCTGAAATGAGTAAACATGAGATGCCGCAATGCAATTCAATGTCTGTATTGGCCTTTCTCCTCCCAAGGCGCCGATTACCGATCTATGAATAAGGCCTCCCTTCCAGGCCGCGATCTCTTCTTCATCCTCTGTCTCCAAATGCTATGCTTTGTGGTCATATCCATCAAAATGCGAAAAAAAGGCCCAAGATACGTATTTTTTTCTTTTTGGTCGAGGTCTCCCAGACCTCCCCTTTCTTCACCCCTTCCCGTATGGACGTAATCGTTAAATACCGCTCTCCCCCGAAATTTTTGTTTGATGCAAGATGAGACGATGGGGGAAAAAGAAAACTTGCAAAGATGTGACGTAATCCAGGTAAACGCTGCAAGGTCTTTTCAACACACCAGATTAGGTTGGTTATAAATACAGCTCTCCTGCCGGGCATGTACAATGAGAGAGAGTGTCGGTGGTAAGTTGATTAAAGCACTTAGAAGAACTTGCCCTTCTTCTTCTTGGTCTTCTTCTCCTCGCCGCCGCCGAGGATGTCGTCGAACGTCATGGTCGCCGTAGCAGAGTCGTTGCTGTTGTCGACAGACATGTTGCGGAGGTTCGTGGCGGAGGGAGAGCGGGGCATGACCATGCTCAAGGGACGCGAGCCGGCCGAGCTGCTGCGGGCACTGCTGGCGACGCGTGATGTGCGGTCGCCGGGCACGCCCATCATACCATCGTCGAAACCGACAGGCTCGAGGCCGAAGATGATACTGGAACGGTGCGCATTGCGGCTGCCCAGCTGGCGACCACCGGGCGAAGCATTACGCGGCCGGAGATGGGACTGTGGGGAACCCGGTGGAGGCGGAGTGCCAAGGGCCGGGGGGCTGCCGACGATGCCATCGGGGCCAGGGAAAACTGGCCGGGGTGGCTCGAGAGGTGACATGTGCGCGTCTTGTGGGGGTGGGGCCGCTGCGCCTGTGAAGCCTTCCCACTCCTTCGCGGCGAGCCAGCAGTGACTGCGGTGGTAGATGGCCTCCACACTGAGCATGACACTGTCGGCCGAGAGCTCGACAAAGCCGGCACCACCGGACACTTCGTACCACATCTTGCGGACCTGGCGCGCGTCCTCGACCCACGGGGGGTTGCCAACAGGCGGCTCGCACAGGAAGTACTCGACCCCCTCGTTGAACTTCAGGTTCGGCGCGTCGACGGTGAGCATGGGCAGCGACTGAATGACGACGTAGAGGAAGAGCCAGTAACCGATGCGCTGATCAGCGAGATCTGCGGCATTCTTGCCCTTGCCCTCATGTTGCTCGAACTCCTTGAACTCGAGCAAGAAGGGGATGTTGATGCTGTTGGCATCCCAGTTGTACGCCTTTTGGATGATGAGGGTCAGCTCGTGATCCTTGATCTTGCGTTCGATCTTGGCCTGCTCCTTGGGCGCAAGTGAGTCGTAGTTGGCGTGGATCGACTTCATGGTTGGCAGCTTGGGAACGTCGAAAGGCACCGGCGGCAGAACAGGTGGCGTAGAGTTGTCAAACTCGAAAAGCATCTTTCGCAAGTTGACAATCATCGGGCTGTCGGTAGGTCTGCCGTCATCCTCCGCGTTTCCGTCGATGACTCTCGTGGTGATGTTGTCGCGGTCGACAAGCAGGTCGTACAAAGCGCAAATGTCGGAGTACAGCGCCTTGAGCACCAGACGGTTGAGACCGCTCTCGGAGAAGGGGTTCTTCTTGCTGCTCGCCTTCGGGGGCCACGCGCCGAAGCTGGTCTTGTAGTATCCCAGGACAAACGACCTCATCTTGTTGAAGTACTTCTGCCACACCTTGAAGCGGATAGCCTTCAGCTCCGGGTCCGAAGTTGAGCTGGCGATACCGGCAAACAGAGACGGGAACTCGAACTGCTCCAGACGGACATTGACGCTGTGCTGGCGGTTGACGAGATCCAAATGAGCTCGCTCAAGCCTCTGTCTGGTGTACGCCGAAACTTGCTCAAACAGGGGTGAGCGCAAGTCCATGATCGCCGTGTACTTGCCTACGGCGTGCGCGAACGCCTCATTGTACAGCTCCATCGACCGCATGCGCTCACCGAGCACCAGGGACTCGAGAGTCTTCTCCCGGCTGTGTCGCACATCGGCAAGCGACATCTGCTCCATGAAGAAGCTGAAGCTGAGGTCGACGGCCTCACCAAAGGATGAGCCGTCCAAGCTAGTGAAGCCATACTCCTGCAGCAGGGTGGAAATCTGGCAGAATGCTGCAAAAGTCGTCGGGTGCGCCTTGGTGCCGACCAGAGGCTGGCCGGTCAAAAAGGCAAAAAGGTTACGGATGTTAATCAGCCGGTCGAGGTCGGCGCGGAGCTGGGGACCCGGCGCAGCAAGCTGACCATTTTGCGTGTATTGCGGGGGTGTGGCCGGCAGATACAACCTTGCCTCGCCGGGGCTCTCCGGACTTTCCAGAGGGGGTGAGCTGGGCGGGGAAAAGGCCATGTTCCGCGCGTCATGGACGGAAAGGCTGTCACGACCACCGAAACTTCGGCCACGGCTTCTGCCGGTCGGTGACGACATTTCCGCCTGGATGAGTTCATTGAAGATTACTGAGTTGATAATGGAGAAGCTAGGGACCTTGAAGGAAGGTTGACCGTTGGCTGATTTAGGTTGGAGGTAGACGTAGACATTGCCGCTTTCGTTCCACAACTCCGGGACCTGCCATGCAATTAGCTGTCGTCCGATGTCGAGCGGCACGTGGCAGAAAGCTTACCTTCTCCGCGTTCAACAGGAACGAGGTATTATAATCACCCACTGTGTCCTGGGACAGCACCCAAGCTTGTGAGTTTTTCGACGCGGTGACATCCTGCGAATTGGATCGCGATCGTCCACCGCCCGGGAGCCAACTCCTCCTGAGGCGACCACGTCGCTCCTCGCGAGTCGGGCTGCCGCTACCAGTCGATTCGGGGGCTTGGTTGGTGTTTTGAGAGCTGCCGGTATTCGTTCTGCCGCTGGCGCCGGGCGGTTGCGCGGAGGTGCTTCTGCCCCTGGCGTCGGGTCCTGGCGACGTCGAGCGGATTCCCAGGAAGGCCATCGAACCCCTGCGGGCTTGGTGGAAGGAGCTGCTTCTCTTTCGCGGTTCGGGATTCTCCTTCTTGAGCTTACCAGGCGACATCCCCTCGGGACCGGAGACCGCTCTCGGCGAAGGCACGGAGATTTCATTGGACTGCGGGATAGGGGGAGGTGTCGGCATGGTCCTCTCCTTTCGCAGCTTCGCCGGAACCGGCGGCGGCGCCTGCTGAGGCGGCAAAGGCGCGGCCATTGTGTTGGGAGATGTGGGTGTAGGAGGTTCGGGAGGAGAAACCAGAGGCTGCTCGACCTGAGAGTACGAGGCCGAGGAGTCTAGCGGTGCGGGGATTCTTGAAGGAATGGGAGGCGGTGCATCAGTTGGAGCAGCCGGCGGCGGTGGGTCGAGGGAATCAGTTGAGTAAGAAGCAATCCCGAGGCCGTCTCCTGAGCTCGAGACGGGCCGGACAGTGGGATTATCTGTCGAACGGTACGAAGGCGCGCTGTCGGAGGGGGACGTCGGTGAGTCGTCGGGCAGCGGTTTGCGGTGAATCGGGAGCTGCTGCTGGTGGGGGAGTTGCACAGGCGGGGGAGGTTGCGATTGATCTGTTGGTTGGACAATGAGCGAGGGGAACAGAGCAGACAAGCGGTTGCCCCAAGACCGGGACTTTCTGTTGTTAGGAGGCCTTGTGGGCGCGAGCACTGGCTCGGCTGGCTTCTCCGTCTCTTCAACAACCAGATTGCGGCCGTTCCGTGTGGCAGGTCGCGAAGCTGACTTGATGTCGGTGTCGGTACGGGATCGTTTCGGGGAGACTGGCGGCTGGGGACGAGAATAGTTGGGACTGGGTGGGTAGGGGTTGGAAACGGCGGTGTCTCCGAGGATTTGGTCGTTTACGGGTTCGGAAAGGCTGTGGTGGTTCTGGGCGTGTGACGAGGTCGGGGGGCGGACAGGGTCGGAAAGATTGATTTGAGAAGAAGAGAAGGAGAAGTGGCCAAAGGAAGATTTAATGGTGGCACGAGAGACGGACAACTTACTCGACGTCATGCTGGGCAACATGAGAAGCGTCTTTCAGTCTTGCTTAGTCTAGTCTCTGGCTGAACCTGGCGTGTGTGTTACCTGCTGCGGCGGAGAGAGAGGCTGATGGTTGGATTGCGAGGCGTGGCCGAGGCGAGGCGAGGTGTAAGCTTGAAGCAGCAAAGCAGATCTCGCAAGCCAAGGATGGTTCTTCGCTCTTTGCAACTCTCGACAGACAGGCACAAACAGTTGGGTCCAGACCAGAAGTAGAAAAGCAGACTTTCGGGAGGCAGAGAGGCGGACGGGGCGGACGGGTATTAAGAATTCCAACAAAGGGACGAGAGGAGACGAGACGAGGGTTGGCGAGTCGGCGAGTGCGGGACTGAGACCTGGGACCGGGACTAGCTGGAGTCAGTGTGGGAATGGATCTCTGATGGCGTGCACAAGGTCGCAGGGTCAAGGTACGCAGTGAAGGTCGACGGGCAGAGCACAGGCACAACCTAGACCATGAACATTGCTCGGATCTAGTGTAAGAGGTAAGACACAGGACACCGGATCCCTGGAGGGTTGAGATGGAGATGGGAGACGGAGGAGAGGGGAGGGGAGGGGAGGGGTGAGGCTGGAGGCTTTGCTACTTGCGTATTGTGCTGTGCTATGCTATGCTTGATGAGCTGAGCTGACTTGAGAGCCGTGTGGCCGTGGCCGTGACCGTTGCCGTTGCCGTTGCCGTTGCCGTTGCCGTTGCCGGGCTTAGTAGGTTTCGGTGGATGGATGGAATGGAGCCGTTACGTGTTGATCGAGGCAGAGGCAGAGGTGAAGACGAGACTGTAAGGTTTAGAGACGGGTTGAACGGTTCGTTACGGATAGTTGGTACGTAAGGTGAGAAGGCTTGGTAAGTTGGGCGCCAGGGCACAGGTGGAGGTAAGGTACGAGGTACGAATACAAAACGAACAACGTGAGGTGAGGAGAAAGAGGCTTGCCTTGCCCTCAGGTCAGGTCGCAGATGAGGTGGTGACCTGAGGTGAGGAAACTGACGTGGTGCGCAGCCGGAAGCTGGAGCTGGGTGGGCAGGGGCGAGAGAAGGAGCAAGGGCGGGGTACGTACCGAATCGTCAGCCAAGGGCCACCACCTGGGCACCTGGGCCAAGGGCTCGTCCAATGTGCAGGTACCTGGATCATGGCGGAGGAATGGGCGTAGATGCATGTGCATCTTCATGTTCATCACCAAAGCAGCAAGGGAAACCCTCCACTGCACACTCAGGTCGTTGCTTCCTTCAGTGTTCCTTCCTTTCCTTCCTCGCCCTCTGCATTCGGTTTTTTTTTCTCTTCTCCAATGAATGCACTCCGCAAAGTGGATCTGCACGTCCGGATACTGTACATGTCCCACTTCCTGCTCAGAATGGCCCACCTCATTCGATGCCGGCACGGGACTGGGTACGTACCTCTCGGGGCCAGCCTTAGCGTGGCATTTTTAGGGGGAATTCTGCTGAGGGATGACGTTTTTGGTGAAGAAGTGGAGACCCTCTTCCATTCACAGCTCTTTCTCTCTCTCCTGGCAGCCGCAGTCGGACTCTTCGTTTCTCTGCGAATAATGGCGACAATAGTCATCAGAAGAGGCGCAGGAAAAGGTGCAACGGGGGAAATGCGAAGGCGGCCTGCGTTCCGCCTCGAACCATTTGCGATCGGCGGCAACTGAGCGGCAGGCAGACGACGCGGCCGTGGACGACGACGACGTTTGGGGCTTGCCTAGAGTCAAATCTTACGACTCTAGGACTCGAGGCCAATTTTGCAAGGAAGCCGGAAAGCCGTTGCGTTGCGTACGGACTCAGACTACCGTCTACACCATGCATACCGTACCTTAGGTAGGTAATACCCAAGGGTGAGTTGATGTGCAGGTACAGCAGATCTCAAACCCCCAGGTCTCATTACCGACTGACCGATCCCATCCCTTCATCACAGTCGCGAAGTGAGCATCTCCGCAAATCACTGGACCTCCCTCCCTCTTCAGTCTCGTGTAGGCCCTTCTCCCCCCCTCAGGTGAGGTGGATGGACCTCGTACAGCAGTAATTACCATCCCAGGGCTCAGAGGTCATGTGCCGGACGCGAAAAAAGAGAAGGTCAGGTAGGGTGTTACTCGCGCGCGTTGTGAAGCGGAAACGAAACTCGCTCTCAAGAGAGAGAGAGGGGTCCTCGGGACATTCTTCTTCGCCGCTGCTTCTAGACCTTTTTCTCTCAAAAGGGTGCAACGTTGGGGGTTGCGTTGCAGCGACTACGCTGTAACTGTATGTACGTACTGCGTACCAAGACCCGACCCCGAGATACCGGGAACACGGGGTCCTGCCACTATCCTTTTCCAGCACGTCGTATTATGCCGGCACCTGTGAGTCCCGCCTGGTCTCAATTCAGTGACCATCTAAGGTATCCCCGGTACCACCAGACTCTATTTTCTCTCCCTTCAACGTCGTGTTTATTGTTATTGTTTGGCACCTCATAGCAGCGAATATACCCCAAACTCCTCCGTCACTCGATGATTCTATTCACGTTTGCTTCTTTCTATTAATTGTTTGCCCAGTTGCCATTGGCAATCGACATGTATGTGAAACCTCCAACACAATTATGCCATTTTCACCACTCACTGTACCCCCTGCACGCACCTCCTCGCCTTGGCTTCATCAGAGACCCAAGCCGTTGGCGCCGGTCTGAATCAGATCACCACCCATCAAAATGACAAACCCGGAGCTCAAATCAAGAAAAGAAGAAACCACTCAGCCCAGCAACCACCCGGTATCACCCCGTGCAACACCAACTTAACTCAGAATCAGAAACTGCCACCCATCACGCCCCGCGGCTGAACACCTTCCTTCTCCTTCTGAATCACACATTCAACCTCACATAAGCCCTCTTTGTCGCCTCTAATACCCCGTGAGATTACATCCCCTCAAGCCAAGGCGCTCAGCAAGGCAAGGCAAGGCGAACAGGAAGAGGAGCTGAGAACCGAAAGAAAGCCCAGCCCAGCCGAGCTGACCTTGCATCAGCTTCCTGCACTCACTCAACTCACCTCAGCTCGGCTCCAAACGTCCGTCCGACCTTGCCTTAATTGACTTTTGTCCGATGAATCTCTCCGTCCAGTGTTTCTTCTTCATGCTGCTCTTCCCGCTTCATGCAATGCAAATCCGCACAAACATGCGACGACCTACTGAACATGTTCGTGCCAAACCGCCTTACCCGAAAACATCCTCCCGCATCGTCCAATATGCACCACACATCCCATGAATCCCCCCCCCACGCACACACTCTTTCTTACATAGTACACTCACCAACCTTCCGAGATTTATCAAGGAAGAGAGTTGTCGACATAATCAACCGCAGTGACGCAACCGACGAAACGGCACCATCACCGTTTCTTCTTCTTTCCTGCATGTCCGCGCATACAACGAGACACATTTTACGTTGTCCGTTCAATCCTCATCCTCACTACCAAAGGTCCCCAAAGACACATACACAAACTTATTAGCCAGCCAACCAGCCCCCCATCTACGACCGTCCTCGATCTATCTGATCACCAATCTGATCCCCAAATGCCTTCTTCAAACACACATCCAAACGGAAACAAGGGACCGTGTTCCATTTTCCGCCCGGTTTCCCGGCCACTCTCTTTTTCTTCTTCTTCTTTTCCTTGATCTCCGCGATCTCGGCCTTTCTTTTCCCTGTGTCTCTCAACTCTGTTCCCCCCGAACAGTGAGTGACATCCCGTCACCCTCGGGAAAGACTAAATAAATAAAACGGCGGCATCTGTGGACTCCCCGCGCCGAGCCCAAGAGCCAAGCGTCTCCATCTCGGCTTTTTTTCCAACTCGCGGTACCCATTTCTTCGCACTACCCTTAAAGCTCACGGGCCTCAACAAGACCCCCTCTTAGTCCCAATACGAGCCGGAGCCAACAAAGGCGAAATCAACACGCCGTATCCGCCGTCGTCCGTCAAGACTCGAGAGACCTCGTGTACGACATCCATAATCCCAACTCGGAACCGGAACGTACACTTCTTGTCCTTAAGCCCCCCCGCCCTCTGTCTTCCAAACCCGATGAAAGCAAGCGGCCGAGGAAACAAACAAGTTTCCATTAACACTACCATCAAACGGATCGCGGTAGTCTGCCGAATAGGTAAATGTAAAAATAACTCTTCCCGCGGCGCCTCCCTTTCCCCAGTGGCGCCCCGTCCGTCCGTCCCACGGCATCATCTCACACCCACCTTTTCCTTCGGCTCGTCCTCCCACTCGTTCCGCCCTCGCCCTGTTGGCCGCGACGCCGACGCGACTTCTTCGCTAGCTGGGTCGCTCGCTTCACCGGCGGCGTACAAGTCTCTTCGGAGCACAGCCACATTAGAGACCCCTCCCCTCCCTCCAAGGGAAAGAAAAAAAATCGCCATCGAGACACACACATCCAACCCATCCGGGCCGTTCAGATCTCGCCATTTGCCAACGTGCTCGCCTCTCTGCAGCTGACTGACTGACCGACGCCTCAACCAGCCCGAGACCCCGAGACATTCTGTGATGTTCCCGCCGCTCGCTTCACCGTCTTGTCATCTCACCTCGGCCCAAAGCCAGCTTAGTATGGAAAGACTAATAAGATACTTCCATTCAAGCAAGAGGGTTCAACGCTCATCGCTGATTTTCTGGTGCTGAGCCCGGTACTCTTGGCCCCGTGGTTTATCACTAACACAGTCGACGTTGACCACGCCTTTTCCCTCCCAAGACGATGTCGTGATGCCATCCCACGCTCATCTGATGATGCCGTCTGTCCGTCATCCATCCTTCCGCCCATCAAGTGTGCCCGGGAGAATCCAACCAGCAAACGAGGCTGCCTAGGCACACCGTAACCTCGATCCTTTCAATGAGGCTCCCCGGAGTCGAAGCCCCGATTTCCAACTTTTGCACCACCCCTCAAACGCTGCAGCGCCGCATTTTATTTCGGATCTGCGCCCACCGAAAATCCCATGTTCCCACTCCGCAAAAAAGTGGAAGGGGAGGACCCTTTTTCCCATCCCTCCCCCTTTCTGAGTTTTCCAGAATCTCCAGGGACTGTTACGCCGCGCGTGGATCCCGGCAGGGGAGGAATAGGTGCACAACACACACACAAATTCCAATCTTAGATCAGAGGAACCCCCGAATCCGTAGTCCGTACAGTGCAGTGCAGTGCCGTTGTTCTCCACCGAATCTCTCACTCCACGTTCCGGCGCCAGTCCCGTCGTCGATGGGGCCCGCCATCGGAGCTCGGTCGGGTTCTCGACGAAGGAAAAATGCTACCCCAGCTGACGACTCTCGTTGCGTCGTCTTCGCAGGGCTGAGTCGGTCCAATCGCTTGTAGAATCATCAAACATCACCCGATGTTTTTTTGTTTTGTTTTCAGAGTTTTCCCCTGTTTCTTCATGTTCGCTTTGCAGAGGCTCGGTAGTACACTACCCCCACGATTATTATTTTTGGTCGAATACTTGTGCAGTAATCACGGATCATGAGCGCAATGCTAGAGCTACCAGCAGCGAGGGTAATGAAAGAGGTAGCGAGGGGTACTCGCAAGGAAGAAAAGGACCGTGGAGGACTGTAGATTCGTTATATCGCCGCTTGCACATCCACAGCGGCGCAAAACCAAAATTTCGCGCTCGCTGCAAGTTGACCCTTCAGGAGCTTCATCCTCTTGTGACTGGATTATTGTCTGAAGTTCTGATGAGGAAAAACTGAGGCGTGTTTGCGTGAGAGTCGGCTTGCCCAGAACCCCTATGGTACGGGTTTGTTACTGGAATGGTATGTACGCAAGTACAACCCCCGCGAAGTACCCATGTGTGCCGTATACGTTCAACGTGAACACGATGTCTGAGCAGTATCCGCTGCACTGCGGGCTGCCTTTGAGAAAGACGAACGAATTTCGTTTTAGCAAATGTTGTTCTGATAATTTCCCGGATGTCCGTGTATGAGAAGTAGAACAATTCCCGGATTGATATTGTAGCGGGATCCATGCTCTGGGGTTGAGGTCTGACGGAGAGAGAGACGTTGATTTTCATGGATGCCGTCAGGCTCAGTGCCCATCTCAGGCGGAGATACATGGGTTCCCCGAGTCTCTTCACAGTGTTCCAAGGGTCTCTGCTCTGATGTTGACGAAGGAGCATTCTTCCAAGGACTCCTGCCTGGGTGCCTCCAGTTCTTTTCTCCCCTTTCTGTTCCGTGGCTGGATCTCTGAACGTGACTGCCTCTCAACGTCATCGTTTCCAGTTGTTCCTCCCCTCAGCTCTCCACCGATCTTCTCATGGTCGTCGCCTGCTGCTTCCGGATAGAAAGCTTCCCCTTGACTCTGCTCTCCTCCTCACGATTGTGCTGCGGTTATTGTTCCTAGTGTTCTCTAGAGTGCGGTCATCCTCCTCCACCAATACGCGAAGAGCATGCGCGATGCCTCCTTCTCGGCAGACATTTGTATACCTAGCTGGCTGTTCTTTGCTCTGCGGCAGTCCATTATAATTGCCAGCATTTCAAGACTCTCCAATGATCGTATGAATGGTATTCGATAGCAGGTGAGTAACGTTGCTGAGCGACCAAAACATTGCTTGCCACATAAGTCGCTTGTGAGTCTGAATACTGATGAATTAAGAATCAACTAACTTTTAAGTTGCAGGAAACTGCGAGTATGAAGCTGTCTCCTGTTCTGAAGAATGTTACTATGCAATTTCTTCGGGCTTCCTGAACTTTCATTCTGAGAAAATTAAGCCCTCAAAACCATTCGTGCTGTCTCTTACTTTCTCAGCAGGGTATTCTCTGCGCCTCCTGATGTGTCTGCTCTCGAGAATAAAACGCCTAGGAATTCATATCCTCTCTTCTCGGCAATGCCAAACCTCCCAAATTGTTGATATCCTTTCTCGCGACTCGTTCTCTTCTGATACGCCAAGTTTCTTTTTTTCTTTGGCTGCTCAATTCGTTTCACTTGACAACCTGGCAGCCATTCTCCATGTAAGTGTTCATCTAACCTGTGGAGGCTTCTTTAGTCTGAGTCATACACTGAAGACTCAGGCTCGTCCTTGAACTCGGGATCGGGAACCTTGCAGCACTCAGACCAACTTCTCTGCTTCTTCTGGGGACGGCCTGCGATCATGTCGTCTCCGTTGCGTTTGTTCGTCAGTGTGTGGGCTTGGTGGTTGGTCATCCCAGTATGTGTCAAGTTCATGTCGCTTGATTGGCTCTTGAATTTCTCGTCTGCCTTGACGCGAAGGAGATAGCCTTCCAGAACGTGCTTGATGACAGGGACCGTCTCCAAAATGTAAGCCTCCATTCTGTCTTTGAGTGTGGTCGTCTCCAAAGCCAACTTCTTTGACTGAGCCATGGCGAGACGAACCATGCCTCTGAATTCATCGTCAGAGGTGGAGGTGCTGTCGCAAAGAGCAAGCGTTGAGAAGAACGGCCCGAATGTTTCCCAGCCCAACCTGAGCTCTTTCCTCTCCCAGTTTTTAGAGAGAACGACCGATGCACGTTGAACCAGAGCGGGCGTCAGTCCAGCGATCGAGTGCTTCTTCACGTTTGGATGAAGAATCTATAAAGTGGTTTGTTAGCTAATTTTAGCTGTCAACAAGGTACGCAGTTTCAACTCACGTAGAATTGCTGCACGACGCGCTCGGCCTCCACGAAGCTCAGTTCGCACGCACATTCCACAAGACCGTAGATATCAGCGCAATCAGTCCATTTTGAGAAGTTGAAGCCTGTGAGTTTCTGGGCTCTCTGTGTGATGTATCTGCAGGTTTCAACATCGATGTTGAACGGCAAATCACCTAGTAATACTAAGAGGTAGCTGGCTCTGTCCTTGGGATCTTGCTTGGTAGATGCCCATGAGATTATGCTATCCGGGCTGGAGTCCTCAGCGTCAGAGTTCTCGGAATCTGAGTCTGTTTGCCTGACGAATGGATCTTGATCGGCTTCGTGAGCGAGGCGTCCAATATCTTCCATCTTGAGAGTTCTTTGGGTAGTAGGTAGTTGATGAGAATGTGGACTTGGTGACATGATGTTGAGTTATTGGAAGGCTGAAGAACCGATCTGATGGGTGAGGGATTGCCACTTGATTTGAGGTAGCTGTCGACAAGTACCAGGTTGTTTGAGTTGTGAAGTGTGAGGTGGTGGATGTTGAAGTTTGAAACTGGTGTGAGACGAGAGGAGGTAGGTTTATATACTATTATTTTTTGCAGCTTCACTTTCCCAAGCTTCTGACTTAACTAAGGGCAGGTGCGCTTGAGGTGGCGCACCTTCCAATAGAGAAAGAGCGGTATATTTACCTAAGAGACAACACTCTGGGAAAGAAGGAAGAAGCCCACAGTACAAAAAGCTTCATCAGACGGAAGGCACCAAATGTCGAGCAGCTTCGATCTTTCCCACAGTACCTTATGATCTACTGCGTGATATCCCGCTCCTGATTGTGGCATGGTCAGCTTCATGTGGCCAGGTATACTATCACTTTTCAGAAGCAGCTGCACATATATCTAAGGTAGTCAAAGATGGAAGGAACTTACGTCTACCTACGCTCAAGAACCTGGTTCATGGAATTGCCCTGACCGACATAACACTAGCATGAAACTTTTTGAAGTAGAGAAACTAATACTAATATATAATGAACCTCACTTATCGTATTTATGGAACTTTCCAGAGCACGTCTTCATGCAATCTTCAGTCAATCTAGAACATACTGATGGCTATAAAAGCAAGGTAAGAACGCTCCTATGTGGCCTACAACGAGGGCCAGATGGGACTTATATTGCAAGAGAATGTTGATTCTGAGAATCTCCGAACACTTTCAGCACTCACAGCCGCTGTCGGTGATGGAATCGAGAAAAACGAGAATCACGTACTAGTTCAAGTTGAGTCACCGCTTGGTTGAACGCGCTCTGCTTCAATTTTCATGGGTATTGTCCGTCACGTTTCCCGTCCCTGGCTTGATGTCTCGAAATGTCATCTCCCGCAGCGAATATATCGCATGATGCGCCGTCTCGAAAAGGTCGGATATTCGATTGGGAGTCAGGTTCACCCTCGGTCAGCGACGAGCGGCGACAAGGTCAACGAGGTGAGAGCCCGTCAAGACAACTCATCATCTCGTCTCATCCCAAGTCTTAATTCAGTCGAAAAGAAAACAAAATATTATGATGAGAAAGATAGCCACCTGAGACAGACGTAGATAGACTATGAGGGCCAGTGTTGATACCACGGGTTCATCTGGATGCTCATGAATAGTGTCCAAGCAGCCACCAAGCCATCCGTCACGCCTTCACTCGTCACATCAGCATGTCAATGGTCCTCGTCCGCTGCAACTCACTCAGGCAAGCTTATTGAAAAGCTGTTTGACCGGAGCCAGGTAGAAGTGTCGTTTCAAAGTTCCCACGACAGGCCGTATCCCGGTGATGGGGAGAAGTCCCCGGGCGGGGATGCCGTGAGATGTCAAATTGTGCCCCGAAAGTCTGCTCAAAATCCAGCGGCCGGAGCCCGTGCCCTCCGCTGTCAGCGGTGGCTAAAGTGCCTGAACCATGCCCGAAATGGTTTAGGTACGTACTCCGACCGGCCGGCCGAGCTTCCAGATTCTCTGCCCCACCAAAAGACGGGAATGGAAGGGAAGATCAGGACAGCACACCAAGCTCAGCTGAGCCCTCAGCCACAGGCAGCTTTGCTGGACTCAGCGGCGCAGCATCCACTAGGAATCCACCAGCCCAGCCAATGTCGTATTACCGCGTGCTGAAGTACATGTGGAAATCCATGGCAGCTGCCGTTTGCCCAGCTTCAACAAGTTTCCTCAGTCAGGACGTCGTCATCTTCCCGCCAAGAACGAATGGCAAACTGCGCATCCAAGCCGCGTACGACGTAAACCTATCCATATATACAACCCACACATCAGCGCATCGCGGAGTTTGGCGCCGACCAGCCATCGCCATTTTCTCCCTCTCCCTCAACAGATTCTCCCCGACCATCCCACCCGCAGCTCGACACGTCGCACACCGCGCTTCACGACTGACCGCGCCACCGAGAACTCGACTGCTTGCCCGAGATGGCGCTCAACGCGAGAGATCGTAGGATTTATCGGACCGACGACAAGGAGCACGACGGCGTCATCAGCGAGCGGAACAGGAGAAAAATCATCGAGGTACGTGGGAGACCTGTCCTTTCCAGAGCTTCACGATGAACCATCAGCTGACACTAGTCGCCTCCAGAACTACCTACCAAAGCCCGAAGAAGACACAACACAACAATGGAGGGAAGACGACGTCCCGCCTCCAGGACGATTCGGCCTGCGCCGCGCGCTGCGTTCGAAGCTTCACCTCTTCCTTTACACAGTCTTGCACGCCTTTTTCTCTCTGTACATTAGGATACGACAGGCCTGGCATTTGGTGTGCTATCACATCTCCTCCGTCATGTTCTACCACCACCGGACACCAGAGTACATCGAGCGCGACGTCGTAGGACTGAAGAAGAAGCCCAAGCACCTCAGCGTCATTCTGAAGATGGAGGAGGGTGGAAGACACGGAGCCGAACTGGAACGACTGGTTGGCGAGGCGGCTGAAATCGCCGTCTGGTGCGTTTGCGCCAGAATTCCCGTATTGACGGTGTATGAACGGACAGGTAAGCAACATCCGATGAAGGAAACTCATGACAGCGACTAACTCCCCCAGGCCTCCTCAAGCGCTACCTGCCCCACGTCCAACAGTCCATCATCCAGAAGTCTAGAGCCTACTTCGGCCGACATCAGCCAGCCCTCACCGTCGCGATGCCCCATGCCGACGAGATCCTCAAGTCACCGGCACACGGCGACTTCGCCAGCATCGACCCGCGCCACCTCAAGGTCCTCTTCATTTCCGCCGAGGACGGCCGCGAGTCCATGGTCGATCTCACCCGCACCCTCGCCGAGATGTCACAGAAGGGTAAGATCCACCCGCGCGACATCAGCATCGACCTCATCGACGCCGAACTTTCGGAGGGAATCATGCCCGAGCCCGATCTGCTCATCCACTTCGGTCCTTACGTCGACCTCGACGGCTATCCTCCTTGGCCCGTCCGCCTGACCGAGATCTTCTGCCTGCCGGACAACCAAGGTGTCGCATACACGGTCTTCCTCAGGGCGCTACGCAACTTCGCCAACGCACAGTTCCGCAAGGGCAAGTAATCGTTGTTTTTCGCCACGTATACCCGATTAGAACTTTCACGGCTTTTGCTTGAGCTGGCCATCAGCGGAAGATACCCGCATTTCCCGCATTGTTTTGTCCCAACGATAGACCGGCCCAGTACCGACGTTGTAGTTGTAGTAATTTTCAGTACCATCCTTCACCATGGCTCCCCTGAACGTGATGTTGATTCTTCCTCCGTCTTCCGCGTTCTTGCCGGTCCGCTTGGGTATCGAGTGTAGCCAGTTGGACTGCGTGCGGCCCTTCATGAGGATCATATCGCCGCCGCCCAAGGGGAGCTTGATCTGTTTCGGGGCAGGCTTGTCTGGGGTTGCAGGGTCTGGAGGGATGGGTTTGTGCTTCATGAGAAAGTCCCTCCTAGCACCCAAGGAGAACGATGCGATGGCGGGATCTGGACCGAGGAACCTCTCATCATCGCTGTGGAACGAGATGCTGTCAGTCCCCGAGGCGTAGTAGTTGACCAGGCAGAAGTTGAACCTGCAGTCCGTCGCGGCCTCCGTAGAACGACGGAGATCGTCAAGGCACTTGGGAATCGGACGCGGGGGATACCTGTCATACCGCTTGTCCTCGACCTTGAACCCAGACTTGACGTCGACAACCGAGCCGTCCTCGTCGAAGCGAGCCGTCTCATCCAGGCCAAACACTGTTGTCCACCTGGCGCCCGGTCTGTTAGCAGGATGTTGCTCAGGGGTCTACCCACACCGCGGAGACGAACCTGGGTGTGCGGATGTGAGTTTTGATGCCGCCCCTGTTGATGTCGTACTCGACCCTGTAGAATGGCAGCTCGGCGCGAAGGAACTCGAAGAGGTCCTTGGCCAGGTAGGAGGGGACGTATGGCTCAAAGTAGACAAGGTCAAGGTCCGGTTGGTCGTTGATATCCCGACCCGGCCGCGCCGGTAGCGAAGAGAGCTCCTTGCTCAGACTGGATGGCAGCTCTGAGATCGGGCATGGGTAGTTGAGATGGGTCGACTGCCGGACCTGGGATGTTGTCAGTGATGATCGCGATCTTGAAGGTGGCCGATTCATACAGGCTCGGCTGGACCATCCTCTTCCTTCCGCGCTTTCTTGGCCTTGGGCGCGAAGAAAGCATCTAATGTTCTCTTCGACATGGTGTGTCCGGCAGCGGATGATTGGTGAGATGCGAACGAGGTGTAGGATCGATTCAGCAAGGGACCGTTGAGTCGCCGCCACATGTGAGGACTGCCTTCTTTCAATCGGAGGTGTGCCCACGCGTGATATTTCTTATCTGGGCAGTTTCTCGCGATTAAACTTTGACAGATCACTAGGATCTCTTCAGATGTTCGTGATTGTAAGGTGAGCCGTCGAGTGCACTTAATCCCTTGAGATGCCTCTCGTCCAATCATCAATGACGCTTAGATCGTGGAGCTTCAGTGACATCACCTAGCGGGCGCATTGACCACCATTTGACCCAGTTGATCTCGTGGCGCAGCCTCGCTCATGCGCCACATCTAAAACTACCCCTGTCCCCCGCACTAAACGGTTTTTTTTCTCAGCCTTGCCCCTCCATGATCGTCTCCATATCGAGTCATCAAATCAACATGGCGGTAAGTCGGATCCTTGTAGGAAGTATATGGTGCTGGAAACATATCACTAACGCATTGGAAAGGCCTCTGAGACTGAAAATATGCTCATCTTACGCGCACCCCTTGCCCGCGCGGCGACGTCCCTGGACCGCTCGCTCTTCTCCAAGACGTTGAACCTCGCGGCGGCCACGGTGAAGGACAATCGCAACATCGCCAAGTATCGCAAGCAGCTGGAAAAGGCGCAGGAGCTCCTGCATCTCGATCGTCTGGGCTCTTGCCGTACGGATCCTGCCAATCCTAACCTGAAGTGTCTTCTCATGCGGCCGGGTGTAAAGCCTGATGGTGCGTTCGTTCAGTGCATGTTGGACGGGAATGTGTGACTAACACGACTGAACAGCTCCGACGACATGGGGACCTGTTTTTCAGGAGGGAGTCAAAAGTGGTGAACTGGATGTCGTGCCGTTTGAGTTGCAACTCGACTACGACTACTGGAGCTATCGTGAGTGTGACACCGAAGTGTGAGAGGATGCAATGAGCTGACTTATATGAAGTTGATGTGATGTCCTCCATCTTGCCGGAGGAGCTTCACGTCGAGATCCCGACGGGCTTCAACACTGCCGGACATGTTGGTGAGTAGGCTGTACGCGGCGCATGTCAAACACCCACTGACTGCTCAGCGCACCTCAACCTGAGGGAGCAATATCTCCCGTACAAGAAGATCATCGCCGAAGTCATTCTCGACAAGAACCCCAAGATCCGCATCGTCATTAACAAGGTCGACAACGTCGGAGACGAGTCTGAGTTTAGAACCTTCGGGTACGAGGTTCTCGCCGGTCCCGACGACATGAACGTCGAGGTCAAGGAGAACGACTGCGTCTTCCAGTTCGATTACTCCAAGGTCTACTGGAACAGCAAGCTCGAGCCGGAGCACACCAGACTTATCAAGATGTTCCAGCCCGGCGAGGTGGTTGCCGATGTCATGGCAGGTATCGGACCTTTCGCAGTTCCAGCCGGAAGAAAGGGTGTCTTCGTCTTCGCCAACGACATGAACCCAGAAAGTTTCAAGTATCTCAACGCCGCTGTTGAGAAGAACAAGGTGAGACACTTACACAGATAGGGGCTATAACAGAAACTAACGGGACAGGTCTCCCAATACGTCCGACCCTACAACTTGGACGGCCGCAAGTTCATCCAGGAGGCCGTCCACCAGGTCTACGACGCCTCAACCCGCGGAGACGGAGCCGTCATCAAACCCAAGCAATCCAGAAGCAAACCCGAGAACGCCCCTCCCGAGCCGAAGCGCATCCCCATACCGCCCACCATCTCCCACTTCGTCATGAACCTCCCGGCCTCCGCCTACACCTTCGTCCACCACTACAGGGGCATCTACAAGGGCCGCGAGGAGCTCTTCGAGCCGCACACATCCGTCAAGCTGCCCATGGTCCACGTCCACTGCTTCGCCCTCAAGAGCGACGACGAGGTGCCCCTAAACGACATCCTGCAGCGCGTGCACGACGAGCTCGGCGTCCGCTTCAGGCTCGGCGACGCGGACAACCACGGCGAGATGACCATCTACAACGTCCGCGACGTCGCCCCCAAGAAGCGCATGTTCTGCGCCAGCTTCCGCATCCCGCCCGAGGTCGCCTTCGCCGCGGACAGCTGAGTTTGACGCACACACAGGCATCAGTCGGTGGTTCTCAGGACGGGGAGAGACGAGAAAAGCCGCCCGTCTGAATGGACTTCGAACCTCCCGATCGGGCCTCCCAATCCCACATGCCCGTGGCTGAACGGGACATCCGGCAACCTCTCGTCTCGATCACCCTCCATCCATCCTCACGCCATCCGGGCCACACCAACCCTCCGCTCCTGACCGAGATCGTCCCCCGGCCCATCCAGACCCCGCGCCGCTTCGCTCACCGTGCAGCCGGTGTAAGGCGGGCAGAAAAAAAGAACTCCAACCACAACAACAAAACCCGCCCTCCGACGAACGGTTTCAACTACCGTCGCCGACCTCCTTCATTTCCCCCCCTCGGAAACATACGTGTCAGGACTTGGCCCGATCGGCCGCCTTGCAGATGACGGGACCATGATGGGATGGGATGGGGGTGTCCCCCTTCCTTCGGAGTCTGGAGATAACGTGCTGATATGATACCCTGACGGACTGGTAAACGGGAAAAGAAGGTGGAGGGGGGGAGGACGCGATGGGTAAGGCGGCGCTGAGATCGCATCAAACACAGAGACAAGAGAGCTGTGAGCAAAGGAGACAAGAAGCAGCAGCAGAAGAAGAAGCAGCTTACACCCCCCCTCCCTCGCCTAAGCAGCTCCAGCTACGAAACCAACCCGGCCAGCATATCAAATCGCACTTCTATAATTGCCCGAACATATATATCCAAACAGAACGACCTGCATTCTTTCTCCTGGTCGCATATGCGGCTCCTCCTCCTCCTCCCACCCACCTCTCCACCTCCACCACCAACACCACTTCCTTCTTATACACTGGCGCTGTTCGCCAGGGGCTGTAGATATGATCGCGACCGGGGGGGACAGTATGAAGTCTTCGCCTCGCCCAGAAAGCATGTGATATCGCCCACCACCCTTGGACACACTCAACACAGAGACCCGCAGCGGCGCGTCCCTAAACGACACAAAAACACCACACCGGAGAGCCTCCCATCCATCATCCAAGGTCCCCTCCCTCCTTCGTGCCGTGCAACCCTACCGGTCGAGGTCGAACGCCTGCCTTGCCCACCCGGCCAAGTGTATTATATGTATGCCATGCATCCCCCCGCCCCGCTTCCCAATCTCTACGGTCCAGACAGCTTTCACCATCCACACACGCAAAGGGTCGCACGCCGAGTATCCGTACACCCGTTCGCTCGCCGAGAAAAAGGGTATCTCGTCCCCCCTTCCTGGCGCTGCATCATGACATGTAATGATGACGGGCTTTCCGTAGCACCTCCCCTCTCTCTCTCTCTCTCCCCCGGGGGCGGCGGGCCAAGCGGGGCTAGAACACCGGTCGCGACCTTCACATCTTCTGCCTTGCATCAACCCAACCCACCAACACGTAGTGACAATCCACCCTGAAAACACCCACACCGGGACCTGTCAAATCTGTAAAATGTTCCCCCCATCGTACGCCGCGCACGATAACGTGCAAACGAAATAGTGTGGTTCCCTCCCTCCCCCTTCCGTCCATTCGGGAAGGTCTGTCGTCGTGCGACGACGACAGACGACGACAGACGACTAACGAAACTTACACGTACGCAGCTCGGTGGGGGGTTTTGGTTTCTTCGAGGAAACATGGGCGCGGCGTCCAGATCGCAACACCACTCACATAATCTCCTGGCGCCTCCCCGTGTCGACCCATCAATCTGTAGATAATCCCCCCATCTCACATTCACGCACTCCCTCCAGCTCTCACTCACTCCCCCATGATACATCACATATCTCCCCCATCGCAGCGGCAACGGGGGGTACGGATCCGCAGTGCCACCCGGGGAAGACGAGCCGCGCCTCGGAAGGCGTACTATACTACACTCTACTATCACCATCACCAACAACCTCTTCAATGATAATACACACCCACTCGGTCGTCAAAATGAATGGCCGGTTTTCTAAGTGGCCACCCCCAAAAAGCGGCCATTTATTTTGACGACCGAGTGACACCGGGCCCGAAAAGGTGTCTGTCATCAAGGTGTACTGTACTCTGTACGTACGATTCCATCCTGCACCAACTCTGCACGAAGACGCTTCGAGAAACGATCCCCGCCATTCATCTATCTATCATACATCTCAGCAGCAACAGCTACCTACCTACCTACCTACCTACCCAAACCCCCCGCGCGCCCGATATTCCACTCGAGAATACGCAGACGTCCCGGATTACCCAATCCGTCCCTCCCGCAGCCATCCTCCCCCCCCCCCCCCGGCCTCATCCAACCGTAGATTTTCTCGTCGCTATTTCTAATATCCCTCGACCGCATCGCATCGCTGCTTACACGCTACGGCGTGGAACACCTCTGTACGGAATACCTACCCCCCGCCCCATGTCGTACAAGGAACAATCTGCAAGACATCCTGAACCGGGCGCGAACGCGCTGCGACCGTACACGCATACGAGGCCGCTCAGCCAACGATCACCAGCACGTTATCTACATCGTAGGCGGGATACCGCGATTGCGAACGTAACAAGCCAACGAACCAACGCGCGCGCCTGCTTGCTTGTCATGCCTGCAACACACGCATAAAATGTCCATCTATACCAGAAGCACCGCTGCGGCGTCACCTCACCTCACAACCTGCCCGCGCAGAAAGAAGAAGAAGAACCCTGAAAACGAGTCTTGTTTACACGAGAACGCTGCGATACTCGCAGCGTAACACGGCGCAAGAGCTGACGGGCTGCAGGATGGACGGTACGCCGATTACATCTATCTCACATCACACCAGGACGGTGCCTGTGCCCTCGAGATATCTGCTCGGGGACGATGGACGAGGTCCCTTCTTTTTTCCCGTGGTCTAGATAATGACGTGCTTAAACGGTTGAATTCGCCAGTCTCGCGAATGTAATCCCATACAAACCTCGACTGGGGGAGGCTCTGCACCTCACCTCGCCTCACCCTCACCCCAGGCCCACGATATCTATCCGCTGATCCGTCGTTATCAACACCAACCAATTGATCAACAATGCAATCGCGAAACCTGAGACCCCTCGTCACTCAAGTCAGACGGGAAAAATTCCCGAAAAAAAAATAAGGGCATTTCCAAATCATCATGCAGTGGCTTCGCAGATCACACGTGCAATCGAACTCTCCGCCCACGCGCCGCGCGCCCCCCGCCGAAACCTGCCAATTGGGAATTGTGTCTCTGATCTGCCCAGATCAGCGATCCCCTTCCCTCCCCAAAAGAAAACAAATCTCCTGATTTACTCCCCTTGGACGATTGACGAACGCGGATTCTTGGTCAGTAACACATACCTCGCGCTTGGCTTACATCGAGGTACAGGTTGGCGGTGGGGCACTCGGTGTGAGTGAGTTCGGGTGCGACCAACACCAATAAGCGGCGCCACGCCGTCCAGTCGGCGCCCCCAAAAAAAGGTACGAAGAAGACCTTTAGCAGCGACCTGAAAAACGGGCGTCGTGTGGTGTATCAGGGGCGGCTTCCGTTTAATGCTCTAGACCAACGCGGAAAACGAAACCCCACGTTTGCGGCGAATCCGAACCGTGATGGTGAACGTGTCTAGCCAGAAAGATAGAGGGGGAAAAAAAACGGGGAAAGCCATGTGTATTCGGCCGCCGTACCACCGCGCAAAACTCCGTTCGCAGCTCCGCAAACGGGGGGCGAGAGAGCGCGCGTTTTTTCCCTTTTCCCCCCTAGGCTCCAGCTGTCTCGAACCGCCGCCGCGGGAATACCTTCGGACAACCGACCGACCTTGACCTGCGCGGGCGGCCGCGACGGGATTCTGAGCGCGGCGTCGGTCGTTGGTGGCTAAGAGGTGATGTTGCAGTGAGTCGAGTGGCTAAACATCCGCTCAGCGCACGCCTCGAGGAAGAGAAAGTCCCAAAGTTCCAGGTAGAATGTTTTACCTAAAGGTGCCTGGCCTCGGCATTGAAGAACTGCATGTCATTTTTTCGAGCTGCGAGTCGGACCATGATTGATCATGATTTTCCTATTCGCAAATGACATCTTCTTTCTGTGACTTCACAATCAGCCGCCGTCTCTTTTCTTTTCCCCGGTTCTCTTACCTGATAATGACTGTTCCTCAATCATGACTGTTGCTCACTTCACACACACCCCTTCCAAGGCCTTAGCTCCTCGGGGCTCCTCCGGTGATTGCGTGTGAGTGATCGAGGTCTAGAACGCCTCGCATAATCCAAAACGTCCCAAATTTTGGCCGGCCTGCCTATTTTTTCTCCTCCCAAGTCTCCGTCGAACAAGAAGCGCCCGAGCGAAGCAGAGAAAGATGACGTTACTCCACCTTCTTTTTTTTCCCTCTCATGCCGCCGCCGCCGCCGCAGGCTGCGCGGGCCCGCGAGAACGATACGGACGATGACGAGAGAGAGTGAGAGTGAGAGTGAGAATCCGACATACCCGTTTTCAACCGAAACCGTCGCGTCTTTTCGCCCCGGCAATCTACCGGTAAGCTTCCCCCGGTTCCCCGGTGAGTGCACCGTCCGTACCCAGCATCGCAATGGCCATTTGCCGCGTGCGCGCGTACGCTGGCAGGACACGCAGTCAGTACGCTATCTCCGTACCTTTCACCACAGACACACACCTTTTTTTACGCACCTTCTTTGCCCTCCGGAAACCAGACCCATAGCTCCCGACCTCCCGGTCTTCCGGCCGTCCGCCCGTACCTGGCTAGCCCTTGTAGTTGACCATGGCTTCGTAAGAGTAAGAGAAATAGAGACGAATGAAGCAGTGAAAAAGTGGCGTCTGGCCAGAAGTGATAGACCCGGGAGATTCCCTGACAAACTCTCTTCGTTGAGTTCTAGCTTATCGATAGTTTATACTGGCTCGAGAAGCCGAACTTCGTCTGCTTGAAGCCGATGTCATGAGCTCTTTTACCCGGTGGCGGCCACCAAGACTTGGCAGGGACATGACGTCCAGGCACCGAGGGGTAGGTAGGTTTTGGGCACTGCTCAGCGTTTGCAGCAGTGGAAGGAA